GGGGTTGTCACTCTTCAGGAAAGGGATGATTTTCTCTAAGATGAGTTGTAGAATTGTACATATTACAAGAGACCAAGGGACATGATATATGATAGGCTAGCAAAACAATATTTTTTATACCTTAGCCACATATTTTTAAGCCCTCTGTTTTCGAATAGCTTTATTACGTTATTGCGAGATGTTATTGTTTAAGGACCAGCTGGTCCAAGCACGTCCAAGTGCTGTATGTCCAGTTGTCACGTCTAGTCTCAGCCAATACGTGAAGGCTTCCAAATTTTTGATTAAGAATAAATGGTATAAGGAAAAGACAGCAACTAGCTGTCGCGATTCGAATTGGTGTCTGTGTTTTACGGTCAGGGCGAGGGGTGAGTAATTGATACTTTTTTGACCGAAGTCTATCCATGTACGACGCTGGAGGCTGTTTCTCGAGCTTGAGCAATCGTCATACCCGAAAAATATGATGATGGGAACAACGGGTTCCCTCTATATATCGAGGTGAATAGATAAAGCGTCATTCGAATTGGTTACGCTAAGGTTTGGTTATTGGTAGCTGGCAATTTGATATAAGTATTCCAACCTGTAGGGTTTTAGTGTATCTTGCTGATCTCATTGTAAAACTTTGACATGGAAGTGGGGTTGGAACTGATAGAGTAGTCAATGGTTGATTGGCATCTTATTTACATTGACCGTGAAAATACGGCTCCCGACTATTCTAAAGTTCGAGATACAAGTCTCATGAGGCTCCTCGCCGAGCACTTATCGCAAACCGCTCTATATACAAGTTTGGTAGTAGTAGAAACCCGTTAGACCTGTAGCGAACTTGGGCTGCTTGGTTGCTACTCGGTCAAACCGGGAGTCCGGATCGGCGGGGTGGTGAACCAGCGCAAGAGGTAGAGGATGGAATGATGGCTTTAAGGATATTTGCAGCGCTCCCTCCTACTGTGGAGGGAAGATAGAGCTGTGGGAGTAATATTGAACTGATTATCCGCGAGTAGTAGGGGTTTTCCTTCTTTCTTATTTGGCCTACCGCTTGTTCAAGCATCCTTCTCGAGAGCGCTGTTGCTCTGGTTTGGCTTTTTGTCCACATTTCATTCCATGTCTCCTAGCTTGTTCTCATCTCATCTCCTCGGGTAGGAGCAGCTAGTTTGGCGACGGACGAATGCTTTTGATTGAAAGCCAGGGCCGGCAGCTGCGCACCCGCGATAAATGGCGATGAGTAGTGGAGAGAGCTGGAGCGTGCTGGCTAGGTTGGTGAGAGAAGAGTTGGCAGCTGGAAGGTGGGGATGAAGATGAAGCATCGAAGACTGCTGGGCTGCGTGGCGATCCGTTGAAACTTGAAGATCAGATTGCTTGATTGGCTGATTGATGGGTTTGTTTGCCGGGTCGTCCGCACGAAAACGTTGCCCATTATTGCTGTGCCGTCAGCGCCGGCGCATGCAAGTTGTAGCTAGCCCCGGAGCTTTTGGATTGGCGGCGATCGGGTTTCAATTAAATTGCTGGCACCTTGCTGTACGTAGTACCGAAGAGGGTATTTCATCGTACCTCCAGAGCCAGGCAGCAAGAATCAATCCTGGTTCCAGGCCGGCCGGAGAGGGCGGACTCGAGGCTCGAGGACTTGTGAAGCTGTTCTGTATCACCTGGGGTGGGGGGGGGGTGTAGTCGGAGAGATCGAAGCACGAAGGATCCCATCCCATCCCATCATCATTATTCGACCACAACACAACACCACAACACACAAACACACAACGCACAACACACAACACACAACGCACCACTGACCACCGCCCACTGACCACACCGAGCGACGGCCATCCCGGGTCATGCAACCCCGTAAACGGCAGCCTGGCGCCTCTTCCACGCCGCTGACGCCCCGGTGCAAGCCCGGCCAATGGTAAATTATGCTCTTCGGGGACGAAGCACTGTACTCTGTACCACGTTGGAACAGGACCCTCGAGATTGACGTGAAAAGTCCAATTGTGGATTCGGGGACAGGACTAACTACCAGGGGCGGTGAGGAGGGGAGGGACCAGAGGGTAACAGGTACTTCCCTAGGTAGGTATGTATACTGTATGTACATGTACCTACCTTACCGTACCTAGCTAGTATAATGTTGGTTTAAGGTTTTTGATAGTTCCATATTTTCGTGCCGAGGGAGAGGAGAGTATAGGTTAGAACTCTTACTTAGCAAGTTAGCAGCTTTAGTTAATAGCACCCTCACAGCCCGACAAGTACTACTGTACGTACATAGGTAGGCACCTAGGTCTCAGTCTCCTAGAGATAGGAGGCCTTCTAGCCCATCGTACTACAGCACACTACCTGGGACCTAGGTACTCCGTGCTACGTACGGTAATGTCGTACTATACCTATCGTGCCCTACTACCCCCGTACCCTCGTGGACTGACGCAGGGTTTCATAGCTCCATTTGCAGACCTGGTACCGAGAGGGAAACCTTACCACAGTAGCACTGCAGTACAGGCAGAGAAGAGCTACGCCCCTAACTCTGAAGCAAGAGTACGGGCTTGATACCCTGATCCCTATTTCGTACGAAGTACAGTCCTCGTGGTACGAGTTCTTGGTAGCTTTCAGTCCCTTAAGAAGTTGGGCATGTACAGCACTTTCTATGGAGGAGTAAGTACCTCTGGAACACACACTACTATTTTATATAGTGACACGGTTATATATTTACGCTGCAGCTACACAGCTACACAGCTTCATGCTTACATGCTTACACAGCTACACGGCTACAGAGCTTCATGCTTACACAGCTACAGAGCTACACCCATGCCCCCACGCTGTTTCCCCGCAAGCCACTGTTGGAAGTTGGAACTAAGACCGCAGATTGCAGTCTGCAAAGCCGCAAAGGCGCAAAGGCGCCAGAGAGCAAGGCAACGATCGATAACGGCACTATTGCTGCCGTAGTCTATAGGCATCCAACTTATACTTGGCCTCGATTAGAATAGTGGGAAGAGAAGCGCCTCTCTGAGGCTATCTCCGACCTCCAAGTTCCCATTTCCTCCTCCTTCCTCCGTCCATCTACTACTGAGCACCTATCATACTACTATAGTAACCTCCGAACGGTACCACTTACCACCAACCATACTTAGCTACCTAAAGCAGTAAGCACCCCAGTCCTGGAGGATGCTGATATTGTACTACGTACGGAGTACGAGTTCTGCGAATATGTCAGATTGGCCCGGCCTGGGGATGGGGATAAACTGCTGCAGGCTGCATACAGTAGAATGCAGCCGCGGTAACCCTGGGGCTGTATGGGTTTTGTATGGATGAGAGCCATATGCTAGATGCTAGATGGTGAATTGCTGGCCGCGATGCAAAGCAAGGGAAGGGTTCCGAAGGTCATGTACATAGTACCCGAGCAAAGATGGGTGAGGTGAGGTAGGGTAGGGAGGTATGGGACATATAGTAACAAATGAACAAGCAAGCAAGCAAGCAAGCACCAGGATATATAAACATCCCCTCTCCTTCCTCCTCTCCGCTTCCAATCCAAGTTGGTCAACTCGCCGCCAATCTCACCTTCTCACCATCTCACCACCTCCCTCTCCCTCTCACAACTTTACCTTCATCTTCATCTTCGCCTTCACCATAAAAACCAGCTTCACATCCAACGGCCCCCGCAGAGCCGCAGCCTCTGCCTCCACGCTGTGTACTGATATCCGCCCTCACTATGGACGAGTTGAAGAACTCGGAAAACATTGGCGCTGCGTCCGTATTCCCCTCTCGAGTCCAGCCTGCCCTTCAACAACAGCAACAGCTGCTCCTTTCGTGCCGCGTGCTGACCGATTTTCCATGTGTATAGTCCTACGGAGTCTGCTGAGCTGCCGCACAACGAGAAGCGCAAAGGCTCGATCTTCGCGGATGCTACCCGCCGCAAGGAGAGCATCGCTGCGCTGACTGAGAACGTCACCGGAGAGTATGTCATCAGGCCTCTTCATTTACCTACCTCTGCCCTTCCGTGTGCGCCTATCTTTACTGATAACCAACCGCTAGGATCAAGAACCCCCTCATCGGAATCCCCAAGGACCAGCTCATCCAAGATGTTGATAACTTTGCCACTGCCCATGACCTCCAAGACATCAAGCCATACCTCATCAAAGGCGCTTTGGTCGCGCAGAGCCCGCACCACATCGACAACATCGCCGAGTTGGATGACGAGGATCGCCGCGTCCTGCACGAGGAGAAGTCGCACAGATGGAAGCACCCGCGGGTTCTCTACCTGACCATCCTCTTGAACTCCATTGCGGCGGCCATCCAGGGCTGGGACCAGACCGGTAAGTGTTGTCGAGCGTTTGTTGATGGCTGAAGGCGAAGCTTTTGCCCTGAATCCACATTGCGGAAGCTAACTGGGATGGTGGCTTAGGGGCCAACGGCGCCAATCTCACCTTCTCACTTGCGCTTGGCATTCCCGATAGCCCTCCAAATGCCGTCACCGGCTTGGGAGGCTGCATGAGCGAGGCAGAATGCAACAAGAACCAGTGGCTTGTCGGTTTCATTAATTCCTCTCCTTACATTGCTATCTGTCTCTTGTAAGTCCCGCCCCGATCTCGTCCTTGTTTATACCTGCACCGAGTAGCGCCTTGCTGACCTCCGTCTAGCGCTGCCTGGATCTCCGACCCCGTCAACCACTACCTTGGACGACGTGGTACCATCTTCGTTGCTGCGATCTTCAGTCTGTTGGCGCCCTTGGGCTGTGGGTTGTCCCAGACATGGGGCCAGCTGGTGGTCTGTCGAGTCCTGCTTGGTATTGGTATGGGATTGAAAGAAGTCACGGTTCCTGTCTTTTCTGCCGAGGCCGCACCAACTAATATCCGTGGTGGCCTGGTCATGTCATGGCAGATTTGGACGGCCTTTGGCATCTTTATCGGAACTTGCGCCAATCTGGTGTTCGTCAACTCTGGCAAGATAGCCTGGCGTCTGCAGTTTGCATCTGCATTTGTGCCCGCAATCCCCCTCGTGCTAGGCATCTGGTTCTGCCCAGAATCACCCCGCTGGCTCATGAAGAAGGGAAGGGTTGCGAAGGCCTACAAATCACTCAACAGACTCCGGAATACTCCTCTGCAGGCTGCTCGAGACCTCTACTTCATCCACGCCCAGCTTGCTTATGAGGAGGCCTTATTAGTAGAATCCGGTTTGGCTAAGACTGGCAACATGTTCACCCGTTTCATCGAGCTGTTTACTATTCCGCGCCTCCGCAGAGCGACCCAAGCATCTGGTGTTGTCATGATTGCGCAGCAAATGTGTGGAAGTAAGTACTATCCATGGGTATGGCCACAAAGATTGTCCTGCTAACCCCTCATAGTCAACATTATCGCGTTCTACTCGTCCACGATTTTTGTCCAGTCCGGCGCCAACAACATCACGGCCCTGCTAGCATCATTCGGATTTGGTATTGTTAATTTTGCCTTCGCATGGCCAGCCGTATGGACTATTGACACCTTTGGCCGCCGGGGTCTACTGCTATTTACATTCCCAAACATGTGCTGGTCTCTTCTTGCCGCAGGAATGTGTTACTACATCCCCGTGTCGAGCAGAGCACATCTCGGCCTGGTCACCTTCTTCATCTACATCTACGATGCGTTTTACTCTCCTGGCGAGGGCCCAGTCCCATTCACGTATTCCGCCGAGGTTTTCCCGCTCAGCCATCGTGAGATTGGCATGTCATGGGCTGTCGCAACCAACAATTTCTGGGCCACAGTCGTGTCGCTCACGTTCCCGCGCCAATTGAATGCTTTCGGCGTCCAAGGGGCCTTTGGCTTTTATGCGGCCATGAACGTGGTAGCTTTGATCATGATCTTCCTCTTCATGCCAGAAACCCAGCAGAGGAGTTTAGAAGAGTTGGATTATGTCTTTGGCGTCCCAACCCGAACCCATGCAAAGTACCAACTTACCAAAGTCCTCCCATGGTGGTTCAGACGATGGATTTTGCAGAGAAAGGGGACTGTTTGTCCTGAGCTCTATACTTTCGAGGAAGAGGTCTGGACTGAGAGTGATCGCGAGGATTCCAAGGGTATAAGCTCCGGAGTTGATGTTGGCAGCAAGGAGGTTGTGTGAACTCGGTCGTGAGCAATCCATGAGTCCGTGGTTTTTTTTAAAGGGAGCGTAACATACATATGGCGACGAGTGTCTACGTTTTACGGGGTGCATTTGGTTCTATTACACCGTGCTGAGAGATGTCTAATGGAATTCAGAAGGCGTAATCATTTCCTGTCTCTTGAATGTTCTAGAACCCTACGTTTCACGAACCACGCAAGGGTCTTCCTTCTAGAAAACTAATGCTTACTATGCTATCCTCGGGCGTCCCGTTTCTATTTGTGCATGCCTGTTATTGCTGGTCGTTAAGCGTGCATTGCCTTGTAAAGTTGTGGCATCAAAGAAATAGAGCGTCTTAATTTTCTAGCCTAGTTTATATTTGCAGGTCTATTATTACCTGACTCTTGTAGTACATGGCCCGGCCAGATAGATATTTATAATGCTGGAGCAGGTTATTGCAAATTATTTTGCTCTTCATTGACTAGAGATGGATAGACCAGGACTAACAACTTGAACGTTGAAAATCTGGCCTGGAAATAGCATCCCTAGTATAAGATCTCTAGGCCATTAAAAATCAAGACACTGTTCGTTAGAACGGAGAGTAGATATTAGAACAAACCCTTGACGTTAAATCATATATTGAGTAGTTGTAGTATAAGATTTGCGGTTGTAACAAGGGTCGTGACATATTCTTAGAATTCTTTTTACAAGTTATGCACTTGTTACATGGGAGCTATAGCGCTACGGAGTCTAATCCAGTGTCAATCGGTAGGACGAATTAGAATCTGAGTGAGGGGAAAGGGTAGTTGCCAGTGAGTGACAGATATTGCCTTGATGAGTCCCTAGCCCATGGTGGTTCGATACATATAAAAATTTGATATTAGGTTAGTATTACTAGGACTTGTCGTCGAGCGGTTGAATTTGGACTTCGGTTTTGACGTGTCTATGTGTAACTTCCAGAAATTTAGTGCCCCTGGCCGCCATCACATTCAAATTTCGGTAAACTTGACTCTCAGAAAATCCATTTATACCAGCAGCAAAGCCCCAATTTAACTATCTAGACGCAACGCAGTACGTAACACTCATGACTACTGCTACTAGCATATTACCAGCTCTACAAAGCTTGACATGTCAGGCAATCTCGTCCTCTAATACTCTATTACCATATCCCCCTGGAAGCAGTATCTGCAAACGATCTGGCCTCATGTTCCGCCTCCAGATAGCGACGCCGGGTAGCAGCTCGACTGTGCTAGAATATTGGAGCTTCCAGAATGATCGATGTAACCTTCGACCAAGGCGGTCAGATGATGACATGCATTGCCTGACCATCGATGGATAGGTATATGGCGCCTCTGGGGTAATCCGTCTCTGCGATCAAACATATGTTTTTGCAGCAAGGGTATCCCAAGCATCAATAGATCAGTCATAGCCCCCGCCGATTTGGCTTGCAAACGCAGTCGAAACACTCTTTTCATCGTCATCCAAACGTCTCCCGCTCAGCAACGAGCTACCGCCAAAGACGCTACCGGCATCGCCACTTTTGTAGTCCGCCACCCGTCCACCAGACTCAACGTAACGCTTCAGACGATCTGACTGATTCAAGCTGGTCTGCTTCTGTGTCTCGCCCAATCCCGCACCTAGGCTCACTCCACCCTGGCCAATGCCCTTGCCATCGATGACACTGCTGGTTGTATCTGTGAGCTCGCTAGCTGCGATCGATTCCCCGGCAATGCTCTCTGCCCCGCGACCCCTAGCCTTCTGGCCATTGGCACGAGTACGGTCAAGGCCAGGCCAAGAATCAGAATTGAAGTGAGAAAACATTTGCGGGTATGCGGAGCCAACGCCTACAGCTCCAAGCGCGGATGAGTGTACCGATGAGACATCGTCAGGAATGTAACTGATCAGTGAGCCTGCATCATAGTCTTGATTGGTCTTGCCATTAGTACCAGAGCGCCCATTGAAAGAGGAATGTGCCATTTGGTAGCGTTGGGGCCCACGATAAGTGGTCTTGGGACGACTGAATTGGAGAAGGGAGGTCTGTAGGTTGGAGAGGGGTCCTTCAACAAGACAGTTGCGCTCCTTGAAATGAACCAGCAAATAGTGCCAGAGAGGATGTTTGGAGAGGACCTTAGGGTTGCCAAGGATAACAAGCCCGTACTTGGCGCGAGTTAGGGCCACGTTAAGACGCCTGGGATCACTCAAGAAACCGATACCTTGGTGGTCGTTGGATCGAACGCAAGACAGCACGATGAAGTCCTTCTCACGGCCCTGGAATGCATCGACGGAAGCAACTTCAATGTCCTTGTAGTTTTCCTTCTTGAAGGTGCCGCTGTTTTGCATAGAGCTCACAACAAAGCTTCGCTGGCCCTCATAAGGGGTGATTACACCAATATCTTGTGGCTGGACACCTGCCTTGAAAAATCGTGTGACGATCTTCTCGACGTTCGAAGCTTCGGTGCGATTTAAATAGGAGGTTCCCGAAGCCGATATCTCCTCATTCCCAAGATTAGACCAAAACATCATAGGCGTATCTCCGACAGGCCAGGGGAAGTCAACGTCACGACGGAGTCTCTGCTGCATTGTAACACCATTTTGAAGAGAGCCTTCGTAGAACATGTTCGATGGAAATTCGGATAGGCAGGGATGCATGCGATATTGGACATTGAGTCGGATGGGAGCAAGACCCAAGGATACAAGGCGCTCGAAGAGCGATTGATTGAGGCCAGCCTTGGCGGCCTTTTTGTTCATGATGACAGGGCCTAGTTGTTGATGATCGCCAACCAGTACAACCTGCTTGCAGCCTAGGACTAATGGAATCATGCACTCAGGTTCAGCGGACTGGGTCGATTCGTCAATGAGCACAGTTCTGAACTTCATCTTGGCTAGCCTTGGATCGCCAGCACCAACGCAAGTACAGCAAATGACATCAGCATTGCTGAGGATCTCACGCTCGGCCGCTCTTGTCAATGTCTTGAATTTCTTCTCATCCTGACTGGATAATTCGCCGAGTTCGCCCTTGAGCTGTGAGAGCTTCGTCAATTCGAGATTACTATCATTCATGCGAACCTGCTCGTGTAGCGACAAAAACCCAACTGAGGACTCGACATCCTCGCGGGACTTGGCAGTGAGACGAACAACCTTCAGACCAGTGCGATGAATGCGCTCACAGAGCTGATCAACAGCGACGTTGGAGGGTGCACAGACAAGCACTTGGCCACCATTAACTTTAGCCAGGTGGTAGATGATGGTCGCGGATGTAACCGTTTTCCCGGTGCCAGGTGGGCCTTGAATAAGACTAAGAGGCTTTTGCAAAACACTCTTGACGGCATTGATCTGACTGCTGTTCAATTCAGGGAGGCCCGGCACGCTAAATTTCTTGGGCATCTGTATCTTCATTGGAGCCGCGGCAACTTCGTGTCCGAGAAGCTTATGGAAAATGTAACCGGAAACGCTCATCTCGTCAACAGCAAAAGTCTTCATTGCGAATTGCATGCGATCGTATGAGGTAGCTTTCCAGACATAGTCGGCTGAAAAGTTGTGAGTGCACTCCGTCGGGACCGACTTATCGTTTCCAACTTTACGGAGCTCGATGGTGACTTCATCTGACTGGTTGTTCGGAATCTTGATAACATATCCAACACCCTCCCAGACTGGTCGTAGTTCGCCTTTGTATTTGAGACGCATTTCATCACCCACTGCAAGTTTGACATCTCCCAGTTCAATTTTGGGGAGGACGAAGCTTGCAAGATGCTTATTGTTTAAGCCGTAGTCCCAGCGAATAACCAAACCATCCTCTGACTGCGCTTCCTTGAGCTTGCGGTCATAGTCTGCCTCAATCTTGACGAGGGGTCCGAAAACGTTCTGGTACTGGTAGGCATCGTCATATTTCAACAGCACAGGAGCCGGATCGTCATCGATGCCGGCGGCTTTCTCCAGATCGGCAATTGTAGCACTGGCATTATCTTTCCACATCTCCTCCAGCTTCGCAATCATGGGTGGGGTTAAGTGTCTTGCACGGAGCTGTTCAGCATCGGTAGGCACAGACACCAGCCAGGGTAGAAACGAGCGGTCCTCGATAAGGGGCTGCCACCGAGAAATATCCCAGCTCATGTCTTTGGATGATGGAGTAGAGGCGCATGGTTGTCGGCATAGGAGTACCACCACCGTGTCTGACTTCGCCGGGATGAAACCGAGGAGGAAGACATTCTTGGTGCCACAGTTGTAACATTCGAGGACAGTATCTCCGAGGGTGGACTGGGGATGCAGTTGGACTTCCTTGTGCCTGGCGCGGACCAAATGGTTGACGATATGGGAAGATGTTGCGTTGCCTCGAGCGCTGCAGAACCATTTGCTACAGCCCAGGCATTTGACGACGCAGCTTGGGGAGTGGATCCCACAGTATCTTCAACATGGTTAGCCATGTACTCCATCTTCCGGTCATCATTGTATAATTCAAGACCACGCTTCACTTACGCGCAGGCATGGGCTGGGAGTTCCTTCTCATCCTCCACCCCTCGCAGTCCTAGCGACTTCATGCCCTCTACTGGCATACTTGCTAGGCTCTCCGCGTCATCGTCGTCGAAGACTTCGGTCTCATTGTCGTCATCATCATTCCGCCGTCTGCTGGGGCCCAGGCCGCCGCGCCCGCCATATTGGCCGTAGAGAAGGCTCTCGTCGGGGTCGATATTTGAGAGGTCATCGGCGCCGGCATTGATCGCCGCCGCAGAGTCGGAGATGAGGTGGTTTCCGAGGTGCGTGAAGGCGCCCTCCATGATGGATAGGATGGGATGGGATATTACGGTTTCGTATCTTGGATTCCTGGAAGCTAAAGAGTGGTCAGCTCGAGTAGGTGAGAATGATGCCGTCGCATCCGCTAGGCGTGTTGCAAATGGGCGTTAAGGAACATTGGCAGACAGAAATGCCAGCCATTGGGAAGTCTCGAATACTCACTTTACCTTTGGAATCTTTAGTAGTTCAGTACCTTATCTTAGCCTTGGATGGCGCGTTGAAAGGAGAATCGAGGGGAGTTTGTCACAAAACGAGGCAAAAACTCAAGTCATTATAATACCGATCAGGCTTTTCGCGGTCGAACTTGAGCAGTGGTGAGGAGATTGTGAGGTCTTATGGAGTGGGGTCCTGGTAGAGAGAGAATGAATGAATAGCGCGCCACCATGAGCTTGATTTTTAGGAGCAGAGAATAATGTTTTGTGCTGGCGACAAAGCTGCGATCAAGGTTTGATATGATTGATACGGCGGACTGATACCGATACGCCGCTATGGCGACCGGGTCGGGCTTAGCGCAGGGCTGAGGGTGAGAAACGCTGCAACGAAATTTATACAATTTATATACCGACGAAACTCTTGCAGTTTATCCCCAACAACCTCGCAAACATGATTGTAAGTTTTGATCCTCCTCTAATTATGCCCACCATGACCAATCCACTCCTAGAACCCCCTATGTTTATATGGGAGATGCCATGGATATTTGCTTCTGCCCCGCGGCAACCAAGCGCTGCCACCTCTTTCTGCCTCTTTGGGCCCCAGCTGATATGGAGATAACAGCGCAAACAAGCCCGCCAGCGCCGGGACTATCTATATCGCCGCGCGCTCACCCTTCGAGATGCTGAGATCGCGGAGAAAAGAGCAAAGTTGCGAGCGTCCTTAGCTTCTGGGAAACCGCTGGACCCCGCGATTGCGAATGACAAGAAGCTGCGCGAGGACTACACGTACGATGAATCAAGGCCAGACCGGACAGCAGATGAGGAGCTAGATTTGGATGATGAATATTCGCAGCTCTCTGGAATCATCGACCCCCGAGTTCTGGTCACTACTTCGAGAGATCCTTCCACCCGTCTCTCTTCGTTCGCAAAAGAAATAAGGCTATTGCTGCCCACATCCATCCGATTAAATCGCGGAAATTTGATTCTGCCAAACCTGGTGCAATCTGCGCAAGCATCAGGTCTTTCAGACATTGTTCTTCTCCACGAACATCGCGGTACGCCGACAGCATTAACTCTCTCCCATTTCCCACACGGGCCGACTGTGTCATTCTCCCTCCATAACGTTGTCCTCCGCCATGATATCCCGAATAGTTCCCGAGGCACCGTTAGCGAATCATATCCCCACCTTATTTTTGAAGGTTTTACTTCTCGACTAGGCCTTCGGATAGTCAAAGTACTAAAGCACATTTTCCCCCCACGGGAGGCTCTCACAAGCAAGACAAAGCTTGGAAGTAGAGTTGTGACATTCAAGAACATCGAGGACAGTATCGAAGTACGACATCATGTTTTCGTGAAGACGGGGTATCAAAGTGTGGAGTTGGCGGAAGTTGGACCCCGGATGACAATGAGGTGTTTTGAGATCAGGGGTGGTACATTAGAAAACAAGGATGGAGATGTCGAATGGCGCCTGAACCAGTACACAAGGACGAGCCGGAAGAAGGATTACCTGTAAGTTTGGGAAAAGGACATCGGTTACGCGGCGTTGGGCAAGGGAATTAGATGGCGTACCTGGGTCCCAAATATATACGACATTTACCAACCTCACCATGCTATAGCTGTGTCCGTTCCTAATTCCCACCTGATGACGATAGCTCTCGATATTTGTATGAGGGATGATAGCGAGTACGGTCGAAGTTGAATGCTGCATCTTTGAGCCTGGACTACCTCAGTCTAGTTTCCGTCGCTTTTCTTTTACAGGGTTCGTTGCGCAGCGGAGTTAAGGCTGACAGCTGTATGTTCAATCTACACTTCCTTTACTTTCATCGCTTTATACATCCCACGAACAGATATTCCTTAAAACTACATACGACAACTACAGCCTCTTCTAACCCATTGGATCGCATGTCTATACTGTCCACTACTAGGGTGTCCCAATGCCAACCCATACCTTGAGTGTGCAAACTGAACGTGGAGAGAGCTACATAGATCCACCTGTCCCTGTTGGAAGCTTCTTCGTTTCTTTGTTGCTATAAAGTCTAGTTGACGATATTTTAAATAGGCGGTAGCTGTTGGGCGTTTAAAAAGGTCGTGGAATACAACAAATGCGACCCAAGTAACCCAAATAATACAAATACAGGCTCGAATATTGGACAAGTCCTTCGCCGCATGTCTTCCTTAGGTGCCTATACTTACCTTAGTAGGGGAACTTCAGAAGACGGAATGCTACATGTAATGCTCCACGAATTGAGGACTTACAACTTATTATGAAGTACATTATCTCACGCCTTCGTTACACCAATCTTGTCAAACGAGCCTGGACTATTGTTATTGCTATTGCATTGCCATTATTGTAGCAATTGCCATGTGTCTGCCTTGCTTTAATACCGACCCCAGCCCGGAGCAAGTGCCTTACGCGGTTAGCGTGCCCAGCCGAGCGAGGCGAAGTGTGAAAGTCAACTTCTGAACTGTGAACTGCGACCTGTGATCCGCGACCTGCGAAACTGTGAACACGCAACAGCATCTCTCAACCACAAACACTGTATAGTACGAGTAAACCTATCTTGTTCAACGCATCCCTCCCCACCCCCCCCACCTCAAGTACCTATACCTACCTTAGGTACCCAATGGAGGTACATCTCCACCCCTCTCGCTCTCTCGTTTACCCCCTTGAACAGCGTGCATGTCTCATCGAGACACAACACGGGGCCCAGATATACAGCGATACGTGACCGCCACAGGACCAGCCTTTTCATCCAGCCCGTGGCAGAGTCCGCGGTCCAGATCCGTGGCACAAGTATCCGTGAGCTCAACGCCGCCGCCTGTGGACGACGACGAGGACTTGAGTGACTTGGAGCCCAGCTTCAACACCATGGAAGACAGACGAGCTCCATCTCGACCGCTCCACCGGCCCACCGATGGGCGCTCACAGCAGCCCTTGTTGCGTAAAGCTGGTGATGACGATGAGGAGCGTGGGAGGCCTGGATATCCCACTTCGCCAGAGATGCATGATCGCCCGCCACTGTTTACGAGGCGGTCGACGATGAGGAGCCGGAGTCCAGACACCCAGGCGCAACTGGCGGCGCGGAAGAAATACACATATGCCGCCTTCTTTCTGGGAGTGAGTCTGGTTAGTTTTGTCATTCAGACAGAAACGGCCGTCTATATCCAATCGGAGCTGGGATGGAATAAGGCGTATTGCATGCTGTATGTCTTGACTACCCCGTTCCATCTTGACTCGATCTAATCTCATCAGATATCTGACCCATGGCTCATGGTCGCTATTATGGCCCTTTCAGCTCCTTGTTCTCCGAATTCAAAAGTGGAATATGCCTTGGTCGACGTTCTGGCGACGACACATTTATCTCGTTCGGACCACAGCACAAATGGTGGAGGCACAGCGTTTATCCGTATCTCCCCGACAACACTCTCCAATCCCATATATGCTACGAATGACGGCTTTCATTACCTGTGCACTTACCGTTGCGGGAGGGTCATGGTATGTTGCAGTTGATCTTACCACGGCCTCAGATCTTACTGCAATCTACAACTGCTCGGCTTTTTTTGCATACGCATTTAGTGTGCCCATTCTGAAGGAAAAGCTCCGGATGGGCAAATCGATGGCGGTACTTGTTGCCATCATAGGTGTATTAATCATCGCCTATGGAGGTAAGGAGAGTGACGGGGCTGCGGAAGATGATGGTGCACCGAAGGGATCAAAGAACCGAGTCGCAGGAAACATCATTATCGGCATTGGAAGCGTACTTTATGGATTCTATGAAGTACTATACAAGAGATTAGCATGTCCGCCAGAGGGAACAAGTCCCGGGCGAGGCATGATATTCGCTAATACCTTTGGCTCGTTGATCGGCTCGTTCACACTCCTCGTTCTCTGGTTTCCTCTACCTATTCTACATGTTTTAGGATGGGAAGTATTCGAGCTTCCTAGAGGAAATACTGCATGGCTGCTGCTCGTTTCTGTCCTGGCCAACGCTACCTTTTCCGGCAGTTTCCTAGTTTTAATCAGCCTTACCAGCCCGGTATTAAGCAGCGTGGCAGCCCTGCTAACGATCTTCCTCGTAGCTATCGCTGATTGGTTCTTGACCGGGAAAGCTCTGTCCTCCGCATCACTGTTCGGTGGCTTGCTCATTGTTGCGGCGTTCTTGGTCCTGAGTTGGAGTACATATAGAGAGATGCAAGAGGAGTCGAGGAAACAGGTGGATTTGAATGAGTCGGACAGCGACTTGAATGAATAGAGTTTTACGTCCAGCAACATATCTGCTGGGTTTCGGGCGGCATATGTCGCATGGGTCCTGCACTCCCATAGGAATTCGACATGGTGGTCTAGTTTCCGTTGTACTTTTGGTATACAGGTAGAGCGTGCGGTTAGAATAGATGCCACTACGCGGATGGCGTCCACTCGGTATATGAATAATATAGTGGGGTGCGCTAATAATAGAGTTTTACAATAGCACAATACATCTTGAGCTGGTCGGACTATGACTTTGATTTTACATCGACAGCTAACACGCATATGATTTAGAGAGCCTCCGGAACAAGACTCGGGCTTGCAAGACTCGGGTATAGAAGCAAACCCCTGATGGCTTGGGGGGGCCTATTCTGACGGTCTTGAGGTAGCTGGCATATAAGATTTGAAGGTCCCTTTGGATGGCTGTGGGAGGTACGTATTTAGCATGTCTTCCTATAGCGACTGCCAGGTAGTAGCATATAATGCCGGGTTGTGCGACCCAAATCACCATGTGGCACATGGACAAACGGAAGACGGAAGAAAGCACTTGCGAGATCAATATACTGACTATGCGAAACCGACATCGGATAAACACAGGGACCGACACGAGAACAATAGATAATGTCAGGACGGGCTATGGCAACCTGGGGTCTACGATCACCAGGACAATCCGAACTGATCATATTACCGGGAAATCTAGAAAATACCCACGGTGGGTTCTGGATGAAGCAGCTCACATTGCTTGAGACCTTTGGGACGAGCACTACTGGGCGGCGGGGACCTTGGCAACACGAGGAGAAGAATGCCTTGCCACGGCGGGCGTGAGGAAATAATGTTTTGCACGCCAAGATACGTATAATAGGGGCTAAATGGCAGATTCGCTATCGTGGTATCGCCGACCGATGCCACATGACATTTGGGGTGCCCAAGTTTAAGGACTGTGGAGCACAGAAATTCCCATTAGCTGGTTGTAATAGAAAGGGACCATGCGCGCAACTCAGCCGGAAACGCGAGATCGAAGAAAACAGACTCGCAATTCTTGCTCCAATAACAATCGGTACTTGTTCGGCAGTTAAGCTGCACTCCATGATCTGCTCGGTATGTAACTCCAGTATGTACCCCATCATGCACGCGGCAAATCATTAATTTAGCCACTTAGCCTTGTTCTAAATGTGATCTTAGAGAATCACTACTAGAGACACAACATGGCGAAATATATAAAGGTAGGTAACCTGCTTCGAGAAAGCAGAGAGTAATCACCAATCGCATCTGCCACCATGGTCTCATTCTCATTCTTACTCGTTGCTGCCGCTTCCCTGGTTCCAGGAGCACTCGCTGCCCCTGGAGAACAGCTCGAACATGGAAGTACTACAAGTTCCAGAGACATTCAAGCTGCGAACTACTTCTCCAATTGGTCCGAGGGCGGTAGTAATGTTAGATGCAATAGAGGCTCTGGGGGCTCATATAGCGTAACTTGGTCTGGCCAAGGTGGCTTTGTGTGCGGGACAGGATATAACCCAGGAGGGTCCAGGTTAGTCAAATCCTCAGAGGGCCAAAGAGCTCGTACTGATGAAAGTATGCTGTTGTTTACAAATATCTCGCAATAGGACGGTCAAATACAGTGGCTCATACAATGCCACTGGTCCCGGTTATCTCGCTTGGTACGGATGGACGAGAAATCCTCTTATCGAATACTACATCATCGAGTCTTATGACATTCTTGCTCCTGGCGAGCCGTGGACCAAGAAGGGGAGCTTTACCTTCGAGGAGGGCACATATGATCTGTACACAAGTACTCGGAACAATAAGCCATCCATCGAAGGCACAAGGACCTTTCAGCAGTACTGGTCTGTCCGCACTGAACATCGCGTTGGTGGAACTATTACTACCGGAAGACACTTCACCGAATGGGCCAATGTTGGACTTCGATTAGGGAATCACGACTATGCGATCCTTGCAACAGAAGGATTTGTGAACGGCACTAAAACGAGCGCGGGAACTGCCAATATCAACGTGGAATAAAAGAGAGCAGTGCTTCAGTTATGCTAGCAGCAGAATGTGGTACCGTGCGCAGGTTTGACATATTACTATATAGTTACCTACAACTCGTTGTCTAAGGATGCGTTGAAACTCCGCTAGTAACAAGCATTTCCCACCTATTATACAGGTCTACTTAGCTCGTCTATTTAGTTCTGGTTTTATTAGACACCGAACCATAGGTCCATAGCTTATGAAGTCGCTTGTTTAATGAATCATTAGGTTACTCGATATGCCGACGTGCCGTTCAACCTCGTAGTACGTAGTATTGTAGACTTTGACAGCCAAGGTGGGTCGTGAAAAGACTTGATGAGCAAGCTAAATAAATAGTAGTAGTAGCTGGGCAATGCAAGCCATGGGTACAACGAATGAGACTAAACATTCCTTTGAAGGTACAGCTTTTGCGACCGGAATCATGTTCCGGGGTGGTCTATCTGAACACTGTTCTCATTGATGGCCTTGTGTGTGTAAGAATTTATAAGGTGTTCTGATATTTCTTGTGGTTGTGATCGAATGAAGAAAATATAGCTTGCTTTCTAGTTGAATTCTCAACTGTGTTACGTATAAGCTGAGATGTAGCTCTGTGAAGCTGAGTGAAATTTTTACATGTAATATAATCCAAATTATAACAGGCGACATACATGTAGATAAAGTCTTGAAGCTAGTTACTTGACTAAATCTCGTACTAGACTTGTTACCTCTTAAGAAATCTAGAGTTTGTCCTTAGGAAATGAAGGCAATCTTAACAATATAGATTTTGATTTAATATATTATAGCTTATAGAATAATATAAAGTACTTTTTAGCTTTATATTTATTATATTTATATCTAAATTATAATACTTTTTCTATAAAAAGTTTTGATCTTATAATATTAAGCTTCGGATGGAATGGGCATTATACACTATGCGCGGGGGATCTGGACTGTAGAGAAAAGTATATAGGAGGGTGATACCTGAGGCATAATTGGGTAATGGCTGTTGGTGCCTGAAAAAAAAAACGTTCAGCTCCAAATGCTACCTATAATGCGTGATAAGAGGGGCATAGAGTCTTAACAAAATACTCATCCTCAGCCTTTGCTTATATTGCTGCTGATTGCAGTTAACATGTCGGCCAATTACCCTACCAACGAACTCCAAAGAGAATATGCGAAAATGATAGCAAGACCGGATCGAACCGCAAACGGATTAAAAGGTGCCTACGACCCGAAGAACATCTTCCCTGGCTCGCCATGGACTCCGTCCTCGTGACCTAGTATCTCGGAGGCTCGCGAGACAGCTAATTCAATGTCCGAGAAAGTCCTATCCGACGGGAAGCTACAACAGATTGTAGGGAGGCACCAAGATGTTATCCAAAAGCGCTGGCTCAAGAACACGAGGAAGCGCCAAAAAGAATTTACTTTTGAGCGCTTGGCCAATATATGTCAGCTACTCACCAGCCTGACTATGAGGCATTCCGCCAAGAGAATATTGGGAAAAAATTGGTTGGGCTTTCGAAATACCCAGAGGCGTACATGTGGCCCGGTATTAACCAGGAAGATTTGAGCAGCAAGTCTTTGATGATTTTTATTGAGAGCCGTGGGCGGAATCCTCCAAGTGCATTTGCAGGTACTGACATACAATCTATGCACCTCGGTTCTATCACGCATGCCGTTAAAGAGCCATGTTTCTATTAGGATACACTATGTTTCTCGATGGCGATAGTGTTGATTCTTATGGGAAATTGGTTTCTTGGGGGGAAGATGAAAAGGCTCTGGATTACTTGTTTACACGGCTCCACTTCACACCTGGGGATGGTTTGCGGGTATTTGAAATCCAGCAACGCATCTATCCGTTTCTAGTAAAGTGTTGTGAGCTCATACTTCATGATTTGGTGGAGGCTGGCAGCTTACTTGATACTCCTATCATCGAGCCCGAATCTGTCTCTGCGGTACAAATGGCAGATTTGGCTATTGAGCCTGAAACTGTTCCTCCAGCAGGAGAAATTCTTCCCACTCTTGCCTCTATTTCGGCCGAAGCTCCATACCGTCTTCCAGCTAACTTACATTTTAATCGCCTCAAGAGCATAATCGCCGCCAAGCGATCCGCCGCAGAAGATCATATCTGGGCTTTGAGAGAAGACCCTGGATATTTCGCTGAGACGATTATAGATTGGAGCGAGCATCGAAACGATCCATTAGCGGATACTATGGGTAACCCACATCCAACAGGACCCCACACAGTGGAATTTTGGGAGAGAGTAATCAGAAATGCCATTGCAGATGCGTATAGCGGATTTATGAACTGGGACCTGCTTTTACGTCACGTTAATCGTTTGATTACCCTGCAAGAAAAGTTCAAAGATCAGATTTCCTATGAAAAGCAATTCCCTAAAGAGTATTTGATTGCTCTGCTTAAGTTCAAGCAACTGTAGGTGATTTATTTTACGTTTCTGAGGGCTCAACTAACAGTTTCCCAGCCTTCTCGTAAACTGTGAAACTCCTATATTTTACCTGAGAAATATACAATCATCACCACCGTTGAGGCATCACTTTGTTCGAGAACCACAGCGGCCAGGTACGGTCAACATGATGACCCAGCCTAGGAATCTTAACGATCCATTTTTCCACAAGCCGTGGGGAATTTTACTCACACTTTGGGATGCGGAACAGAGACAATTATTTGGCGTGACAAAACTCATCGATGCATTTGAACAACTCATACAGGACCCTCAAGAAAAGAAGAACATGTCTCCGTATATTCTAGGTCTCTTTGCTGATCTCAGTGTTCTCACGAGAGCGCTTCACGAAATCGAGATCTATCAGCCATGGGCAGCTACGTTTGAGGACGAGAATGAGGTATGTAACTTGTATGCTTACTTGAAGCAGTCACTGACCTCGACAGCAACACTCTAGAGAGGTCAGTGGACTTTTTGAGGAAGCAAAGTACACAATGGAATGGATGGAGCACATGGATTACGTCTTGAAAGGCATCGCCGAACTAGCCATGCCTAAGGACGAAAAGTTCTATTATCCAACCGACAAGAAGCGAACTAGTCAAACCACTGATGCTATGATAAAAGCTGAGCGGAACCTCGATCTGTTCTGGAGCAGGTATAATCTTAATTGGAAAAGGATTGCTAGGAAGACCGTGGATGCTAGTATGGGAGATCACATACCATCGCACCGAGGGCAACCACTAGCCAGAACGGCACCATGGGTAGAACCACGCAAAGAGTTGAAAGCACCTCAAGAACCAAGAGGGCCACCAAAAGACCCGGATGGATCGTTCGGAGCTGGATCCGGCACCAAAGACCAAAAGCCCGAACCAAAACAACAAAAACTCAAAACCAAAGGCGTCGGAAAATCAAAAGAGAAAGACAACCAACAAAAAAATAATAATAACCCCCCCAGCTCGCAAGTCTCCCCACAACCTCTCTTCAGGGTCGACAAACGCAGCCTCAAAGTCGTCCGCGTCCTCTTCCACGTGCCCAATCAAAACGACAAGCCCGGTGAGATTCCCTGGAACGATTTCTTGCATCTCATGACCAGCGCGGGATTCGCGGTCCAGAAACTATACGGGTCGATTTGGCAGTTTTCTCCGGTGCATGCGGGTCTTGAGAGGAGTATCCTGTTTCATGAACCGCATCCTGAGGTGAGGATTCAATTTGTTATTGCGAGACGGATGGGGCGACGGTTGAATAGGGCTTATAGGTGGGAGAGTGGGTGCTTTGCATTGGAGATAGTCTTTTTTGGTATAGAGTGAGCATTTTTGGCAGTTGAGAAGGCTCCACGACTTTAAGAAAATCTTCTATAGCAAACCGCACAATGAAGTTGGTGGAACTCATGAGGCTACCGCACATGAACTTTACCAGGCGATATGATTCGCATTAAAATGCCGTACGATATTAGTCGCTTCTGATGAGCCCTTCTGCATTGCCACCGTTCTTGGCCTCGATATAAGGTACATTGCCGAGGCTGCTGACGTACAAGAACGCATGTGTCGTATATAGGAACTCATCGCGGCGGTTGACAATGGCCTCCTGTTCTTATCATCTTTGCCGTCAGCAATACCTTAAGACAAACCTGGAAACAAATGGTACCGAATGATTGACAGTTATTCCTCTTAAATCCGTTTTACCGGGACTCCCGAGCAATTTGTAGTGTGCACAGCTATCCACTTTGCACTGCGGTTTGTTCTGGTAAAGTAGTCCTTATCAAGAGTAAGGACGGGGATCCACATCGTATGGCTCATGACGCAGGTGGAAGGCGAGCACATCACGTCCTTCTTTGCTTCAGAGACGCAGGGTACCGGCATTCACTCGCCGAGAAATATTTATGTCAGCGAACTCTATACGCTGTATCTCCTTGTAGTACAGACAATCCAGCAGGTCGCCCACCGAGTAGCCAACGAAGATGATACGAAGGAGCTAGTCCAGGTATCTAATGATGCCGGCAAGACAGTCAGGAGTACAAGGCATGTATAGAAAGGTTAACACAACGAGTTACGAGTTAGAGCTGCGATAGCGGAGACATGGACGCGAATCAGTACTTCGTTCAGGCCGTGTATCAAGTCATTGGTCCTAATATGAGGATATTATTTGAATATCGGTGCCTATGTGGTTCTCTCATGACATAGTTGCTCAGGTTGTTCCGCGGAATCAAACGTGGTCTGCTGACTGAATACTGCATTAAATAGTTAGTGCCACTGGGAGGTGATACTCAACATCCACTTTTGCCACATMGGTCTCGCTGTTGTCTGATTTGGTTTTCTCTGGTACACTATATCCATCGAGGAGTCCGTCATCTCTCTTTCCTTTCTGTCTAGAATCATCGTTCTGCTACTGGTACTAATTCCGAGACCAGTGCCGCACAGTGCTGGGCTGGACGGACCAGAGGGGCTTGCATTTGGAGGTAAAGTATGGCGGGCCTGTCATTGATCGAAGCCGCGAGATGTTTGAGATTGGCCTCGGGCTTTACTTGGCTCGATGGATGGGGCAGATAATAAAACCCATAAAGTGTAGTATGTTTCTTATCTTAACTAATAGATGTGTGTAAAACTATTTACCTTAGCTGCTTAAATTCACGCGTTGGATGCTTCTTCGCGTTTTCATATATTTTGGGGGAGGGTACGCGCGGCTATAAAGTGTGTAGTGAATAGACTATAAATATTGAGATTAAAATCTAATTAAATAGAAATAAACCAGTCGGGTTACAAGGTAGCAGGTTACTCTTATAACCTTTTGTAAATAAATTATATTGATGAGACGTTGCATTGAAATCTAGCACGAGAGTATTCTAGAATACTAGGCGGCACATATCACTGCTTTCTGCAAATATAAAGTCTACATGCGATCGCATGTAAAGGGAATAATGTCGCTAAGACGAATCAAAAGCCAGCACCTCCTCGACATAACAGCAAAGCAACAAAGGAGAAGGGTGTGTAATTATCAGTGATATAGACTCCAGCCTGAACTCCATAACAAAAGACCTTAGACCTAGCCGACTGCCATTACTATCAGGGGTGTAATTTACATCCAACACACGGGTTAGGATGTTCAGAGCTCTCGAAAATATCGGCCTTGGCCTTGCCAGACACATTCAGGAAGCCAACAGCCCCTTTGTCCATCCGAAATATGGCATGATCCACAAAGGCATACGTGCCAGGCACGACCATCTTCATATCAACGATCGTCGCCGCCCCTGGGGGAACGCCGACAGTCTGTATAAAGCGTCCAGGGGGGCTCAGCACATCGCCATCGCGGTAGACGTTCTTGAAGTTACTACCGATGACATGAAAAGCGCTCGTCAGGTTCGGCCCCGCATTGCCAAAGAAGACTCGGACGGTCTCACCGACGTTAGCCTTAAGAGGTCGGTCCCGCGTCATAGCAGACTCGCTACCGTTAAAGACAACGAGGTTGGGCTCCTCACGAAGGCCGTTCGGGTATGAGAACTCTACTGTCGTGGACCGGCGGCCGTCCTCGAGCACCTCGGGCGGCTCGTGGTAGAACTCACTCTGCATCACGTAGTACTCCCGGTCCACGGGCGGCAAGTCCCCCTCCGCCGGCTGCACGTAGATTAGACCATACATGCCGTTAGCAATGTGAACTGGCACCGGCCCCGCGGCGCAGTGGTACAAGTATAGACCGGGGCAAAGCAGCTTGAATCTCCCCGTCTTGGTCTGGTCCTCTTCCGCCGTCGTCACTGCTGCACCTCCGCCGGGTCCAGTGAAGGCGTGGCAGTCGATGTTGTGTGGGTTGCCCGTGTGGTCCTCGTTCGTCAGGGCCAGTTCAACCACGTCGCCGACTCGCGCACGGATGAAGGGCCCGGGGACGATATCGTTGAACGTCCACTGTTCATACTTGTACTGGCCCGTGAGCTGCATCTCCTTGGTCGTAGTCGTCAGCGGTACCTCGAGGAGCACGGGATAATCTCGAGTGATCGGTGGAGGGACGAGGGGCGCGCTCGTCATGATCGCCCTCTCTCTAGGGAGTTTTGCTACGTCCAAACACTCATCATCCAGAGTCTCGTAGATATCGCCATTGGGGTCCGTCGTTGGGCCCGGCCGCGCAGGGATAAAGGGGATCGTTTGTTGCGTGGTAACAGAGTCTCCTCCTGCTTTCGCCGCGGGGCCCCAGTTCATTCGGACTGAGTCCTGACGTCCGCTGTATAGAAACGTGCCCAGCGAGACTGATGTCGAGAGCACCAGGGCATAAAGTAATCGATTATTGCTCGCATGCTTGGTTGCGGTTTTGAAAGAATCAGTGGAGATGCGACGGGCTCGACTCCACGAAGCTCCTCCTCGTGGTGAGATGAATGGTCTGCTTTCCGCCAGTCTCCAGGACGTCCTCAACGGCGCACGCAAGTAGCTCATACTGAAGGTGTCGAAGCGCAAAGTGACAGTGTAAAGAGCATAGAGCAGGAATGGAAACGACACAAGAATGGAAGGGAAATGTCAAGACGGTGGAAACTGGGGAAGGGAGGCTTTTTCTTACCGCCAGTACCTCTGCAGAGCAAACCATGACGGCGGCGCCGGCCACCTGCGAGCAACTACATCGTACAGTACCTCCGTAACATACCAGTGTACGGAGATGTCGATATCTGCGATCGATGACGATTCAATCCAACTGGTGGCGCTACGCCGGCGATGTCCCACTAGGGATGGTTTCCTCGTGGCGCCCCAGTTGCGATCCCTTTATTCGCGACGCTCTATTTGTGGCGCCTGAATATAACCCAAAGGGGCCGATGCCCCCTTATATGGGCATGGCGTGATGATCCCGACCTCTGGCCGACGACGTCAATGAAATCCCGATTTCCAGCCGACCATCTCTGCCAAGTAAACAAGCCGAACCCCGCTATGGCTCCTAGGACATAGTGGTTGTGTTATGAGGGCTGGTAGCTTTGTGGCCATCAGGCTGGGTTCAAGCAGCGTCACCAAGGGGCACAGCAACTGGCACAACAGCGACAAACGATCCTCTGGAGGCGGAGCAGCTGGCGGAAGGTTGTCACCTGGGGACGCCACGCTGACAACAGCCCCGAGGCTGCGCAGTGCAGTCCCAGACGCCTAGTTGCTTTGGGGGGGCCCCGTGAGGTTCTCAAGATGCTGTATACTCGAGTAGCGGGATATTCAAGCCATGCTCAAGATATGGTATATGCATCTCCGCTGCGTTGTATTCGATAGTCGCACGTCGTTTCGGGGCCTTCGCCAGATGTAGACTTAAGCTGTGTTTCTCTACAGATATCTACGGCGAAGACAATCCCCGATTATCGATTCGTATGTATGTGTCTTCCGTACTCGACAACTTGTCCCGCAACGGCAATCGCATTCTTGGTCGGCCGCTCAAGAGATGTCTCGTCGTATGTGCCATACTCGAGGAGCGACTGGTTATCGACAGGACAAGGTTGGGATTGCGTTACAAGTTGTTCGGTTCATTCCCCCAAACCGTCCTCCTTCTCCTAGACTCAGACCCAGTGCGAAAGCGGGCCTCGATAATCGGGAATCGATACCAGGTTAAATCCTGCACGAATGTTAGCAATGAGGCAGTTATAATTGGCAGGCTGCTTCCTGCTCGGCGCTCTCGGTTTTCAGAACGTCGCAACAGCTCGAAGAAATCATGGCAGAATCGCGCCGTGGCCCGCCATAAATGGCTAAATCATCAAAGATCGTCGTGTTCTGTGCAAATATGGCGAGGATGAGCTGATTTTGCTTGTTGGTTGACAGGATTTGCTGTGGCTCGACTACTGAATGACCACGAAGCGGGGAAATACCTTTCTTTATCCTATGTACCAGTGTACTGTATATCACCCGAAATCGCAATGACGTTTTAACCTTTTCGTCGGTTCCGCTGGCAGGTTGACAAGTACAAATACAGATACAGATACAGTACAGGTACAGATAGGGGAGCAGATACGACGTACAGTGCTGTAGCACCAGACATCGAGTATTCGTACCATTTGTACGTAAACTCCACCGCCACCAGGGTCTCTGGAGATTGGGCGTTGATAGCGCAGCCCTTCCATGCTGGACTGTTTGACTTTCAGCACGAGGGAAGAGGATGAAATGTTTTAATTTCATACATTGAAAATATATGATAGGCCCGGTGATCCGAGTTTCCTTGCCGCGCTACTCGTTCGTATTTCATATGTCGCGAAAAGAATTCGGATCCTTCCCCTAAGCACTTGCTCAGAGGCTTGTTCGTTGTTCACTTTCATACTCCACTATATTTCTCACAGTGAGTTGCTCTTCTGCGGGCTTCCACTCAGTCACCCCAAGTTTTCGGATGATGAGCACACCTTGAGCAATTTGATGGATATTGAAAGTAAGTACATTTCTAAACTGTTTATTAGTAGTTAATAGTAACATCCTTAAGAACCTCGGAGACTATTCGGCGAACGCGCCGCCAACTCTGTGCGATGATGTCTTTTTGCTATGGACAAATATGAGCTATGGATCCAGTGACCACGAAAAAAGAAAAATGGGCCAAGCATAAGCAAGTTATAATTAATACAAAAAGTAAGAGATCTTCAATTAAGTTAAAAACTCTATTAATATACGTATCTATCTAACTCTTGTAGACCCAAGGCTCGTGCGTCTTTATTCGTTTCTCATAGTTCGCAGCAGATTCTCATATAGAGTTTTCGCAGACGCACTCTATATGCATGGCGTGGACTGAACCTCCGGAATTACTAGGGCCATATGGTAACATGGTTGCCACGAACGGTTTATTGGTCAAATGGCTCTACTCTGATGATAGACTGCCCTATATTGCTCAGCAGTACGCATAGAAAGGGGAGAAAGTAGCTCTGTTGTAGTTGAGACGCCACCAAAAATATCACCACTGTGACCAACGGATATGTTCCATATCCTTGTCTATCCGAGGACATCTGGCAGGAATCGGTACTCACCATCGATATTAAGGGGTTTGTGGTCAACTAGCTAGATCAGCTGCAATCCGGGGGCCGGGGCAGACACTGACTTTAGGATGGGCGCCGACATATGTCGCGCGATTAACGCCATATGGGAAGGACACCGCAGTTGTAGGACAAAAGAGTGGCAAGCTTTGCGCCCTATCCACCCAATAGGATATATAGTCTAGCCAATAGCCACTAGTCTATTAGCGGTGCTGGGGACTTGGGCTGGGGTATTGCCGCAGATGATAGCAGAGTATACTTCACGACCCTCAGCTCTAATAAGAAGACGAAACAGCTTCAGCCTTCAAATGAAACTATCAATATAATTGCATATGGGGCTGCAGACTTGTCAAACAGGAAGATCCTTTAGCAAGTCCCCGCCACGAAAGATAGCACAGATTTAGCCCAAGGGAGCTTGTTCGAATACCCTATTAATGGCCAAGAAGAGAATTCACGCACAATATCACATAAAATCTGAAGTAAGGAGTGCGCATTTTATTATTGCAACTTTGTACAGAGACAAAGAAACATACTAGAGACCAGCTTTACTAGCGTGCCCCTGGTGATAATCATGCCCCCTGTGCTGTGGCTCAGAATGCATTTACTGAGAGAGATATGGACATAAGAGAAACTGCACCTGCCAGCCGCAGTGGAATGGTTGAGTGAGAGATCTCTTTGACAACTCAACCCCAATCCAGGCAGCTTGGTCTCTTGTTACATCGACCCGAGAGTCACTGTAATCATCAGCCGCCTTCCAGCGGGGGCCAATGAGAGGTGATCTCCCCATGCCGTGAATTCTTACTCAGTCAACGCTGTGTCAGCCAAGCCCTCGGTCGACACCGCACATGAGGGTTTTAGCTGATATCATTCGAGTGTGGATGTTGTGTGCCATTTACCACACACGGAGATGCCAATGGGAAGAGGGAAAGAATGGGGGCCACTGTTACCTGTATCTGAAATACTTGGTGCGTGAGCGTGTAACGGTTCGATCTTGGTTAGTTGCTACGTAGTAGGACGCGTAATGAGAGAAGCAGTTGGTAAGAAGTGATAGAAACAGTAAGAGTGGTTGATAAGGCAGTGCGACAGAAAGGAGATTCGTTGGCTGCCGCTTGTCTGGGGGGCTACGACTCAATATTGGTAGAAAGGGAAATGTTAGAGGGAGCGATTTAGCTAGCAAGTGCAGCGGAACGAATAAATGTAGATATAAAGGGAAAGAACAAGGGGAAATTGGAGCAGAGAGGTGCAGGCCCAAAGTCAACGTGTGAGAAAAAAGAATTGAAAAATGAAGTTTGAAAAAAATGAAGCGGGTGTAGAAAGTAAAAGTGAAGATAAAGAAAAAGACCGGAATGGCAAGGGGCAGCAAAGCGGCAGGGCAGAAATGGCAGAGGAAAATGTGCAGAAGAACAACGCAGAGAATGGAGGGAATAAACGAGGGGATAGGATAGAAGACGGGAGAGGATGGGAGAGGATGGGAGAGGAGAGAGAATGGAAATCGAGAGAGGATGGAAGACGAGAGAGGATGGAAGTCGAGAGAGGATGGGAGAGGAGGAGGTCGTGGAAATATTCGAAATCGATGCAAGGTGTTGGACTCGTCGGAGCGTTTTTCGAACCGGAACCTAAAAAGAGCCTCCCTGTCAGCCGCCGTGAAGAGGCTGGTAAGACACTACCCATCACCGTGGTATCATAATGCAGCGCGCTTCACGTCCAAGGGGGACTGCCTCGAGCTCATTGCTCGCTGTACTCGGCAAACCGCACCCGAAGGTTTGGCTCCCTGGGGTTCTTCGACCCAGGTCCAACAGCACTGGAAACGACGTGCAATGTAACCAGTGTAAAGCAGGAACTGCCCCAGGCCACACTTCCGAAGAAGGCAGCCCCACCCTTTCGCCAACCATCTGACAGATAGGCTTCCGCATGCCCCGAAGGGCACTTGGAGGTATCAACAGAGAGGGGAGGGTCTGTGGGGATGTGTGTCGTTGACCACACACGGGGTGCATAGTGCAAGATCGCCAGGGTGATGGGGAGGGGGCTGTCTTACCTGAATGTGGCACGATGTAATTGAAGTCCATTGCATGGCGATGTTGGGTGGTGGGTTGTAGGGCGAAGGTGAAGATGGAAGGTGGAGACTTCAGGCGCATCGAAGAGAGAGCCAAAGCAATGGGATGGACAGAATGATGAAAGGCAAATGAAGGATGAAGGGCGAGGGAAGAGTTGGTTGGATGAATGATGGAGGTGGTGGTGATGAGGATGGTGATGATGGCGATCTATGAGGTCGGGGGGTGAAGAAAGGATTAGGGGAGAAGAAGAGGGTGGGTGGGCTATATATTTATACACGCAGCAGCACGACTTCCGTGATTGCGGTAGCTCGGTTTCTGTGATTGCACTAGCTCGGGTTTCCACTGATTGCGGTAGCTCAGTGATTGCAAGAGGCAGTCAGATGGTGATTGCAGTGCGGTGAAGTGCTGCTTTTTTTCCATTGGCCAGCAAGCTTGGGAGCCCAAACCTAATCACTAGGCTGCATAAAAGGTGTGTACGCTAAGGATACGGTGTGAACCATGGTCGAGAACCCTCAAAGTAAAGTTAAAAGCACGCTCCATTGATTCGTGTTGACTATTGACGGCTCAAAAAGCAGGGAAGCCACGCACGTCGAGGGGGACTTGGTCCACCAATCGCGAAGATAGGAAGGATTGGCTCTCGAATGCTGCAGCAGAATAGATCCACATGCAGGAAGCCAGCAATTTCAAAATATTAATGGAGTTTAAACGAATGTCCAAGAGTGTTGGAGTTGCCGTGCGCGATCATTGCTTGTGTGGCCAGAATGGGCGAGGAAGTGAGACATGATGCGGGGCCCGCAAGGACAGACATTATGTATTGGATCCTTGATACCATGCCTTTCGTCCCGAAAATTATAGAGGCAAGCATTACAATGGGGATTCCTCCATATACGAACTGAATCTTTACTCTTTTAAATCCACCGCCCGTTTCCAAATCGATGCTCCCGTCAGTATAGAGAGTGTCGTGCACGTAATTATACAATACTCATAATAAGTTCCAATCTAAGCACATTTGCGCCGCGAAGCGCTCACCTCGATGAGGCTTGAAGTCTAAATCATCCAAGTCCTGGGAAGTACTCGGAAATCGGATTAAGGTTTGTGATAGTAGCACGATCCACATTAAACATCCGTCCTCGATAAGCGAGGATCGACAGCCACCAAACTGTTGTTCACGCCTCTGGTTGGCTGCTACCACGCGTGACCCCTTGCTACATCGAGTAATTCCTCACGACAAATCCTCCCCCCTTTTTCATGGCATAGCATTCCCATTTCGCGAGAATTATTAATTTTCCGTGGAAAACATTTCGCCGTGGGAATTCTTCCTTTCGCCGTAAGAATATCAATGTCTCATCAAGTTGCCCCTTGTCGCTTTATACGGTGCGGACATTATCGACGAGTTTATCGTGAGTAGCACTGAATACCATATGCAAGTTCAACAAATACCTTTTTAGGGTTGTATTCCCCAAAGCTTCTATCTTGGAGAATGATCGTTGCCGACATTCATATAAGGTTTGCAGGGCAACTAGCCCCTGACTTCGGATTTAAAGCGGAGGGGTACAGGACCGGCTGATCTGGGGCGGGAAGTTGGTTGAGGACTGGCAACATCTGTACATGGATTCCCATAGGTACTTGGTCAATAATTCTAAATGGGAACGAAATTTTAGCTGATGAGAGATGGATTGCTTATACGTAGTATAGAACGGGTAATTTGAAGGAGATTGATGTAAATTATGTAATGCTTTTGACTCTGAGACATCGTACATCCCATCAGCATTTCGTCAACTTTAGAGGTCGGTCACTACAGCGTCGATGTCGAAAATATAGCCATGATTGGGCCATCTGGAATATTCTGGAATATTCTGGATTTTAGAAGCGCCCAATATACCGCCAACCTGTCGCCAGCAGCTTGACCCGCGTACTTTTTCCAGCCAGCCATAATTGACTATCACCTTAGGGTACAGTGGAGTTTTGAGCTCTTGCCAGTCTGACTCTCGACCACAAGGGTGACGGCGAAGGGATTCTCGACTTGCCAGTAGCCCATTCCCCTGACTACCGGTCTTCCACTCCCCTATGTTCGCTGTCATGTTGGGATGGTTGTGCGTCAAGTTATCAACGTCGGCAATTACTCGATCGGGCCGATGCTGCCTATATTCGACATTATATTACCTTCTACCTTCTGAGTCAACGGCCGAAGGATCATACATCTGCTAAGAGGATGTGGAAATTTCGAGGATGCAGAGTGAGATGCGGGATAAAGGTGTAGTTGGTCGCATGAACTTGGAAAAAGGCTTGTAGCCTACCCCAAATGGCAATGTCGATGGCTAACATATATGCGGGCTAGTTTTCGACGTGACAAATGCCATTTTCGTGGTAGTCCGAGGGCACGGTTGGCTGCTTCCGTGCTATAAGGACTTGACGCAGAAATATTGTCCAAAGCCAAGCAAAACCACCAAACATCCCACTAATACATAGATACTATAATAATGTGATTTCGTAGTAGCCAAAATCAGTTGATCAGAACAAAAATAGATACAGAAGCTATAACTGCTCGTTACTAAACTACGCATTGTGCAGCTATCACTTGGAGCTTATAGAAGGCTTATCAGACTTTATCCAGCAAATAGTGAGAATTGGGAATCTCGTAGACACGGGTGCAGCCTCCAATGGCACACCAAGCATTTTGGTAGAGACGTAGCCGCCCACACCATCATTCGGAGCCGTAGCTGAGATCAACAGATTCATTGTGAAAAATGACCGACCGCGAAACCGAGTTCTCAGGCTGATCGGCGAGGAGCGCCACGGCGCCACTTTAAGTTAGAGTGTAGACTTGCATGCGAAGTGATAACACAACAGAGTGAGGTGCGCTGCAATGTCTCTTGTCGCAAGGCTGGAGGAATCTTGCATCGGCGTGTCTCTAATCAATCCTGACAACGAGACATCATTGCGCCTTTGTACAGACTAAGTGAAATCCTTCACCGAAGCATTACGCTGGATCTTTCCTTTCCCATTGGCAGTTGGTACAGGATGATCTCAATTAAAGCGTGGGAGGCGAACTCTCAGATACCGAGTACTAAGTCAGCAATAGCTGCTGATGGTAGTCTACAAATACCGCCGCTCCATTTTCGTCAGATTGGGGCCTACTCCCAATTCATTTAGTCTCTCTTCCCTCAGCGGAAACCAATTTTAATCTTTCATGCCAATAGCAAGCGACAACAAACATAGGAGTTGATGCCATTGGGATTGAGTTCTTTCCCAATGAGGTGGGTTTTCTTGATTTGTCTGCTTTACTCTGCTAATCTCGTGTAGGTTCTCGTTTTGCTCCTAAAAGATCTTCTCCCTCTCACTTCCACTTGCCACCACTTCAAATATACTATTCCCAAATGTTCTAGGGGCACATTAACGAATAGCACACCTAATCTAAACCATTAAGTTGACTGCGGTTTTGGTAGACCCGACAAAACACGAAAGGACATCTGAGGACGCTGTCGAAATAAAACTCATACTTCCGTCCTCTAAAGCCAAAAAAATGATAGCCGTACCCCACGCTCAGATCCCAAGGGCCGATGGCCTCAGGGGTTGGCCAGTTAATATGAATACTTTGTATGCCAAGAGGACCACCTTGAATTCCGCAAACTGCTTGGCCAATTGGCCACAGAGACAAATCTGGTTAAGTTAAAGTTGAAGCTTGCAGTGTTCCAAAGCTCTGTAGCAATTTAAGGACCGTGTGCGCCGAGACAAGTAAGACGGAAACGTGGTTGACCCGACACTTAGAATAAGAGGTTGAGGGTGAATGTTTTGCCGAGGGACGAGCTTGCGCAATTGCTACTTAGTGCAGACAACGATGTGGCTGTTAGTTACATACTACCTAGGTAGGTAGCCAAAGTTATCAGGATTGGGATCCTCACATATGTATAATAACAATAACATAATGGTACCCTCGCTGACCCAGGAATGTCTTGTGGGTATAATCCGAGGGAGATGCTTTTTATTAGGAGCTATAACGCCGTTCTATATACTGTATACCGTATGATTCCTCTGTTGTACAATCCGTTCCTGACTATCATCACGGTCGCTTTCCCAGCGCACCAGGTCCTAAATCCCCGTCGACCTCGGTTGCGCCTTGTGCCTTCAACTTCTCTAGTGTTTGATTCCGTTGGTGTTCCATAACCCTCCGTTTCTTGAAATATGTCACCTGTATGCCGTGAATTAGCCCGAATCAAGCTATTATAAGCAGACCTAGGAAGGACCACTCACCCAGCTTGACGCACAGTTCGTCTCAAACTGCGTGCTCTCTTTCTTACACCCCTTCTCCGCCTTATCCTTCTCCGCTATGCTATCTAGTATCCCGTTCTTGTCTAGACAACTAAAATAAGCATCTCTCGCCTCCCAGCACCTGGCCCGTTGTGTTCGGTCGGGAGCGATAGGCGCGCCGTCGGAAGAGATTTTCGGGGCTGGTAGAGAGCTCGATGAAGTGCTAAAGAGACCCATTTCTAGAATGAGGGCGGGGATAATCTGAGGGACAAGAGTGTTTAATTTCGAGGACGTAGCGCCTATAATCCGGCAGAGGGTCAGCATGCATCACGCAGTTTTCAAGAGACTAGGCAAACGGGCAGACAGTCTACTCACCTCCGAATTTGTTAATTCCTGAATGCAGAAAGTAGAGAATAGAAGGATCGTAATTAATCGTTCGAGGCGCGATAGCAACCTTGGAAATATGCATTGCATACCTGAGGTCGTGAAGGCACGTGACGGCGGAAAAATAATTGCGCGCCCGGATCTACGAAGCAAGGTACCTAGGTACGTACCAGGTACGTATCGGCGGAAATAGTTGGTCGCGTGTCCTGGATCGCAAAACGTCGAGGATATTCCAAGTACCTATTCCAGTATGAGATAATACTATATTTTGTATAGCTTGCTCATGTTAGAGAAGAGTCGCCGGATCAGGCGCTCCATCGGCCAGGCAAAGCCATGGTAACTGACCGTGATCGGCTCCTGAATTAGATGAATTATGATTTTGCTGACATCGAACATCGGACGAGATTTCTTGTCTTCTACGTACAATTCTTGGCGATACTCACGATGGCTTCATGATTTTTCGGGTTAATTCGCCCGTTTACGCCGCTGCCTGCTCGCTATTGCGGTTTAGAGGTGGCTCGACTCGCGAGAGATGCCTCGACGTTTCGTTCCGTCTACTAGGTATCGGGGTGATGTATTACATTTTGCGACAGATGAGCTGGAAGTTGCTTGTCAATCCCAAGAAGTCTGATGAAATATTCGGGTGGTACTTTGTCCTTTGTACTTGTACCGTACCTACCTTAGGTAGTACGTGAGCGACCATGCGCAGACTCTCCGCGAAGCACGAGTATTAATATATTAATATTGTTTATAGGTGCGTAGTAGTCCGTGTTGGACAAAGTTCGTTGCTCACAGAGCTTGGATCCTGGGAGTGCTTCGCGCTGTTGTGGAGAACTTGGGATTTGGAGATTTGGAGATTTAGGCTAGTAATCGATTCCAAAATAGAAACGTTTTCCTCCAAGTACTGTAAGTAGCCAGTACTTCGTAGGTGCTCGTGTAATAATAAGCCCAAAATAACAGCCCGGCACCTCCTATGCCCTATGGGGATTCTGCGCCGTAGGTCGAGCTCTAGATTCTGACCTCTAGGCTCTAGGCTCAGCCTTAGATAAGGCACCTTGGAAGGTAAGGTACAGTAGGTACGGATGCTCGAAATAAAAGCACCTTGTGCTATGTCCTAAGTACCAAGTACTGTAAGAAGTATCCTCTACTTGCATCAGGTCGAAGTACCGAACATACCCTATCTGTACTTCGTTCCTCCTACCGCGAACCCGTCCGAGTGCGAAGTGCTGCAAGTCTGGAACAGTTCGCCGATCAATTCCTCGTAACAATGGTCTCGGTGGTTGTGGATCAAACACTCGGTGCTCAGTGCTCAGCGCAGCGGTCTCAGCCCCCCAACCCGCGCTACTCTGCGGCACCAACGTCGTATTTCTCAACCTCTTCAATTGCTCATCTCCCATATCCATCAGCAATCCTGCTTGTTAGTTTTTCTTGAATCCTTTTCATCCTTCGTGCTTCTTGGCCATAACTCTTCGCAACGCCCGCGGTCATTGGACCATTGAGTCCTTAGCTTAGTCCTTGGTTGCTACGCACCTTTCGCATGCTAAGCTTCGACCGAGCCAATCCGGATAGTAACACCCTAAGCTTCTGTGGCCGCCCTGAGCTTGGAGAGGATCGCCAATTCAAGAAAAGTAATTAAGCTTTTTCCTTCGTCGCTCGTGTGTCGGGGATGCTGCTGTTGGGGTTTCTCCGCACTGCTCGAGTGCTCATACTCACTCTCACTCGCACTCGCACGCTCTCACTCGTGCTCGAGTATCCTGTGATACTAATAGTTGCTGCGCGGGGTCTAGCAGCTGCATTCAGCACTGAATCGAAGCCGATCTGCGTGCAGATGATCATTGTTGTCGATACTCATATGATGGACACTCGTGATGCAGCACTGGATACCGCCGCGACTGCACGCCGATCGTCCGCTGTGCCTTCTTTCATTTGTTTCCAAATTTCAATTCTAATTCCACGTCTCACAGCAGCTGGCTAACCCTTCTGTAGGATCTCATCGCCATGGCCTGGTGCCCAGAGCCCAAGATGCGAAGTGTAAATACAGCTTGCACAGCGTAACCACGCCTCGTCCCAACTATCAGCAGGGGGCCATCGGAGTCGTGCCTAGGCCGAACCCCTGAAGGGGCGCGAGGGAACAGCGCCTCAATCCCCCACCCTAATCCTACCGAGGAGATTCCTGCCATGAAGGAGTATTCACGCTGGAGAAGCCTATTGTGGGTGAAGGGTGAAGTAGTGAGGATCCAGTCACCTGCTGAGCAGGTGTTGCCTCTGCCCGGACATGGATCAGATGATGCCAAATCTGAGCTTGGCCCCTGGTGGGCCAAATCATCATATAAACCGATCCGTTCCTTTCACTTAATTTTTGAAAAGCTTGGTTTCCTCGCCTCTACTAAAACTCGCACTATTTGCCTAGCCGTTGGCATACTGTTAGTTATGTTGTTAACGACTGCACTTACCGCCGTGCTTCTGCTTGGTCAGGCTGGACGATCTCGCGCAGATGTTGATTTGACTGTTGACTTGGGATATTCCAAGTACCGTGGTTTCAATGGCCCGAATGGCGTCAGTCAATGGTTCGGTATCCGATACGCCGCCCCTCCAGTGGGCGATTTAAGATTCAGAGCGCCGCAAGACCCAGCCATCAATACCGCGGTGCAAGAAGCAAACAAGGTACGACCTTTCGAAATTTTGGGAGAGATTAAAAGCTGATGATATCTAGCATGGTCCACTTTGCCATACTTCACCCTCGAATTCGCTCGACACCAGCAAGCAGGAAGACTGTCTCTTCCTCGATGTTTATGCACCGAGCGCCGGCAAAGGAAAGCATCCCGTGCTAGTATTTTTCCAAGGAGGCGGATTCAACGGTCTTGCGAATCCAAACCAGGATGCAACCAGTCTTATTAAGGCTGGTGACCACGATATGGTGGTTGTTACATTCAACTATCGCTGTGGCCCGTATGGGTTCTTGGCCAGCAAAGAGGTGAAGGCAGATGGAGCCCTCAACGCCGGATTGTTGGATCAGAGAAAGGTCCTTCAGTGGGTGCAGAAACACATCCACCTGGTATGTCCGCTATCCGATTTGTCGTCCGTTTGCTCACCTCAAAATAGTTCGGGGGAGATCCCAAGCATGTAACCATTGCAGGCGGTTCAGCAGGCGGAGCATCCGTCAAACTCCATCTGACAGCCTATGGCGGCCGCGACGACAATCTATTCCATGCTGCTGCTGCGGAGAGTCAATCCTTTGGTGTTGAACTGACCGTCGAAGAATCTCAATACCAATACGACGCACTAGTGAAGCGGGTTAAGTGCGACACCGCGGCCAACACCCTTAAGTGTCTCCGAGGTGTCAGCATCAAGACCTTAGCAGAGAACAACCCCAACGTCATCAGCCCCGGTGGAGGAGGCGGGACCCCGCTGTACATGTGGTCAAGTACCATGGACGGGGTCTTTACACCGAATTTCACTTACAATCTTATTTTGCAAGGGAAATTTGTCAAAGTCCCTGTGATCTTCGGGTGTGTATTCCTCGCCCCTTTCCCACTCCCACTCCTCTCCATTACAGCCAACTCCAAATCTACCAAGTAAACATACATTAACATTACTCCATCACAGCGATTGTACAAATGAAGGCACAGTCTTCACCCCGAAATCCATCGCTAACGCCACGCAAATGGGCAACTTCCTCAAAAACAACTTCCCAAAAGTAACCCCCTATCTGGGCGTCATCGAGCTGCTCTACCCCTCCACACCACAAAACCAATTCCCCTCCGCAGCCCCCTACTGGCGACCCGCAGCAGACGCCTACGGTGACATGCGCTACACCTGCCCTGGCATATTTCTCTCGGTCTCGTATCCGAACCACAGCGTAAACGAAAGTTGGAACTATCGATGGGATGTAGTACGCCCTGAGAACGCCAAGAGCGGGCTGGGAGTTACTCATGTCGCGGATCAAGGAGCAATCTGGGGAAATGCCGGACCTGTCGAGGCACCACTTTCGCCGATGATGCAGGCGTATTGGACTAGTTTCATCAGGACAAAAAATCCGAACACTCATAAGCTACCGAATGCACCAGAGTGGGGTGAGTTTCTGCCAAAGGGACAGATCCCGAATAGTCCCATGCGGAGGATTCATTTTGTGAATGATGTCAAGGCTACGGCAATGGAGACGGTGGATGATAACCTGCAACTGAAATGTACTTGGCTTAATGCCATCGGGGGGCGGATTGGACAGTGACGAGTCCTGTTGGGAAAGATATGTACCCGCCTTACCAGGGGATTGATTTCACAAGCACGGCGTTTTAGGTAAAAAGACTTGCGATATTGCATTTTCGAATTTGGGAGTTGGAAATTGGAAATTGAAGTCCAAATTGGGTGTACATCAAGGGAGGGAGAAGCATAGACGGCGTTAAGACATGGATATACCCCACATATCAGTAATTCTTTTTATACCTTGTACTTAGATTCCTAACTAGACTTATGCACATATGTGCTTACTTAAACTGATGGTATTTACGTGACAAGAGTGGCACAAGCAACACTAACAATAACAAATTACCAGCAACAGTAAGGCATTATAGGGCACAAAACTCAAACTGAGGCAAAGGCTTCGGAATGTATAGTGGTGGATGAGTTCCCCGCATCGCTTCCGGCAGCGAGGGTGGTGTAGCCCGGGGCAGTATGTTGACGGCTGCTCTTGTTCCCAATCCGTGACTTGATAGTTGGAGACTTTGGAGTCGCAAGGGGCCTCGAGATGTGTTTCTTGTTGGACAAATTATAGAAATGAAGTCTCACTCCGGTAAAATATTCGAGAAATAATAAGGGAACGATATCAAACTTTTCTCAGCACCTTTTAGAAACGATATGTTAGACTTCACTTAGGGCCATAAGGCTTATCACCATGGAGACAATGACATATCAATTATGGTTAATTCAGCCAAATATGGATATAGAGATGTCCTTCACCACATCTAACCCACCATATCTGGCGACAGAAGTTCAGGAGAGACTTTAGCTCTGGATAATTGGGGTTACCCTAAGATCTCACCATGACTCCAGAGAGAAAACAACTGTGGACTAGTTAGGGGAACCCAGTGGATCCTCGAGATTAAGAGGATTGCCTGCCCTAGGACAACAGAGGAGTACAGTGCGTAATATGGTGCCGAGTATGCTCCTATTAAACAAGAAGCCGCTGATTTGGTATTTATAAAAGATAAAGTTTTATTCCTAGTGTTAGGATGTATAACAAAATAAGTAGCTGCTCTCATCGCGAGGATGTTTCTGTCCACATTGTTGGTGAGGAGTCACTTGTCTAACTACACAAGACAACACGTATCTGACAGAGACCCAGGTAGGCATAGTAAAGCGCCAATAACTTACTATTATTGTAAGGAGAGTGGTGGGGAAGTAAGTCGCAAAGGAACGATGGCCTTGGAATAAGCGCTGAAATCCTCGGGTACACACTCCTAAGATCTTCAACTAAGAGCACTTGCCCCCCTACGTGACAGTAATGTGCCCCAAACTAAGATATGGTTACCCAACACTAGCTATTCGGTCTTAAAGCGAGGTCCGGGTGGCGAAATAGAAGAGATGTAGTTGTAAACTCAGCCTCGACAAATAATGATTTCAATGAAATGCTTCTATCTTGACCATCGACATCGGCGCCATTGGTTCTGCTTTGGAAATCGTAACTGTGGGATATAAAGATACCAAGAGATTTTCAACATAAATGAGCACCTAGAATCAATAACCCAGCTTATAAATATGTGTCTACCCACCTATAACTCCCAAACAGCAGGCCTGGTGATCCCTTGCCATGCCCAATAATCCCAAATTGTATCCCAAAAATCACATCCAGTACCCATCTTTCCAGAGTTCCTTCCTATACCCCTCGGTCAACCTTGTATCCTCTCCAAATTGTTCCTGCCACCCAACAAAGCCCCTCTCCAGCACATAAACCTTTTGCTGCTGGTCAGTCTCCACGGTATTGACACCCCCCCAGTCATCATCATTCTCATCCTTGTCCTTCCTCAGCTCATCCTCTTTATTCTTCTTCAACGTCTCTGCCACTCCACTATCTGGCTCGAGCTTCACCGCCCCTTCTCCAATCAAGCTCTGACGGGCCCGAATATATTTCAAGGCAGCAGAGGGGCCACGCTGCTGCGAGAGCGCGCAATGGAATACGACCGCTTTCTTGTCTTTGAGCTTCTCGACTAGTTCGGGGATCTTGCCCTCAAGAGATTGAGAGGGCGCGTGGATGGAGTGCTTGATATGGCCTCCGATGTGATCTGCAGGGGAGGAGGGGTCTTGTCAGCGCTGTGCTTGCTGATGGTGGAAAAGAGAAGCTCTATTTCTGCCGACGGTAGAGCGCGAATATCGACACATACCGTCATCTCGTACATCGATAATCGCGATATCTAGAGGCGTCGTCAAAGCATCGAGGTTCGAGGTAGAGGTGCTCGCGGCGAGTAGGATAGTGGAGAGGTTCGTGGCGGAGAGCCGTGGCAGCGTTGCTACTGTGTGAGATGCCATCCTGCGCATATGTATACGGCTACCTAGTACTCGATTTAATTAAACGATACAGCTAGTGGAATTCAAAATTGGAAGCTTCGAGGAGAGATGGTGGTGAATGATAATTGTCGTTGTAAATAACGCCCCCCACTAACAGTGTATGCGGCTGTGGTTGCAGGCCTCTTGGTGGGGTCCGCCCGGCCCATCTTCCTTCAACCATATCAGCCCCATGGTCTTTCACTACAGCACAGGAATCATTGATATTACATGCTATCACGCTTAGAGTTACGCACGATACTCAAACGACATGTGTGATACTGACTTGATTTCTTTTATTTTATTACAGTACAGAGTATAAGGAGGTACTACGTAGGATAACGTGGGCACCTATCTTCCTAATAACTTTGGTTCCCGCCTAGGCCCCCCAAAGCCGCAACTAAATATCTACAATTTATCAACCAACGGTTTTTCGAACATAACATATACTACCCATGGTTGGTTTATCAATTTTTGTGAATACCTGGAACAGTCATCCCCGGGAACCCGAATTTCCTCATGGCCCTGCTTTGTTCTCTTTCCACGAATACAGTATCGGGCATCACGGTCTTGTAGAACTCGGCCGTTTTGGCCAATTCCGCTTTTGTGAAGGTCTCGGCGTAGTTAGTTGGTCCCACAGGGCCAGATCGTATGACGGCGATATCTCCATGGATGGTCCGTCCTATGCACCGGCTTGCAACCTCATTCTCCGGCATTGCCGTGCTTTCTGTTGCCGAGAGTTCAGGCCCATACGCGAAATAATACCAAGTATCTGAGCCTATATGATCGTATAATTTCCCCTCCAAAGCCGCCCTTTTCCAGCCCAGTCTTTGCTTTAACTCTGCTATCTCGTCAACTTCGGACCCGAATGATTGTAGATTGAACGGTTGTATGTAGTCCGCGGATGTCGAGGCGTCTGTTCCTGTAGCGGTGGCCCGGATAAGGTAGCAGTTATTCTTTTGGAAACCGGGACAACTGCGTTTGTGAGATTTCAGTCACTTTTCTGGCATTCTTTACTGCAGTATCGGGCTTGTGACTGTGGTTGCGGTTGTGACGACGTACATCCAGTGCAGAGAGGAGAGTTCCTGGTTTGATGCAGGCGGGAACCGAACAGGCCGTTGCCATATTGGTAGGAATGGGAGGTACGTTTAGGGTTGACGATCGCAGACGAGGTGACTTTCTTTATTTTAGGGAGATTGGGAATTGTTGCAGAGGCTAATGGCAAAATACGCCAGTAGTTGTTTGGTGCAGTTTTCCGGATTCACAGAGACGTAACTCGTGATCAGAGAGCAATTATTGTGGGTGACGAGCGAAGTTGAGGTGAATGAGAATTGAAGTTGCAGCTTTTGATAGGGGGAGACGCGACACGGTCGAAGTTGAGTCGCGCGTGCACGTGAGGTCGAACAGGGTTTATACATCTCCTGCCAGCACCAAGTGAGAGTAGCTGCTTGTATATAATGTAATTATATCAAAAGCAAGGGGTCTGCATTTCTGAAACCTTTTCAAAGAACAGGATTCAATCTGGAAATTACGGTTCACAGTGCATTCACCTAGAAGTGATGGGAATGTCATAAAATGGTAGAAATGAGAGATTGATTTGGTTCTATTCAATCTGTGGACACATCACCATAGTCCAGTTAGATGATGATGAGAACAAGGGAAAACCTTGACCACGTCCCTCAGTTTTCCTCATTCAACATCCAACATCCAACCAATTCCACTGCAATGCCATCATCGGGGTATAAATTCTTTTGCCGTTGTTTCGGTTACGTCGGATGTGTGAAGTGATTCGTATAAATTCGTCAAATTCGTGTCCATTTCCTTCACATTTCGACCTCGTCGCCTCTTTAGTGGTGGAAACAACCGACATGCCTCTTAACCCACTGGACCTCCTCATAATCCTCCCAATACTCAGCTTCACACACGCTCTCGTACGACTCTGCCATGCGGAGAGGGCAGTTGGTAAATTCGGCCCTCCCCGATGCCCCCAGGCCCCAAATTGTGATGCCACATCCCCAGAGCCAAGAATAATCCTGCTCATATGCCTTTCCAGCATATCCTCTCCTTCGGTTTCATACTCACTCTGAAGCTGTTTATAGGCCAAAACATCATCCTCATGGGAGCCCTTAAAAGTCCGCTTCAGATGCTCATCTATAATCGCCTCATCCACGAGCCCATAACCACACTCGAATTTATAGTAGAAGAGTATGCTAGCCTGGTCCAAATAATCGAATGTTGCTCTCTGGGCCTGTCTTCGAAGGCGGCTTTTGCGACATATTCTCCCACCGTTGCTATGATTTCTTGTTTTGGTTGACAAGGGCCTTCTGCGGATGGGACGCCGACAAGGTGTTTGTTATATTGTAGGATGCTTTTGACACATTCAAGATATCGTGTTTCTTTTGTTGGGGCGTTTTGCACAGTTTTGGTGGTAACCGCCAGTGGATGTTTTGTCCTTGGTAGTAACCGTTAGGTTGCCTACTTCCCATTGCGACATTGAGACAGGAGTGGGTTTTTGTTTGGGCTGACCCGATCGTGGCTCAGTGATTCGTTTGTTTTGAGACATTTGTGGGCAGGGCGTTGCCTTTTTTGATCTCAATGCCGCTATCATTGCTGGCAGTGAAGTGATTATTAGCTATATATTGGGCTGTAGAAGGTCGGTGAATGTCCCATGATTGCTTGACAGTGGAATAGATCTAACGAATACATTTTATTTTCTTGGATGTCTAAGTTCGTGACCAGTTGTTAGCAACTTGGCTGATGCTCAAAGAATATAGCTGCTTGGTATTCGGAGCCATCTGTTGATAATTGTGAGACAGTGATGTCGAATTGAATTTGGAGAGTAGATGATGTTGTCTGTAACTTCCGGGGACGTTTACGCTGGGAGAGTCTGGGAAGTAATTAGACTTTGCTTGAGATTGAGAGGATGTCGGTATTGATAATGATTCAAAGTATTCGAATTAAACATTGTTCCAAATTGCCAGATGAATGGGATGTAGAATATGTCTAACTCACAGCGAGTATAGTTTAAGCGCCAAGTTTTTAAAGCGACAGGTTTTGAGAAGTTGCTGTATATCTCTAGATTGAAAAGAGGTTTGAATTCAATAGATTTCCGAACGATATGACGTTGAAATTGAAGATTCTACTAAATCCAAAGGCTCCTGAAAGGGAGATACAAGATAAATAGAGAAACAAAACCTAGAGCGGTGCAGGTCGTATATTTATTAGACATGGGGATTGGAAGTGAGCTAAGCCGAAGAAATAAGCCATGCCAGACTATGTTCCAAATGAGAAGAAAGGGGCATCATAATGGTGAGGATACACCCTTCGGGCTATAGGACTCAGTTAGTGTAGATGGTCCCTTCATATCCAGAGGGTACGGGCCTTGTCTGTCTGATACCGAGTGAATTCCATGAAGCCAATCAATATTAAAAGGATATAAAAACCTTCTAGAATGCTGGAAATATATTACGTTATTACGGGCTCCCAATATGTCAAGTTAAATCGGCCGAGACAATTTAGATTGTGGGAACCCCACAGAAATTGCCCCTTAAATCACGAGAAGTTGACTTGGAAGCAGCGCTAAGCGGTATAGAGATTCTAATTTAGTCTGTAACCCTCAAGCTCAACCCGATATAACAGCGCTAGCTATTCGGGGATAGGCCTTGGCAGATACCAGGAGAGATATTACACAGACGGAGCAGCTCATGCTTATGACCGTATAAATAAAAGTCCGCGGAAGACGCAGCTAAGGCAAAACTTCGAATGACATAGGAGCCCGGGTGAGATGATCCTCAAGGTCCTCCCTCACATACCGCTCACTCGGGGCAGGAAAAACAAAAGAGCAGGTGTCAACATTTAAGTGAAATAAAAACTCAGGAAATTGAGGATATGCTATTGCACTATCCGGATTCAAGGTAGCGCCGCTACCTTGTGGTCCCTGAGCGCCGAGCCCAAAAAGGGGAGCCTGGTCACCGGACCCGATCACTTGAACTGCCTCTCTCCAAGTACCTATCCTCAATGCTCAAGGAGAGAGTTGCTGTCAGTTAGCTCAGGGTCTAATATATAATTTCAGAGATATAGAAGTGGGTATAGATATTGAAGCAGTAGGTTGGGAGGGGAAGAGGGCCGATCTGCCCAGGCCTTCTCAACCAAATTCGAGATTACCAATGCCAATGGTCGTTGCGAACTCGGGAATGAAATCAATATTGTCGGGTCATATCGGGGGAGCCGGTGCTCCGTATTTCACCATCGATGAGGACATGATTTTGCCATAAAGTAGATTCGGACCGCTCTGGCAGGGTCTATCGGATGTCGAAGCCGCCAGTGTGAACTGAAATTCTGATAGCTAGGTATCGCTAACTCCTATTCGGCAGCGGACGGTTTGGTTGGGCACCAATGGGCATGATGGATGAGCGATAAATAACGTTGAAATTGCCTGCGGCCTTTTGGGCCGGTTATATATTATTTAGCATGTGAATTGAGGTCATTGATGGCGATGCAGGGACCAATGTGGAGGTGGCTGCAGGGAGATTTAGAGGTTGGGAGTAAAGGGATGAAAGTCGGAAGATAATAGTGAGTGGATTCTTGGGTCATGCACGGTACGGCCATGGAAGCTAGTAACCAGACGGACAGAGAAGGTGATCAACCTTTGCAATAATGAATGAATACCTGAGGTAGTCGAAGCTCTCTCAATCTGGGGCTATGAAGTAGTTCGTAGAATGAATGGCGGGCCCCAGGGCGTTGCGGCGGTGTTGCAGGATTCGCGGGTGCCTTACGTCGTACTTACTTAGGGCTCAAGTACAAAACTTCATATAATAAATAATAGGATCTCGGAGTGAAGTTTGCGGCGGCTTCACGGCGGGCATTTGCGTTGCATTGCCCAGTAAGATTCAATGGGCCGCATGCCCCGTCCCGTATTGGTTGCTGGTTGCTGCTGGAGACATAGTATGTAGGTACGAAGGTACCTTTGCTAGGTACCTGTGTACCTCTAGGTAGATGGCGGGGGTGGCACTACTGCCACTCCGTACGCAGTAATATGCACTGCACCTCGTACTGCTCTGGGCTTGGACGACCACAATCAGCGGGGTGGCTAGGGCAGGAAAAAGGAAAAAGGGAAAAAGGGAAATGTACAAGGACGAAGTACGAGTACATGTATGAGGAGGAAAGAGAAGCGCCGTAAAGCGGTGCAAGCGCACCAGGCGGTTTGGCACAGTGCGCCTCGCACCTTGCATCCTCCGCATTGCAGGTTGCAGGTTGCATGTTTTTGTGTGTTGTCACAACGTAACTGGCAGCTGGCAACGTGGGAGGTCGTTGCACGATGAGGAGGAGGAGGAGGAGGAGGAGGAGGAGGAGGGGGAGGCCCGAGAGGACAGGACACCGCAAGTGAAAGCATGAGAAGGAATAATTGAGACGTTGGAGGAGGGAGAGGGAGGGCGACGGGAGGAGTGAGTTCAGTTCCTACGAGATACATACTCGAACCGTCAAGCTTGTTCCTGCGGAGTAAGTACCTGTACCTACCATGAAGGTACCTTGCTACATAATAATGGACTACCGCCTCCCCACAACTCACCGGTGCATTTAATGTTCGTATTGTATTGTATTGTATTGTATTGTACTTCGTGTCCCAGACTAGTACACCAGAACAATACCACGCAGAGGCTGGGTGGCTCTCCCTCTCTGGTAGCCCCCCTCGATCCTTGATGCCCTCTTCGGCGCAGTCGCACGTTAACTACAATGCCCCCTCTCAGCTCGGCTTCGTACTTCCGCGCCCCGCCCAGGCTGCCCTGGTTTGCCCTCCGCTTGGCACGAACCCTAGCACCCCGTTTCCCCCCGGCCCCTCCGCTCCGCGCCGACCAACAAGTACGAGTACGGAGGGCTGGCGGGGAGATTCGGGGCGCATTGCGTCATAGTTCCATGGCGATGATGGCGATGATAGTAGGAGTGGGTTAGCTTCAACTGCCTACTGTAGTTTGCAATGCAATTGCAATAATTGGAAGTGATTGAGCCACCACTAGCACCGCAGCCGCCGGAAAAATTCCACTATATCCACTCATAATAATTGGCTGTGGTACCAAGAAAGCCATGTGGGCATCTGAAGTATAACCTAGGATTTCGATTCTAGCTCGAATTATCTCATCGGCAATCTACGATTGGGCCAATAAACGTAATTGCGATAGGATTGCGGTATACCAAGGTACCTAGGTACTTTATAGTGAGTACAATTTTGTGCTTAAGCTTAAGTACCCCTATATATTCTCCTTATAACGCGTTGTTTATTTACCTACCTTACCTACCTTACCTACCGGTACGGACCGTTCCTTTAGTGATTTTTCTATATTCCATCTAGGCCTGTAAATACTTCGTATCACTACTCTCAACACCAATCCGCTCGGAATGGAGCCAATTAAACAGCAGTGGAACCTGCCTATTGCTAAGAATATACAATATACACTCCAATTCCCTGATTAATAACGCTAACGCAAAGAAAGCATTAGGACCCAGATACTCGGCCGTTCCGAAAGTCCGAATCGCGGGCGCTTTTAAAGAAAGACAATATCACGGACTCTCAAGAGGATTAGGAGGTTTGGGAGCAGGAAGTTTAAGAAGGTCGGTATCCATCACGAAAATGAAAACTTACCACTAAGGATCAAGCTATTTTATTGTATAATAGGGAGTAGGTATCATAACGGATTGTTACGTAGGTACTTACGTAGCCTACGCTCTGCATTTGATTCTATACCATGTCCCTCCTTACTCTCGATATGAATGCTTACTGAAGTTCAGGCACAACATTGTACTGACTACGGGATACCTTGGCATTACTTAATTGATCTCACTGCATCTAGAGTAATCAATTGATTGAGTTAAGCAGCATTAGTAAATTGCCGTTATCTAATGCCACTGCCTATTACTAACGGCTAAGAAGAGCTATGAGGTTATATCATATATGGGTGCTCAACTTGTAGAACCCTCCTCGTATCCCTCGGCCCACAAGCGAACTAGTTTCAAACGAAGGATGGAGTAGAATATCCTAGTGGAAACATTTTAAAACTTGAAGGTTGCTAGTGAGCGTTGACAATCTTGTGGCTAATATCCTGCATAGCAGCAGAGGACGCCTGATCTGCGAAATACCGTATAACGCGACAGGAAACATTGGTTTCCCCGCTAGCATCCGGCTGATGGCTAATACTTGACTTACCCGCCTGTACTTGGAATTTTTTGTTGGTTTGATGATTCTTGATAAACACAATAATATATAATACTGCATTTTACGTAGAAAGTTAATATCTAAATTTCCACCTTTCAAAGGGAGTCAATTATATGCCGGAGGACGGGATATTCCCCTTTAGTACTTTTACGTTAAGCTGCATAAAACTCAGGTAGATTATAACTTATAAGACATTATTCTAACCCTCAAAAGGTAGTTCGTACTAACCATAGAATATCTCCTTAACTCTGCTAGTAAATTACTAGCAATGAAGCCTCAAATCATAACTGGTCTTGCCTCCCTGGCTGCGGTAGTAGTAGCTCGAGGGGGTGTATTCTCTTATAGAATTGATGATGTCGAATACGTTGGGTAAGGTTCACTTTCTATCATATGCAGTCTAAAGACGGCGGCTAATACAAATAGAAACACATCGATTTAAGTGGGACTGGGTCCTATGCTCCTACTCCCGATACACCTACTCCAAGCATGCAAAGACGCTAGTACGTCGAGCCAATTTACGACCCAAACAGCAAAAACATGACCTGTAACTTTGACGGAACCGCCACACCATCTTCTCTCCATGCCCCTATTGAAGCAGGTGGCCAAACCCATACCAATTATACTAATCCATCATACTACTCCTTGCCCGATGACTGGCAATACACTGGACCAATGTTTGCCTATATGGCTGCATGCCCGGGCGACTCCTGCGAAGGCTTTGATGGCAGTGGTGCTGTCTGGTTCAAAATCGACTAGGTTGGGTTGATGCGTGACGCACTAGGTCTTCGAGGCCCTTGGGCGCAGAGGTATACCATTCATGTGAATTCCGACAGGCCGGGCTATACCGTGACCATCCCCAAAAATCTCAAGCCTGGTAATTATTTGATCAGACATGAGGCCATTCAGATGCGGAGCAGGACACCGATGTTTTCCCCAGACTGTGCACAGTTGGCTGTGTCTGGGGAAGGGACTGCGCTTCGGGGAGAGGAATACCTAGTCAGCTTTCCAGGGGCCTATTCACTTGAAGGTATTATGAATTTGCTCAGAAGGGGCTTGTTGATTTTGAAGAAAGTAGCTGACGGAAAATATCATAACAGATCCAGGACTTACTATCGCAGATTCGGGGGTATGTATTAGAACCTTGCACCCCCACTTGACATAGGCACCTCACGCTTTCGAGCGTATTTTAGCGGCATAGACTAACTTTATAATGCTATAGATCTCAGTTGATGCTCCTTTGCAACCTAAGTGGAATACTACAGTGAGTCAGACAGTTCTCTATGAATTTGCATCGATCGTACTAACACGAGTAGGTTTATGCATTCCCGGGACCCGCTGTCTGGCACGGAGAATAGTCGGGCCTCTTATTATATTATGGATTTGGATCCGGGGTTGCTGCATCGCCATGTCAATATATACATACCTATGCTAGCTAGACAAACCGAGTTGCATCGGGAACATTCGTTACGCGGAAAATGTTTTGAAACTTTTTGAATGAGTGATTAATATATGTCCTTCCTCACTCACCAAAGGCGGAGGAGCTCAATGTTATGTGATTTGATCGCTAGGGTTTCAGATCGAGGGGTCCGGCTTTGATAGATTCACACTAGCCGGCATTATCAACGCATTCTCTCCGTCGATGTCGATGTCAATTCTGATGATAAGGTTGTTGTTATTCTAGTTCCGGTCAGTTACGGCCTCCTCAATCATTTCAGGGTCCCAACTTCCAGGGCTCGAGAGTCTTGTCTGCGTCGCCGGTAGACTTTACTCCGTCGAGCGTCTCCTTGATAGCATACTGGATCCTGTAATGCTGTGATATTGCATGCCCGGTCCTCGAGTCTGCCCAAACGGTTGTTATTATTAGCGTCCCTACTAGCTAGGCTCCCTTGCCACGGACGAGTCTGTCTAGTCGGACCTACGTGGTACATGATGTACTATGTGGTCGGCAGCACATTATCCTGTAGGTTAACAGTAGGTAGCGTATCACTCGTCGGCGGCCAACGGTGAACGGACGCCATTCGAAGTGCGAGCGTTCCAAGGTTGCAACGTCCAAGGTTGTGTTTGGTTTTTGGCGCAACTTTCCGCCGCCCCGCCCTTATCCTCGTCCTCGCCCACGGCCACGGCCACTCGCTTCCCACGACCCCTCCGAGCTGGACTGCAACCCGCATCCCGCAATCCTGTCTCGCAGACTCTCCAGACCCAAGTATAAAGCAACGCAACTCCCTCCCTCCCCTTCCCCCTCCGCCCCCTCCAAGCCATCCTCCACCGCTTTATTGCATTCCCTCCTCTCACCATCTGCCACTCAATACTCATATCTATATCTATTTCCTCACTCTCCCTCACCCACATCCATATCGATAACTCAGAACACCCTCTTGTCTCCAAGAGCACCGCCCCCCCCCCCCCCCCCTAGTTTCTAGACCCCGCCATTCCCTAGCATTGCATGCTCCGACGCCTTTTCAACCCAACACAACACAAATAATACACACTATCAACTATCAACTGTCATCATGGGAAAGAAAGCGGTCCATTTCGGTGCTGGCAACATCGGCCGAGGCTTCGTCGCTGAATTGTACGCTTTATTCTCATCCCTCCAACCCCCCGCTGCGTCTCGCTAACAACCATCTCCAGCCTACACAAATCAGGCTACGAGGTCGTTTTCTGCGATGTCATGGACAGTGTGATCGATCTGCTGCAGAAGAACATCTCCTACAAGGTCATCCAAGTCGGAGCCGAAGGCAATTCCGAATCCACCATCACCAACTACCGCGCCATCAACTCCAAGACCAGCGAGGCCGATGTCATCAAGGAGATCGTCGACGCAGACGTGGTCACCTGCTCCGTGGGCCCCAACATTCTCAAGTTTATCGCTCCGGTGATCGCAAAGGGCATCGATGGGAGACCAAATGAGGCCACGCCCATAGCCGTCATTGCGTGCGAGAATGCCATTGGCGCCACTGACTCGCTCGCGAACTACATCAAGAACGACCACACCCCCGACCACCGTCTGGAGGATCACCACGAGCGAGCTCGGTACGCAAACTCGGCGATTGACCGCATCGTGCCCGCCCAAGCCCCGAATGCTGGCCTGGACGTTACGCTGGAGAAGTTCTACGAGTGGGTCGTCGACGCAACCCCGTTCAAGGATCATCAGGTGCCTTCCATCGAGGGCATCAAGTGGGTTGACGATCTCGAGCCATACATCGAGCGGAAGCTCTTCACCGTCAATACCGGCCATGCCGCAGCCGCGTACCATGGCTATTACCACAAGAAGGCGACGGTGTATGACGCGCTGCAAGACCCCAACATTCTGAACGAGGTACGGAGGGCTTTGGCCGAAACGAGTATCTTGATCGTTGGCAAGCACGGGATTCACGAACAAGAACAAAAGGACTACGTCGAGAAGATCATCACTCGAATCGGCAACCCTCATCTCGAAGATGCCGTCGAACGTGTTGGCCGTGCCCCGCTCCGGAAGCTCAGCCGCAAGGAGCGCTTCATCGGCCCCGCTGCTGAGCTCGCGGAAGATGGGAACGAGTTCTGGGCTCTTCTCGATGCTGCAGAGATGGCATTCCGTTTCCAGAACGTGGAGGGCGACGAGGAAAGTGTAGAATTGGCCAAGATCATGAAGGAGAACTCACCAGAGCAGGTTGTTGAGAAGGTCTGCGGATTGACGTCGAAGGATAAGCTGTTCCCACATGTGGTGGAGAAGGTTAAAAAGGTACAAGCCGCGGCATAGAGAGGAGTTGGTTTCTTGCATATCGTATTTTTCAGGGCGAAATTGGGCGGGAGAGTTCGGTGTTTCTTGGCTACGCGGTCGGCACTATCGTTGGTAAACGAAGCGTGATGTGCGTTTGTGACATACTTTAGTCTATTAGGACCATTCAAAAATAGATCTCTTGATATACCATATTCTTCTTTTTGGCGGGGCCTCGAGGGGCTTCAACACATGATCGTCCTATGATAGGTATGATGTGATTATTTTGGGGAAATATAATATCTGGCTGGATTTCTGCTACTAGATGTGCTGTTTGTACCGTGCTCGTTTCTCCAAGTTCCTGGCGGTGTGTACTCTGTTGCCCGACCCGACTAGGCCCGATTTGGGATTAGCGAACCTCCACTGCTGGAAGCTGCCAAAGACCACGATATCAATATCAAATATATTGTGCTCCCTGCCACAATTGAACTCCCCACGTATTCCAACCACATCTGCGCACTCACGGGGACCTCTTTGCCAGTTCATTATCCGTCCTTCCTGACGACGTCGCCAGCTGATTGCGACCCTCATTTTCCGCGCCGAAAAGAGGCCTGTGTCCCCTCCTTGGTGACACGGAAGGCCGCATTCGCTCCATCCCCTCATTTGCTTCTGATATAGTGGTATTGGTTGGCCAGCATGCGGTTAGACGTGAAGGTGAGTTGGCTGCCAGTTTCTTCTGTCATTTGGCAAATGCGCCCAGAATGTTGGGCTTGCTGGACCATCTGGCGATGGCCTCAGCACTGTCTGGGCACCACCTGGAATACACCCCAGCGGTCGGCCCCCATATAGGGATAGACACCACCGTGGTATCCAAGATGGCTATGAATGTTGCTAACACAGTTTCCAAAATGCAGAGACAGTTGTTTGCGAGGAGTGAGAGAGTTAAGGGGATCGATTTCCACCCTGTGGAGCCCTGGATTTTGACTACGTTGTATAGCGGTATGTTAGATTGGAATGCACTGCGCAAGGAATTCGAGGACGCTGCTGAAACTCCTTTTTTCCAGGTCATGTCTACATATGGTCATACGAGACACAGGTACGTTGCACTTCTTCGCGACTATAAGCTACACCTGCCAACTAACCTCTCCCAGGCCATCGTCAAGACCTTCGAGTTAACAGATGTACCTGTCCGAGCGGGGCGCTTCATTGCGCGCAAGAATTGGATTGTTTGCGGCTCGGACGACTTCCAACTACGGGTCTACAACTACAACACGTCAGAGAAGATCACATCATTCGAAGCCCATCCGGACTATATCCGTGCAATCGTCGTGCACCCTACGCAGCCCTTCGTTCTTACCGCATCCGATGACATGACAATAAAGCTTTGGGATTGGGACAAGGGATGGAAGTGTGTGCAGGTTTTCGAAGGGCATAGCCATTATGTGATGGGTCTCGCGATTAACCCCAAGGACACCAACACTTTTGCTTCAGCATGTTTGGACCGAACCGTAAAAATTTGGAGCTTGGGCTCGTCAACAGCAAACTTTACCCTCGAAGCCCACGAAACAAAAGGCGTCAACCATGTTGACTACTACCCACAATCTGATAAACCATATCTCCTCACCACTTCAGATGACAGGACGGTCAAGATTTGGGATTATACTACGAAATCTTTGATTGCAACTCTAGAAGGACATACCAGCAATGTATCATTTGCCTGCTACCACCCTGAGCTACCAGTCATTATCTCTGGCTCCGAGGACGGAACGGTCAAGATATGGCACGCAAATACATACAGACTAGAACAATCACTGAATTACGGGTTAGAGAGAGCGTGGTGCGTCAGTTACCAAAAAGGCAAGCAGGGCGTTGCCGTCGGTTTTGATGAGGGTGCGGTGGTTGTGAAAATGGGCCGGGAGGAGCCAGCAGTGTCCATGGATGGTTCCGGGAAATTGATATGGGCTAGACACAGCGAGGTTGTCTCCTCGATAATCAAGGGTGCAGGTAAGAGAGCTCTATATTTTGGCCGCAAAATTCCCCCACTCACTGCCACCTCTAACAACCCTTAGATGCATCTCTGAAGGATGCCGAACCTATCACTCTCCCCACAAAAGATCTTGGCACATGCGAAGTATATCCCCAGACCCTTCTTCACTCGCCCAATGGCCGATTTGTCTCGGTTTGCGGAGATGGGGAATACATCATTTACACGGCACTTGCGTGGAGAAATAAAGCATTTGGTACGGCGCTGGATTTTGCCTGGGGCTCAAAAGATAATAGCAACGACTACGCCATTAGAGAATCATCAACTAGCGTCAAAATCTTCAAGAACTTCATTGAGAAATCCGGGGGCCTTGATGTTGGTTTCCAAGCCGAGGGATTGACTGGGGGCGTTTTGCTTGGCGTTAAGGGGCAAGGTGGAATTGGGTTTTATGACTGGCAAACTGGCGGCTTAGTTCGGAGGATTGAAGTCGATCCCAAGGAGGTTCGTTCGTATCACATAATTGTTACACCTTTGCTAATCTCTGCAGGTTTACTGGTCTGAAAATGGCGAACTTGTCTCAATTGCTTGCGAGGATACCTTCTATGTCCTTCGATTTTCGCGGGAAAACTATCATGCTGCTGTCCAGGCTGGGGAGGTAGACGACGATGGTGTCGAGGCTGCTTTCGAGGTCGTGACGGATATCAATGAGAGGTAGGCGGTATCCCATGATTATATTTTATCAATACTAACATCTTCAGCGTCCGAACTGGAGAATGGGTGGGTGATTGCTTCATCTACACAAACAGCACGAATCGCCTAAACTACCTGGTTGGAGACCAGACATACACCATCTCCCACTTCGATCAACCTATGTACCTTCTTGGCTATATCCAACGCGACTCTCGGATCTACCTTGCCGACAAGGATGTCAACGTAACCTCCTTTGCCCTCTCCCTTTCCGTTGTCGAATATCAAACTCTGGTTCTTCGAGATGACATGGAATCGGCAGCTGAACTTCTCTCCTCCATCCCACAAGACCAGTTCAATAAAATTGCCCGCTTCCTCGAAGGCCAAGGCCACAAAGAACTCGCACTCGAGGTTGCCACCGACCCAGAACACAAATTTGATCTATCGCTAGCTCTCGGCCAATTGCCAATCGCATTGGAACTCGCAAAGCAGGCTGACGTGGAGCATAAATGGAAGACGGTCGGCGACGCGGCACTTGCAGGATGGGACGTCGCTCTAGCTGCAGAATGCTTTAAGAACGCAAAAGACCTCGGTTCATTACTCCTCCTTCATTCTTCGACAGGCGATCGGGAAGGGCTGCATGCACTAAGCCTGCAGGCACAAGAAGCTGGTGCGCATAACGTTGCATTCACGTGTCTATGGCAACTCGGCGATGTAGAGGGTTGTATTGACCTTCTCACCAAGACTGGAAGAAGCGCTGAAGCCGTCCTCTTTTCCCAGACGTATAAGCCAAGTCTTGCGCCAAAGACTGTGGGTTTGTGGAAACAAAGTCTCGAAAAGGAGAAGAAGGGAAGGGTGGCCAAGACAGTCGGTGTCCCCGGTGAAGATGAAGAACTGTTCCCGGAGTGGGAGGAGTATTTGAGGTTGGAGAGCGAGGGAGGTAGTAAGCTGATTGATATTGATGCCAATGGTGCGGATGAGGATGCGGAAGCGGAAGCGGAAGCGGAGTCACCTGATTCTGACGATGCGGAGGAAGAATCGTGATCATTTAGGCTTTTAGACTCATGGAGACATATCGGGAAATGGTCGGATCGGAAAATTAAATGCTGTAGTTATATCATTACAGCCCATTGATGCCTAACTTGACTCCATTTGGTTCTAATGTTCTGTGAATTTATAACCATTAGAATACGAATCTAGAAACCTGCCATCCCTCACTTAAGTAATTTTCTAAATACCTCAAAGCGTACTAGGATCTGCACAAGGGGGCCTATCCAACGGCATATCTGCGGGCGCCCATGAAGAGAGCGTTATGAAAATATTGATTATCCTCTGGCATCCTGCGTAGCCTAGCGAGCCTATTTTGTTTGGTTTTTCTACAAGAGTCACGGATTTTAACATCTACCTTTCATCAAGAGTAGTATATGATAGGGGCTAGGTTTAGTACCAAGGGTTTAATACATCCCGTACGCTGATACATTCAGCAAAAGATATGATCCCTACGAGTATTCTACCAGGGCACTATGCTCAAACCTGGAAAGCGGGAAATCTATATTCGATTATTGCTGCTGGCCCCCATCTTGTGATCATAGATACGTTTCATTTCCTAAAATATCCTAACGAATTTCGAGTTACAAAAGGGCCTATTTCCCAATCCAGTATTTATCCATGCAAGGCGTTCCCTATTTCATAATTCCAAAGAAAACATGTATAACAAGTGAGAACTCAAGTACTCCTATTATAACTCCTAAAACTAAAGGATCAAGATGCAAGGACGCACTGATCCAGGGGATCCCCGAAAACATGTTCAATATAAACATGTCTTTAGAAACAGAACGGTACCTGCCACTCTTTAACAGTATAGAAAATCCTCAAGGGAAGCTAGCAGGTCGGAAGAACTTCCGGGTGATCATATTCAAGAGTGGCAGGTATTCAACCGCAGCCTGGGAAAATATTAAAACCTAAACAAACTGGTTCAGGAGTAGGCGAGGTTGAAGGCTTAGCGGGGGGAGCCGGAGGTGCAGGAGGATCAGGAGGAGTAGGAGGAGCAGGTGTAGGTGAAGGAGGATCAGGTGTAGGCGAAGGAGGAGCAGGTGTAGGTGAAGGAGGAATATCTGGAGGTAGAGCAGACGTAGGAGGAGATGCAGACGTCGGTGGTGGAGATGGCGGGTCTGGGTCGTGGCTACATTTGATTAGTCCGTTGCACCGAGGGTCGGGTCCCCCTGGAGAGGTTGGACTTGGTGATGGAATGGGAAAAGATGTCGATGAAGAGTCTGGGTATGCAGACGCTAGGGAGTGCAGGCATGAATTAACTTTAGAAAAATCGGGGTCAAGGAGACATTCACGAAGGCTATCCGAAGTTTTCCATGGAGGTAATGAAGTTGTCGCGGTGGCTATTGTGGTTATGGAGATGCTGGATGAGGAGCTGGAGGCAGTCGAGGAGGTGGCCCAGGAGGTGGTCCAGGAGCTCGAGGAGGTGGCTGAGGACCTTGAGGACAGGCTACAAACCGACTTGAAGCTGTTAGTTTTCCCCAATTCTAGCATATCTTGATATTTTTCACTTACCGCCGACGAGTCCCGCCGGTTGAGAATTGGCTCGAACCCAAATTCGTCAAGATTGAGAAGAGAATCTTCACCCTGCTGCCGCTTGACGACCGAAGTCCCAGGGACAACATCACACGTATTGTATTCCGCGCCGTTATATCCTACATTGACACCGCCGGGTATGCGAGGATAGCTTAAGGCCACAAGGTAATCCTTGACTGCTTTCGATACTTTCCCTTTGGTGTGCAAATTCGGCGCATCAAGATAGGGGGGCTGATGTTCCTTCTGAGGCGTCCACGGAAGCTCTTGCTGAGATAGAGACATGAAGTATGCCGCAAGTCCCGCAATTTGGGGGGCAGCAAACGAGGTACCCTTATTGCGTTGAAACCCTTGGTCTCCCAGGGCTGCGCATTGTATGTCATCACCTTGGGCCCATATTGAGATAGATCCGCCCAGACCGGCATCTCTGGTTGTCTGATGCCATTGCTGGCCATTAATATCTGAGGCACCGACAGTGATTAGAGCATTTGCGGTTGTCCCAAGGCACGCAGGAATGTCCTGTGATAGGTCATAGTCGTCTGAATTCCCCTCATTACCGGCTGCCACAACAGTCACAATGTCATTCTCCCAGCACTCTTCCAGTAGTATTCGCATGTGGTCCTTCCGCTCGGCCCAGTCGCCACTAGGATAACCATAAACTCCGTTGTGGCGTCCAAACCCTTGTACTATGGTTAGCGTTTTCTCCCCATCAAGAAGACCAAAATAAAATACTATTAGCAAAGAATCCAGTAAACAACTAGGCAAAGCCTATGGGAAGGAAGAATATGCCCCGATCAGTGATTACTAGGTCTTAGAATGTTGAGGATTGTGGAAAAAGTAATACCCTGTCAGGAGATTCAAGCAGGAAATACAAATAGAGACTCACCTATGGAGTAATTTATAACAGCCCAACCTGCTTGCCGATTAGCAGATACACAACTGAATGAGAAGGCAGTATAATACCAGGTGGTGGCGGGGGTCCGTTCAATCCATTATTCGTAGCAACTACCTCGTTTATAACATATCTCCAAGATTTCTGAACGGCCTCTTCTGTAATTTGATACTTCGTGTTCCTATGCCTGACTGGAACTAGGCGGGATTTCTTGGCCACACCGTTTATAATCCCTGTTGCAAGAGAAGCGACACATTGGCCATGGTCCCTAGTATCTTTCATAATAGTATCGGGAACAGCAATGTACGGGACCATTTTAGCATCCCTCTCTGGCAGTTTCATAAGGGAGTTTGGCACACAGTAAAAGTGGTTCGGGTCATATGAGCGTGCATGTTCCTATCAAGTGATAGGACCAGTGAGCTAACCACACCTCGATGACAAAACAGGCAACTTACAGGATGTCCAGGGTCTATGCCAGAGTCTATCACATAAATTGTCATGCCCTCCCCAGCCTTTGGTGATAGGACATAATCGGGAAGGGGTTCAAATGGGATCGTTCTGCTTTCTCGATCGTGTGCGTTTTTGGGCCCTTGTGATATTAGGCGGAGATGATCAGGGCTCTCCGGTACTCGCACCCTGTTCGTTTCAGTTCCCCTCTCTTGAATTGCGGATGGCTTGGGGCGTGGGATTACACCATAACCATCGTCAGCCTCTTCTGCCCCTGATGTGTTGATAGCAGCGCCAAAAACAATTGGATTTTTTCGGACGATTTTGACCTCGGAACTATTCAGAACGGTAGTATAAACTTGAGAGTCTAGATTTGGGTATACAATTCTTCTGCCTTCGGCAGCATCGGGCAGAGATTTAATGAATGCTTCATATTGGGGGATTGTCGTTCCTCGTCGAGTAACAATACAGTACTCTTTGGGAGTCTCTGTGGCAGAAGACGACGAACTTGATGATGAAGATGTTGCTGATGTCGCAGTAGGCTTGGTAGTCGGAGTTGGTATCTCATGTGCCTTGGGAGAGTCGAACGACCAATTGGCGAGTTTCTGGAGGTTGGTCTTTAGGACACGCGCCGCCGTGACTCCAAAGAACACTTTGAGCACAAACTTGGCATTTTTCTTGTTCAGCTGCGCTTTTATGAGTGGCTCGACTTTACCGATCATCTGGCCCAAATCGTACAGCTCTGTTTGTATCTGGTCAACGACATTAATGAGGTTTCCCTGGTTGATGGTATTTCCTTCAGAATCTAGCTCCTCGAGTTCGATGTCTGCTAGTGCCTTTCCAACTCTAGCTCCAGCTAAGAATGAGTTAGTCGTATATTAATTTGCGAGGGTTGGGAAATTAAGCAACAAGTGTAATATTTCCTGGTTTTATATCAACACTGAGGTTACGGACTTACTAGAGAAGGCATTCCCAAGAAGGTTCAACATACTAGACCCTGCTGTAGCTATGCCGGAATCAGTTGAGCTGCCATCGGATACAGCATCGTTAAGCCTGCTTATGGCATCCTCAGCGTGACCAAATATATCGGCAGAGGTCGTCATATGAGGTATTAAGGCTTTGAATAATGTCAAGGCATCCGCCGTCGGCGCCGCAGTATTATCTTTTGTGTGCGTCGATGTCTTCTGATGTTTGTGGGAGAAAAGCTCGAATGAGAAAGTAACAGCGGCTGCTGTGACGGTTCCAGACGTCAGGGTTGGAGTCCAGAGGCCCAATTCTTCAAAATCAGGAGCACTTATACGCAGCCCATCTTCATTATCAGGCGTAGTAGTTGTTGCGGCTGTGGTCGTAGCTAATGGTGGAGTTGTTCCAGTATTTGATAAAAGTGAGGGCTGGCTTAGCCATGGCGGCCTAGTAGTTGTATTCTGAAATGACAGTGGCGGTATTGTGAAATAGGATAGGGGAGGAAGCGGATCAATGAAACTCGTTGTTGGTGTTCCGGAACGCGAAGACCTTGGAGTCGATGGCGTAGATCCCTGGTCCGAAGTTGCGAGACTTGACATCCCAGTGGTAGGCGTCCCTGCCAGAGGCTCATCGGTCTTTCCTGTTGCCAAAGAAAGTTGTATTAAGCTGGTCGTCGTAGGCGAGGTAACAGACTTGCTAGTTGTTGGGTGTTCCATTGTGGAGGGGGATGTTGTGGAATCCATAATTGGGAAAGAGGTGTTTGCATAGGGCGGATGACTAGTCGAAGAAGACAAGGCGAGTGTCGATATTGCTATGATGGTGTCATTTGCAACCAGAGGGGCCGTATTGGATGGAATATTGGAAACTATACCAGAACCAAACGCAGAAGTGGTGTTATATGTAGAAGAGTTGGAGTGAACTGTGGAGTTATTGAAGGGGAAAGGCGCTCTTGTGATGAGTGATGAAGTATTTCCAGCCGTTGGTAGAACCAAGGCACCGACTAAAACGAAGAGGTAAGCTTCCCACATGGCGATAGCAAAATGATGGCGGGACTACATACTGAAAATCACCTGCGGGAGGTATGGAGACCGTCCTGTTTATATTCACATCCAAGTACAAATATAACTGAAGAGGGCCCTTTGACGACGGATTATGCCTAGAATTAGATAAAATGTTGGGTTGACAAGATAACGATACCAACAGGAGGAGGAAGATGGCGGTGTTGATGGAGGGGAAGGAACCAACAATCACATTCCTCCTGTCCCATGTTATAGACGGGTTGTGGAGGGAGCCGTGGATGGCTGGACATTGTGCTGCAGAAGCGATCGCTGTCTGTGTAACCCCCACATTACAGCGCTGACGAATATTGAGCATGGAATTAGTTTATTGGCAAGAACCTGAAAAATAGATCTCGAACCAACAGGTATGATAGATGTTGGCAACGGGCCACGCCGGTATGAAAGAAATGTTTTGCATAAGGAGGATTTGTTTCATGTGGATGTTGACGGTGACACTGCTGCACTTGCAAGCAAATTAATTAATTAAAGATACATCATATTCTACCATCATCAAGGCCGTAGCCGCCGCTCGTGTTGGTTGTTGGGGGCAGGTTGGCACCAGTCGCAGATTCTCAGAAATATTCAACCCTCAACTCGGTAGTCTCCTTGATTTCCCGGAGAGGCACTGCCCCCTTCGAGATGGTACGGCCGGGGTGCGGTAGAGTAAGAATCGATTGAAGGATCATATTCATGCGTGGTTGTTGTTGGTGGTGGTGGCGGTGGTGTTGCTGTTGCTATCGTTGTTCTTCCAAGAAATAAAGCCTGAGGGTCCAATGTACTGTACCTACCTACCTTAGAGTACCCAAAACACGTGATAATCACCCAGGTATGACACCAATTGAACCACTTAGTGAGAAACTTTTATAAAATCAGTAGCTGGCATGGCATAGCTATGTTCAGGGTTTAAAATATTGTTGGAAAGCATAGGAATCACGACCTAATTTGCACTGAAATTATGCCTTGGATCATTCGAATCCATAAGCCTAGGTCGATGCCTTATACTGACTGCAATAAACTATCATTGACGAAGCCTGGTATTTACAAAAATGTAGTTCCTCAGCTACTCTCCACTGTCTGGAAATTCTAGACTAGCCCTATATTCGGTTGTCTATTTTAGCTTCGGGGAACATTTCAGGGTGCCCTCTTATTGCAACTTCTAGTCTTCTATTTTTGTAGTAGGTAGGATAACACAACGATGCATGAACAAAGGAACTGCGATACAAAATAGATGTGCCCCAGTCCAAAGATTTGAGATGAGGCACTCAGCAACATCCAAGTCGAGGTATAGCGCAAAAAGGGTGAAATGGAACACTGGTGTAACCTCCAAGCCAGTCACAGTCGAGAGCACTAGTAGAGACCTATGATGGAGAGGCGAGTGGTGATAATGTGTGGTGAGTCTAGGGAATGGATAAATAGCTGTAACCAGCATGGGTGATTGAATTAGGGCGGTCCGTCTTCGACAAGCTGGCCGTGGATAGTTTAACCTGATTCCCGCGATGTAGTATGGTGTTTCGTATACCTACCTACCTTAGGTATGTACATATGCACAAATTGAAGTTCGGCCTGGCTCGCCGTGCCCGTGTGAGAAGTGAGAGAAGCTGGCACTGCCACAATGATTTCTCGCAGCAACATATAGTGTCAAGTTAAAACGTGTTTACTCGATATAGTATAGTCTACTTATTTAGACAGTTGCGGGTTGCTAAATATCAGGTCGACATCAGTTGTAGATCGGATTGTCCTATCCAGTCAGGTCATTACAACATAACCATATCGTGAACTTAGAAACTCGGGATATTTAAGGCTATCGGGTTGGTTTTGGAGAAAATAAACTGAGGAATTACTAGTCGCTAGATTAAGCTGTTCAAACAACAAATGCTTCCCATTATCTGTGTCGACACTGAGCGAAAGAAGTTAATTATTCGCAATTTGAACAATAATACGAACACAACCAGAGGCATTCCTTTGTAGAATACGGGCCTTCCTGGATTACGATTTTATATTCTAGGCAATCAGAGCCACAGAATAGTCAAAGCCGGCTCGTTCCATAATTGCTGAAAATTGTGATATTGTTTAGTAGGGTATTATGCGAAGCAACAGAAACTAAAAAGAGCAGCATTTCTAGCTATATCGCTATAAAAGCTACAAGAAAGAGGGATGGAGGCCAACGTCCCCATCCTATCAGCAAAGCAATCGAAAGAGCCAATGAAAAGAAAATCGACCTCATATTCCGTCTCTTAGTTGAATCGCGCAGTCCTAGCAATGGGGGGATTTCTCGACTGATTCGCAAGCATTATCGGGCCATAGCTATTGGTCCAAGGCGTCTGTTATCATCGCCTTGTGAGGACCACCAGGTGGTGATTTTGTAGGGCACTGGCACTGACACTATCATTACGATTATAATCGAACAGGATCCTTCAGCCTGACTTAGCCTTGTTATTAAAGGACACGGCATGGACTTCCACGATTTTTCCGAGAAGAGGGATGCGAATATAAATGGCGGATGATGAGATGTCGTCGGCGTAGAGTATTGTTATTCCTGCGCTGCCTGTGTAAAACTGTAGGCGGTGACGTCTGACGTTCTGGGACACTTCGGTGCCAGAAAACCCGAAGATGAAACGGCCCGACAGAACCCCGCTGAAGTCATTGCTGTGGCTCAACAGCTCCACACCACAGCTCCTAGAACAAAAAAGTTTGAAGTATTTGTTTACTCTCCCAGGCATTATACTTCATATTATATCCTTCCACATCTATACCTTGTTTTATCCGCCAGGATGCCAGAAAACATGAATATTCTGGACGACATCTCGCATCGCCGATACAATTCGTTGCGGGGCACTTGGTTGCTTGTCTCCCCGCACCGCACCAAGAGACCATGGCAGTGAGTCTACATCTTTTCTATATCTTCATGTGTTTCGCCCAGCATCAACAACAGTACAAGAACAAGGGCAAGCGCTATTTCTGCTAATTCAAATGCTGATTCAAATCAACCTCTAGAGGCCAGCAGGAATCTGCCGAGAAAATTACCTTGCCCGAGTACGATCCTGCGGTATGCGGCACGAAATAATACCATTCCCACTAAATACGCGCGCTGATTGATCATCCTTAGTGCTATCTATGTCCTGGAAACAAACGCGCCCAGGGTGACATAAATCCTAAATACACTGAGACATTTGTGTTCGTGAATGATTACAGCGCTGTTAAGGAGGAGCAGGCTGAATACAAGCAAGAAGTGAATCCTGAAGGTCCGGCTCTTGCTCTCCCCGTTTCATGGGAATATGGAAGCGGTTCTGTTCTGACAGTTACCTCTAGATCTCTCCAACCTCCTGCTCCGTGCCGAGTCGGTCAAGGGAAGATGTTATGTTCTCACCTTCTCCCCAAGCCATAATCTAACTCTCGCCGATCTCACGCCCAAGCAAATCCTGCCTATCATTCAGGCATGGAGCCAAGTATATACTGCGCATCTTTCGCCGGCGTCACCACTGGCAAGCGTGGCTCAACCACCCAGCCTTGCCCTCGCAAATATCCCCGTGTCCGCACCGAGCGCACAGTATAGATGGATGCAAATATTTGAGAACAAAGGAGCCGCAATGGGCTGTTCGAACCCACATCCACACTGCCAGATTTGGACCACAACAGGCCTGCCAGAAGAAGCCCTACAGGAGCTTGAACAATTGAAGAAGTACCGGCATGAGCACGGTGGAAAGTCCTTGTTGGCAGACTATGCCCAGCTAGAAATCGAAAAGGGGGAAAGAGTCGTATTTCAGAATGCGACTTTCCTCGTGGTATGTCCCTGGTGGGCGGTTTGGCCTTTTGAAGTCATGGTCATAAGCAAGGAGCACAAGCGGTCGCTGGTAGATCTGAACGATCAAGAGAAATTAGATTTTGCGGAGGCAATTGCGGAAGTCACAAGGAGATATGACAATTTGTTCCAAACGAGCTTCCCATACAGTATGTGCTCTCCCCTCCTCCCGGGCTCCGGCCTGTTGTCCGTACTGTTTGGTGGTTTAAACTGACGAAACAAGGCTCTGGGATCCATCAAGCACCTCTTGAGGGCTCGGATGAGGAAATCGAGGCCTCGCATTTCCACATGCACTTCTATCCACCATTGCTCCGAAGTGCAACAGTGAGAAAGTTTCTTGTAGGCTACGAGCTAATGGCGGAGCCTCAGCGGGATATCACGCCTGAGCAGGCGGCTGCTCAACTCAGGGACTGCGGAGGGACACTATACAGGAAACTCTTGTGAGCTCCCGCTCCTGTCTCCCGCTTGATTGTACATATAGCCACCAATTATCAGGATTAGAATTAGCAATTACATATTATGCTTATACCACATCACCTCGTCGACTGATCTATCCTATACCCAGTTCTTCTCGACTTATAGACCATCCCAAACAAAAGAATCTCCATCCACTTTATTGCTTAACATAATATCCCCACTGCGTCCACATCCACACTACACTCCCCGTCGACACAATAACTGGACCTGCGAGACCTCTTCCCCACCTCGCCGTCCCGAAAACCCACCACTCACTCATGAAATGCAACCACGCAACGGCATAGGTGCAAAACGCCAACTGATATATCTGCGGATTCGAAACATGGTAGGCTGCATACAACCGGACAAGCGACTGGATCACCGTCCATGTTCCGAAGGTGCGCGCGGAGAGGGGAGTTACGGGCGAGTCTGAAACTTTCCATGCGATTGCGGGACCGCCGGTGGGAAGGGGCCCGAGATAGACTTCTGCCGCGTAGCTGGTGGTCAGGTATGCTTGGATTGAGTTTCCTACTGAGACGAGGGACACCTGTGAGGGAGGAGAGAAAAGGGTGTTAGTATTTAGCTATGATAGGCGGGTCTTAGGGGAATGAGGGCACCCCGAGGCCTAGAGAGGGATCTTAGATTTAGAGGGCTTACGAGGAGGAGGTACTGCGGGAGGATCCCTTCATGCGTAGGGAGGTAATTCATTATAGAAGATAATAATGAAGCCATTGTTGCGGCCGAGTTGTCTATGTCTAGCTGGAGCGTGGAGGAAGAGGACCAAGGTAGGTAGGGCACTGTAAATAGAAGCTTGGAAAAATACTGTAGTTCGTGATTCTGGCCACAGAGCTTCCGACAACAATTTATCAGCTTGGCCAACGCTATATTAACAGATTCCTTTCGTAAGATCAATTGAACTTAAGAACGGTCCGCGGATGGAAAGCTTGGCTATTCGATTTTTCCTGCTGGTGATGTCGCGTTACACGGAATAATCTCGCGTCTGACATCCCCGAAATCAGAAATGCCGACGGCAAAGGCTTCCTAGCTCCCAACCAAATCGAGTCTTATCCAACCTCGCCAACAACAAGCAAGGAAAGACAACATTATGGGTTTCAACGATCTATTATCCAAAGTCCCAAGCGGCCTGCTAGTGGGGTTTGCTGCCGTTGGTCTTTTTTCAGTGTCCAGCAAAGTAATCAGCTATATTCGACTACTGCTGAGTCTCTTTGTGTTGGGCGGAAAGGATGTAGGTCGAACCCCGATATCATACAGATCTAATAATTGTTACTGACTGCTCATCCATAGTTGCGCAAGTATGGAAAGAAAGGTACTTGGGCAGTCATCACCGGCGCTTCCGACGGTATTGGCAAGGAATATGCCATCCAGCTTGCTCAGAAAGGATTCAACCTCGTCCTGGTCTCCCGCACCGAATCGAAACTCCAAACCCTCGCCAAAGAGATCGAGCAGAAATATGCTGGCTCGGCTGTCAAATGCAAGGTTCTAGCTATGGACTTCTCAAAGAATGACGACGCAGATTATGCGAAGTTCAAGGCCTTGGTGGATGGGCTTGATGTTGGGATCCTGGTGAACAACGTGGGCCAGAGTCATAGCATCCCGGTACCTTTTATCCTTACGCCTAAGGATGAAGTGAGGGACATCATTGCGATCAATTGCATTGCTACCCTCCGCGTCACGCAGCTTGTTGCCCCAGGAATGGTGCAGAGGAAGCGCGGATTGATTCTTACAATGGGTTCGTTTGCCGGCTGGATGCCGACACCTCTCCTAGCTACGTACTCGGGCAGCAAGGCATTTTTACAACACTGGTCTACGGCTCTGGCGGGCGAGTTAAAAGGTTCAGGTGTGGATGTCGAGCTGGTGCTGAGTTATCTGGTTACCACCGCTATGAGCAAGGTCCGAAAAACTAGTGCGATGATTCCGAGTCCAAGAAGCTTCGTCAAGTCGGTTTTGGCGAAGATCGGCCGCAGCGGTGGTGCACAATCTATAGCCTATACAAGCACGCCGGCCTGGAGTCATGCCCTGATGCAGTGGTGGGTGGAGAACACCGTTGGGTTTGGAAGTGCGTTGGGTGTCAACGTCAATAAAGGGCTCCATGAGTCTATTAGAGCGAGGGCATTGAGGAAGGCGGCGAGAGAGGCAAAGAAGCAATGAGGCGCACAGAGTTCGCTGGGATCAAGCTGCTAAAAGTTGCTGTTCGACTCTAAGATATCATTCATTAGGAATTGGGGAAGATAAGGCTACTCAGGGGCTGCGAGGGATAGTCTAAGTCGTGTTGGGGGGAGGGGGGGAAGACAAACCGCAGTGGCCACATTTGCGTGTAATATAATGATCCGACTTGGCTAATACTCAAAAAAGTTAATTGAAATACCTACCATTTGAGCCTTTAACAGTAGCTTCGCAATACCTAGGAGCATCGTAAAGAATAAACACTAGAATATTGACATTGCGGAATGCATGGTGTCTTCCATGCTTTATTCACTCTAAACCCTTACCAGTGTTCGATTGTCTGTTTCTCAATAGCAGCTTGCCTATTGTTATGGATTGAATCACGTGATGGGGTGGCTGGGATTTCCCCTTCAATTCGATATTGAAGATCAACGCGTCTTGTCTTCAAGCCGCTTCTTAAGCTTTGCAAGTGTTTACCTTTACCACTTCCCAAACCCCACAACGTCGCCCATTCTTGCTGTCGCAGGTTTCAGCACTCCACTATCACTACCAATACAGCTCCTCATGTCACTCTTCTAGCCATATTCTACCCGCTGCGTCTGGTATTGCTACAATAGAGCGCCAGCGTGAGCAGGAGCTGGGCTCGAAAGAAGATGTCTTATCCCGTGCTGCAAACACCACAACGACCACTACCAGGCGCTTTTTTTAATACTCCTGCAGCGTCCCGATACCCCCCTCCGCGGCCGCCTATCTTCACCTCTGGGAGAGCGTCAACAGGAAATCCTCCGAATCCCCAAGGCTCACCGGGTCCTACAGCAAGCGCTCCTCAATCTGAACTGCCCATCCGACGTGGCGCGCGAACGATCAACGAGCTTTTACAGAGAGATTCGAGATTCCCTGATCTTAATAGCTATGTCAGGCGTAAGTTGGATTAGCGTTGAAGATGTGGAAAGACCATCGCTAATAACTCCGCAGAAGGCATCTCTTCCGACTATGAAATACCCAATGCTGCCACCACCGAGGGGGCATGGGCGCCGTTCCAAAGGACCAAGTTACACGATATTCCGGATAGGGTTTTCGAGCAGTACAACCGCGCCGCAGTTTCGACGATGATGGGTCTTTTTGCGGAACTAAATCATGCTTGGGTTACTATTGACAATGCCCTGTATCTGTGGGACTACACGAATCCGAATCCGGAGATAATTGGTTTTGAGGAGCAGACCAATAATATCACCGCTATCAAGTTGGTTGTGCCGAGGAAAGGGGTCTTCGTGGACACCGTAACACATCTTTTGGTTGTTGCTACTACCGCCGAGATCATTTTATTAGGAGTGGCTACAGCACTAGAGGCGTCAGGAGTAAGGACGGTTTCTCTGTATCAGACCCGAATGGCGCTTTCGATCAGAGGTATTAACGTTCAAGCTATTGAGGGATCTGCCCAGACCGGTCGTATATTCTTCGCTGGCGCTGGCGACAATGATCTTTATGAGCTCACATACCAGCAGGAGGAGAAGTGGTTTGCAAGCCGCTGTGGGAAAATCAACCATACAAGCCCCGGCTACACGTCCATTGTCCCTCAAATCTGGGGCAACAAGACTCAGGAGCACGTCCTTGAAATTGTTGTGGATGATAGCAGGAGACTTGTCTACACCCTCTCATCAGAATCCTCCATCCGAACGTTCCATATGGACAGTCCGACCACGTTACAGCAAGTAATTGAGAAAAAGCGACAGGAATTTCTCCGGGATATCAGTCACATGATTTCCACATCAGTTCTCCTCACCCGGCAGATGGTGATTGTGTCCATTAGTCCTATTTCCTCTATGGAATGCTCCAAGCTACATCTCATGGCCACCACCACAACCGGTTGCCGATTATTTCTCAGTGCGACTCGTGGGTACGGATACCTCAGTGGGCCTGGCGCACCGCAAAGCATGCAAGTTCAACACATCAGATTTCCTCCTCAGTTTGACCAAAGGAGGTCCGAAACGCCTTACCAAGGGGCTGAACCCTCCACCGATACGTCATCCCTTGCTTTATCATATTCACGCATAGGCCTTCGGTTTGCTCCTGGATTCTTTTTGTGCTTCGTGGCCAAATCAGGTCAAGACGGAAGAGACAACCTTTTCCTGTCCGCTCCTGATACTGGTCGAATAGCAGCAGATGCACGGTCTCTCACAGCTCAAGCATCAAAATATTACGAACAAGGATGCTGGATACCGCTCAATAGCCATGCAGAGGAAATAGGATTGGTCACAGCACCCTTCGCTGCCTCGACTCAACCGCTTGGCTTCGGAAATGAACTTGCGGTGCAGTATGATGAGCCGCCCACGGAGATTGCGATCCTGACGAATACTGGAATTCACATCATTCGACGCAGGCGCCTTGTGGATATATTTGCCGCTGCGATTCATAATGGGGGCGGCGGTGGTGACGAAGGATTGGAGAACGAGATGAAGAAATTTATCGGACAGTACGGCCGTGGTGAAACGATTGCTACTGCTCTGGCGGTAGCCTGCGGACAAGGGAATGATGTGGTGCCCGGCGACGTTAGACTTTCCAGGATCAGCGATCCCGAGACCCTAAGACTGGCAAGAAAGGCTTTCGTTGAGTTTGGAGGGCGACCGTTGAATGAGAATGTGGTCTCTGAGGGACCATCATTTGCTGCGGACAATGTGCGACCTTCCTCCCGACATGAGGGACTCGCCTTATACATGGCAAGACTTGTCCGGTCGCTCTGGAAGACATCGGTCATTAAAGGGAAAATCCCACCTTCCGGAGCTATCTCTATTCAATCTACCATCCAGCCTGCCAAATTATCGACCATCAAAGAGGAGCTGACTAAGCTATCACAGTTCTTGGATGACAATAGTACTTTCATCGAAGGTCTTGCGGGGCCAGAGAGCCTCCATAATGCGGTAAGCCAGCATGAGCAGGTTGCTCTTCAAGGCGAGCACCAGGCATTGCATTCGCTTCAGAAACTTAATTCAAGCATCATTGAGGGCATATCGTTCGTTCAAATGCTCTTTGAAGAACGAGTAGACGAGATGTGGACTGCTCTCGATGACACTACCAAGCAGCGACTGCATGACCTTACTTTCGAGCAACTTTTCTCAACAGAGCAGGGCAAGGATCTAGCCAAAGTCCTTGTCAAAGCGATCGTCAACCGAAACATTGCCAATGGCTCGAGCGTGGATACTGTTGCAGACGCCTTACGCCGGCGCTGTGGCAGCCTTTGCAGCGCAGATGATGTCATTATCTTCAAAGCCCAAGAGCAACTTCAAAAAGCGTCAGAAACAGGGACAAGCAAAGATCTGGTGCGGAATCTATTGAACGAGAGTATCCGGCTTTTTGGTCAAGTTGCCGGTGCCCTCTCATTTGAAAATCTCCAGAGTGCCGTGGAACAATTTACTGCGTTGCAATTCTATGCTGGGGCTATCAGTGTGGCTCTTCAGGTGGCTCATGAATCGGATCGAGGAAACAGCGCACTGGCTTGGGTTAATGCAAACAAACCAGCTGGCGACCCAGGATCTGTTGCTTACAATTTCCGAAAACAGTGCTATGACCTTGTTCATAATGTTTTGGTGGCGGTCGATGGTGCTGCTAGTCGGGAACCTGATATGATTGATGGTCGAGCAACACTCATTGCTACAAAGCGGACTGAAGCATACAACATCATTAACAACTCAGACGACGAGTTATTCCACTTTGATCTTTATGAATGGTATCTCCAGCAAGGGTGGATCGATCGACTCCTTGCGTTGAGTTCGCCCTTCGTCGTTGAGTTCCTGACTCGGTCTTCAGCCACTACTCCCGAGAGGGCCGATCTCTTATGGAGATTCTACGTCCATCGTGAATGTTTTTACGAGGCAGCAGCGGTGCAATTAGATCTGGCTAAGAGTGAATTTCCGATAACCCTAACCAAACGAATTGAATACCTCAGCAGGGCCAAGGCAAATGCCTCCACACAAAGCCCTGGCATTGGAAGACAAACACGACAAGTCTTGTTGTACGAGGTTGGCGAACTTCTTGATGTTGCCAACATTCAAGATGAACTTCTACAGAGGCTTGTAGCCGATTCTAGAATTGCCGACGCGCGCAGACCTCAAGTCACCGAAGAGCTCGATAGCCAGATCAAAAATCTAACTGACGTAAGTACATTACACCTTGTCTCTGGCTGTTGCTGACTGTGCCATAGCTATTCAATAACTACGCAGACCAAGCTAGTTACTTTGACATCTGCCTGATGATCTATGAATGTGCAGATCACCACAATGAAGCAGACATCAACGCAACATGGCAGCAGCTCCTCGATGCCACTCATACGAAAGTGGCCAATGACCCAAATGCCGGCCAGCAACCTTATGAAGCGGTCGTAACTATGTTCACAGACATGGCTGATCGGCTGAACCATTCCGAGAACACGTTCAATCCCAACATTCTCGTACCGATGATCGAAAAATATGCCCTGGAATCGCAAAACAATGTTGGCTCCCGTCACTGGGTCCCAGACCTCTTCATCCGGGTCGCCTTCCCCTATGAGACCATCATTAGCATCGTGCAGGGAATGTGGTATAGCACCACCGCGCCATTTACTGAGCGCAACAAAGGTGTACTTGCAGACCACATTGTATATCTCTGTGACCAGTGGTACGAGGAGTGTGTCAGGACAAATATGAGATTGTATGGCAGCGATCTAAATGCACAAGAAATCAGAGATCTGTTGGCCGTGTTATCTGCCGCTTCCGCCGCCAGTGGAGGACCGACGGAGCAGGGGTTTCTGACCAATTTGATCAGAAAGATTGACAGGTCTTTCCGGTGAACATGTCTTTATGTGGGACGATTACCCCTCGGTGTATGTCCATATTTCGATATCAAATATTGTGGAATGCATAGAAAGGGAGAGCGACTCATACAATGGGGGAGGATAATGGGATGTGATGTGTTGGAAAAGAACGATCTACTGCAGAGCATTCATGAAAGCCGGCGTTTGATTGGAAGAGCGAACTGTGGGAAGGAGGGCGGGGTAAACTACATGAATTGCTCAACTTCCCGCTTTGTTATATTATGAGAAAATTCCTTGTCCTTGAGCTGAACAGAAAGCGTGTGAAATACAGCGCACGCGTGTGGAAGGAAAAGGCCTCGAAGCAGGCCAAGTTTGTTCTCGCTTCCCCCTGGACCCTTTTCCGGAACATGTATTTTAGTTGGGTGGATGGGAGAAGGAGGAAGCTTTTGATACCTACCGACTCTAAAAGATATGTTGTCATGTGGATTCAACGCTCTTGAACTCCTCGAGACTTGCATTGTATCGTGACCGAGACCTCTAGCATACTAGATTGTAACACCAGTGATATTTATATGATGTATTCCTGCTCTTTTACTTTTCAGAGCCAGTCCTTTTCCTTCGGGTTGTCGAATGGGGCGATAATGAGCACAGTGCCAGTGGTCCAATTTTTAATAAATGCATCATATCACAACTTACTCGGCACCCAGACCGGCTTCCTCTTCTCAACAAAACTCCTTACGCCCTCCTTCATATTATCCCCTCCATCCATCCTCCCGTACCAATTCTCAGCCCAGAGCCTGGTTCCCTCCTCCGCCCCCATCGCCTCCCACCCGATCTTAACCCCCTCCCGGCTAACAATTACCGCATCAGGGCTGTTCCCAGTAATCATACGAGCAATCTCCAACGCAGCATCTACAACCTTCCCATCCTCCACAACTCTATTGACAAGTCCCCACTCCTTCGCCTCCTCTGCCCTAAGTCTCCGGCCCGTCAATGCCATCTCCATGGCTCTCTGTTTGCCCACCGTCCTAACTAACCTAGGTAATGCTCCAGCCAACGCCACGACTCCAATGGTAACTTCGGGCAATGAGAAGGCTGCCGATGAAGCCGCGACGACGATATCAGCGTTTATGATCATTTCGCAGCCGCCGCCAAAGCAGAAACCATTAACAGCACACACAATCGGCTTCTTTCCCGAGCGTCTTGAGAGAGCGCCGAATCCTGATGCTGGGAAGGCCCGTGTGTTGTTGCTTTTCTCAGTGGAATGATTTGACTTATCCCATTCCTTTAGATCGGCTCCAGCGCAAAACGCCCGGCCCTTCCCGGTAAGTACTGCGCAGGAGAGGCTGGGCTCGTTATCGTACCAATTGTAGAGGCTGTCGAGGGCCCAGTGCATGGGAGTCGATAGGCAATTTAGCCCGGAGGGGCGATTGAGCGTTACCAGTAGGATTTGGGGCGAGGGGAAGGAGACTTGGATTGTCTCCGGTAGAGGGGGGGGAGGAGATGTGAATTTGGGTGATGATGACATCTTGTTCTGGTATTTGTTTAGGCCTTTGAAGATAGGGACCGGAATGGCAATTTGGGGAAAGTTGTAGGATTTCAAAATTGGATCTTTTAGGTGGGAGGAAGGCATGGATATAATGTAGCCGCCGACAAGTTGGTTAGTTGAAAGAACCCGAGGTTACTGGAGATTCAACGAAAGCTTGCAGCTCACCTAGTCCGAAGAAGGTGGGGTGTAGACGGCCGAGCCGAGGTCTCGGTAGCCTTACATAGTCCCAGCCTAAGATCTGGGGTAAGGCTTAGCATGATAAGGGGTAGCAAAGACTAGAGGCGGAGCAATAAGAGCTAAGAGTGCATCGCGCAAGAAGATAGAATGGATTATTATACGGGATGCTCTGCTATTTATGGTGGCAAGCATAGGTAAAATGGAACTTTAAAAATCCACGGCCATGCGTTTTGGCCTCCAATGTAATGTACCTACTCGCTCGGCTTTAAAATAAGAGTACAAAGTAACTCGTGGCCTTATCTCCCAGCCCTGAGGCTACGGTAGTAATCGAACACCGCCGTGCTTTTACTTACTCCAACTCAGGAACCTTCACTCTCATCTTCCCGAATCCGGGTAGGGCTCACGGCCGGACTTGTCTTGATCTTAGGCCGGCTTTTAAACACACTTTCGTAATCCGGATCACCCTCTATCAACTCAGTAGGCGCCGTATCCGGCATGAATATCTCTTCCTCGACTCTCGGGAAATAGCTAGACTCCCTCTGTTTCTTCTTAGCTTCCTTCATGCTCTTCCGTCTTTCCAGCTGAGCTTTCTTCTGCGCAGCCTCGAATCCTGCCATGCTATTCCGAGTACGCTCAATCAACCCCGCATGCAGGTCTGATTCAGAGTCATCGGTTGGTTTCCTAGGTGCTAGGGATGGCCGCGGCTTGATAGAGAGTCGAGGGAGATCTTTAATATCGAAATCATCGTGTAGATCGGAGAGTTGAGAGTGTGAAGCACGAGACATCGAGAGCCGGGTACGCTCTGCCAATGACAGGGTATGTCGGGGCTTTTTAGGAGACGGAGAAGTGCTAGACATCGAGTTTAATATTTCATTCACAAGATCGGATTCCGCGTCTGGTTGCGGAGTCTCGTGCCTCATGAGCGGCACACTATCTGATACCCATTGAGACTTATTGGTATCGGGATTCTGAGGTTTCAGGGTAGTTTGCGGAGGGGATGGTTCAGGAGGCAATGGTGAAGGTGAGCGAATATCTCTGGGAGGCAAAACTTCCTTGATAGCCTCGAAAGTCTCCTGTTGGTCGTTTCCAAACCCGCTTTCGGCAACATCTTCCACCGAAGCCATATCAAGTTCGCTTTCAATTGGCCGACGATCGACAACAACAGTTTCTAATAGTGGAGTGAGGGATGTGGACTTTAAAGTGCCGCTGGCAAAACCAGGGAAGGCATCCTCCGCTTCACTTGCAGAAATCCATTCCTCATCAATATCCACAGGCGCTTCATGTTGTGGAGAGCAGAATTCTGGGGCGCGAGTGGAAATCTGATTTTGCAGACCTTGTAGCGTGGGACGACTATCACGGCCTCGTGGCTTGCGAACTTCAGCAATCTCGGATGCCATATTCCGAATGAGCCAGTCATACTCCTCCAGTGATGCGTTGACCGTTTCGATCGTTTTACCAGAACTGTTGCGCGTGATCTGTATATCCTGGTGACAATCGAACCCGAGATCTATTTTATTTCCCTCCGCTCCAGACGTTGCCATTTTTTTAGACGGAGATATTGTACCAGCCTTTGCCAGAGCCCTGCTGAAGTCCTGCCATCTCGCCAACCGATTCTCCTGATCTTTGACCCGTGCGTCCAGTTGCTCTAGGAGACCAACCCGTCCTTTGTATTCAACTTCACCGATGCTTCCATCCTCGACATGTTGCCATACTTTTTCGAATCGATTCGACAAAAGCCCATCTTCTCCAGCTTTGCTATCTCCATAAATAATGGCCCCAAGCCACGCCTCGCTACCAGACCAATTCTTTTGCACTTGACTTTGCAATGACCTTATTTCGGTCACTGATATAGGCTCGTACCGGCCGCCTTCCTCGAGCATCTCTTTCAGTTGTTCTTGTCGACGGGCAATCCGACGATCATTCAGCTTGAGAAGCTCGGAGAAGTCAGTGTACTTCGCTCTAGCCATATGCTTTTCTTGCAAATGTCTATTCAGTGAGGCCTTGTGGGAGAGTATCAGTGCTGACAGCACAGTTCGCTCCCCGGAGTAGGAAAAGTTTTCGAACGAAAGCTGCTGTGCGAGCGCTTGGTGCTCTGCCGAGCCGCCTTCCAGTAGAACCTTCTTGAGAACGGCGTTTGAAAACACTGCCAAAACCTCTTCTAATCTCTCGCCCTTGCACTCGTCAAGCATCGTCTTCCTCAGCACCGTATCCCGCCCTAACACGCCGGTTTTCTTCAATTGGTCGAGACATCTATATAGGGCAGTCCGAAGGTTGAGGGATTGGAGAGGCTCTCGGGGAGGGATGAATGGTTGTAATTTCTGGGATGGGTTAACATATTATTAAAGAAGCGTAATATGATACAGGGCTTCGAACATTTTGTGTCTCCTCTGGATCCCATAGTTCGAACAATTGACAGAGAGCCCATTCTACGCAGTGGATGCGCTTCTTCTGGTTTTGCTGAGCATCTTTGGTTGAGAAGGTCCTATCAGTGATATTCGGCCAGTCCCCCCGCAAATCAAGATCAAGAAGCCGTAGATTTGTCAGGAAGAGTGCAATATTAGAGATTCCTGGAGCCGAAGAAGTCGCGGTGGCTGATGACGGCTGCAAGATGCTGGTAGTGGAGGAGGGCGGTATTCGGGAGCTTCGTGTTCGCGTCACCGATGTGGTGTTGGTCGAAGAGTACATCCCGAGAAGAGATATTCAATTGTTAGTCCGAATAGTAACATTATCCTCATTGTCCTCAGTTGTTTGTCCGCTCAATAGTGGTGAGGTGTGTTAGGACTTAGAGGCGGTATCGGGCTGCAAGGAGACGTGGGGTTTTTCGGTTGTGCCTATTAATATGCCCTGTAAACAATCGAACGCGACTTCGCCTACAGTACCTACGTTGCCCAGCATAAAGTTCTTCCGCGCTTGCATCATGGCTGAAGTTCCACGATTTGCTTTACGAGCTGTCCGTTTCTGGGTGCCGATATCCTACAGTAATATCTTGGCTTTCGAGGCAGTTCCTCGTTAGAGTCGCTGCTTTGGCTTCTATTGTCTGATCGGGGTAATATGCCTGCAGCACTCCCTCAGTAGTGGAGTAGCATGCCAAAGCCTTTGCCGCTCTTGCGGCGTATTCTGATTTAGTCATTCTCGTTTCTTCAAATAGGCTCGAGGGTGTGCAGATCTCTGAAACGCTACATAGGTTATATAGTGCCCATATACTCTGTAACTGGTCTCCTGCTCAGGCTGATTATGTTTTCTCCTGCCTGCTTGTTATTCTAGATCGTCTTCGGCGGACCTGCATAGACTCCCTTACTTCCGCAGGTGGCTACCTGATATATTCATTCTATTGAGTACCAGAATATGCTTCAGCTATCTTAGAGCAAAGTTGCCTTCACCATCTTGGACAAACTGTTATCCACCGTCACTTGGTTCCTCACTTTACTCCAGTCATGGCTCAAGAGGCCCCAGCTCTCGTCGGTATCCTGGGCCCCAGACCTAATATAATAACTTCCGCACAAATCCCACTGCACCCAGCCAGATGGCTTCCACTTCTGCATAAACTCAATCAGGCATTTGTTGTACGTTGTTGTGCTAAAGTACTTCCCATCCTGTGCCATTCCCCATTCCGTAAGTACCATGGGGAAATGATATTTGACTTTAGAGTTTGATGGGTCGATGGAGCTATAACCCGCATTCATGAGGTTGCTTTCCAATTGCGCGCAGCTCTCTGCCTTGTCGTCATTGTCATAGCGATGAAGCTCGAGGACAATTTTGTTTGAATATGGGAAGGACGTGGGGTTGAACGTTGCGGTCTTCCCCCCAGACCCTGTGAGTGCCGAGCCAAGCGGGATAGGGCTAATTGTGGTGTCGTAATCAAAGCCGGAGAAGAATATCAACGCGTCAGGCGCCGCAGTATGGACTGCCGACGCGGTGGCGGTCATATGTGTGTACCAAGTGTACCAATCATATGGCTCTCCCCGTCCATTATCTGGCCTCCGAAGTTCGTTGCGGAGGCCGATGGACGCAAAAGCTGTCCAGTTTGCGGCCTACCACTCACTTAGTCTCAGGCTGCTGTGAGGAAAGTTCTTCGGTGCGGTGGATGGATGGGATTCATACATGTGCAGCCATATAACTCCAACCCCTCGTCCACTTCTTCACATCAAAATATGTGTCCCCGAACCAGGCATTCCCGTCCCCGGTCCCGCAGCACCAAGTTGCCTTCGACATATGATTATCGAGATGCAAATATACGCCCTGAGCTGCCAATTCCTCAGCTACGGCGTCAAAAACCTGCAGCCTCGTCGTGCTAGCGGTGAATTGTGGATTCTTCGCAAGTATCTTGTTCAGAACCGTTGGCCCATTCTTGGTGCCCAACGCAGTTGTAAGACTATCCTTAATTGTTACGTCTCCGCCGGAGTCGAGTATGTGATCGATCATTTCTATGGCAAAGGTTAGGCGGACCATGTTGAGCCCAAGGCCGCGGACCTGCGAGACGATATCTTTGATAGACGAGTACTGTAATCCTTCGGGGATCATGCCCTCTTGATGTCCGGGCCAATTTGTTCCAACATATTGAACCTTTTGGTTGGTATTTGACCAAATGTACGGATCTCCAGCGGTGTGGAAGGGAAGCTGGTACGGGAACGGCGAGGTTACAACTGCAATCCCGTTGACCACAAGTGGAAGCAGGAGAACAAAGAATCTTCCGGAGAGCATCTTGACCATGTTTGCTCCTCCTAGATTGAATAACAGAAGGCGAAGTGCTCGAAAATTGAAGAGGGGCAAGTATACCCAGTGCTGGTATATATCTTCCTAGTGTTTATGCCCATCTCGGGAAAACTCTTCATTTTCAGGCACACGGAAAAAAAGTTTCCTTATTGCTGTCCCATGATTCGAGCGACTATACAACACTTGACTTGGAATTTAATGAGCCTTGAAACACCGTAGTGCCTAATTAGGAGAATTATAACAGTCATGTGATGTCCCCACATCAACCTGGTATGCCTCAATTAGCAATTATTGCGAAAACCATCCAGCACTTTGTGGGGTAACTGGGGGCCTAGCGGGTAAAAAAAAGGTTCGGAGAAAAGGTTCGGAGCAAGGCTTCTTTCTAGGTACATTATCATCCGTTGTTTGAATTATGACTTGTAATATATGGCTTGAAGAGCGTGGATTATTAAGTGTCTGCATTCCACTACCTACATTCCCCCCCATAACCTTACCACTACAGGCCAGCCGCAACCTGTTCTCAGATGCGCCGATGCCACCAACCATAACTGCCGTATAATTGGCCCCAATAATGATCTCGCCAACCCTTTTCACATTTCCTCCTATCATTGAGCTTCCTCGTTCTTTTGTTTACCACCAACGTCGTGATCAGCGAAGTTGAAAATTAGACCTATCTTTATACTCTCGAACCACTCCTCCAAGTCGTCATCTCTTTCCTGTGTTGAGCCATTGCCATCCCAGTTTACATTACCTTCAATTGCATAGAACCTTCATTTCACCGGTTCCATCGATTCCCTCGATATCACTTCAGCTAGCGTCATCCTGAGTTCTAAAGTGCCACTCCCAGTATCTAAATCACTATCATAGATCGAGTCGTCCACGTTGTCTTGTTCAGCATTCCATTCTCAACGATTCAATCAATATCCACGGCAATGAATACGTTTCTGCGAAGTCGGATCTATCATCTGCGATGTTACCCAAAAGCAGAGTGTCAGTTTTCCCGATCAATTTTCTCTGTCAATTTCTGGCGGAGCCCAATCTCTATGTTTCTTCTTATTGGAAGTGTTTCCACGAGGGTAGATCCTTGAAAGTATTCTCTATTGTCTCGAGGAAGCTCGCGGCAGTATGCAGAGGCTCCTCACATGTGATAATGTCTCCTGTTTGGGGGTCAATGTCGATATATATGTATTCCTCCATGCCGAGCAATTCTTCGATATCAAGTAGCCAATCCAGCATCTTGTCCGCAGCGCCTCGACCGACAGTGCTAAATAATGAAGAGTCTGCTGCACTGGTTAGAGATATTGACGCTTGAATATACTGGCGAACAGGGAAATGAGGCGTCTTAAATTTTATACCATGTTATCTGCTGTGACAAACCATTGCGTCAGTGCCTGTGAATGTATGCTTGTTGGCATTTATGAGCTTGCCAAACTCATACTCCCACACCCTGTCGCTCACAAACCTATAGTGGCTTGTGGCTATGGTGCAACTTCAGTTGCACCTGTCTATAGTAATAACTCAGTAGTGGCAAATTAGCATTCGAATACTTAAAATAATAATTGTATCGGTATCAAAATTGGGCATATTCCCGTTTCCGGGCACTATAAACCCCCCAAAACACCCTTCAAACCGCTGGAAAATAATCCAACTTAGGATCTAGGGGAAGTATTTGCTTTATATAAGAGATCGGAGATATTATTCTCAGATGTAAACTTAAGTGGTTAGTCAAGTACACATTCATTTGTTTGTGTCAAACACTGAATATATCAATGTTTGTTTCTCATTAAAATATTAGTTTAATGCTCGTATAACGTGTGTTTACTATGTTCGCTAACTAAGTAGGTATCGAACCAAGTGCTCTTGTTTGCTGCAGAACAGAAAAGGGGGAGATCTCGCTTATGTATTACGGAGGGTACGGATCAAGTTATCACCAACCGAAAGGCATTTGCGGTCTACGGGTTTATCTTACGTTGAAGATTTTCCATTCTAACTCAAATTAACCCCTACGAGGGGCTTGTGGGACTAAGACTTACGTAGTGGTCAAATCGAGAATTGTAATTATTCTCCTCGAACTGCCTTAATTCGGCGAATGAAAACACATAGCGGTTACTCAATAATATGGGATTAGGGAATACGAAAATAGTCTGCAAGGTCGGTTTGCTATCTTTTCAAAGCCTACAAAGGCCAACGGGTTTACTTATTTCTCCCCACATTCTCCCTACATATACACTTTTTGAGAAAGACAATACCGCAGCCTATTCAACTAATTCCTCAAATATGAGCTCCTTTCTCCTGGCTCTACCCCCCGGCATTTGTTTTCTCGAATAGTTGCCAGCCAGGGCTGCCAGGCAAACCTAACGACCCCCGAGCTTACATTCCTGTACACCGCACATGTTGAATGTGTTCCATCTCTTCAAGTCGATGATGCCGGTCCAAAGGGCACTCGCAGGATAATTCCCACAGTAGGGAGAACTTTCACCGGACCTCGAGTTTCAGGCTCATGAACCATAGGATCTACATCTATCCTCACGTCCCCCGTTTTAATACGCCCAAGCCTTGCTAGTATTTCCTTTTTGGTTTGCAAGCTTACATTTCTCTTAAGAACCAGCCCCAACCTCTATACCAACTGAAGACTCATGATTCACCAATGCCAAACAGCACCATCTTAGCCAACACGGGGCACAACCTCGTCACCAGTGACCAAAGCTAAATTTTTTATCCAGACGTCTAAATCCACACAGGCAAGTGGGAAACTATATCTGCGAATGAGTCTCTGTTTGTGATGTTAATAATATAAGACTTCTGGGCTATGGCATATGTATTTATATTGAAGATTAATGGCCCGCGGCGGAGTTAGTAATTGTAAATCATTTATAAAACTTGGCTTGAAAATGATCCACCATACCACGTGGTAATCTTGGTATAGTAACAGAAAACGTAGCAGAAGACTTTATGTAATTATAATCATCTGTACAATATACCCACTCAACTTCAGTCAGGAACCTGACCGACATCCAACTAGAGGAGAGTGACGTTGAGGCCCAGCTACATACGGAGTTAACAGCTAACTTCTTACAAGGTCGGACCAAAACTAAATTCGGGACGATCAATCTGAACGACTGTTCGATCCACAGAACCCGCACTTTTTAAATGGTGGACCGCCATCGTTAAGAATCTTTAATATGTCAGCTTTACGTTTATATCCCGGGTGTTTTAATACGGATATTTACAAAGCACAATGCAATATTTCAAATGGAGAAATGGGGCATCATTGTGCGCGCAGATTACAGATATATTTTCCTTATTTGTTTTGGCTACTGTCTAGACTTTTGGAAGGTTTCATTCGGTACGCTCAAGAGTACATGTTCGAGTTGCAGATTGATGACTAAGAGCCTTGACCGGTCTTCTAGTTAGTTGAGGATGGTGATATTTCTAAGGAGTAAAACTTGATTGCTAAATCAAGTAGATAGTGGGCAAGGAATCTGATACTGGGGCGCAGGCGAACGAGGTGAAATGATGCAGACAACAATTGAGAGATGCAATTGCTTTGTATCGCGACTGGCAATGAGGTGCAGTATGCATGTATGGTAAAAATAAATGAATCGAAATAGAAAAGCCGACCTTAGGACTTGGCTTTATATGTCAAACAGTCACCTGCAAACCACAATCACCCCCTGGGGGAATAAATTGAATAACTTGCTATTACAGACTTTACAGCCATATCAGATCCTTTTCAGAAGGGCTGAGTGAACCATTTTCAGCCGGTGCGTATTCGTCTGAGCTGGATTTCAGCGAAAGGAGATTTTGTTGGCATGCGTCATGCAAATCAGGGTACCCGGGGCTCGATGCTGATTGCCACCGATGAATCCAAATCGATTAAGCTAGTAGCTTTAGACAGCTTAAGCAAACCACAAGACAGAAATAACAGTTCAAGTTTAGGGCACTCACCCACCCCAGGAACTTGAAGAGTCCAGTCGGTCACTTCTCAGGAGAGCCCACCTCTGTAAAGATGACGAATAAGATCCTCGCAAGGGGCCTTGTCACATTCTAAAAAATTTAGGGTTATTTATTATTATACCTGTTTCGTAGTATATTTCCACATAAAACTTGTCTGAAAAGTCTTCCGGCACAGATAGGTAAGAATAAGACAAGAGCTAACAAGTTCTGTACAATATTTAGGACGATAGAAATAACGTCGTGTCGAATACGTAAGATATCACCTAGGCGAGCTAGGGTCGATTGCCGGGGTCTATGCGGGGCCGATAAGAAAGGTGTAAACAGTAAGTTGCAATTCCATTGTTTTATTATCAGACATATGTTTCTATCACTCCAACCCAAAGGTCTCCTCCCTTCGCGGTTTTAGCGCATCACCAGACAAGCGCCCAAATATCATCATTACAGCCTCCGCCTCTTCCTAAGCAACGTTTTATGCCGCACTTCTCTTCCCTTCCACTTTCCTTTCCCACTAGGAGACTTGAACTGTCCGCCTGCAAATAATACGATACTGCCAAAAGTTCATGATGACCGTCGCTGCAAAGGAAGAGGACCATTCTGGTAGGTCTGACTCCGGCCCACTGCTGCTAGAACTGCTATGCTTCTTGCTATAGAATTCTCCCCCTCCATAGAACGGCTCTGTTGGTCGAAGCCGAAGCCGAAGCCAAAAAACGTCTTGCTAACCGTTACCTTCAGGGCCCGAAGCCCTAGAGCCCGCGAATGAGTCTTCTACGAAGTCTCCCTGGACTGTCGAAGGCGCTATCGCGAAGATTCCCGGAGGCCTCCCACCGCAGCCTGACCCCTCCTCTCCCATACCGTTTTTCCACATGCTCGAGCATCTAAAGACTACTAAACGGGAAGGATGGCGCCGATTTGGCATCAAAACGTTGTGTTGAGACAGACCCCAAATGATTTGCGTCTTGCTGATTTTTGCCCAGAGGCGAATCCATCTCCGACCATATGTACCGTATGGCTATGATCACCATGTTTGCCCCTCCTTCCCTCTCCGCCCGACTCAATATCCCGAGATGTACGCAGATGGCCCTCATACATGACATGGCAGAGGCCTTGGTTGGAGATATCACGCCTGTCGATGGTGTCCCGAAAGACGAGAAAAACCGTCGCGAGAGCACAACCATGGACTATTTCACCAAGACTCTGTTAGGCCGCGTCAATGGCGGCCTGACGGGAGAGGAGATCCGCGCAATTTGGCAAGAATATGAGGACTCCAAAACACTAGAGAGTAGGTTCGTTCACGACGTCGACAAAATCGAGTTGGTTTTACAGATGGTGGAGTATGAGCGAGTCCATGAGCACAAGTTGGACCTGGGCGAGTTCTCATGGGTTGCGTCGCGTATTGAACTTCCGGAAGTCAAGCAATGGGCCGATGATGTATTGAGGGAGCGAGAGGGATTCTGGGGTGGTAGACAGCATGGTGTCTACAATGCGAAGCAACTGCCAGAGGAGACGTTACTGAAGCAGACGTTGGAATACTATAGCAAACCCGACACTCCAGAATCGAAGTGATCTTGAGTCACCTATTTTAGATGTTTTGATATCTTTGATCGACATAAAGAGTCCATAGGTGGGAATCGTCATGGGTCCTTTCTTTGTCTTATTCGTGCCATTTCCACCGATGTTTCTGTCCGTATAATTAGTAAATGAATTGTGTCGGGAGGCAGAGCGCTCGTTCCATGTACGTCGAGTTTTGAATGTTGACGAGGGGTTCTTTGCCATGGCAACCGAGATTGTTACCCACCCATCGCCATCTTATCGCGCCGCATACAAGCACATGAGCTATAATATTCGGGATATCTGATGTTGGCAACGGCGAACCCTGTCCAGCTTCTCATCCTAACAGCATATTGCAAGGCTTATCGTCAGCATCGGCGTAGCATTTTGTTCCCCCCAACCACGTCGCGGGGGGCCTATCCAATCCCAATCACCACTACCTCAAAACTTCATGAGCGAGTCCCAACATCAGCCTCATTCCCGACAACTTACTATGATGGGCAATAAGCCATGATCCATTCTAGCGACGCAATGCCCATCCCGGGAGCATTCGATATGACCCTGCAGCGAGATCGCGGCGCGACACCTCGTCTTTCGGGCGCCAAATCACACATCTTCCACCCTCCACGAGCGCACTCCGATTCAGCATCCTCGTCTATGATCCTTACACGGTCTACTACTTCCATCATCTCTACATCTACAGCAAATACATCTACAAGTCGAACGGGATGGGTTGGGCCGAGGAAGCGTTCGCGCGCCGAGGCTGGGAACGAAACTCCACCTAGGGAAGAGGAATGGCCGGCCTCGATGGTCAACAGCTCCGAAGCAGCGGGTGCAGATTTGCGTCCCGGGTCTCCGATGCCGTTTGTGAATACGAAATATGTGCTGGCCGGGGGGATGGATACACCTACTCTGAAGGCCGCCCAGTTAGCTATTGGCGGAGTTGGCGAGTATTCAGATGTTGGATATAGGAAGTCGCTGGGCGAGGACGGAATGAATTCAACTAGAAGGACACTATTTGTTGATGGGGAGGAGGGACCGGGTTATTTCTCTGCGGATGACCTGGGGAGGGATGCTAATGGGAGGGGAAGAGGATGGAATAGCCCGGCGGGCGAGGGTTGGAGCAAAGCCGCAATTCATGTTGCAGGAGCTGTTGTTGGGAAGGTATGGGAGTTCTGCAAGAATAGCGGAGCTGTGTTTCGAGGCTTCCATGCTGGTGGCGGAGAAGGTTACACGATCAGCAATACGGGAGGAATTCCCTTGTACAGCGGCGAGCAGAATGATAATTTATGGGAGACGGAGAAGACCTCAGCTTGGGGTCCACCTGATAGAGGCTCAACGCCGCTTCCAGGTCGATTTCCGGAGGAGGATTTCATCCCGGATTATCTAGATCGCCCAGCACCAGACTCAGATCCCCGTCCAGCTAAACGCCGTCAAGTTAGCAAGAACAGTCAAGATGAGATAGCGAAAAATTGGGTCGTGGTTCCACCTCCGACTACGCCAAGCACACCTTCAAAAGCTCAACCTCGAGGGGCAGCAAGATACAGCATGCCAACTGCTTCCTCTGCCAGCCGCCGCTCAACAGCAACGGCAACCGCTTCACGCCCGGCATCTCGCGCTGGGTTCGGACCGTCCGCAGCACCTCGCAGGCCGATGCTTGCACGAATCTCTCATGCGGGATCGCCTGCTCTGAATCCTTCTCGTGGTGCAAGCTTTGCAAGTCCACGTTCAAGCCCCGGCAGCAAGATTCCGCGGGCCAGCCCAAAGCGAGATGTTACTTCGCCGGAGAAGAAAGTGCTCGATAGCCCAGCAGCAAAAGAAGCGCAAAGATGGGCCGCCTTAAAGAAGAAGGAGGAACGGGAAGCAGATGAAAGTATCAGAAGGCTGGACAGGCAATTGAAGGCTATGATTAGAGAGGGCAAGGAGGCTTTGGGTACTAGGATCGAGGTTGATATGGAAGATGATGTTGCGTTGGGCAGAAGCGGCCTTGGAAATAAGAAGCGAGCTGTCTGACTGTTTGCAACACAACTCGTCAGGCAAGAGAGCGTACGATGCTTTAATCCCTTTGTTACTCCTATATGAGGATGGAGATCATGGCGTTTTGGTGTGGGTATCACTGTGGAGTTTTGGATGGGATTGGGAATATTCACGAATCTCCTTGCGTGGGGGACACCAACGACGAAGTTCCAATATCGATCGTGTGCCGAGGGGCAACGCGGGATCAGGGGTTGATTGCGTTTTGTATAAAGTGTTCTTATTTAATAATTACTTGCGGATCCTTCATACTGTCATTTTAATAGTAAGTTCTGTGTTCGCCTATTCTCTGAAAGGGTGCTTAGGATTCCACTTGTTGACTCGCCTCTCACTCCTCGACCACAAGCTTTGTATAGTGGGACGGGGCGGGAAGCCACGCAAGGTAGCCATTATGCGCAAGCAAGCCTGTAGCTAGCACACTGGCCGGTTCGTTCATTTTCCTGTAGCAGTACATTAGCAAGGCTGAGGCTGAAGTTGACCGCAGCAGCAAGCTGGTGCACGAGGCAAAAGGTGGCGCCCATGGGCGGCCGCAATCAAGCATGATCCACAGTTACATTTCCTGCTTCCTAATTTATCCTCTCTCCGTTATCTATCTTATTAATCTCAGCATTCTAAAGTAGAAGTCCTTCCGTCCTAGAAAAGAAAGGGATCGTCGAATCGAATAGAGAATCATCATACAAGCAAAATGAACATCCCTGGACCAAAATCCAATGGCTACGAAAAGCTCGCCCGTCTAATGAGCAAACACGGCGAGGTAGCCGCATTCCAGCGCTTCGATTACCTCAACAATCTAAATATCCTGTACTTACAGGCTGAACTCGTGCATCTTGAGGAGGAGCTACAAGAGAGCATGAAAGCGGATTTGAAAGCGCCGGGGTCGGGGTACGGGGACGGTGGTGATGATGATTCTTCGACGACTAAGTGGAGTGTGAATTACACTGGGAGTCTGGATGAGGGGATGGGTGTTGCTCGGGAGCGTAAGATAGACGATTGTGAGGCTGGATCATTGTCGGAAAAGAATCTCGAGGTACAAGTAGAAGTAAGATCTATTAGATCCTCGGTTTCGCGGGCAGGCTCAGAATCGCCTATCAACGAAAGGCTCGAATCAACGAGGGACTGGTGGTACCTAAGCACCATGGAGAGCAGCCCAACATGGGAAATCATGCTACGCACGCGGGAGAAACTCAAGGAATACAGTAAGTTGACCTATCACATTACTTATCTCGATTTTTCAAATCCCAACAAGAGCTATCCATACCTTCTAACCGCTACTATAGATGAGGCTGTCCATCGCTATAGCACTCTAAAAGCCCAACAGTCCCCCAACCCCACATCCCTCTCGTTCCTTCGCCGCTGGTTCAAGCATCCGCTAATGGGAAACTTCCCCCTCATCGGCTTGGATCGCAACCTATGGGAATCTTCTCCCACATCATCGCTGGTTGCCATCGAACCACGAAAGGGACCCGATCCTCTCAGTTCACTCTTCTTGACTAAATTCTTCCTCTGGTGGCACCAACTTGTTGGCCATCTTTTCAAAAGACCAAAATCGCAGAATCCTGATGAGGAAGCGGCAGAATATTTCGAATATACGGACAGGAAGGTGCTAAAGGTTGCGAATGTCGTTGGGACTGTTATATCGTCATCATTACTTGTGGGATCTACCGTTGTGTTGTACTTTGTGGACAATATGTTGGCAAGACTGGGGATTATTGCTGCACTTACGCAGGTGTTTGGGTTGGTACTCGTGCTGGTCACAAATGCGAGTAAAGCGGAGGTTTTTGCAGCTACTGCGGCGTAAGTTTCTCTCATTCATTTGAAGTTTCATTTGGGATCTGCATCTTTCGCACTCCCCCCGTGTTACGAATATACTAATATCTTTGCTGTTGTATAGTTTTATGGCCGTACAAGTAGTTTTTGTGGGTAACAATTCTCCTCCCAGCAGCTGATGCCATGTTGAGGGACTAGCAACAGGTCAATACTAGGGCGATTATTATTGTGAGGAACAATATTAGATGAAACTGGCCCTAGAAAATAGTTATGTTAAATAGAAGTAGGGGATAGATGGGCTAGTCAGGTCGTGTCCTAGCTATATGTAATCTGTAAACGCAATGCAGTATTGGATTTCGTGTTACTAGAGCGCCCTACAAACTGTAATAGCTTCTAGGTATCCTTGGAGGCAATGGCTCGCTAAATTTAACATATGCAAGGGCGCTACGCTTCTTGAATATAGGATTCTAGAAGGCAAATGTTCCTTCAAGCCAGGATACTGTTCTGGGATATATTTTTGGTATGCTTCTGTCTATTTGGGTATCATACCGAACGCCTCGCCTATATCAAAACAAGAATAGCTCTCGGGCCTTTCATGAACCATTGCCTGAAAACAAATATCAACCTGAAAAAATTGCTTCCGTAGCAAACGAGTAATGAAAATATGCCACCCCTAGGCTTTCCATTGTGATGATCATAAATATCCGCTGCCCTTACTACTTTGAGCATCGCGATATAGCCCTCTGCTTCGAGCTGCCCTTATATTTTCCTGCTGCTTTCTTCGGCGTTCGTGCTCCTTTGCTATAGCTTCCTGCTCCGCTATTAGTTTCGGCAGCGCCGCTTTCTCCGCTATAAAATGTCAACATGTGTTTCTTAGCATAGCAAACCGTCTACATGAGCCTTACCCTTCGTCCGTTTCAAAGGAACAAGTGCCAAGAACGTTGGCGCAGATATGATGTTGAATTTTCTGCAGTCATCTGCCCCAAGGACCATATCGAAAGGTACTGCCTCATCTGCAGAAACGAGAAATTTAGCCGTGTAAGTGGACCCGCCCTGGCTGTTTTTGAAGGAGAGCGAAGCTTCCTGGGTTGCGGCCATTACCTGGCCGTTGAACCCGAGAAACGTTGCACTAGTAGGTAAATTGCGAACTTCGGCCCTGAGCTCTTGAACTATTTTAATCGAAACCCAGTTGGATTCTCGGCATTGAGTATCGAATAATAAGGTCCTAAAGTTTAGCCGGATGGGCCGCTGAATAGATGGGTTATCTTGCCATACATCGACCTCCCGCTCGTAGGCAAGATTCTCCTGTCGACGCCGTAAGCAAACGTGCAAGATTTGGAGAGTGGTTGGGCTTACATTAAACCTTTGATATGACGCCCGGAGGTTTAGATCCGTGGCCTGATCGTAGTCATGTTTATATCCTCCAATGTCAGCATTTACAGACTGCGACAATGATCGGTGGGCGTTTATGCCTGTCATGGAGTCCTTGGTGGTAGCCGGTCTGAAAGAGCTGTTGGGAGACGGAATCCCACCAGTTGCTGAGGATTCTGCATGGCAATCTGCGCTAATGCTTGTGGATCTCCAATCTCGTTTCTCATCCTGTAGGTCGCGAAGGGGATTCCCTCCACTGGGACAATCATAGCGGTCGTTCGGATAGTCGTGCCCAAGTTCGACGGGACGGGCATAACTATCCCCCCCGTTGTCATGCCGATAAAATTCCTTCTCGACGTTATTATCAAGATAGACATGATTTGGTTGGATATACTGGCCCACAGGCGGGCCGAACAGGTTTGGGCCTTGGTCGTTATATGGCGTCCCATACTCATAACCCTGGCGGGGCTGCCCATTCGCAGGACCAGCCTGCCAGTTGGTGAGATCTGCAAGGGCGTTGTTTGATCTCTCATAAGGAGGAGGTGTCGCTGGGCCTACTTTTGCCGCGACTTGAACGCCGCTGTAACTGCTAGAGCGGTCATAGGTAGTGGCACGAGGTGAATAGGAGGGTTGGTATGGCTGCTCGCGGTACATATGGCTATTCGTGGGGTTGGTGCCGTGGTCCAGGGACTGCGAGCGCTGCACCAGCACAGGCTGAGAAGTCGGCACCATCACATTGCTCTCACTTAGAGCGTCGCGATAAATATTAGATAGCTGAGAAGGTCGGTCTCGACGAGAAGGGCCATCTCGTTTCTTTGAGGAGTCGCTTTCAGTTCCTCGCCTAGTGGGAGCTTTCATGCGACCTTTCAGCAACCGAGTAGCCATATCGCATGTTGGATCCCGTGTTGCACCAGAAAATGGCCCCGGAGTGGATGAAAACCGTCAAAATTCAAAAGAGATGATGGGGATGAGCTAGGTGAAGCAACAGTAAGGAAGGAATGGCAACAAGAGCTGCCGCCGATGAAGGAGAAGACAAGACTTGGGACGAGCGCTCAGCCTTAGTTGCCCAGGGCGAGCGTGTGGTCGTGGTTGGGAGGGGCTGGCGGTTGCTGCAGACTTCCAGCTTCCCCCAAATGCAGCATCTCCTCCGGAGACGGAGTGCATACTGTACGAGTGAGTTCTGGGTGTCGTCCCAGGTGTCCATCAAAAGTGTGACTGGCTCCAGCTGAGTCCAGCACAAAGCCTTCATATGGGGCCGACTTCCTACATACGCCGCGACCAACTGACAAAGTCGGGGCCCCCCAGCTTCCTAAAACTTAAGCCTTGAAAAGTTGAATACCGACAGTGACGCGGCCGGAGCGCAATGTCTCTAGCATCCAAACCCCATTCCTCCATTCTCGGCGTGCAACCGCGTGATAGAACCAGGCTGAGGAAGAAGAGCTTCATTGGCCGGCTTGCCCGTCCACCAGGCAGACTCGACCTTCAATCCGCGGCCGAGCAAGTCAACCCCTTAGGGAGGTAGATTGCTGATGCTACAGTAGGCGAAGACAGGACGAAGAATGGAGGCTTGATGAGGCTGAGAAAGCTTGGTCGGGCTGGCGTATCAAAAGTAAATATGGGCCGCGGGGCGCGGGAGCAGAACACCAATACATATTGCGCGCCCTCCAAATGGGCTCAGATGTCATTTATTGGAGTGCGGCTGTCTCCGATACCTTTATTGTTTATTGACTGGCTGGCAGCACCGGAGCAGTCTGGTCCGGAGATCTAGACCACGCAAGTTGGGATGCATAGTTTGGATGGTTTGGAGCTGCCAGGGCCATTGCAGCCACGGCTGTACTGTATCTCCTCCAGCTCTGGCATGCACATCAGTAAGTAGTATATCGGAGTCGGGATATAGTTAATGATGGTGGCATTCAAGAAAGCTCATGGTCTGGTAATCCCTAGGACTGTTTTTTATACCTACCTAGGTACGTTAGTTATGGTGTAGTTTGCAATGCGAACAGAGCGCTTTCGTGACTTGCATCTGGTGGCGGCTGCCTTTCGATTTTCGACCCCCCTCATATCTTCCAATCATTCTCTACCAGGGGTCTCTCACTTCTGTATGCGCTCGACTCGAAATAGGTTTGGGCGGGGCCAAGACATGAGGCTCACATTACTTGGTAATCCCTTTTGGACCGTTTTCCTCTTTCAGCTCATTGCTATATTGCATCAGTGATTCCTCCTCTTGCAAAGCAAAATCTTTGACTGGAGACTGGTTGTTGGGTATTTCTTCTATAGGCAACTTCATGAGTAGCCTTCGAGTCACCACTTCGTCATCTCCAGACATAATGTTTCCACCAGCGAACGAAGGAAACCACCAGCCAGAACACAGCCCCAACTCGATAAAATTGCAGAATCCAACGCTTCGTGACGCGTCGCAGGAGAGCATCGAAAGCCAAAATGCACCCAGCCAATCTAACATCGGCCAATTCCTCCGAGCACGTTATGGCTGGAATAGTTTCAAGACCAGCCCCGAAGCCGAGCTTTCACTTGCGCTTGACAAAAGCCTTAAAGCCTACCACAGTCAGTTGATTGCTCTTGGTAGTGCAATAGGGACCGGGCTTTTTATCGGTGCAGGCCAAGGACTTGCAACTGGAGGACCGATACCACTCCTCCTAGCCTTTGCATTTGTAGGCTTTACTCTTTGCCCTACTGCTTTCGCACTAGGCGAAATGGCCACTTTGCTACCATATCCAGGGGGTTTTGTTGAGCATTCCAGAATATTTCTTGACGAGGCCTGGGGTGCTGCTATAGGGTGGAAGTGGGTTTAATTCTCCTAGAAAATTGGAGTCGGCCATACTGACGGATCGTAGCTATGCCTTCCAGTGGCTGATAACGTTGCCTCTCGAGTTGATCGCCTCGTCGATCACGCTCCAATACTGGGGGGAACCGCTTCGACACCGGTCCGCGTGGATCACGCTGTTTCTTGCGGGCCTTGCCATCATCAATATCTCTGGCGTGACGGGGTTCGCTAACGTAGAAGCTGCTCTGAGCGTCATGAAGGTGGTTGCAGTTGTCGGTTTCATGCAAGTACTCCCAGCTCTTCCAGCTCCTACCGGGGCCTCTCATATCAATGACAATTTCCGTTTAACAACCAACATAGAATACTAGGCATTCTCATCGACGCAGGTCTTGGGTTTGGTGGAAAGGCGATAGGGACTTCCCATTGGTACAACCCAGGTGCTGTAAACAATGGCTGGTGGGGGTTTTGCAGCGTCCTGGTGACGGCAGCGTTTGCATTTGCTGGTAGTGAAATGGTAGGCTTGACAGCCGCCGAGCAAGAAAACCCAAGGAGAGATATGCCTAAAGCCGTCCGGAAAGTGTTTTGGCGCATCGGAATTGTAAGTGCAATAACAACACATTGCCACTCTCACTAATGTTCGTCGCCCCATGCAGTTCTACATCACCTCAATCTCCCTCATCGGTCTACTTGTTCCCTACAACGACCCTCTTCTCATAAGCAACGCGGGCACTAATAATTCGTCAGCCTCGCCCTTCGTTATCGCCGTCAAGAACGCAGGAATACCCGTGGCACCATCTATTTTGAACGCCGTCATTCTAGTCACTGTCCTCTCAGTCGCTAACTCTTCGGTCTACGGGTCTTCGAGAGTTCTGAACGCCCTAGCCGATGCAGGGTTGGCGCCACAGGCATTTGCCTACGTTGACACGATGGGGAGGCCGCTTCGGTGTCTCTATCTTGCATTTGGATTCGGGCTGCTCGCCTACCTGGCCGAGCTTCGTCAGGAAAACACCGTGTTCATGTGGCTACTTGCGTTGTGTGGTCTATCATCTATCATGTCATGGACGCTGATTTGTGTGACACATTTGCGGTTTCGGCGGGCATTGGCAATCCATGAGAGGGACTTGGACACTCTTCCATTTAGATCACCGCTAGGGGTCGTGGGCTCTTGGGTCGGCCTGGTCTGCAACATCTTCATAATATTTGTGCAGTTCCTCAGTGCGATATTTCCTGTGGGATATCAGGATATGACACCCCGGTCGCGTGCTCAGTCTTTCTTTGCGTCTTTCATGGCCATCCCACTCGTGATAATCCTGTATGTCACTGTCAAGCTGTGGAAGGGTACCACTATTACCAACCTCGCCGATTATGACTACTTCACTGACGCATACACCGAGGAAAGGTACATAGAGGAAGCTCTTGACAACCCCGCGATGGTACTAGATGACTTGTGGTGGTGTCCAAGACCTCTCAGAAAGCCCTTGAGTTCGTTGTCTTTTCCTTGGTAATCGTCACATTATATTCATAGCGTGGTGCGGTGACAGTGGCGTATTATTCGGCGCAAGGTGCTTGTATAGCTTTAGGGCCTATGTGGTAATATCAGGCGTATCCATTAGGGATTGGGAAGTGTTCGTGGAAGGCAACCGCATATCAGCGAGGACAGCAGCGTATTATTGAGTTGAAAATTTATCGGCACGACCTGTATAATATGAGTGATAAGTTAGATGTAATTAATTTGAAAAGATTGATGAAAGATCTAAGAAGTTGCTTTCCCCTTCTGTTGGAATTTCAATGTTGCTTGTACTTCGTTGGGTGCTTTGAGGGCCAGAGCTTCGGAGATCATTCGGATATTGTTCGGCCCTGGTAAGTCGAATAGCACAAGTATTCCTTAGATGGACAGGGAGAATTTGAGGTAACCAAAAAATAGCTTCAAAACCTTGATTTCGAGTTAACAGAACTGCTGCCGATTTACTCCGAAGGTATTCTTACCTAATGGAGGTATGGGACGCAAAGCATGTCACTACACCTTGATCTGGGGAATAGGGAATGTGCAAGGTCTCCGAAGGTGTTCATGATAAGTCCGTTTAACATGATAGTTAGGCCTAGAATTTTGAAGATGCAATCGCTAGCCTTGGTTGCCCATATAACCCCTTCCAGCTCGGCTCGTTAATGCTAGGCGTTCAGGTCTAGCCCCAGGGGGGGCAGCGACAGTATATCATAAATGGGAGGAGGCTGAGAGGATGAACGTTTGCGGCAGAGCGAGATGAGCTAAAGGCAAATGGTTTCAAAGCCGTAGACAACGTCAGCAACGATCATCATTCTTTAGAATAACCCTCTCGTCTATAGTATTGTGCTAATACATATGCGTACACATTGCGCCATCCGATGTTCTAATTTTTCAGTATTTCTTCCTTTATCTCTTTTTTTATTCTTGACACCGTTCCAACACCTCCATATCTATGCAGAATCGGAAAGTCAGCACTACCTAGGACGGCTGAAAACAGTAGATGGTATACTTATATAGGGAGCGAGACAATAGACTTGGAAAAAGGGAAAGATGAGTCCGGAACATGACTTACATTAAAGCCGTGTAGATCTGCGCAACGCTGGCGCCTGCATTCAGTACCTCAAGTGCCTGTTGGCCATTTGTTATACCGCCAGTGGCAAATATGACTTTTTGCTCTTGTCGAGCTCCCTCTGGTGTTGTAGCGGGCGCTTTGGCTGATTCAACCTTCTCAGGAGAGTTTGGGATGTGCTGGCCACCTGCGGCATTATCCTCGATGGCCATGGGTTGGTTCACGGGTCCGTGGTTATTTTCATGTCGGGGAGGACCTTGGTCTAAGAGATGCCGGTACCTTTTCACTAGCGCCAGCGTCCTCTTAAACATGTGGGGGCCTGAGAAACCGCCTTGTTCGTTCAGTGCTTGCCTCTCCTTTGCTGGCAAGTTTACATCGTTTGGGATGTGGTCCCGCCGGTTTGTGGTATTTCCAACAATGACTCCATCGACTCCACTCCTCCAAATTGCTTCAACAATGCCCTCGATTTGTTCATCCTGATCCTCATCTGGGGATACCTTAACCATCACCTTTGGGCTTGTCTTCCTGTTCACACTCCGTGCGGCACCAACAACCGCTTCGAGAATCCGCGTAAGAGGCTCAACCCTCTGCAGAGTCCTCAAGCCGGGGGTATTTGGGCTGCTGACATTAACCACCAATATGTCTGCGTAAGGAGCTAGCCTCTCTACGCAATAGACATAGTCTCTCTTCACAGCCTCGATATCCTCATCCTTCGTAGATTTATTTTTTGCAACCTGCACGGCCAGCATCTTCCCCTCAACTAAACTCCCAGGAGGGACTCCCGCCTCGCCATTGAGTACTAGTTCCTCCGCCTCGGGTCCAACCCCATAGCCATTGTGATATGCAAAGAGGCGTACTCGTTCCCGCAGTCGCATAGCCATGTCGTCCGCGCCCCGAGAGTTCAAACCGTATCGATTAATGAGCGCTTTCTGGCTCGGCAATCGGAAGACTCTCGGCCTAGGGTTGCCATCTTGGGGATGCGCCGTTGCTCCTCCAACCTCCACAATTGCAGGACCCAGTGCTAACAATGCGTCTGGAATTTCGGCCAGCTTGTCGATGCCCGCAGAAGTACCAATTGGATTTTGTAGGCTTTGCCCGAAGACTGTGATGCCCAAATCGACGTCCTTCGCATCGCGTGCTTTTGAATCACGCTCTCGAGGGTGGACACCAAACGAATAAAGAGCTTTTAGCGCTTTGGTCCCAGCATGATGTGCGTCTTCAGCGTCTGGATAGACCCATCTTACAGCGGGCACCACCAGCCATTGATGGACGCTAGCTCGCGTATCGGTGATGTAGAGGTATGTGAAGACAGCGAAGAGGGATAGGGAGGTGCCGTAAAGCGCGTTCTTGAGTCGGCGGCCAGCGGAGCCAGCATCTCCAGCTGTCGTAGACGTAGACGTAGACGCGGGGCGCGCAGACCGGATGGATATCCGTGGGGCAATTGGCCGTGACTGTGAAAGAAGGATACTTCGAATTGGATATTTCGGGGTGCGCAGAAGGCGCAGGGACGAGTACGGCATGTTAAGGAAAGGGATTCATGAGGTGCTGGCTCGCAATGGTTTGTGGATGAGCGAGGGCGACGTTCAGTTGAACAATTCGTTTGAGGACTCGGAGTGCCAAGCACTCCCCGCCAAGTGGGACTTCAACACAACAACGCCAACTCCCCTAGGTACATGTGCCTAGAGTACCGCACAGTTAGCAACACAATATGATGGCCTCCGCAACTCAACACCGCGACTGAAGCATGGTCTATTGGGTCATTTGAAGTTACATCCAATGCTTTATCTTTATCATATTATATATTATATTCATCCCTCGGTATCAGTAGTGTAGTAGTGTACCCGAACTTGGCATGTGTCGGTCTGAAATCATCGAGGCCCATATATTAATTGGCATTGATATTGATATATTGGCCGGCTTACGCGGCTCGTTGCATCATCTCATATCATACAAACTGCTTACTTAGGCAAGTAACTGAGTGCCTTCCTCCTCGAACCAAGTCTCATCAAGTCCGCTAAGCTGAAAGGCCTCTCTTCTCACTCTCAGAAAAGAAGATAAGCATCCTCCACAGTTTCTTCACCAAGGCCTCAGCTTCTTCGTCCAACGCCTACAACCCACATTAGTACATGCGTTAAAACAAGACGGGGAGAAAAGTGCGAATGGATGACTTACCCCCTCTAATTGCTCCACCAAATCCTGCGGTTTGCCTCTGGTGCGAATATGCTCTTCAACCACCTCGACAAGTAACTGCTCCTGCACCCCTAGGTATTCCATGATCTTCTTCTCCACAAAAGGTCGTAGTTTGTCAATGATGGCATCATCAACAAATTCCCACCTAACTTCCCAACTCCAAAGACCATCCTTGTCGTTGGGTATCTCAGCGGCAAGCTGTCTAACAGCTTGGTCACGTTCTTCATCCGAGAGCGCTGCTACTACGGTTGACGGGTCAAATTTGATGGGGATAAGAGTCCGTTTCGATACCTTGTCAGCATCTTCCTCATCCTCGAGAAGACCTTCAACTTCAGCAACGGTCCGGCGAGGGGGGGCGGCTTTCTGAGCTTTCTGCGCAGCGGCGCCAAGTGATAGCTTAAACGGTTGTTGAGCGCGTCCTCCAGATCGAGACTCCAGTTCCTCGGCTTGCCGCTCCAAGAATGAATCTGCCATCCCGCGGGCTTGCTCCTTGTCTGCCATTTCTCGCTGCCGTTCCCGTTGTTCTGTAACACGATCTCTTTCATCTGCGGCTGCTTCGCGGGTGCGGAAGACAGCCCGGTTACGAATCCACATGCTCCGATCAGCGTAGTATTCCTCTACCTTGCGGGAGGCTTCAAGGTCATCATCCCAATCTCGTAGACGTTGGGCCATCTTTTCCCTTACAGCCTTGGCCTTGGAAACATCTTCATCTTCACGCTCCTTCTCGCGCTGCACAGCAGCTGTACGTGAGCGTTCACGATTAAGCCATCGGCGTTCTTGGTCAAGATGTTGTTTTTCCAGGTCGGCCTCTTTCTTAGATTTCCGTCGCCGTTCGAGCTCTTCATCGCTTGCAGAGTCGTCTTCCTCTTCGCGGTTAATCCAAACATCTCCACTCGCAGCTCCATGAATACCGCTCCCGTTAATAAATGCGACCCCTTTCTGATAGTCACGAGGAATTTGGGAACCCTGTGATTTAGGTCCTGAGGGCGCGTTTAGGACGCCTCGAGGGCCGAGGGGGATATTATTCGTACCACCGGCGGGTCCATTGGGGATCTGAGTACCAGGTGAAGCTAGACGCGAAGGTCGCGGTGCTCCATTGCGCTGCCGTTCCAATGCTTCCATCTCCTCCTCCCGCTTAAGACGCTCCATATCCCTTCGATTGCTGCGGTCTCGAAACGCGGTAATCTCCTGCGCAACCGTCTCTCGCATCTCTGCTGGGATGTCCGCAAGTTCATCATCAACAGCTAACGGTATATTAACCACTTCAACGTCATCTCTGTTCCCATCTGCATCCTGCATTGGTGTATCCTCCGCTCCTTCTTCCATCTTAACAAACATCGGGGGGTGAAAAAGCTCGTAGAGAATGCCCTTAAGATTGGCTCGTGCAACGTCCAGTTTCGATTGTTCCGCAGCAGGGTCGTCTCCTCGATTCGATTGATAGTTCTCCAAGTAATTGAGTGAATTGTCGTCCACGAAAACAAGGAGCTTCGATTTCTCAATTTCCTTTTCCTCGTCATCATCATTCTTTGCCCCAGTGCTCGGCGTCTGCTTCTTCAACGGAATCTCAATATCCTTGAGGACCTCCACCGCCGTCGCTAAGCCTTCTGGATCATCATATTGTGCAAATCCAAATGAGCATTGCTTGCCATCGGCGCCCACAGCTCTATCCCATCTTCGTAATCTCCCGGCTGTGCAGAGTATACGCTCAATGCCTTCATCCCCATCAACACCTTCCGTAATACCCCCAATAAATATCGTACGCACAATGTCCTCTTTAGTAGGGGGAACGAGAGACATCATACTGTCTCTCAACGCCTGTCGTTGAGCCTCCACCCCTCTATCAGGACCCAATCCCGCCCTCCCACCTGCAGACATTGGGTCCTGACTTTCTCTCCTCCCTCCCGCACCGCCTGCGCTCGGTATTGTCGGTTTCGAAGGGCCAGTGCCTAGTCGGATTACAGGAGCAGAAAAGTTGATGTTGGGCATATTGGGAGGGCCTTGGAAACTGGCTGGGAGTCCGCTCGGTCGACTAGCCTGAGCACTGTTGGCTTGCTGCACACCTGGAGGAGGAGCTGTACCTGGTGCTGACATGCCTGGCGGGGGACCTATAGAGCAGTTAGCATGGTCCATGTCAATGAAGAAGGCAGAGAAACACCTACCCATTCCCGGTGGAGGCCCCATGCCAGGCGGAGATCCGCTCTGGCCTGGGAATGATCCAAATCCTGGAGGCCGCCCAAAAGGAGGGGCTTGCCATTAATATTAGCATCTCGTTCTAGGTCTTTATAGAGGGGGCAAGGCAGGGCCGGCTCACCTCCATACGGATTATAGGACATGGCGAAACTAATTCAAGGTAATGCGGAGGTGAAAAGTTTATTCTCAGTTTTATATACGAAGATATGTTCGTAGTCTGAAGGATTCAAAGGTAAAGGAAGAGGTCATCAAGTTGGCGCATACCGGGTCTATGTTTGTTCTTGTTCGTCGCGAAAGCTCCTCTCAGATTTAGATCCCAGCACGGAATGACCATTTACGGTTTAGCGTTAAAAGCTCCCTAGAAGTCCGAAATCGTATTCAACCACATCTTCAACAACAACAGAAACTAGAAAGTAAGTGCGATAGTCATAACCATCGCAACCCCCCATTTCAGGCGCTGATTGAGTACAGGCGGTATAATGGAGGTTCGAAGAGCAGCAGATATCCTGCTACGCTCCAATTCCTCGCCGCTGACGACCTTCCTCATCCCGGCCAGCACTGCACGATGGGCAGCACAACGCCAATTGCGTTGTAAACACGCAACTTCACGTCCATCTAAATTCCGCCGGACCTTCATGACAGGATCCCGAAACCTTGCTCTCGGGCCCCAATCCACAGCCTTTCCACCTCCGCCGCCCCAATCCGAAAGCGCAAAAAGCTCCTCAAACGAGGATGGCTCTTCATCATCCACCGACACTGAACGAGATCAAACCCAAGCAAAGGAAGATAGCAGATCTGATCTAAGCTCTCTCTCAAGCTCTCTCTGGTCCAGTACGAAGAATTCAGCCGTGCACAGGACGAACCCATTCTCCAATAGCTCCGCTTCAGACATGCTAAAAAGTTTCAATCGAGCAGCTCCTCAGGCATACCGCAGCGAGATTGATATAAGCCGAATGCTGGATCCTCTAAACTCAACCCCCCCCCCTTCTAGGGGTCTCGCAACGACAGAAGAGCGCGAACTCTACTCAACCATCGATTTGGAAGAGATGAATTCCTTCATACCTGGCCCCATTCCCAGGCAACCTATGAGGCTGAATCCCAGCACAGGGCGGTCAGTATCTGTCGGTGCAGATGTTGATGTGGGCAGAGCGTTTCGGATGGTAGATATTAGTTGCGCACAGAATAGAGTCAGACACGAATCGCTTAAGCAGCGGTTCCATGAGAGAGGGGGGCTGAAGCGAAAGAGATTGAGAAGGGATAGGTGGAGGAAGAGGTTCAAGGAGGGATTCACGGCGACTGTTGCGCGGGTTAATCAGCTAAAAAGGCAGGGGTGGTAGCACGGCTGACAGAATACGGGGAAAGCGAAGGGAGAGTTGCTTGTATTATAAGTGTATATGTTAAAACAATTACACAAGAAATAGAAATGGATGGGACTGGCTTTATATGGATACAATCTCCGTTTAAATTCCATGCTAGTTTCATAATGCCAGAAACACTTGAGCTAAGATTGCCATTCATATAGCGCTTTATATTTCCCCCTGCAGGCTGGCTGGGCTTTGTGACACTAGATCTAGCTCAATAGCGGCATGATGGCAGCTACGATGTGATTATGCGAAGGTGAAGCTACAGAAATCCTGCCACTATTAAAGTTGTGGAAATGTGGGCGGAAAGGGGATATGAATGTTAACCTACGTGTGTGCGGAGGGCGATCGATGACGGCTGGTCCTACTAGCGGTCAAAAGTTGACCCTACTTGTAAGTACATAGAGGTAGTTATCGGCGGTTGGTAGAAGTGGAAGGGAATCTGCCTGGGTGTGAACATAGCTGTAGATCAACAGCTCCGTGAAAGCTCTTTCGAAAAGCCGTTTCCCCCCTATGACGCATTGTACCCATCACTAACCAATCGGCAACACAGTAGATCTCATTTCGAATCCCTCGTCTCCTGTTTCAATCTTTCCCAATTCCTGGATTCTCGTCCACGCCCTCACTGGACCTGGTTTCCAAAACAGGGGGTCCCACATCAGTACCCTTCAAAACCCCAACACAAGCCCCATAGGCAGGCATAAAATGATAAAACACATGGTCAACCATCGTTCCCCCCAATAACCAATAAGCCCCAAACACGCTCTAGATTTCCCAACGCCCCGGATGCAGGGTGTCACTACAGCTGATGATGCTTGCAGTGCTAGGATATGAGCCCTTGATTTTTTCGACCGACAATAAGTTCCAAGAAAGCTCCAAGAAATCAATAGAAAATAGCAATTATAAATGACTAGCCCACTAAGCACCAAGATATGGCTCTTGCCGAACGTAAAAGATGCTTTGAGACGCGTACTAATAAAGGAAGACTTCGGTTCTAGAAATGAGAGTGCTAGCCATATACCCGGACTTGAAAGTCTTCGGTAGCTTTGAGTGGAGTGTGGAAAAAGTAACAAACTACGTGTACTGCACAGCATGGGCCCGAGCAGGACTTGCCAGCAGTCCCTATGGCTTCCATGCGAGAATGGGAAAAGACAGTATAGTAGTGCCAGTATCCTGTCACTGCCTCAACAAAAGCAGTGATGGGCGTGGACAATTTTCAATATCGCCACTTAATTAGAAGTAAGAGGGCCAATTATGATCCATAACCCCTTGGGGTACACACGAATTAGTCCGGGTTTGTCCTCCCCATTGCGGGCATTCCAAGCTGGCCAAGATTTTCCCCCATTTGTCCGATTCTCAATCGCCTTCTCGTCGCCTCTGCCAGCTTGGTAGCTGTCGGATCAAGGGTAGTAGTTAGTTATGTGGCAAAGAAGTTTCAGCCTGGTCGTCCTTTTCTCGCCCCTCGGAGTTGCCTCTCTAGGCCGGCAGGTAGTGTCGGAAAGAATCCGTATGCAGTGTGCGGCACTGTAACAAAACAACATCATTGGCCTCGTCAGTGGAGCGGAGGCTACATCCGGTCACATGAAGTGCTAATTGGTGAATTCAGGTAATCAATCACAAGGCCAAAAACTATTTGAGCTGGAGAGGAATTCTAGATCTGGCCCATTGGGGACCAAGGTATAGGTTTAATATCTTCCGGTAGATACTTCAGTACAGTTAGCCGAGTTAACAGCTAGAAACCGTTTCCCATCTACCGTTGCTCTGCGTTGGCAGAGGTACATGGAGTTCTACATTTCCTATGACGGCACGGTCCGCCGTTCATCGGCAAGATATGGCCAGTAGAGTAGTAAAATATAAGCTTTACTCGTGTTTTGTACAGTGAAGATGTGTATAAGAGACAGGTACAGTGGGTGCAAAAAGTTTGAACCCCCCCCCCTGTTGATGTGGTTACTTTAGGGTAGCTGAGGTGCGTATTTTGAATACTGCCGCCCTGAAAGTAAGTAAGTATCGGAACGCTAGCAAGGGGGGTTGTTCAAACTTATTGCACTTCACTGTAGGTGGAAGATAAGATAACCTTACCTCTCAAACAAATAGCCAGCTTAAACACCCTGGTAGTTTCAAGCTAGTACAGCACTATAAATGGTGCACATAGATTCTTATCCAGAGCACATAAAGCTTCTCAGTGCTAGTGCTAGTGAAACCAGACTGGGCCTAGGTTATCGGGACCGGACCCTCCTCCGAATCTCGATGGTTTTATGATTACTGGATTTGATGGTTAGAGCGGACTTGAGATCCACTGGGATCCATTCCAAGATCGTCCTTGGTAAACAAACCGGGAACACTTGGCCCCAAGTTTTGCTTGTGGAGGAACGGCCTGCCGTCTTGACAGCGATCAACCGAGTCGCCATTCATGTATGATTCGAGCTTTGGTCGAGGGTGTTGTGGCAATCTTCCTATTCCTTCAGTCCTCGTCGTGTCCATACATAGACGCCGAGTCATCGTGTGCTCAGCTATTTTATATCCTAGATCTTGGTCATACCTTGCACTCGCAGAAGCCTCCTGAAATTCGGATTTCCACATCACGAGTCACTACTGCGTCGGGTTGTGAGAGGCGCTGCCCGACCTTGTTATAAGCAGGGCGAGTGCTGTATGGGAGCGGTCTGGGTCAATCTATTTCATCAAGGACGTCATCATTAGGAATGCGGATCTTGTTTCTATAAAACTAACAGAGCATCTTCTTTCGATACGGTGTCTGGAGTCAGCAATTTGTGATATTGCTCCCCAAAACAGCAGCCACCATTACATGAACGCCCATTTGTAGACCCCGAGTTGAAGATCCTCCTAACGACTCGAATTCAAATAGTCTATGATACTCTATCTTATTCCTTATTTGTTCACAGCCCTCGCTTTCTACGCCTCAAACAGCCAACAGGTCCAGCAAGCGACTCTTTAAGTCTGGCTCTACTGTATATGTTCACCCAAGACTCTAGTCTCAAATGTGGCCCGTGTTCATGGTCAAAAATAAATCCTGAGAATGTCTTTTCGCAAGATCCGCCCATCGTTTGGAGGCAGCAGTGCGTCAACCAGCCATACGAGTAACCCGAGCCAACCCACATCCGAGAATACGGGGCTTGACCTCAGCCGTACCCACGACGACAACACGGGTGATAGTAGCATCTCATCCTCCAAACGCCGGCGAGTCCCAGACTCAGTAACACGTAACGCTTGCGTGAACTGCAAAAAAGCTCGAGCAAAGGTGTGTGTTCGTCTCCTAACAGGGGATCCTAGCATTGGACCTGCGTAGAGTACCTAGGTACTGTGTGCAGTGCAACTGTTCTCAAGGCACAACGCCAACTCCACGTCCGCGACTGACTCTTTACAGTGCGATGGCAGAAAACCGTGCAAGAGATGTGCATCCCGAGTAGAAACCTCGGAATGTGTCTACAAAGTGCATATAAAACATGCAAAGGAGGACCTAGTGAAACAGATAAAGGAACTCGAGAGAAAGGACAGTTTGAGCGAGCAGATTCTTCAAGCATTATCAACGGACGAGAAGTTGCCCGAGATCCTGGAACGACTTAAGAATGGAGAAACATATGAAAGTATCGGCGACTGGCTGGGCCGCTCTACCCATTTCGACGACCCCGAGAGCTATTCGCCCGAAGTGTCGCAGAATTCTGGTCTCCAGCCGCCAGATCTTGAAATGGGAGGCATAGCCGCCCCTTTTAGATGGACTACTGTGACGTCTGACTCGGCGATTTTAGACCACCTATTCCAACTGTACTTTGCCTGGGTCCACCCGGTACATACGCTGTTCAGCGAAGGCCACTTCGTCAACAGCTACAAACGCCAGTCAGGGACCTACTGCTCCTCCATTCTAGTGAACGCGATTTGTGCCATGGCTTGCCATCTCCATACTGCGGCAGACGGCGGCCCGGCAGATTTTGAACAACTAGGTGAGGACTTCACCGATGCAGTACGTATCAATCTCGATGCCGAAGACTTTAGCATAACCGCAGTACAATCGCTTGCAGTCATGTTCCTGGTTGACTGTGCCCGCGCGCAGAGCTTGCGCGCTTCAGCCTATCTCGGGCTGGCAGTCAGCAGTCTAGGCAATGTCGCGTACGAAGAGACTGAAGGTTTTATAGAAGTTTGGAGGGACACTATCCACGGTGTTCAAAACCTCAATGTGTCAGTACATCCTCTCCTCGCTCTGCTGGGCCACACTAATGGATGCAGCGAATGGGCACTGGCGACCTGCCAAGTCCCGGCCGTTATCAGCTATGTGCCTGATGAGTGGATTACAGAAATCGATTTGAAACTCGACGACGCCAAATGGTACTTCTACCGCTATATAAACGATCAATGCCCCGCATGGCCAGGATTGCTAGCAACATCCAATAGAGAAAAGTCGAAATTGATGGAAATCGTTCAGGATGTTGCTACGATGATGTACTCCCAACAGAGTTCGGTAGTCTCGGCACAACAAGTTTTGCAACAGTATAGCAGATTCATATCATGGCGGGAAGACCTTCCGAAGGTGCTAGGAGATGTCGAAAACAATACCAGTCAGGCACTTCCTCACGTGCTCTCTCTCCTGTATGTCAATATGTATACACTGTCGGGTCGTGCTAACTGTGTAGCATCTTATACTCGAATGCAGTCGTTCAGCTCCTTCGTCCATTGCTTGACTTGGGGGGGTTTCCGACGTCCATGGTGGAGGAAGTGATTTGGAACCATGCCCAGCAGGGACTTTACCTCTTTGATGAACACTATCGAACACAATACACTTGCCGGTATCAGCCGGTCCTACAGATGTTTGCGGTGCTTCATTTGACCGACGTCATTGCTCGATTTTTCCCTGGAGGCAAGGAGGGTGGGAGCAAGGATGGTCCTGAGGCCATACATTTCGGGATGGATGCCTTGATGGAATCCCTTCCAGGATTTCAAGTGGCAGGCCCTCTGCAGGAGATGCTGAAGCAGACTGCCTCCGAATGTTCGATTCGACTATCCCCAGATCTAGACGAAATTATGTCGCCGCGTCAATCCCAACGCATATACCGAATGGATGATATCATTGATGCATGTTCTAGGCCGAGATATGTCCAACCCATCAAAGACATCCAGGCCAGATACGCCCCGAATTTCTCTGCAGGCTGGGCCACTGAGGGGCCATCTTTCGGCTTTGTGGAGTCGATATCTTTTTTTTCGGGGAGCAATGTGCAGTCCGGGGAGGAAAAGGGTACGCAAGGCCTCATGCAGATCCATAATCTACTCAATTCAAACTAAGGTGCCCAGGCATCCCAGCAGCCCTTTCTTCGCGCCGATTTGTGTGGATTTCGACGGAGTGGTTTGGAGGCTGCTGTTCGTGGGGAAAGGCTGTTTCTATTAGCGCTGGAAGCATTTGTTTTCTATGGTGGACAATCCCAGCACTTCTCTTAGACTCGGTGCTCCCCCCTATATTGCGAGAACAATTTTTGACGACGACACAAAATACTATCAAAATAAAGCCAGACCTCTGCCAGCCTTCCATCATTTCGTTTTCTTGAAGACTGCGTAAAAGTGGTCCAAGTGCATAAGCCATATCTGTCCCGTTCGAGGTAGGGAAGTCTAGTCAATTCTAGCGCTAATCCTTCGGACGATACAGTACCATAGGATTACCCTATCCCCGTTCGGAGATGCCACCTAGTATCAACGGATCGCAAAGATGTGAATATGAGCTGCTTCCGTACCTTTATGAAGGTGGGTGTGGATGGAAGTGATCGATTGGGTGGATCGTCGGAGGTAGCCTACGGTCGCTCATGCGCTCCGCAAGCACCTACACCAAACGGCACTCGTGAAGCAAACATCCATCAGACGGCAGCATTTATCTGGTGTATCCAGGCATTGCGTCACCATCCATAGCCTTTCTATTTCCTCGGGACGCTTCTAATTCTGAGGGTTGTTCAGGGGCGAACTTTCGAATGAAGGGGTTTCGACACCGTAACATACCATGTTGCTGAGGTGGCAGTGGTGACGGCTTGACTGGCATCGCAATATATTGACCGCAGTGATAGGCCTTTCGGATGGGCTCCAAGTCTGCTCTGTGCTGGGAATATATCAAGTATATAACATGTTTGCTTGATCGCGGAGGCGGTCATCGTCCCGATATAAGGAGTGTTGTCACGCTATTTTCTGGAGCGGCGGATGTGATTGGCTAGTTTACGCCTCCTCCGAGCTTCTCTCAACGACAAGAGACTCGAGTGTGAATGACGTACAGAGTACGAAGTACGAAGTAACGTAAAGGAATAATAGCTTGACTTAGAGTGCCGTGAGTGGCTAATACAAGCCTACGATGATGTGCGTAGGTACCTAGAGATACATGTGCAGCAATGTTGACTTGTATGTATGTACATGTACTCAATATAAACGGGTATTCGCTTTGTAGCCATGTTGCCCAGCTGAGAGGGTTATCATAGCCGCTGTAACGCGTTTGTTATGAATTTCTGATGTGCTTGTGGTCTCCAGTCCCTGCGCTTTTCGCCTCTCAAACTACGTAGGTACCTGTGTGCCTACCTACCCACCTAAGGTAGTACCTTCGTACATCTAGGTACCTAGTATGACGGCGGGCTATCATCCTTATGTCACACATGGTCACGGCAAAATGTTATACTGTACTCTGTATATACAGAAAATTGCCCAAAGAGTTTTTCGCTGCTTTCTTATCTTCCAATTGTATTATATACAGGGGATTGTAGCTGCACTGCATACGGAACTAGCTATCTGCACGCTCTACTACTAACTAGGCAGTGGCATCGGCCACCATCCAAATAAAATCTGCCTTGAGAGTTGTCGTCCCAAGTACTTCTTAGTTTAGTCCCCCGATAAATAAGGTCAGAATTAGCTCTGTCCCGCTGAGCATGCTTGAGACACAGTGACCGTCGAGAGTTTGGTAGACTCTTCCTCAACGCTGTCCCTCCCATGGCTGATTCTTTTCGTTGCATTTCATCTATGACCAGGAATATCTTCCTATGCAGCATCATACTCATAAGGGTTTCGATGCTTGTCTAGGTGGCACGGGCGAGTATAGTTCGTCGCTACATGCAGGGTATCAAAGAAGGACACTTTCCCATTTTGGTGGAGAATGGCTTCTACGTTTGTGGATTGTCCAATTCAATTGGAGCCTTACAAAACAATGTGAAAACAATCACACATTTACAATTGCTATGCAAAAATACCCATGATTTTTTCCCACTGTATCTTGCCCACACGATACCTGCCCTACCTCTTGTTTAACAACTCTAAAATAGAACAGAAATTGCCCGAAGAACCACGGCTTACTAGTGAACTGTGATGCACACTGTTATCTCGACAATGTGCCTAGGAAGAGGAACAATATGCTCAGAAAAGAAGGATAGGCTGCGACAAAACGGCATGGCCAAACTTTATAGCCACCAGACTCTAGGGGCAAGACATATTGCCAATCGCAGGCCAATTTAAACAGCAGGGCTAGTTTAAAAATGAGATTATGGAGGCAATGATAAAGGCACCTTGGTGGAACGCATTTGAGAACCAGGAATTATAGGAAACTAGGGCCTCTGTGCACCAACTAATGCAGTACAAGAAGCGTTGGCACAGTATGGATGGCTTGCTTACGAGGGCAAGGTGGCAAGGGCCGAAAGACAAAACATTGGGATGCATCGAGCACTTCTTTGTATTTGGGATTTGAATGACAGCTAGCAAAGCCTGGAATTCTATGGTGAAGCAGCTACCTAGTACGTCCGTTTGTTGCCGGTTGCCACGGAAAAGATCGATCATGAATCCACCGGCCAACGCCTTGATACTGAAGAAGAAAAGCCCGGTCTCCTATTGAAATCACTCCTGCTACATCCTATCGCCGTGCAGATCTGGCGGGTTCAAAGCACTACCGCCCCGGCATCAAAACAAAATGCAATGCTCCTCTCATCTGCCGACACCTCGTACCGTCATGACTGTCGTAGGCCCATGACTCTGGCTGGGCGCTCATCTATCTGTTATACTTCCAACGAATGAGGGGTCCTTGATACTGCCACCTCCATCGCCCAAACCTGCAACAGGACGGTTGTATGACCATCCCGTGAATTGTTGTTGCATGGTTTGTGACAACATTGGCCCTTCAACAAGCGAATCGGCGGGAAATTCTTTCGTGAACTCCTCATCAAAGTTCTTCGTATCAGTGGCACCAGTCTATAGATTGTCAGCAGAATATCGTAAATGGAGAAACAGGATACATACCACATTGGGCTTGAAGGTCGGCTCGTATTTTCGCTGAAGAAGCTTCCGCCAGTCAATGCTGTGGAAGAAGGGGTGTGCCTTAATCTCGGATGCACCATTGGCTCCCAATCGTTGGTCGGGTTTGCGGTTGAGGAGCTTAGTGAGAAGATCCTTCGCGGAAGGTGGCACAATCTCCGGCCCAGGGAAATGGAGAGGCTCTGACAAAATCTTTCGGTACATCTCATTGGTATTCTCGTCATAGAAAGGGGGTAGGCCCGTCAACATCTCATAGAGAAGAACACCAAGAGTCCACCAGTCGACGGTCTTTGTATAACCCTGACCTAGCAACAGCTCGGGAGCAAGGTATTCGGGCGTGCCACAAAATGTGTTCGTGCGGTCCTCATCCTTCATGTCCAGCTTACATAGGCCGAAATCGCACAGAGCAATGTGTCCAGAATAATCTAGTAGAATATTCTCAGGCTTCAAATCTCGGTAAATAACGTTGAAACCATGTAAACACTCGAGCGCACAGAGAAGTTCTGCAGTATAAAATCTGGAGCGATTGATATCGAAGCGTTGCTCCTTTTGGAGATGATGGAACAACTCCCCTCCGTTGACGAATGCCAAAACAAAGTAGAGCTTCTCAGGTGACTGGAATGTAAATTTGAGAGGTACGATAAAGGGGTTGTTAATTTGTGAAAGGACAGATCGTTCCGCCAATGTATGTGCGACTTCCGACCGGGAGATAATATGCGCTTTTCGAATCGTTTTCAGGGCATAGATCCGTTGGGTATCCTTTTTCTTTACCTGCATAACCTTTCCGAAGCTGCCTTTGCCAACAACCTTCAGCAGGTCGAAACCTTCGATCTTTAATGATCTCGTTCTGTTCTCAATGTACTCGACGCCAATTCGGATCTTGCCGGTCCCATACGTTACATCCAGCCAATCGGTCCCCGCCTGGCCCAGAGCCTTTTCTTTGGATTGCCATTCTGCAGCCGCCTTCTCTTTGTCCTTCTTGCTCAACTTGGGATCCTCAACGTATTTATGGGCTTCCTCGAAACGGGGATTGATGCGTGTTACCCCAAGAAAGATATCTTGACTTCGTCCGGACCCGGGAGGTGCATTCGGATTTCGTAGGTAGAGATGGACTGCGAGTTCTGTTACTCGAGATACATCGAATTTGTATTGAGTGTTGTCTCCCGCCCATAGGGGGTTCTCGGGAGTTCCTGAGACAGCGTTTACGAACACCTGCAACTTATCGAAATCCAGCAGAGCGTATGGGAGGTACTTGGATGAGATTCGACCGTGGTTCATAGGGACTGCGCCAAACCCACCGCCCGATGTTTGTGGCCTCGCGTTGGTAGAATAGGAGCCGGCGACGCTGCCCTGTTGTTGAGATGAGCCTGGCCGTACGGATCCAGCCACTCCAAATCCATTGCCCTGGGAAAGAGAGTTTTGTTGGTGTGAACTAAGAGAGGTTTTGTATTGCTCTGGCAGAGAGAAACCAGTACCTTCGTGCAACGTGACGATCAAAATACCCGGTCGTGGTTGCGATTGGGGCTGGGCAGCTATGATTTCGGACGCAGCTGGGGGGTGTCAGCACAGCACAAATCTGCCCAGCGTTCATACAACATAGATTTACACATACCTATACCATTGTCGTTTGTAGGGGCAGGAGTGCTGCCTGCTAAGCTCGATTTCTCGTCCTTCGCGGACTCTGGTGTGATTGTTGCGGTGGATGGAGATCGGGAGAAGGTGTTGGCAAGAGGACCAAGATGGGTCTCCTTGAGCTCTAGATCTCAACATATCAGCAGTTGCACATTGATATATTATATAGAGATATGATCGATCCCAACCGGCAACCGACTGTGCACCGTTCACCTCCCAGCGACGAGGCCGGCGAGACGGGCGAGACGGGCGAGCGGCGGCACAGCCACGGTCACTTCACTTCACAGCAGGAGTCGACGCTGGTGAATATGGAGATAGGCGTGGATGTGGATGTGGATATGGATGGGGATGAGGATGGGGATGAGGATGGGGATGGGGACTCACTCTTGGTCAGTTTCCACGACATGTTGGCGTAGTGGTGGAAGGAATGTGGAGAGCGAATGGAGAGGGGGAGAGGTGTTGAGGTTTGCGGCTTGGAGGTTTGATATGAAGATAATGATGATGATAAGTTGGTAATCGCTCCAGCGGCCCCCTCGTCGCTCAAGTGCAGTGCGGTGAACAACCCTTGTACGTCGCAGTGCGCGAAGTAGTGTGGTACGGCGACGCTGCTGCTGTTGCCCCGCCAAAAGGAGGTGGAGGTGCTAGAACGGAGGAGGTACCTGGTACTTCGACGAGCGGAGAGAGGCTTGAGGGTTCTGGGCGGGTTTTAGGTGTGCGTTTCCTATCTAGCTACAAAGTAGGAAGTAGGCCGAGGATGATTGATTGATGTAAGTTTGGGCACACGACAACCACAGCGACGGCGCGATCGAAGAATTGCGGTTTGCGAATTGCGAATTGCTGAGAAGCAATACGAGGATAGTCCCAGGTGGCTGCGAGTACGTACTTGGCTTCGTATGAAAGTTGTGGCTCAGCTTCCACTGCTTCCAGCCGACAAAGGGGCGCCAGCAACCCTGTAGGCCTAGAGTAATAACACAAGAGGCAATAATAAGTCCTACGTTCTCGAGTGGCGAGAAAGGGGACTGTGCTATTGCGACGAAGTGCGGAACACGCCTGGTATTAATTAGGGTTTGAAGTTCAGCTACCCGCGGTTCAAGTTCCAGGTACGTTGGTGACTATACCTACCCTACCCTAGGGTACGAAGTCCCTACAGACCTAATGACTACGGTACATACCTACCTTACCTTAGGCCTTACATACTCTACCTTAGACACCTCGTACTTCATACCTACCTATGCTCATACCTGGTACTTAATGTACTTTACTTTACTCTACCTATTCGCGCTACGTACCGAATCTGGCCTACGGCTCTGGACAGCAGCGGACTGCAACTGGTACTACGTAGAGGTACCTAGCATCCTGGACCCCGAAACTCCATAGGTGGGATAGGGACAACTCAAAGTGAACTTCAGTAGACATTCAGGGCATTTCCTTTAGCTTTTGCCTTGTATCTTGTGAATCCCCTCAGCCTTTGAACCGCCCTGGGCAATCACCGCACCTGAGGCGCCACTGAATGGACGGTCACGTGCAAGCATACGCCACAGCAACATCCCCCATGGGGAACCGCAGTCAGAGTTCGTGGACCATCATCAACCCGTGATTCTCCCGGTCCCCCAAACCCCAGAATCCATCGACGATATGGGCGTCATCCGCAAGAAGACCGCCACCCGCGGCGGCGAGGGAGGCGTGAAGTATGTCTGCGATGTCTGCTCTGCTGATATAACGTCTACTGTAAGCCTCCTGCGTTTTCGTGCTCGGATAATATGAGGTCGTTGTTGGCTGCAATGTCCAGATGCTGACAGGTCTCTCGCGCTCAGGTCCGCATCCGATGTGCCCATAGTGCTTGCAATGAATACGACCTCTGTGTACAATGCTTTGCCAATTGCGAATCCTCGCACAACCACCAGCCTGCTACCCACCCATTCCGCGTTATCGAACAAAACTCGGTTCCCATCTACGATAAGGACTGGGGCGCGGACGAGGAGCTCTTGCTGCTAGAAGGGTGTGAGATTTATGGCCTTGGGTCGTGGGCAGATATTGCCGATCACATCGGCGGCTACAGGGACAAACAGGAGGTTGCAGACCACTACATCAACACTTATATAAACAGTTCCAAGTTCCCTCTGGCTGAGCGCGCAAGCCCGTACGACCTAGAGCTGCTCGAACAGGTACCAAGAGAGCAGTTCCAGACAGCAAAGAAGCGGAGAATTGAGGATCGAAAGGAGAAGCAGAAGAATGCCCCACCCGCTCAGCCAAAGAAGAAGCCGACGGCAAGTGTGCCAGCCTGCCATGAGGTTCAAGGATATATGCCGGGACGGTTGGAGTTCGAGACGGAATACGCAAATGAGGCAGAGGAGGCCGTACAGCTGATGCAGTTTGATCCTGGCGACGGCATCAATCCTCGGACGGGCGAGCTAGAACCTGAGATGGAGCTCAAGATGACGGTTATGGATATCTACAACTCTCGGCTGACGCAGCGTGCAGAGAGAAAAAAGGTCATTTTCGAGCATAACCTCCTCGAATACCGCAAGAACGCGGCAATAGACAAGAAGCGTACAAAGGAGGAGCGGGATCTCATGAACAAAGCCAAACCCTTCGCCCGGATGATGAATAAGAACGATTTCGAGGATACCTGCTCTGGCCTAATGAGGGAGCTCCATCTCCGTCAAGCAATCGCTCAACTCCAAGATTGGCGAAATGTGAAGATCGAGACAATCCGTGGTGGCGAGAAGTATGAAATTGAAAAGGCTCAGCGTGCACAGAGCAAAGCTCCCATGGGCTCTCTCGACCGTGAGCGCCTGGCCAGCTCCCAACGCTCGAAGCAAGCTCCTGTTGTTGAGACTCCCCCTGGGGTGGCCGCACTCATCGCCCCAGAATTCACTCCCGGTCCGGTTGCAAGTCTTAATCCACCACGGGCTGCTTTGGGTGAGAAAACGAACAACGTCCTGACGAACGGCCACACCAATGGCAACACCACTCCCGCCAAGGTTAAATACCAAATACCGCCCCTCAGTGGCATCAACCCACTTCCTCTATCCAAAGAAAATGCGCCTGATCTCCATCTGCTTACTCCCGATGAGATGGAGCTCTGCAAGATGTGTCGAATCCAGCCCAAGCCCTATCTGGTTCTCAAGGAGCGTATCATCAAGGAGGCAGTCACGGGGAATGGTGCCTTGAAGAAGAAGCAAGTGAAGGAGCTGTGCAAGGTAGATAGCCAGAAGGCTGGCCGCATCTTTGACTTCTTCGTCAACGCTGGTTGGATTGCTAAAGCTTGATGGTTGGGGTATCGGTTAATGATGGCGTTTGGTTTCGAGGCCCTTTTATTCCGCCGAATTGGCAGTATATCCTGCCCTGGTCTGGGCCGGAGTCGGGGGCGAATCTTACAAGATGCCTCTGCATAAATATGGGTGGAGGAGCATTTACACGTACTTTATTATGGGGTGGAGCGAAGTTCTGGCATTACTGGATGGGTGGGAAACGGCGCTAAGGCTACTGATATATAGACTAGGCTATCAAGGTCCTAGATTGAGACCTGATGAGTCTCCAGGCGTTGGTTCGGTAGTTCAATTTGCTATCAAGCAATTCTAATCAAGACCTGAAGCTATGTGGTTTTGTTTTATAATATTATGCCTGCCGGCTAGGACTCTATCGGCTTTTGCCTCTAGAAGGCTATCCTCAAGGGAACACGTCACACAACAGTCCTCACTCGATGTTTTCTTGCGGCATGCTGCGTGCAGAGGTTACTCGAGTACTCGTATGCATTACATATCACTAAATAATTTCTAAGAAGCAGAGAGGATCAAACAAAACATAATATGAGGCAGCAGCTGATTCAGGTACACGGTCGAGACCGTTCCCAAACCCCACCCCCACTATTCCCTAGGTAAAGCACATACGACTTGCGAGCTCCAGAGGATAAATATAACCAACCACTCAGGTACTGTACCTTAGGTGCTGTACTATAGTGGATGTTAAATTCCAATTACTTCCGGCACTAGGTGTAAGCTATCGGAATGTTAATATTACTGCCTGTATCTTAGGTAATTTTATGTGCGATGCTCAGTCATCCCGTGCAGCTGTGATGCGTTGTTGTGTCGCAACGCCACAGTGGACGAAGGAATGGTGGGGTCGCTGTTACTGACTGGTGGAAACGTCATTTGCATTGTTGTCTCAAGTCTCCGACAGCAGAGTAGCATTCTCCATCTTCCATAAATTTACCACTCTGTTGCTTCTGTCAAAATACCTGCTCTCACAGTATAACTTCAATTGACCGGTACGTACACGTATGCAGATTTTCAACCGCTGTGACCGCCGCCCCCCCTAATATGCAATGATGGGAGGCAGAGGTGGGGTTGAGAGCTTTTTCCCCCACCGCTCCTTCGATCAACCTCAAATGCATTCATGGGATTTTTGAATCGAGCGACGAATATACGTGGTTAAGCTGACGGGGACCTTGCGTTAGAAACGAGCGCTATAGTTACCCTGAACGACATCATGGTCCAAGCCGACAAGCTGCCCTCATGGGCCACACTCCAACACCACCATGACACTGTGGGTCGATCATTCGTCCTTAAGGATGAATTCAAGAGGGACTCCTCCCGCTTCGAGAAGTTTTCCTTCAAATTTGATAATACGTCCGATAAATCCGAGATCCTCTTCGACTTCTCCAAGAATCTCATCACTGAGGAGACGGTCAAGATATTGGTGCAGGTCGCTAGAGAAGCAAACCTAGAGGAGCTCCGCGATCGCATGTTTAAAGGCGAGAAGATCAATTCCACCGAGGATAGAGCCGTTTTGCATGTGGCACTGCGGAATGTCGGCAACGAGCCTATTAAGGTGGATGGAGAGGATGTTATGCCGGGCGTCAACAAGGAGCTGCAGCATATGAAGGAGTTCAGTGATGCCATCCGAAGTGGGGAGTGGAAGGGCTATACCGGAAAGCCATTGACCACTATTATCAATATCGGTATTGGCGGTAGTGATCTGTAGGTCCTGCCCCTATGGGTGTCATGAAGTTGTCCTGATTTTAGTATAGTGGCCCCGTTATGGTTACGGAAGCTCTCAAGCATTATGGAGATCGCAAGCAGACCCTCCACTTCGTCTCCAATATCGACGGCACCCATATCGCGGAAGCTCTTCGTGACTCTGACCCAGAGACAACCCTCTTCTTGATTGCCTCCAAGACTTTCACCACTGCAGAGACTACGACAAATGCTCACTCTGCAAAGGATTGGTTCCTGGAGAAGACTGGCGGCAAGGGCGACATTGCCAAGCACTTTGTTGCTCTTTCTACTAACGAAGCCGAAGTCACAAAGTTCGGTATTGACGCTAAGAACATGTTCGGGTTTGAAAGCTGGGTTGGAGGAAGGTACAGTGTTTGGTCAGCTATTGGGCTTAGTGTGGCAATCCATATCGGATATGAGAACTTCCACCAATTCTTATCCGGAGCGTATGCTATGGACAAGCATTTCCGGGAAACTCCTCTAGAAAAGAACATTCCAGTTATTGGTGGTCTCCTAAGTGTTTGGTACTCTGATTTCTTCGGAGCCCAGACACATTTAGTCTCGCCGTAAGCCTTTCTTGTCCAAAGATATATCATATACTAACCATCGCAGATTTGATCAATATCTTCACCGCTTCCCCGCCTATCTCCAACAGCTCTCCATGGAGTCAAACGGCAAGTCCGTCTCTCGTGACAACCAGATGGTCAAGTATACAACCGGCCCGGTCCTGTTCGGCGAGCCAGCAACCAACGCGCAGCACTCCTTCTATCAACTCCTCCATCAGGGCACGAAGTTAATCCCAACGGATTTCATTCTTGCCGCTGAATCACACAACCCAGTTGACAACAACAAACACCAGAAGATGCTTGCGTCAAATTACTTCGCCCAGGCCGAAGCCCTCATGGTCGGGAAGGGTGAGGAGCAACTGAAGGCCGAGAAGACCCCTGACGCCTTGATTAAACACAAGACCTTCTTGGGCAATCGCCCGACAACTTCCATTCTTGCCCAAAAGATTACACCAGGTACCCTTGGCGCGCTCATTGTGTACTATGAGCATCTTACTTTTACCGAGGGCGCTCTTTGGGACATCAACTCCTTTGACCAGTGGGGCGTCGAGCTTGGGAAGAGCCTCGCCAAGAAGATTCTCGCTGAGCTCGATGAGCCGGGCGTGCCCAAGGATCATGATTCTAGTACTGGTGGGCTGATTGCCGCATTTAAGCAGAAGGCAGGTCTCACTGGCGGGAGTAAAATTTAGAGGCCTCACTGGAGACAGGAAATTGAAATTGCAAAATGGTGATATGGATGAGAGCTTGTCAAAAGGACATAAGTGTATCTTAATTTGACCAATGCTTGATGCTGATGTAGAAGAAATGAAATCAATACGAATATGAATGCACATCATCGTAGCAACTTCTCCCCCCACTACCCCCTTTTTCCCCATATCACGTGTTGCTCTCGGTAAAATTGGCACTTGAACCCAGTGCCGATCTTGTAGCTCCAGGACGTGTTAGCTGTCAACTTCCACTCACGTCCTACCCACGCGCAAATATGGATATGCCCATAGGTATACATATGATACGCCGGTAATATCTTGGTGGATGAGAAGGCGAGCACTATGGCGCGCGGATGGTCGAAGCGATTTCTGGGATCTGTGTTGCTGGGTGCTCTGGCAGGATCAGGAATAGGCGGAGTCCAGGCTGAGGATTCCCAAATCCCGCTGCCGAGTTATCATTATGAGGCGCAGATTCCAGTTAGTTGTTTGAATCGGAGCATGTGAGTTGTATCTTTTGAGGAGAAGACTAACTATCGACGTATGGTTCGATAGGCAATGGCGATTGAAGGTGGAATATGCTAACGGGGCCTGAGGTAGCGATACAGGGGAACACATCTCTGAGGAGTCTTCGGGCGAACTACAGTATATCCCCTTCCCCGTGTGCAATGAGACCGGGAAGCCGCTGGAACTGCGATATGGGGTCGAAGAAGGTCTGTCTCTCAATTCCTCCCTCGTTCCTTGCAGGATAACTTGGAGAAGGTCTGCTAACAATTTGCTGTCCGCAGAACTCAACTGTACCATCCCCATGATAACAGATCCCTTCTTTCACCTCCTCGAATTCTATATCCATAATGACGCCCCCCTTTCCTGCCGCATCCCCTCCCGACCTCCCCGAACACTCCAATACAAAGACCAACCTCCCTCCAAGACCGAATACGTCCCTCTTATCTTCGCGCTCGCAGGAACACTCCAGCTGTCTCACCTCCATATCTCAACCCACCTCAATATCCTCCTCCATTCAACTCCCAAGGATCACCTCCAACGCCGTGACTCAGGCGTCATCGACTCTGGTGCAGCATACTCCACCTCTCCGCTGTCACACACGGTCGGCCCTGCAGCCCTCACGAAAAAACTTGTAATAGGTGACCCCCTTCCCTTGAAGTTGTCGGTTCGATGGTTCCCTACTCCTCAGCTCCCGCGAGAAAACGGGAAAGTGCAGTGGGCTGGTATGGGAGGACATTTCTATGTTAGCACCGCGTTTTATTGCCTAGTTTCGGCGGGTGCTGGGGCAAGTATTGTGACGGTTTGGTTTTGGGGGGTTGTGTTACCGAAACGAATTCGTGACAGGGGGAAAGGACTTGGTGGTGCGACTCCGTTAGGTTATGGTGTTGGGAATGGGTGGGGGATAGGGAAGCGGGACTGAGCTGCAAAATAGCAGCATGTGTGAAATGGACAGCGATCGCCGGGGCGATATCGAAGGGCATATCCCCCGGGTGAGGGAGTCTAAAGGGGGACTATATTGGAAGTGAAAGCGGTTTGATCAGAGCTGTGTACGAAGTACCTAGTGTACGATAGTAGTTGGCCGAGGAGTAGAGTGATCCCAGGCCATATTAAGAGAGTTGGAAAGGAAATGGACTCGCCAGAACATAATGCATAATACCCTCATTTTTGCAGTTTCCCCTCTGGTCATTCTCGATGTGATAAATAGGTTATAGACGGAGAGATAGCGGGAGGGTTGCCATGGTACAGCGATCGTGTACCACATCTGTTCCTTATCCTTTTGATCGGCCAATAAGGCGTTCTCTATCGCGCTTTCATTCAACGAGGTACTTACGATGTACTCCTCGGTCTGACGGTGTGAGTGGTCTGGCCTTGTAACTGGAGTGCCGACTTGGAGACTTCGCGGGCATTCACACTTTTGATCATGATGCTGACGTACGGAATACTGCGCGTAGCTACCGAGTATATCTACCTTATATTATACTTTTCTACAAAGTACATCGGCGTGCATCCACCAACCAAAATACTCGAACATTTCGAATCAAATTTCTTTCGGCTTCGGCTTTTCGCGTGGCTTAAGCCTCAATCTCACTGGTTGGACAAACCCCATGGGTCCTGTTCAAATAGTACCTACGGAGTACTAGGTACCCAGGGGGTCAGTGGCCGCAGCGTGGTCAGAGTGCAAGCTGCCTGTTGTCCCCGTAGTCGCTTGTTTCGATGAGGTTCTCATGCCATCATGATATGCGTGAGCTGTTTAGGCTTCGTATTTTCTGTCGAATAATATAAGTCGCCTCCGCCGTTATTCGATGCTGTCAACAGAGGCGCACTGCTCTGGTCTGGAGCAGGGAGCACCGCCGCCAATGTGGCACGTCGGGGCTGGGTGAATTGTGTAGCCATCCATCCACAGGGACCACTTCTGGGCGCTTCTAATTAGGTGAAGCGCGGGTGGGAGCTGAAAATCGACTTTGCACGAGGAGAGGGCACCCGAGATCTACGAAGTATGTTCATGAACTGCTTGCTTTTCCCCCTGTCTGAGACTCCGATTTTGGTGAGTGAATACCTAGGTAGCTGTTGAAATGATGTTGGTAATGATTGATATGTGGCCATTCCGGTAGATAAATGTGTGTTCGAAAGGCATCTTCCCTCTCTCTCTGTCTCCCTTGAGAATCAACACTCGACTCTCGACTCCCGACCAGGATCTCGAAGATAAGAATAGAACCCGCTCGGGCAACTTTACGCCGCGTCCCCATTGACAGTTGAAATTGGCTCCGCTTCTCCCCAATCGAGAGCTGCGGCTGAGGATCCACGCCAATTGCTTGTCAGCCCCCTTTAATATCACCACCACGACATAGTGTTACGGTGCGTAGATCATGGCCCCTAGGCTCCCTTTGGGGCTGAAGCTAGGCAATTCATCCCTCTTTAATAGCAGAGCCATCGACTGGGCTGAGCGGTAGCGCCCCATCCCATCCAACCTCCATTCGCGACTTACTTTCCACGTTCCCCCAGCTTCGCATCAGAGCCTCACACCAGAGCTTCACAGATCACCTTCACAGATCACCAAACTATCTTTCTCGTTCCTCTAGATAAGACAGACATTCACAATGGCCGCTACCTGGGATCAAAAGCGTACGCTCGTTCCCTCCCGCCCTTTTCAACTCTTCAACCCATATGATTTGATGTAGTACTGACCAATTTTCTCTCCAGCAGTTCCGGATTACTCTGCTCCTCAAGCGCAACCACAGCATGTCCCCCAAGCCTCTGCGCCAAATCCCTATCAACAGCCAGCCTCCCCCCAACCGTGAGTTTCCCCCATCACCATGCCGTAGCTACTGGGTCTTCCATTCGGGGGATGTTGCTAAGTCGACTGACTTTGAATCGTCAACTATAAGCCACAGCTAACACAAACCTTCCCCTCTCCAGCCAACAACAATACCATCAACAGCCCGTGCAACCCACGCACCCCGTGCAACAGCCTCAACAAGCACATGCCGCAATCCCCTTACAAGAGACAGCTCCGGGTCAACAACCACAACCAGTCTATAATCAGGGTGGACACCCACAGGCAGTGCCAGGCCCAGCTGGCCAGAGGACATTCCAGAATGCGACGCCATTAGCGAGTTTAGGGAGAGGTCCGGCACCAGCTGACTGCCCAGCATGTGGGCAGAGGGCTATGACCCGGGTCACACATGTCACAGGAAACTATACGCAGTACGTTTTTGGGCTTCCTTGGTTTCTACCGCAATCCTTCGCCGTGTTGTACTTCTCCACAGTCACAGGGTCCTCGTATCCTTAATCATCCGGCTACCTACTAGTTTCGGCCTAAGCCGCCTACACACCACTGTCTGAATATCTATACTTTGGCTAAGAATCTTGCTAATCGCTCGTTTACTATAGTGCATGGGCCCTTGGACTCTGCTGTTTCACTTGGTGCCTCTGCTGGGTGCCTTACGTCATAGACAGTTTCAAGGACGTCGACCACCACTGCGGACAATGCGGCGTGATGCTCGCTACGTGGCATAAGAGCGGCAGCGTGGAGGTGCATCAACATGCTTAATTCTACATCTTTCCCGATGGATGTGCTTCAGGCGGAAGCATGTGGTTTTGGCGTTACGATTGCTTGCCGTCGATGCGTCATTGAATAACATAATTAGTCTGATTACTGTACTGCTTGCCTAGATATACACCTTCGCGTCTTTAATCACAATTTGTACGTACTTAAAGCGGAACTATTATTTTGCATTTTGTTTTCACTTCGTGCCATATAATGCGGAAGTCCCCCTCCCCACTGGCTTGGTCAACCTTATCCTTCCAATACCGTCCAGCAATTACATCTCTTGAGAAAGTGCAGATTATGTTCGTCTCTCTAGTTATAGAGGAAGCGGTGCCATATACCATGGCTAAGCCCAGGTCGGGGAATCAAGTCTATTCCAAACCGCTCTATCTCTGCAGCGTAAAACAACCAGGCAAAATGCTAAAGCAATCCACTCATAACTGAATTGATAGCCTCTATCCAAACCGATGCAACTTGCTCCCATGAGTCCCCCTAATTCTCAAAACAAGCACGGTCAAATCCCACTCTCCTGCACACCCTTCCACATCTGCCGAATAAGCTTCGCGAAACCCAGCAAATCATCCCTATTCCACGGCATCGCATGATGATACTCAATCTCTAGCCCTTTCGCCGTCTGCGGATCGTAGTAGGTCGCCAGCTGCTTCTTTCCATTGACGTAATTGTCATCTTTTGTCCCGTGAAGATGTAGCGTCGGGATTCTGATGAGGTCGAGCTTGTCGGCATCTAGGTAGGTATGATTAGCTATGCAACTGGCTCCCCGCTTATCCTGATACTGTAGTAGGAAACAGATGAGAACGGAAGCAAGCTTACCACGAGAAACCGCGGATATCATAGGGGCAAAACTCCCCATACACAATATCCCAAACTTCAAAACAATATCATCATCCTTTAGCAGCCCCTTCTCCCTCCTCCTTTGCTGATCCAGTAATAAACCCCCCACAACCCTCGTTCCTTGACTAAACCCCATAGCAGCAACCCACTCGCCTTTCCCCTTCCCGCCAGCCTTCTTCATCAACTCCCAAACTCTCTCCACGCCATCTTTCCCTCCAATCTTCCCATCAAACCCACTTCCATCCGGTGCAATATCAGCCCACCCCTCCACCTTCTCGTCCCGCTTAAACCAGGTGCGATACGGTTGGTATAACTCGGAATCGAAAGCGGGCAGGACCCCGGGACCGGGACCGCTCAGGAACGGCCCATCGAAGAAGACGAGCTCGAATTCCTGGTGTATTTCGCGCTCTAGCTGCGCGGCTTGCACGGCAAAGATGGCGCTTGAGGAGCCGCCCCCGTGGAAGCATGCTATGCGGGGGAGGGGTGCCATTGCGAGGTGGAAGTACGTTGTATGATGAGAGAAATATTGTGGGAGAGTCGGTGGAAGATAAGTATTTGTGGGACGTTTCACCGTTGTCCGTGCCTACTGTCCTTCGGGTTTCCTTCCTAGAACTTTTTTGTACTCGGTACAATATTGATCGTTCCCGGCGGTCAGCAATAAATGTTGCTGCAGGCAGGGTTCGCGGATGCCCGAATGCCCGCCATGGATTGGCTTGCCAGTAGCGGCACAGCCTTCAGATGTCTGTAGAATCATAGATGAGTTATAGAACGGTCGTTCATATTTTTGCCTTTGAGAGAAGCTATTGTGGGATTCGGGCGGAAATCCTCTATACGATGGCTTCGTTTCTTCCCTAGAACTTCCCCTAGTTGCGAGTCTTGCTCGGTATTACTTCGTAGGCCAACGGGGAAAGGAGTCTGATAATACGCCAGCTATGTTGTCTAGTAACCCAATTCTGTACCCGTGGGCATCCAGGTATGGTATATCCCTAGATCCTAGGTCTTAGTAGCGTCAATCATTCTCCGATTGCAGGAGACGTACCTATAGTACATAGTGATTTGGTGCAACTGGTAATCGGGGATTGGTTAGTCACATGATTTATCACGTGGTTCTGTTATGACTCGAATCCGCTCTCTTTTCCCCTAATATCTACCTGATATCTACCTGATATCTCCCTTTTTCCCCGCCATTCCTTTTCAAATACAGTGCTATGTACCACTACTCTGCTCCGCAACAATGAATCCTCTGTCGGCGACATCAGCCCAAGGAGCAAGTGATCATGTTCCGTCAGGCCTTTGTCGAGTCCCTCCCCGGCATCCCCGCGCTTGCAACAAGACAATATCATACGCTCCTCCATCTACAAGTACATGGCCAAGGCAGCAAACTCGCCGACGGATGGCCCGACTACATTGTCCACAAATCCAACAGTTATGCCCCCAAACAGATACCCAATCCTCTGAATTCCGCTTCTTCCCACTCTTACCCCCAGAAATCCGCATCCATATATGGAATTTGGCACTCATGCCTCGTGTCATACATTTACACATCCACCTAAAATGCAAAAGCAACCTCCGCCGTAATCAGCTAGCTATTCTCTCCGTGTCATTTACATACAATATCCTACCAACTCCTCAAACTGTGAGCGATATCGAATTTGACTACCACGTGCGGAAACGGCTTTACAAAGATAGGTCAGAACTCCCTCGTGCGCCAGCTTTGTTGGAAGTTTGTAGGGAGAGTAGGCAGGTAGCCTTGAAGAGATACACTCTTGCATTCGCCGGAAAACATTTCGGAGGATCTAAAAATGTGTTTTGTGATAGGTGGGAACGTTATGGGTTAGGAGAAAAGAGGATATGGATTGATTTTGAGAGGGATGTGGTCTTCTTGAGCGATGAGTATTTAATACGGCATATACAGTACGGAGGGAGCGACGTTGGGAAGATAAAGAGGTTGGCAGTGACTAAAAACCTGCAGAGTGACCAGGCTGTAGCTGCATCCGGAGCCCTACAGTACAGGCTGGGTATGGAGCGTCCCTGGAAGGAGGCATTATGGGGATTTTCGGGATTGAGAGAGCTAATCATCTGGGATACACGTGAGATGTGTAAGCTGCCTGGTTTTAACTCGGGGGGATCAGAGAAGAGATGGGATAAAGAGAAAGCCCAGGAAAATGTGTCGGAGTTTCTTGGGGAAATAAAGAAAGAGAATAAAAGTTGGACGGGCGAACTGCCTCTTGTGAGAATGAAGAGAGTATCTGATTGGATATAATCGTTCCCGCTGGCTATGGAAACCCGGGACAGGGACTTGCAGGGTACAGTGCAAATCACTAACCATCCAATAGTTGGGAGATAAAAGGCCTATTTCCCTGACAGCTTAAGCGGTTTGAGGCTTGGAAACAGAAGGTAGAAAACCACTTGTAAAAACAATCCGAGTTCATTCATGGCACCGTTGTCCGGTGTGGGACTTGCCCTAATGGCAGCGATTGAATGTGCAATTTCCAATGGATGCTAGCGTTGAGGACGATATTAGCATTTAATATCCAATGATCTGCCGCAGAATAATTCTCCTCGTTATATATAATCTTATACAGCCTCAACTTCACATGGACCTGAACGTCGCCTGTACAACTCCTCGATCTCAGTGGTATAACCCTCGAGCGCCGCCCTTCGGTTTATGGTCCCCTTGAATATCCGCTGCAATGGTTTTTCGGCTGTAGCAATCAGCACCATATTCTGTTTCAATCGAATCTCGATCGCGAGATCTTCATTGGCCTTCTCGATCACTGGCCACAGATCCACAACTATATCGGGTGGCACCGCTCCTTTGTCGGCAAGCTCGAGCAGCAGAAACGGCATGTCCCTTTCATCACCACCCATAATAGCACCGGAAATTCTCGGATCCTTCATTAACAATCCCTCCACGTGTGACGCGTTAAATTTCGTCAGTGTGTTCAATTTGACAAAATCATCAGTCCGCCCGCAATACAACCACAGGCCCTTCTTGGTTGGATGCTCCTTCCAAACATCCTGCGTGTGGAATACCTTCAATTCTGGGAATACATGGAAGACCATTTGTGTCTTGGCCAACTCGGGATATTCATGCCTCACGATAACGCTCTCGCAAAGATCATCTTGGAAAGGGATGAATTGGAATCCAGTGGCGGGGTCGAAGTTATAGTACATCCAATCTTCTTGGTCAGCAACCTTTAGGCCGTACGAACCTACTTCGGTGGATCCCATCGCCGGTTGGACGCGAGTAAATTTTGTGAAGACGTCCCCAGTTTCGCGAGACAGAGGAGCTCCGCCGAAACTAATGAATTTTAGATTGCGCATATTTTCGAGATATATTGGGTTCCGGGCGAGTTCTTCAAGCAGGTAGGGGATATAGAGACCCCCGTCTGCTTGAACAGATGTGTGTATTTTGTCCATGTACTCTGCTGTCATGGGGTGTGGAGCGTCGCGTGGGAGCAAGATGGGAATTGTGCCGAAGTCAAGTGGGGAAATGACTTGGAAATTAAACCCGAGCATCCAGGAGGGCGGCATCGGGACGATCAATTTGATGTCTCCCCAGATCCGTGGGCCATCTCCCGTGTTGAAAACGGTGAGCATGTAGTTTGTATACGTGACCGGTTTGGGTAGCCCTATCGCGATCAGCTTAGGATATAACGGCGTTAGACTTCCCCCTTACCGGTTGTTCCAGACGTATGAGTGATTACAATCGGATCGTCTTTCACCTCGTCCCACGTTAGGGAAAAGGCATAGTTCTCAGTAGTTTCATCGGAAAGAAAATATTGGAGATCAGGTATCATAAGAATTTTGAAGCCGTCGATCTCAGGACGAAGCTCATTCCATTTGGGAAGCAGCTCCTTGGAAGCAATTACGACCCGGCAATCTGTGGCCTCAAGCAGGACTAAATGGGCTTGTCTTGAGTTATGACTCAAAGGTAGAAGAATCTGGTTCGGAATTAGACGCATATATGTGAAAAATCAAGTGCAAATATACCCGCCGACGTGTTTTTAGAGCTGCGGCAAAGAGAAATGCATATCGAATATCGGGTATTCCCATATAAGCAATTGTTTCAAAACTGGTTGATTTCCCAAGTTCTCGATCAATCCACCAAGACATCAAGTTGACGGCCTTGGAGAGTTCGCCATATGTAAAGTCTCGGTATCCATCATGAATGGTCTCGGTACGAGGGATGATGGCGAACACTTTGTCGGGATGCTCAACAGCCCTCTCATCGATCATAGTCGGGAACGGTTTGCGCTCTCTCTGCGAATCCATCTCCTCACTTAGCATCAGCTCAATAATGAATGGATGGCCGGCAATTGCTGACAAGAGATATCTTCAGCGGCCCAGCTCCACGGCCCCGGATTTCCGGGATGGCTCGCATACTTAAGCCTTCAAGATAGCCAAGCAGGGCTCTCCATCTCCTCAGCCAAGTGGCATAATCCTCTTTCAACTACCCAATTAGATGGCCCGATTTGAGCGACCAGAGCGGTGGCACCGGAATAGCGCAGGCCTAGCCAGCCCAGGGATTCACCCAATTGGTGGTTTTAGGCATCTATTTGCTTTTGCTGCATCTCTTAGAGGAATTAGCACCGGAGCCAAGGTATAAACACGCCATTACTCCAGAGTGTCTATTATGGTACTGCAATAGAAGAGAGTTGTACGTAGTACTTCGTGCTCTGTAGTACGGAGGATGTACAGAGGTACTGTATCTTGGGCGTAACAAACGAGATGTCGATATGAATAAGATAAGCACAGCCCCCGACAGGAAATCTAATCTTCAATCTCTCCGTAAGCGGATTTTAGCGAAACAAAAATACTCGGACCAACTTCCCCCTGAACCAACTGCCCCCAGCTTCATGTTCAGTTCCTGTCATCTCCCATCACCACGTCTCATCCACTACCCAGCCCACTATCAGAACGAGTCTTGTTTGTGACCTTAGCTTGTTCTTTGGTTTGATGGTTATTGCCAACCGCCGTCATGACTATTTCACTCCTGTCCCGGAAGCGTGACCTAGCTTACTTCGTTCATTTCTCTATCTCTATTCCTATAATGTTTAGTAAGCTTCCTATCTCCTAAATACCTCTCTGTACCGATACAATAACTCCGGTCTTTGCATCTCAAGTGGCAGTGAAACAATATCCGTGACTCGTCATCCAAGAGAATCGTTTTGCTAATGGATCCACGTGACTAGTAATGGACCTTCAACCACTCTATCCACCTACTATCGTCCCCGAGTTCATGATAGGCCTCAAGAACTACTATATCAATAATTACCATGACCAATTTTTCGTCGAAAGCCCGCCGTTCTTCAAGCTCTTCCTGTGGTCCGAGATTCTATTCCAAGCCCCCGTGGTGATCTGGGGTCTGGGAGCTTTGTACCGAAGTAGACACTGGATCCAGGATATACACTATTATGCTGATTTATAATAGACTCGCCAAAAGTTCCATTGGTTTTATTTCCATATTCCCTCGTGGTATTCCTCACTACCCTCACGTGCATGGTTGAGTATTCGTACTGGCCAGTGCCCTTGTCACAGAAGGTGACTTTGACGACGCTTTATGGTCCTTATTTAGCACTATGTTCGTAAATTTCCTCAGCCTCATAGCTCAATTCCTTGATTCATTTCTTCAGGATGCTAATTCTAAACCCAGCCGCTTTCATGCTTGTGGATATGTACCTCCGACTCCACAACGTGATAAATCAGGCATCAACCAAAGCCGAAGACAAGAAACTGCGGTGATTTGGCCAGTGATGAAAGAATGATCCATTCCTACTTACTTCATTTATGGAATAGGAAGATATGGAAACCCATCATGCCTTCTAGAATGTTCAGCTCGTGCACAGGTCAAAATGCAATAGGCACTCAGATACCAATTTCTCAACTGTGAACTTGATATACATGTATATTAGATTGGTTCATCTTCGAAAGTTGAACTCGCTTCCTTTCCCTCCGAGCTTATTTAGCTAAATTCCTGTACAGATTTGTGTGGATGCGATTTCAAAATCATGTATCCAACCAATATGACAAAAGATCCTTTGTGCTCGAACTATATCATTGTTTGAGCGTGGTGATTACAGGGCTCTTTTTTCTTTGGCCCCCCCCACCAATCAATCCTTTGCGTGCGCTTGTAGCGTAACACCTGGCTGTTCAAATCTACAACAGGCTGGTTCTCGTTAGTATTTAAACTTTAATTCGCACCAAACCAAACATCAGCCCTCTCCCGATCTTCTTAGGCACTGACAAACTCACTGCACACCAAGTCCAAGGACCCCACGAGGGTATTGCCCTGTTCCATACAATGGAAAACACAACCAGCAACATCGACGAAATTCCCGGTGGTGAGGCGGATAAGACGCCAACACCCCCAGTCACCGTCCAACCTCAATTGCTTTCGCATTATGCCCTTAATGGCAGTACGAACCTTGAAATTACAATTGACTTCCGACGCAATCAACCCCACTCTGTCATCTCAGCAATGTTAAACCCATCAAGTTGTCTGCTAGATTGCAGCCTATTCGATGTCCTGGTACCCTACAAGAACGTCTCCAGGAATGTCGTCGTCAATATGATCTTCCGGAGCGCAACCGAGGAGCCACCGATCCTTAAATTAGAACAAAGATTGTTTATTGAACGGCTCGCCGGAACTCTTAAAACATTCTCGAATTTGGGAGTTTTTATGGTAGGGTTTGATGTAGTGAGGGATAACAATGACTTAGGCAAGTATTATACCTGCTTCGACAGTAAGAAATTTCCGGTCATAGACTATTACGTTCGTTTCATGAACGATGATGAGCCTGAGTGGACGCAGCTTGCTGTGCCTGTCAAGCCAGCTAGCGTAGAAGCTGAAGTTGTGGAGCAGAAGTGAGTTGCGAAGCCAGAATTTCATTGCATCATTCAGATTGGATATTGATAAACATGCAACCCCCTAGGTAGGAGAATAACATAAATAATCACATCAGCCGTAAACCTTGTGCCACTTAACACTTTGTTCCTACCACCCCTTGTCTACAGTAGCAATTTCTATGCAGGAAACCTTGTTCGGCTTAAACATGATTCAGACTCAACTCGTTAAGCTACAGCAGTAGAAGGCACATAATAGCGTGACTAGTATGCCTACAGGGTTAAGGCCCCTACTGTGGGAAGATCGAAGAATTCCACCCTTCGTTATGGCTGTTCTCGCTTCCTACGGCTTATCGTACCCAAATCATCTCAACTTTATGCTGAGCGTGACTCGCAGGGTTTCTACAGACGGACACGCTTCGAGAAAGAAAGGTCCACGACTCAAGAATTGCTGTTTTCTCAACCCCTATTTAATCTACAAGGTAACCCTATAGGATATATCCACCTGCTTCCCCTCTCATTCCATCATGATAGCAAGAGAAATACATCATACAATCACTCTGGTTTTGTGATATCAGCATATACGCCATCTATGATCTCAACTACGATTTTAAAACCCACCAACTCAAAAGATGCTCTCTATCCGGTTTAACCTCCTGATGCATTTTGCTATACTTGTATAATATTTTGAGCGCAAAATCTCTGGATGCTGATGTCAAGCGGCTAGAAAAGGCCTGTTATATATAAGGGGTTGAGTATCCTCTAAAAGCTAGTTGATCTGGATACAACTAGGGTTTTCCAGCGATAAAGCTAAATTTGTAATTAAACCTAGCTTTCCACCTCTATGTTCGAAAGATAATGCTAGTAGCACTTGCGAGGTACACTTCGAGTGACCGGCCCACTACGCTATTATATGTTGGTTATAACAACTTTCGTTATACCTGTCACTGACTCATTTTAGTTCCCCCTAACATTCTTTACCCGTAGATAAACGTAAGCTAGTTGTTACATTTACCAAAATTCATTTAAATACCACGCATGCTGCAGGCTAACTGAGGAGGGTTGTAGCAGATCTAGTGTTGATACTGCTAGCAAGGGCGGATGCAGGCTTTCCCGTGTCCTAGCAGCTCCAGCTATGCCATAACCTATACACCGGTAGGTATATGTGTGATATAAGGTATCGTCGGCTGCCGAGTTTAAACTGGCTCCAGATAGAATACAAATGCAAAAGAGGTTACTTAAACCGTCCCTCTTTTCGTGCAAAACCCCTAGCCTGTCATTTTCATTCCAATCCCACCCCAATCCCATCATCCCACCTGACACCGTACTCTTCCCCAGAATAGAATCCCAATTCATTATCGAATCCGAAAAATTACCCAGACCTGACTAAGACTTACGCACGCACGCCACCATCGCAAAACCTGCACGAAAGAAACGTGGTATACCCATCAATTGAACCATGGCGTACCTCCCAATACGATCCTACATCCTGCCCGTCCAATCCTACTCGTCTCCCGAACATCCTTTTCGCCGACATCGATGACCTCACGTGCATACCCTTGTGCCCATAAAATTCCAACTACGGACTAGCGACGTACGGTATGTTCTGCAGCACACCCGCAACCGATACCTAGGTAGACGAGAGTGAAATCCGGATTTATATCCGACCGCACGGCATGGGGCCCCAGGGCTGATCGTGGCTGTTTGGGAAGGTGGTGCTGCAGTGAGCTTTTTATTTGAGAGAGTTTTCTTTCGCGTTGTACATGTTGGCGACGCGGCATTGGTAGGGGGGCCACTCGGCCCTAATGGGGTATTTGAAGGTGTATTGGCAGAAGGGATCGAAATTGACGCATGTTTGAGGCGTGGTGTGCTGGGGTGGTTAACTGGCCTCTTTGGTTATTGTGTTAATTGGTTCATCTGTAGAGTGTCAAATCAACAGTCGCAACGTCAAAAGGTGCGGGTAAAGCCATGGAGGTGATGATTAGCTAATAGTCGAAATAACAGATCGAAGACAACGTATAGAGAAGAACGGACGTGGAACAGAATGTATATACGGCAATAAATGCACGCAGAGGGAGGATTATATTATGTTATGATGCTATTTAAAATGGATGCCGGTGGATAATGGGCGGAAAAGTTAAATGAAGTCAGGCAAAAAGCTGTTAGGAACACGCCATGCCTGAACAACAACCTCGTCCTTGCCCAAAACCAGAAAACTCATTCTAGCCAGTCACCTGTATGGCGCTAAAACTTTAGAAAATAAGACCTATGCGGCTTTCTCGCTGGTCTGGACGACTCGCTTCTCGTCGCTACCAGCACCATCATCACCGTGGAGCTCCTTCTCAACCTCGTGCATGTTGACCTCGCCAACTGCCGCATCGTCGCCGTCGAAGATCTTGGCGAGTTCCTCGAGAGTGGGACCGCGGGTCTCAACGTAGAAGAAGTAAACGAAGAGGAGCTCGATAAAGATGAAGACGGTGTACATGAGAGACAGGTCGTAGTGATGGGGAAGGTTGTCCCAGGCAATTGGGTTGGTGTAGTTTCCGAGGACCAAAGTGGCTTGAACAGTCAAGTTCATGATCATGAGACCCTTGGCACGGAGCTTGTATGGGAGAATCTCGAGGGAGTAGGCGACAAGGAGACCAGACCATGCAATAGCATAGAATACGCTGAAAAGCCAGACGAAGACGATCTGTGGGTAACCGGCGGCCATGCTGACGGGGTGCTCTGGGTCAGGGTTCTGCTTCTCGAATTGGGAGGCGGTAATAGTCCAGGCCAAGAACATCAGAACCATGCCGGTGGTCGCAGTCAGGAAGAGAGGTCGTCGTCCGACCTTGTCAACGAGCGTGGAAGCAGTAACGGAAACGATCAGGGAGAGCAAAGTCTGGCCACCGTTGAGAGGGATCTTTTTGTTCTGTTCGGTGATACCCATGCTGTTGTAGATAAGATTCATGTAATTGGAGAAAATAGCACTGCCAGAGTATTGCGAAATGATACCGAGGGAGATAAGGAGGGAGAGACGGTATCGGTTACCCTTGGTCTTGAGGAAATCGACGTAGTTGCTAGTCTTTCTGTACTCGAACTCAAGTCTCAGAGTCTCCTTGATCTCCTTGTACTCAAATTGGACGGTAGCGTTGTGGATGTCGCCATTAGCATGGTACTTGGCGAGAGTTTGCAACGCCTCCTCGGGACGATCCTTCGAGATGTGCCATCTGGGGGATTCTGGGACCCAGTAGATGAAGCTGATCTGGACGAACGCAGGAATGGCTTGGAAAAGCGTCAAAGATCTCCATGACCATTCACCGTTGATAGCTGCGGTAGCCCAGGCAATCCAGGCAACGACTGCACCACAATTAGTTCCCGACCGCATTTCTATAGATGTTTCCATGCTTACAAAGTGCACCCAAGTTCCACAGGCAATTGTAAAGAGTGGTGACACGGCCTCTGTGCTGGGGATGGGCGATCTCGGTAAGGAGGACGGGAGAAGACAGCTGGGACAAAGAGTTGCCGAAACCGAGGACGAACCGACCAGCGACATACACTGAAGGAGGGTTAGCTGGCGACAAATACCCAGGCAGTAAATTCCATTTGTTACTTACTTCCGTAGCCATTGCAGAATGTGCCAAGGAGAGCACCGAGAATCATGAGGAGACCGCCCACAACAATGGGGATCTTACGTCCCCACCAATCTGCCATGTAAGGCACCAGGGGGAAACTGCACAGGGAGCCAATTTGGTAAATGGCATTCATCAGGCCCAAGGTGCTGCCTGTGGGGTGGTTGAAGTATTCTTGCCATTGGTCGAGGTTTTGCGAGGTATTCAACATCATACTAAGCCATTGTTAGCGATCACTGCGGAAGGGAGCATGAATTGTGACTTGATCGGTCTTACCCATCATAACCTGTGGTTGCGGACGCAATGCAAAGAACAGCACAATAGAAGTACAGCTTTCGCAGGCCCGGGTTGGACCACCATTGGACCTTCTCGAACTCGGGGGCCTCTGCCTGGGCAATCCCCGCGGCCTCCTTTTTGCCCTTTGCGGGATCGACTACTCCGATGTGTACCATGTTGCCGAGTCTTGTTGACGGAGAACCAAGATTGTCGAGATGTTGCTGATGGGCTCTTCTGAAGAGGAAAGAATGGATGGCTCCAGGATTATATAACTGACAGCAGGAGGAATGCGGGCACTTAAGTACATGGAAGGGATATTAACGCTCTGGTAGGAAGTATAGAAAATTAAACGTCAGGCCCTAGCTACTCCACAGAGCTGGAGCGAGGTTCGCCACACGACAACCTTGCGCCGGAGCAAAATGCATGGCCTCCTGCACGTCGATACCCTGAAAGGGTTCCGGACCGCAACGCTCATCGTCTGTCTATAAACGGATGGCGTCTTTTGGGACCACCTCTGTATTCAAACTGAACGAGGGAGAGCACTGCTGGGGGAGAGATTCGTGTGTATCGGGAGGGCCAATGGCGCCGCCGATGCCAAGTGCGTTGGAAATACCGTTAGCGCCTGGCGGGCCTCGTCTAGCTCAAACGCGTAGATTGGGCGTTCTCAATCTGATGCCGCCATGGACCCAGCGCCACGATCGTGAAAGTTTATCCAAACACGGTTCTGTCGAGTGTGGACAGGGAGGCTAAGGAGGGTAAGGAGATTCCTCGTCGGCTGGCTTGCAAAACGGGGACGCGGGGTATACAGGCTGAAAGGCAACGGGACTTGGCCGCGGCGAGCGGCTGGGTGATAGGCCAGACATACGGCCCAAAGGAATCTGCATTATAATTGCTTCGTAAGTTCGCCAGTATGTACTTTCGTACCTACGACTGGGCGATCGAGCTCCAACATGCGGCGCGGATCCTAGAATCAGGCAAGCCCGAGGGCTGTCCTCGTAGGGAGCATCGAGGGAGCATCGAGGGAGTATCGAGGCACATGCCTGCGAAATCCGAGATCGTCAAACAGGCGAGCCCGATGCGAGGGACTAGGAGGCTAGGAGCAGGGTCCCGAAGGCTGAAGCCGAATAGTAGAACAGAATAGATTGCAGGTGATGGTGATGGCGATGGTGATACCCGCCGTTGGGGGACAGCTAAGTGCCAACTAACTGGGCTCAGTAAGGCTCGGTGTGGCCAAGTTCCCACCGGCCACAGCTGGGAGCACTCCGTAGTGTACAAAGCACTTCGTATGGGGTATGGGGAAGGGGGAGGTGGGGTGGGGTGGAGTGGAGTGGAGGAGTAGTGGAGTGGAAAACATGGAGTCTAGAGTTTGGAGTTTGGAGATGAGATGTTCGTCGCAGTTCCCACCCGAGAGTAGTGCACGTAATGGACTCCGTGGTGTGGGGAGGGGGGGCCCTGGGGCCTTGGGGAAGCAGAAATGCGGGTGAATATTGTATGATAGAGATCATAGAGTGCAGAGAGAGTGCAGAGCATCAACGGAGATGGCGTTGCCAGGGGGGGATAATAGGGGGGGGTTAGGGATAATTCGGGGCATAATAATAATAATAGGTAAGTAAATAGTACATAGTACATAGTAAATAGGGTCGTCGGGTACTAACTAGCACAGTCTAGCAGGCTAGGGGACCCCTTCCCTTCCCCAACCCTGACCGAGGCAAGCTTCAGGCGGTTCCTGGCGTGCAGCGAAGGGAGCTAGAAGGGACTTAGCCCTTTGCGGTCCCGAGCCGCACCAAAAGAGCCCCCAAAAGACACCGAAGGACAATTAAAGCCACGGCAAACCCAGCGCCAGCGACGCCACCAGCCCGATCCAACGTGTTTTGCCCTGCTCCTCCACGTGATGCCCGGACGCCCTGCCGCGGCGTACCCTCCAGTCGCCAGTCGCGAGCCTCAAACCGGCTTCCTTCGACCTTCCAAACGGCTTCGACGCTCACGAGCGACAGCAAAAGAGAAAATAGAAACATCGAGTCGGCCCGTGCAGCGGGATATCGGCACGAGATGTGCGGTTACTTCGCCCATCCAGCGCTCAGAGGGGCGAGTCGCACATCGCCGCTGGGCTGGTCTGAAGTTTGGGGCATCAGGAGACCAGACCATGAAGGGCGCCCTTTTGTTGGTTTAGTTCAGTTTGGTTTGGTTTGGTATGGTATGGTTTGGCAATCTGGCCAACGTGTTGCTGTTATTGCGGTCTGTTATTGCTGCCATGGCTCCTTGATCGGCCAGATTAAAAGATTTGCAGGCACGCGGGTGAAGTGAAAGGCAAAAGGCAAAATCAATCCAGTCGGTACAGTTCATGTACATACATGAACGTAGCACAGCGGAACAGCCGCGACTCTTCGGAACCGTCCACCCACCGGCAACCATAATAAGAATCATCTCTGGAGATTGGCGACTGGAGAACCTCCTCCTCTGCTCTGTACAGAGTACTGTACTTCGTACAGAGTAGATTACTATGCGTATGAGCTGCCCAGGCTGCTCCCGCGCATAGCGGCTATGGCCATGCAACAGGGGTTGGATTTAGGAACGGGCTGCGAATGCGTGCGAACCTGCACAGTTCAGTTCATGGTACGGGGTGTGGATGAGGCGCTCGCGAGGTGGTGCCATGCGGTTTTGGTGCAGAAGCCTCGTCGTCCGTAGTCTCGACGAAAGGCTGCGAATAATGCGGTCTCGGGTCTCGCGTCTCTGATCATCTCTCGCCCTCGTGTCTCGTGTCTCGACGTCGCCGAGGCTCGAGATCCAAACTCCAGACTCCTGGGAATCAAGCCTCGAGAACGGCGACGGGGCACCCGGCGCGGGATTCCAGCGCCCTCTTCTCAAGTCGCGCTCTCACCATTCTCCGTGCAGATGGCCACCACCAGCCTCGCCACCTACCCACGCGCAATGATCGACGTGAATAGCGTGAATAAAGTCAATAGAGTCAATAGACAACATGATGCAGTACCTAATAGTAATAATAAGGTACTGGCTTGATAGGTGCCTGTGGTGAGTTGTAACTCGTAACTTGGAACTTGCGAGCTGCGAGCTTGACAGCCGGCATTTCGGGCGGCGCAACCGAACAAACGAGGGTCACGTGGCCCCGCCCCCTTCTTGCAGCGGCCATTCTCCATCCTCCATTCTCCACTCTCCGTTCTTCTCCATTATTATTATTCTCCGTACTCGAAGTATCCCCTTCCTGAGGCTTCCTCGTCCGTCCCAGGACGGTTAGACCACGAGCTGGATCTTTGCGCCGCAAACTACCCACTAATCAAACTCCCAATCAACCCCCAATCCCAATCCCAAGACTCCATGTTCCAACACGAAACTTACGAGCGGCAGCTTCAGGCTCGGGCCCGTCGTCAATTGTCAGTTGTCAATTTCTGCAAGTTTATTATTGTTCTTGTTATTCAATTCAATACTTGGTCGTCATGCTTTAGGAGCCACGGCCCAATTGAACAATCTGCCTCTCTCGGAAATCCCTTGCGGATTTCAATAGTCGTTTCAAAGAGGGTCGGTCGTCCACCTCGTGCTCAACGACTTCACTCCCTGCTGCTTCTAGCGGAGACGCGGGGTCCCCCCCCAACTCTGTACTGGTACGGGTTCAAACGATCTAATTCCGGCGTCCCAGCTGGCTGGATATGCCCGGGCTTGGGCCTTTGGCTAGCCGGTCGGTATCGTGCTAGACTCCTCGTAGGTCGTGTGTCTTGATCGCCGGGAGGTCAAGTTCAAGTTCGTCTGGAGGTGCACTCTAGCTTGCTGTGGCGAGTACGATACGAAGTACCGGTACCCGCACTACGGTTATGAAGAGCCGGATAAATCAGATCATCATGATCAGACCCAGACGAGAGCCACGCCACAGATCTCAGCTGGAATTCCGGCTAAAGTCTCCTTCGGCCATGCTCGAGCCTCGAGCGCCATGGTTCTCACGTGGTGCAGGGCCCGCGAAATGGGTTGCGCACCTCGCCATGTACCTAGGTACTCTACCTACACACAGCACATGTCTATGTCGCCTTGCCTATCGAGGCGTCACGGCCGCTCTGTCGACATTAACCAGCGTGTAATTTGGAGATGTGGGTCTTTTATGGAGTTACATTCCTGCCCTTCCACGTGGTTTATGCCTTGGTCTGGGCACTGTTCCTACCACCCAAGGTTCGCGTCACAAGACTATCAAACAAACATGTCAAATCTTTTATTGATTAAAGCCCGACCAGCTGGAAATCTCCCCGCCACCCGCTCGTCCTGTATGACAATTTTGGCGCCGCATGGTGAATTTTGTTGGAATTCTGGACCAGCGGCATCCGTCCTTTCTATCAATCTACTTTATTTTTTGTTGGTTTGGTTACTTGCGCACATTTCAGAGTTGATCTTTTCAACCTCCCAGCTACATGCAATGCATTCTTCTTGCGCATCCCCCTCCCGAAGCCAATCCCATCAGCTCTAAGAGTTCAAGATGTCCAAGGACCAGGATCCAATGCGCACTCCATCCCCAATCCATACCTACGTACTGTGATTTAGATTAAAAAATCGAGGCTCGGCCTTGCTCAAGAATATCCACAAAGTCTTATTGAGCCAAATCACTGAATCAATTTATAGGTACCAAAGTACAAGTCATCTTTGGACGTCTGCTCATTCTTTGCGAGGCCAGTTTTAGTAGTGTCTTTTAGAATATGCTATTCGCCTACTACGTACGAAGAACAGAGTTTTTTTCGGTCAGCTCCAGTCCAACTTATATAAATCTCGCCAACAAATGCGGGTCGCCAGTTTCTCTATAGCCAATACGGAGAAGACAGGCCGCCTCCGTGAATGAATCGAATCCATTTTTAGCATCTACCCTTTGATCCCTCTATATCTGTTGTTTCTAGATCCTCATAAGAATCGTGATCTGCAACGGCGTCTGCCACGCAGAGCACAGTATCACACCACTACGACTTGATAAGTCGAACTCACGAAGCCGCTTGACGTCGAAATACTACAGAAACAAATGGGGCATCAAAAATACCACTGAATTTCGAGTTGGAAAACCTGCGTGTCTCTTTGGTAATGCGGGCACTCTTACTGCATTGGGAAATAGAGAAGGAAGGGGATTAGGAGGATTGTAGCAACAGCGGGGCACTCCGCATCCTACATCCTTCTCTGCTTCTATAGATGGGAAAATGGATAACCATCCGGCTGGGAATTCGGGTACTGATTTCCAAAGGTCCACTTCACCTAGTCACGAGTAATTGTCATGTCCAGAAAGGGGTTGTATTCTTAACGCGGCCCATACTTGGTGTATCACAGACCCCAATAAACTCCCGAAGTTCTTTCGTGCCCGTGATATGTGTGGCGCTTTCGCACCACAACTGCAAGCCAATGGCACACACCTCCCTATCCAGCCATGCGCCACTGGCATGAAATGTCCCTTGGGAACTGAGACATTGGTTCAACATCGCTTCATCTCAGTTCGACTCTAGATGCTATCACGGGCTATTATTTTGGGAAGACCGATAAAGAAGGAACTAACTTTGTACCTCGTTGCAAATGACAGAGCTGGTAGGCGAAAGCAATTGCTATTTCTTGGTGAGGTTCTCTTAGAAATATTTCTCCAAAACGCTATAATATCTTCAGGATTTGTTTTTGAATTCACAAGCCTAAAAGTTTGAAGGCTAAGATTAGAGGCTGAACAGGTGCACGTTTAAAGCTCGCAAGATGCGAGAACTATCTATACAGACTGTCAGAGGCTCGAGGTTTTCCGTCTCAAACGCAAACGCCAAAAAAGCTGCCGAGTTTCCCTTCAATCTCTCATATGAATAGTATCTACCAGACTTTACTTCGGCGTTATATTGTAATAAGTATAGAATAGCATGTGCTGAACGTTAATAGCTTCACTGTCCTTGCTATCCAGGCTGTAACCTGCAACTTTTCCATGCATGCCCCTTACGCAGCCGAAGCTTGAGCGTCTTCCTTAATTTCCTGTCATTGTCCGCAACATCCTGCTTCTGTCGTGCTCTTACCTCCCACTGGGTGGCCTTCTAGTAGAGACTACTCACGATAGATAGATCTATATTAAAAATTTGCTCCCTACCAACATACCTACCTTCCGACCGTCAGTGCCTCGAAACCTATATTTGAATTGCTAATCAAACGGCCATCCTCCCAACCAACTTTTGGCCTGCGGTGGGTTCAACCTCATTGCCCCTACGACATTGCGTTCTGCATCCCAGTTGCTCGACGCTGTCTAAACTAGGGGAGGAAATGCATTTGCCGCTCGCTCGATATCTTGGTAACTGCCAACTAGAGTAGTACTCAGATAGGCTAGTTATAAACCAAGCTTCTAAATGCAGAAATTGGGATTCATACCCTACCACGTATAGTGAGAGCCGCTCAAATACGAGAAAACGCCGGGCGGGAAGATATAGACTAAGTTGGAAGTTAGCTTCATGTTGAGGTAATAGGGATACACTTGGTCTCTTAATAATGTAAAACCAAACTGTCCTTCCTCAGCACCTGCCCACCGTGATCTAAATTCAAAACCGCAGACGAGCTTATCTAAATTTTCTATGTTACGTCTTGGCCAAGGACATATTTAACATGTGGTTATACGCCAGCGTACCAAGCGTGGCGAGGAACAGAAAGATAGCTCGAGAAATCTTCCGAATAGCAGGAACGGTGCAGGGGGGGGCTGGGGTATAAAAGGGGGTTATTTCTTATATTGGGATTCTTCGAGTAGGGATTGGGGGGGGGCTTTTAAAGTTCAATATATAGACATTTGGCTATATATATTTTAGAATAGAAAGATAGGTGTTGGAGGTCGAAAAATTATCTTGGTTCGAATTTATGTTTATAAGCAATATTTTAAAATAGCTTTTTGGGATTATCTCTGAAGATCTTCTAGCGCAATTTAAGATGTTCAGAGATAGTAGATACTTTAAAGATTAAATTTCTGGAGAAATATGTCCTACCCAAAACTGCGATATGCACTGATACTGCTAGGCAATTGTTTTTATTTATTTAAATATATTGCTTTTATTTTGTACAGCCACGGCGGAATGGAAGGAGGCAGGGAAGACGGACTTTTATTTGCAACAGTTTTAATTTTTTTTTAATTTTATACGATTAGAAGGACTGTGGGTTCTAATGGATAAATCATCACAGCACAGCCCAGCTGGCTGGCAAAGTAAAATCGAAACTCCTTACTATTTACGAAGTGGCCGTGCATACGTTTTACTTATTCCCACTCTACTCCTTGCCCATATCCCAAGACCATCTATTTCCACGGCTACCCCGTAGAGTCTGGGTTTCGTCACCTACCCCTCCATAAAGCTATCCTTGGTCTTCCATCTCTGCATAACTATTCCTTCCTCTCCCCCTTGTGTCCCTAAAACTCTCCCGTCCAACCTCCTAATATCCTCCCCCTTGACCCACAGCGCCGCCGCAACAGTGCTCGCAATAACGATCTGCACAACCGCCAACGCAATAGATGTATCTTTCAACCCTGGGAACATATTGTCCCCACCCCCCTGTACCCAAAGCGGCACGCCAATAATAAAAATGCCCGTCAGAAGATCCTGGAGGGCCCTGTGTCCACCTTCAAGCGCATCGGCCTCCTTGACTGAAGCGGCGGTAGCTTTGATGTGCATAGCACCTGCATAGTTGAGCACCACCGCACCCGAGACAGTGAGTCCAAATGCAAAGGACGCGATTTTCTTGTTGAAATCTTGACCTTGTGTATACAAGTCGAAGATTGAGTTTGCCATACTTGCGTCCGGTCGGAGGGTGCCCTCGACATAGAGCCCGAAAGCGAGGATGCCGGCAAAACCGAGCAAAATTCCTGGAATGGCTGCTCCGAGGTTGCGGAATGAAGAGGAACGACTTCCTCGGCGTGATAGCATATGGGATGTGACGGAGACGATAGTGTAGAAAATGAGGCCGCCGACGAGGGGCCCGGTGAACATGAGGCCAAGTTGAGTAGGTAAGGCCATGACTGGGGTGGGAGCGAAGAGCATGGAGAGTAGATGAGCGGTGCCAAATGCTGTGGCGACGAGCGGTGCGGTTAGGAAAAAGGTGAGGATGGTGCTAGGTGCGGAAAGGGCGCGGAGCGGGTAAAGGGCGCGAGAGAGTTCGAATTTGGATGTCCCCTTGGGGCTCATTGGGTGTAAGGATGAGAGGTATGACTTGAATCCTGAGGATGTACCGGCCGAAACGGTGGTGACGGTCCCAGAACGGAAATGCCCGCCCACATTTGATCGGTCAGACGCCCTCTTGTAGGAAGTCTCTGGCGTTCCGAAGATGAGGAGCACAACAGAGAATGCTTGAATGATATTGATGATCATAATCTGGTTGCGGAATCCGTCTACTCTCTGAGACACAAATCCTCCCACCATTGGTGATCCCCAGGTAAAGATAATGTTGGTGATGTTGTAGATGGTGATCCTGCTAGATCTTTCATGTACCTATTGGAAGTTAGCATGGCCATATCATTTCAAAAAGAATATAACTTACAAAATACATATCCTTCACCGAGAGCAAAACCAACGACTCGAAAGTACCCCAAGCAAATCCTTGTAGTACCCTCGAGATCATGAATTGCGAGTAGCTCCCGAAAATATGCATAGTCCACACCGCCGACAGCAGCAGCATCACTGAGCTGATGAGATATAGCAATCTCTTGCCCGTCATATGCGAAAGGGCGACACTGTGTAGGCCTGCAAATGCGCCCACTATTAATGGCAATCCCGTGAGAGCCGTAGTTCCCATATAACTGGTACCTAGTTCCACCACGAGAGCGCTGGTAACCGTGACCAGCATTGTTTTTAGGGCACCTATCACAGCGGTTCCTAGAAGGAGGGAGCCAAAAGCAAGCTCCTTCTTCCATTGTGGCCAGTTCTATACCATTGTTAGTAGCCACAGTGGCCTCACGGGATGGGGCGGACAAACTAGAGGATCTTCTGAGGAATCACTAGGCTGGGGATCCAGCTCCACGCCTGCGTTCTTTCCATTGCCAAATTTTGGAACCCGTCTTCTGTCACCCGGTTGGGCTTCATTCCTGTCCAATGTCGATACTACTGAGATGCCCCTCGAGCGACTTGGCTCCGGTTGTTGCGGTTCGGAATTCATCTCGTCCAACCCTGTTCGATCCAATACAAATAACTGGGCGGAGTTTCCTGTTTCTTTTCTCACACTTAAATGAAGGAATTGATTTGTGCCTTGCGAAAGCTAACTCGATTAAAAATAATAAAATAAAACTCGGTGTCTCGGTATCAAACCAAATACAAGAAACGTTACTGAACTAGCAGTCGAAGAAGAAGTCAAGGAGCGATGGTAGAAGTGAAAGGGCAATGGAAAGAACGGCGGTTTGAGTGGGAGGACCTGGATGGAAACGCATGAGATGAGAGGACTACACATATATCGGGTGTTTTCTCGGCTGACGCATTGCATGAAGACGAGATGGGATCCAAAGATTCCGGCGTCAGAAAGGGACTAATCGCACAGCATACATCCGAACGCAGACCATGCACGTATCACCAAACCCACCGTGCTTCTCCTTCTGGCAGCAATCAGCAATCTCGTGATCGCGAACCAGGTTGAACGAGAGAGGATAAGCATAGATGCGAAGCCTAAAGGGCGGTCTCGTCCAAAGCTTAGCAGCCGTGCGTGAGCGTGGGTGTGGTTTCGATAGGTTTATTTCGAGGTATTCATCCCAGATTCTCTTGATGCAGCGAATGAAAGGAAGCATATTGTTGCTCGACTAGGTGCCGCATGATAGAGTTGGAGGCTCCTGAAACACGTTGAGACTCAGACATGGAGTGAGTGAGGGGAATGCGGTTTCAACATCCTTGCGGTAACCACTTGCCGACTTCGACCACTAAAAAATCACGACAAGATATATAGAAGTGAATTGTCGTTTTGAGCAGAAACCCGAGCGTACGCGTTCAATCGCGCGATGCCAAAGCAATCAAGTCCAGAATGGGTTCGATATCAAGTTGAAATAAAGACGACACAAGTAGCATTGATTCTACTAGCAAAATAAAGTACCGTAATTGGGGGGAAAATAGGTGTTGGGATTGCTAAAGGTTGTATCTGTATTTCAAAAATGTCAGTTATCGCATTCAATCCGTTTTGTAGAGATGAAGGTAAATAAAACTACCTGATGCAATAGCCCTGGACTAGAAGTAGGTCATACCCGAATTGATGGAGCTTATTAATTGATTCTTAATTTTGGATTAAAAGAGCAGGCTTTAGGCTAGATATAGCAAATTTCAGTGTCCTCCAGTCCTGAAGTTAGTGCAAATGACAGTCACAGCCTATTCGGCCAAACAAGGTGGAATGAAATGCATGCATTGCCAGACATAAGAACCCACTCGAAAACCATACAAAGGTAGCGATGTTAAAAACATGATTGCTAGTTACGCATTCGAAAACGAACGTGGGGGGGTAATTCGACCCGTATCTCGTTTATGCTGATAGAGATCGACGACTGTATTGCTTCACTTTACTTGGATTTCATGAACGCTTTCAGCAGTTCAACGAGGATTCTAGGCCCGAGACTTAGCAACTGTTTCATGAAACATTGAGAAGAGCCTCGGCTTTGTCTGCCAAGGAAAACCCCTCCATCTTGAATCAGCGCTCATGAACTTCATACCATAATATTGATTCGGGATCCAGGTGCTTGCCCTTTGTGAGCTTCCGAAGCGGGGTCCTTTCACACGCCTTCAAAGCTTCAGCTCCTTCCCAGCGGCCTTAGCAGCCTTCTCCCCATCAACCAACACACACCAACCTTCATCTCCAGCCCCTCCATTACCTCCAACGGCCGCCTTAAATTCCTTAAGCGCAAAACTCAAGATCTCGTCATCGAAACTCCCGGGTTGTAACCACACAGCTGGAACACCAAGCTTCTTCGCCTCCTCTAAAACCTTCTTCGTGACTTTCGGAGGCGTGATGATGGATATCGAGGTCTCGGTGGGATGAGGAAGAGCAGAGATGGAGGCGAGCGCGGGGTAGGATTGGATTTCTACAGAGGGCCATGGTGGGTAGGCTTTTATGTGAGAGGAGGAGGGGTTGATCGGTGTAACTGGGAGAGAGTGATGCGTGTACCACGTAAATACTATAGTATAACTCGTTAGTTTTGTAGTCGGAGGGAAACGGACGAGAGATCGTACTTTTGTGTCCGAATTTGGTGGGGTCTGAGGATGCGCCCACGACGGCGAAGTGGGGTGAACGGAAGAACGTTCGTGCTGCTGCTTCTGTTGCCATCTTCCTGGGGGGTTTTTGATGCCGTTATGCGACGTTATTATGGTAATGGTATTCGAACTGACGGCTGTAGTCTGATGTGTAAAGTACTTGGTGATGAGTGAATGAGTGATGAGGACGGCGATGTAAACATTGATTTCAAATGCCTCGGCGATCGTTCGGATGCCGTCATCCTGCATGAGCTTCATTCATCTGGCGTGCCGACTGTCTTCCAAAGGTCGCTCTCAGCTCAGAACTACAGTAGAAGGTTGGAGTTGAGCCTGGAAAGGCGAGGACAACAGAGAAACGGCAACTCTGAGTGTAACTGGTCATCATCACTCCGTGCTGAGGAGGGGATGTATATACTTCTCGCCGCGTCAAGTATACATCCCGTCCAGGCCCCTTGCTCTCCACTGCAGATTACTCCGACTTCTGTCCTTGCTAGCCATGACTATTCCACTTATACTATAGTACTGACTGTGAGGCCAGTCGTTCTCACAAACCTCCAACCAGGCCTCTGTCTCCGCCTCCCGCATTTCCTAGAGGAATTTGACAATTCGAACTTCCACCATGGCAACTTTTGCGTAAGCTCCCTCCTCCACATAAACCTCACTCTCTGACACAACCTAGCAAAGCCTCCTTTAATGCCGCCTCTTATGCTACCTTCCGCCCTACCTACCCCCCTCAGCTATACAAGAAAGTACTCTCCTACCACCGCGGGCCCTCGTCTCTACTCCTCGACCTAGGCTGTGGCCATGGCCTCATCTCCCGTGAATTCGCCCCATTCTTCACCCGCGTCCTGGGCACCGATCCATCCCCCTCAATGGTCGAGCAAGCCAAGTCATCTACTCCCTCCTCCCTCTTAAACATCTCCTTCCGCCAAGCATCCGCAGAGGACCTGTCATTCGTCGAAGACGGCACCTTAGATATGGTAGTTGCGGGACAGGCGGCGCATTGGTTTGACTACAAGAAAGTATGGCCAGAATTAGCTCGGAAGATGCGCAAAGGCGCCACGCTGGCCTTCTGGGGCTACAAAGATAATTATTTTGTGGATTATCCCAAGGCCACGAGCATCATGGATGAGTATTGCTATGGCGAGAAAACCATGGGCCCATATTGGGAACAACCTGGTAGACAAATCTTGCGAGACTTGTATAGGGACATTGTGCCTCCCGAGGACCAATGGGAGGACATAACGAGGACTGAGTATGAACCTAGGATGATGGGAAAAGGGAGTGGGATTGGGGAGCTATTGATGTATAGGAGGATGAAATTGGGGGAGATAGAAGGATATACGAGGACTTTTAGTTCATTTCACGCTTGGGCGGCTGCGCATCCTGAGGAGAAGGCCCGGAAGGATGGTGGAAAGGGCGATATTTTGGATGAGATGTTTGATAAGATGCTGGAGGCAGAGCCAGAGTGGAGGGAGAAAGGGGATAACTGGCGAGACTTCGAGGTTGAAACCGAATGGGGGAGTGTTATTTTGATGGCTAGAAAGATATGATGATGGGATGAACTATGGGCAACAAGGCCGCCTTTGAACATAGATACCTACCTATGCCCCCTTTGTGGAGAGACTTTTCTTGTCGACGCCATCAGTCTCCTAAGAATAGTTTGAGCTCTCCTCCTCATATTGTAAAGCTACTAGGGGCGCGGATGCTGCTTATTTACTACTAGATAGATGTATCTTCATAGGGAGTACGAAGTACGGTACGGTACTTCAGACGCCAAAGTGGGATCTCGCGTGAATTAAACAACACATCGTCCTTTGCAGGCGGCTCGAAGGTCTAATTAGCCAATCTCCGTAATTCATGACCCAAGACGAATCAATTCCCAGCCACCAGCAACCAGCAACCAGCAACCATCAATCGTTTCGTTTCGTTTCGTTGTCAATATTGATCGCTCACGCTTTCAGGCTCACCGCCCGCCGTTGCCATGCCAGCTGCGATTGATTGACGGCAAACCCCCATGCACTGCAGGCACGGACACAAACCAACCAACCTGCCAACGCTCTCTCTCGACTCTGGACATCTACAAACAACTTCTGCCTTTGCAAAATACACAAAACTCTCAATCGCGATCTCTCCGTCCTCAAATACCATTCTCTCGACCCACGTGCGCCGGTACAGCAGACAAGAACCATGGTATGCAGCCAACCCCCTTTCTTAATAAAATACACGCACCCTAGACCTAGGGACACACCTACAGAACCCGCCGAGTTGGCTGTGTTGTTAGGTTCCCCCTTGATCCTCCTAGCAGAGGAGAGCCCCACCACAACAAACAGTTGGTGCGCGGCTTCACGTTCTCACGTTCACATTCACATTCTCAAACAAGCTCTTCCAAGTTTCAAGCTACTTTTACCCCTCCAACCCGAATCTACCCTTTTTCCTCCTTCTCTGCTACGTTCTACGGCTATCACCGAGGGAATAATACTATAATGGCATCAACTAACAACAAACCTTCGTCCTACGACGCACAGGCCTCAACAAACTACAAGGAAGCATTTGCGCTCTTCGACAAGCGCGGAAATCAACGTGTCGCCCTCGAGAGCCTCGGTGATCTGCTACGTGCGTGCGGGCAGAATCCTACATTGGCCGAGATCAGGGATTTGGAAAAGAATGTTGGCTCCGACTGTACGTCTACTCCCATCATCTTCCGACATCAAAATATATACGTGGCTATGCACACGGTGGGGAGAAAGGCGGCCTAGGGCTGACGGCAATTTAATACGTGTAGTTGATTTCGAGACCTTCTCCAAAATTCTTAACAGACCAGGCGGCTTCCGCGATCCGGGGGAACCTGAAGAATACTGCCGCGGCTTTCAGGTTTTCGATAAGGATATGACGGGTTTTATCGGGGTTGGCCAAGTGCGATATATCTTGACGAATTTGGGAGAGAAGATGAGTGATGAGGAGGTGGATGAGTTGTTGAAGGCGGTTGATACCAGTTCTGGAGAGATTAACTATACCGGTAAGTCCACATGCTTTTTTGCGCCCCGAACAAGGGATGGAGGAAGTTGAGGACCCTACGGCTCACTTTTTGGAATTACAGATTTGGTACGCACCATCCTCGCGAATTAGACATGGGCCAACACTGGAAGCGTGGTGTCTGAAATGAATGGATGGAGCTTAGTTGGTTGTATGATGGTACGGCAGGAATTCACGGCATGCAACAATTCATAGGGAATATGGCATCACCCAGGAGTGGGGAGTGGATGGCGTTTATGTTTATTGTATAGATTTGTTCCTGCTCGAATCGAGCTGGCAGGGCGGATCTTATGGTTCTTTTTTCGTACTTGGCCTGCGAATAACGCACGGCGATGAGTATGCTACAATGATGCATCTTGACAATGTTTTTGCTTTCCCCGTGACGCCATGCTATGCCCGCACGTACCTATGCCCGTCAATTCCAATGCTTTAAATGCCACTTGGTATAATTCCGTTGATCATTCAAACGCCGCCCTGGTCCCAGCATTAATACCAGCATCCACATCCGCCTCCCCAAGCTTCCCTTCCATCATAAAGTCCGTACTCATCAACCCCCCAGGAAGGATATATAAGACCTTCCCTCTATATTCTTCCCTCCGCCCACCCTCCTTCCCTTTGCCCTCGTCTATCCCGGCATCATCAACATCCATCCGCTCTCCGGCCTCCCCCTGCCCTGTTACAGCTCCCAGCGACGGCAAAAGCTCATATCCAACCACAATCCTACACCTCCCACACCTCCAAAGAACCCTCTTCTCAAACCCATCTTCCCTTCTTAGCAGTGTCGGTTTATTCGCGCTATCCCGTGTCATGCCCAGGACTATACTGTATCCTTCTTGTGGCATGTCCGCGACATCGCTGCCCGCTTCGGCTTCCTCGGTTGAAAATGGGGTCGGTGAGGAGGGAAGTGGGAGCGGGAGGATCAGCGCACTGTCGAGGCCAGCGTTGGGAGATGTTGAGCGTCGGGGCAGCGTGGAGAGGGTATGTGTGCTGGATAGAAGGAGGGAGTTGCAGATGCAGTGGTAGTTGTGGATTGTGGGCGATTGGATCGCCATTTTCCCTGTGAGAGGAGTTCTATTTGACTTCGATACTGACCTGCAGAAGAGGTGGCTCGTAGTAGCCGGGGGAAGGGCTGTCAGGATATTGATACTTTGTAGGAGTACAGTACTGCGATCGACCACAAGGCTGCGGATTTCTTCCGGATCTGGCGCCTCGCTCTCAAGAGTAAAAGCGGCACCAACAGGTCTTGTGTAGTAATGCCTATTAGTGCCCAGGCTTAAATCATGAGCCATGGCTAGAACTGTTAATTTATGAATATTAATCTACTTGAATTGTAATCTTTACAGTAGCAGCTACTCCGTACTATGTCGATTATCTATTTCTTTGCAAATACGTAGCATAGGCAGACTTTATAGATTAACTTTGGTGTGCCGCTTTTATTGTCAACTGCGAGCGCTGTGTTATGTAGAGCAATAGGTGGCAATGCTGCTGTAATAATGTCTCTGCCCAGCCTGGTCGCCCCTCAGTGTTTCACTGGGGCCCACGGACGAAGTCATAGTTACCTATCTTTACCTACCAACCTCACTCCTCCAGAACTCCAACCACTCAAAGAAATCTAATAATCATTCACCCTTCTACGACTACCACCGGGGCGTAGTCTCACACGCTCAACAGTGGCTATTCCCTCACCCCTTCGCTTGCGGTCGGCTTTCCTTGCTGCCTGCTTGTTCATAGCTATAATAGCTATCCTGGCTTCCACCCGCATCGGCCCCAGGCTGACCTCGCTCTTCACCCAACTTCGACCCTACGTCTCAACATCTTCAGTTCCCTCTTCCAGACCCATCCTGACCAGCACCATGGCGCCCAAAGAATACCGGAAGCCTCCTCAGGCGCCGCCTAGCTTCATAGCTACCCCGACCTCCCTGGTGGAGGATGCGAAGAGCATCTGTGACCGCACACGCAAGCTGCTCGACAAGATCGCTGCAGATGTCACGCCCGAGACTGCCACCTTTGCCAACGTCATTCTTCCTATGGCAGAGGATGAGAATGCGGCGGCTCTTGAGACCAGAATTATTGGCTTCTATCAGGCTGTCTCCACGGACCAGGCCCTGCGTGATGCCTCGTCCAAGGCAGAGGAGATCATGGACGAGTTCGGCATTGAGGCGTCGATGCGCGAGGATATCTTTAAGCTTGTTGATGCTGCGTTTGCCAAATCCGAGGATCTGGATCTCGAGAGCAAGCGACTGCTGGAGAAGGAGCGGAAGAGCTATATCACGAATGGGCTGAACATCCCTGCCGGTCCACAGAGAGACCGCTTCAAGGAGATTAAGAAGCGTCTTTCGCAGATCCAAATAGAGTTCCAGAAGAATCTGAATGAGGAGAGTGGAGGCATCTGGTTTACGAAGGAGGAGCTGGAAGGTGTCCCGGAAGATACCTTATCGACTTTTGAGAAGGGTACGGGAGAGAATGAGGGCAAGTTGAGACTTACGTTCAAGTACCCGGATCTGTTCCCGACGTTGAAGTTTGCGTTGAATGCGGAAACAAGGAAGAAGGTGTTTATTGATAATGAGAATAAGGTGAGTTCGTGTTCATTATAAAAGCGGCCTATGCTGATGCCTTTAGTGCAACCAAAATGTGCCACTCTTCAAGGAAGCTATTATTCTCAGAGATGAGGCTGCTAGACTTCTCGGCTACAAAGATCACGCCTCATTTAGGGTCGAGGACAAAATGGTCAAGACACCCGAGACGGTCAATGAGTTCCTAGACGACTTGAGAGTCCAGTTAACTCCCGGGGGAAAGAAGGAGATCGAACATCTACTAGAGATAAAGAGCGCAGATCTAAAGTCGAGAGGCTTGGAGTCATCATATGACGGCAACTTTTATCTTTGGGACTCACGTTTTTATCAGCGCATGATGGTCGAGAAGGAATTCTCTATCGATGAGCAGAAGGTTGCTGAGTATTTCCCTCTTCAGCATACCGTTGAGGGCATGCTTGGTATTTTTGAAGAACTTTTCGGGATGGTTTTTGTTGAGATAGACGGGGAAGAACGAACTAAAATATCAGGTAGGTGATCTCCCAATATTTCACTTTGAATTCTGCTAATGATCATAGAAACTGGAAAGGGGGCAGATATTGAATGGCATGAGGATGTGAAAATCTTCAGTGTTTGGGATGATGAGGGAGAAGGCGGAGCCTTTGTCGGTTATCTCTATCTTGACCTACATCCTCGTCCAGGCAAGTATGGCCATGCAGCAAACTTCTCTCTTCAACCCGGCTACCTCTACCCCAACGGCACTCGTCGGTACCCCGCCACAGCCCTGGTTTGTAATTTTTCCAAGCCTACACCGACAAAGCCATCTCTTCTCAAGCACGACGAAGTCGTTACCCTTTTCCACGAGCTAGGTCACGGCATTCATGATCTAGCTGCACGGACGAAATATGCCCGCTTCCATGGTACATCGGTCGTTCGTGATTTTGTAGAAGCACCCAGCCAAATGCTCGAAAACTGGTGCTGGACTCCATCCCAGCTAAAGGCACTCAGCACCCACTACGTAACTGGCGAGAAAATTCCAGATGATCTCATTGAGAAACAAATCAGCGTTAAGCATGTGAACGATGCCATTTTCAATCTTCGCCAGCTGCACTTCGGCATTTTCGACATGACGGTCCACACGCCCAAGTCCCATGAGGAAGCAGAAGGGTTCAAGCTGTCAGAATTATACAATGATCTCCGCACCCAAATTGCCGCCATCAAGGGCCCCGAAGCGCTCGGACTCCCCAGTAATTGGGGCAATGGCCAGGCAACCTTCGGTCATCTGATCGGCGGCTATGATGCCGGGTATTACGGATACCTCTCTAGTCAAGTCTATAGCACAGATATGTTCTATAGCGTTTTCAAGAAGAATCCAATGGATGGAAAAGAGGGGAGACGATATCGACACATGGTACTGGAGAAGGGTGGTGCGCAAGAAGAGATGAAGACCCTCGAGGATTTCTTGGGACGGAAGCCAAGTACGGAGGCTTTCTACCGGGAGCTGGGACTAAAGGCAAAGTGAAAGACGACTTTTGCTGCTTTGGCCTAAGGGCGGTCTGTTACCTGGATAAGTGGCTGATCGCTAGCCAAAATAACTTGCGCTTTCCACTTAAGATTAGTGTACAGATATTATATTTGGCGCTATCTACTTGCATATCCCAAGTCGTGACCTTACTCATGGTTACGAAATGACCCGACCAAGTAGCTGGGCTGGGATATCGTCAATGGTCAATGTAAGTTGTCAAATCCCTTTAGTGTCCCTACTGCTCAGTTGATACGGTTGCCGGGTATATGGAAGACAGCTTCCAAATGCGAAATAGTCTTTGCTTTCGAATCATTTGAGATGTTTTGAGCCCTTATCACGCCTTAATTTTCTTCACCAGTCACAAGTGTCCCTCCTAGATTAAAGCCAGTCATTAGTCCGCCAGAACCGGCATGTATTGCGCGATATATCTTACGCCTCAACTGAGATATAGAAGGTATTGTGAACTAGCAATATTCCGCACCTATTATCTCATAAAGCTAGGATTTGTCAGCCAGGTCAAGCGATCCCACTCTTGGGTTACTTATCCCGCAATTGAAGGGGCATATGAGGACATATTGCCGGTTGATTGATTTACTCTTGCGACTTCTCGTAGTTATATCACTCTAGACAACTCCAGAAGTCTACCTCCTTCTCCCCGAGGGATGGTATATTAATATTCTCTCATTCCTATCTTCTAGTCGCGCATTTTGACAAACCCATCCGTACGTCTATTACGTACTTTATATAGCTTGTTTCTCCTATATCTTTATAACCTCCATTCTTATAAACTTGCTTTCAGTCCACGATTCATCATGGTGAAATCAGCTGAAAAGCTCATAAACAAAAAGATTGTCGTCGTGGGCGGAACATCAGGGTGCGTGCCATCCCTTTTTAGCTCTTAAAACCCCTCAAACTAATATCTATGTACAACCTAGAATCGGTTTCGGCGCAGCACAAGCCTTCCTGGACGCCGGCGCAAAAGTAACAGTTATCTCCTCCAACCAAGAACGTGTGGACTCGGCCGTAAGCAGACTGAACTCCTCCGATGCCTCGGGCGCTGTCGGTAATGTACGAGATGAATCATCATTCGTTGAAGTGTTGCGTGGTCTTGCGCCTATAGATCATATTGTATTCTCGAGTGTGGATAAGATTATCCGTGGGAAACTTGAGGATTTAGATCTTGATGATGCGAAGTACTTGTTTGGTGTTAAGTTTTGGGGTGCTGTTATCACGGGGAAAGGTAATATCCCTCTTGTTTTGCCTAATTCCGTGGCTTTGGCAAGCTAATGAGTGATTTTGCAGCTGTGAAGAAATACGATATCATCACCCCAGGTGGCTCTCTAACCCTCACCTCGGGAACCGCAGCCCTAAAGCCCGGAAAAGGCGCCTCGACAGGCGCAGGCCTAAACGGTGGTGTTCTCTCCCTCACTAAGGGTTTGGCTGGTGACCTCGCAGACAAGAGGATCAGGGTCAATGTGGTGGTTCCTGGATTGGTAAAAACCGAGTTATGGGGCAAGTTGGGGAAGAGTGATGAAGAGCAGAAGGAGTTGTATGAGAAGACCAGCTTGCCAGTGGGGTTTGTGGCTACGCCCGACGATATTGCGGAGGCGTACTTGTATCTCGCTAGGGCGGATTATGCTACAGGAACGGTTGTGGAGATTGGTGAGTTTATTGCTTGGGACAAACGGGGTTTGGGGACGTTTGCTGACTTATGACTTAGGTGGGGGGAACTTGCTTTAAGACGGCCGATGGTAGGTAGGTGGTTTGGTGAAGGCGCTCGTATCAATGTCTCTACCCGTACTGCATATTTTAAAATGATCTCAATGGGATGTCTCTTTCCAAGTTGCATATTCTCATGACTCTTTTGTTTAAATGGCTCCGCACTGTCTGGACATTCCGCCAGAAACCTGTTTAGTACCTCTCTGCCGGTCAGCCTCAGTAAAACCTTCCCCGTTTGCTAGAACACTTTCCCTACTTGACAGTGTCTAGGTGGATAGGACGCAGACACCAGTACTGCGCTTCGCTTAGGATTATCTTGGGATATAAGGGCAGCCTCCCTCCCTCCTTCAACAAACACGCTCCCTCAGAAACATCATTCTGATTAAGGCCAGTTGTTCAACTAAGCTCAGTAGTATTCAAAATCTCAAGCAATTCAGAATCTCAACAACCTAAAATCTCGGTCAATCCACGTAAGTAACCCTCCTTGTCTCCAGTGGAGGCATCCAGCTCAAGGTTAGACACTTACACAGCTATGTTAGAACGCAAAATGGATTTGCGAAAATGTTCCGGCTTCGATTGCAAACAGAACGCTGTTTTCGGCTGTATGTTCTGCAGCTCACGTCTCTACTGCTCATTATCATGCTTTGAAGGAGACCAGGACTGGCACGGAGATGTGTGCAAGAGAATATACGAGTTCGTTTCGGCCAGCCCTAGACCTCCAGCTACTGAAAGCACTTCCTTCAAGCTGGGTCTTATGTTCCCTGAAGACTCTGGAGATGTGGAGCCCTATTGGGTTGAATGCACGCTGTGCCCCGCTGATGAAGAAAGCGGAGAATCGGCATTCGAAACCGTGGAGCTGCCATTGTTTGACCAAGGGATGGAATACCATGATATCGCGAGACAGAGACAAAATCCTGGCCCTAACATCAGAATATGGTTCGGGCTAGCCTTCCTTGTTGATGGTTCAAAACTGAACAAATCTATAAATCGACTCATTTGGAAGCTTTGCCGCCCTCCAGGTCAACAAAGGCGAGATTGGAGAGGTCCATTTTTAGCAATGAGCCTCGCTATTTCCAATGCCGACAAGGACGAGGAGATCTATCAAGACATGTCCGCGTCCGGTTTCCGTGATATCGCCAAGTATCTGGCTGTCCATGGCATCCCAGTCGGTATGAATGCTGTGGATCAGTTCCATAGGACGTTGGCTACTTTTCCTCTGCTTGGCGAAGTGCGAGGCGTCCGCATTAGCTGCTTGGGCGACATGAATTTCGACAACAAGGCGAAGTACCTTAGCGTCAATGTTTCGAAGGACCATCCAATCATGGTAAAAGGAATTGTTGCTGAAGTTTCTGGGCACATGGGCCTGCCTTTATATGTGCAGAAACTCACGCCCAAACCTGAGTGGGAAGCCCGACTCCATGGATTGAGCTGGGACCCTTACCAAAATTTCGAGCCATGGTTTCTTATCATGGGTACAAACCCGGATGAGGAAGTAGAGGATTGGGGAAATGCAGACCTTCAAATGTGGGATCTCTGTGTTGGGCCAGTTCTGGTAGTTCGGCAAGATGGCAAGGAGATCACCCCAAGCCAGGTTGAGGTTTTGGTAGCGTGGGGCCGTCATCTTAAGAGTGAGATGGAAGGAGAATTGGAGCCAGACGGTGAGTATTGGGAGAAATATGGGGATGTATCAGATCGTGAATTTGGAGTATACGATATGGAAAAGGCCCGCAAAGAGTTCATCAAGACTGAAATGTGTCAAGCCAAGTTTGAGGAGTTCCTTGAGGAGCACAAGAAGATGAAGATCAAGGAGGGCGATGCTTCCTGGGCTAGTGTTATTTCTCCTTTTGCAGTGTGATACGGGGTCGCTGCGGACAATGAAAGGAGGGCAGCAACGAGGTCAAAAGCCTATCAATGTTTCGGCTTTAGTAGGACGTCTACTTTCAAGTACTGAATTTTGAGGAGTTTGCTGTCTACATATCTCTAATACGCTATGGAATTCGTGGGAATAAGTCAAAGGCTTTGAGACGTTGTTACAAAAGATTAGCGACTGATCCAGTGTCCTCAAAATAGTTGACTCCCTCGAGGGCCGAGGTATTAATCTAGTCTCCGTGTATCTCCCTTAGGCAAAGCCATACTACCTTCATCGTCCCTCTCATACTCCATCTTTGCTATTGCCTTTGACTTGAACATTATTTTAGAACTACAAAGTGTAGCCTTTTTAATACCCCCCTCTCATTCCGTGTCACAATCATAATGCCCCTCAGCTTAACCAACTCACGGTAAAGACCACTACTTAGCGAAACTTCCAACTCTTCGCAACTAGACTCCTAGTCTACAGTCTACAGAATGCGACGGGGGTTTCGCTCTAACTGTGAAACCCAAACCCTGTATTGCATTGTCTCAATATGGGGCTTCCCAGTATACCTAGGTATTACATCGTTGGCAATATAATCTCATATTACCGTATCACTGGGCACACCGTAAATTCTCGACATCCACGTCCAGAACGCTATTCAGAGGATCAAGAGCACGGTATTCTGGCCAATCGATCTCGGTTCGGGACACAAGACCTATTCATTTCAATTAGCTAAATCAATCAATGCTCCCCGGAGTTTCTGCGCTAAAAGTAGCATGGAAAGCCATTGCATCGAAGCGTTGTGGTGGTAATCACAGTGTATTTCCATGGCTAATAGAAAAATTTCCCAACGCAGGTCGCCTTTCCATTATTCAATCCTGAATATTCGCCAATCAAACACATATTATATGGCCAGACCGTCCGCCCATCCCATATATCCCGCCCCTTCGCTATTGCCCCCGCGACATACCACTCCGCCCGCCTAAAGGATCTTAATAGCCTCCCCCTCTCATCGCTTCTTACAACGACGCATTTCCAAACTTCGCAACCATCTGCTTCGCCCACTCATCGTGCTTGGGATGATCAGGATGCGCGGGGTTCTTAGGATCCTGCGCTTCGCGCGCCAAGGCAGTGGGATCGAATTGCTGAGCGCGGCTGGGGTTGAAGCGGGGATCGACGTAGGGAGATGGGATTGCGCCTTTCTTCTGGGGGGAGGAGGAATTGTTAGTTTTGATTTGGTGTTGCTGGGAATGGGATGGGAACATACAGGTAATTGTGCCATTATGGATTGGAATTGTGGTTTTGAGAGCATGCTCCGCTCTAACAGGAATTCGCATTCCACGCTGATGGTGGAGACGGCGCGGTTGATGAGTGCTTTTTCTGGCATATTGAACGATAATGATAATGATATGTACTGTTTTGGACTGTTTCTTCTCTTAACTAAGATTGGTGTTGGATATTTCGCGGGAATAAATGGCGCAGGTTTAATGTATATATAGGGTTCTGTACTCTGTCGTCGGGGCGGAGTCGGCGAGCTGAGTGACAGTTGCCCCACTGTCCCTGTTGACGTCACTTGAATATTCTACGATCTTCCGCCGCTGTGGGCCAAAGACATCCCCCCCGTATCTGCCCTTTTGCCTCCGAAATAGGAATACTGCAATGTTAATAGTTTTTGCTGGTAGCTTTGCTCTGACTTGCATACAGGCTAAAATAAAAGCTTGTTATTCCTTGCTTCTGCCAAGGTCAGATAGATAAGAAATACTCTGAATTAGGAATCCAAATTACACCTGCTTTACGAAGTAGACCCACGACCAGAGGCAATCTTCTAATCTACCATGTATACCTAGGTATATATAGGTAGGTATTTATCCGTATAACCTATAATAGGGATTAGGTCAAGTAATCAAGTGATCTGGCTCTCTATGTTTTCGGTAAGCCTTTAGATCAACCTCGGATACTCGTTCCGTTAATTGCGAGCTGAACAACTGGGCTTATGCCGTCAGTTCCGCCAGGAACAACCGCAAGCAATGGTTCGGTTTCTCTATTAATAGGGTTTGCCGGTGCAAATCCGAAAAGCATCGAAGCACGCCAGAATCTCACGCCGAACTTTGTCCGGAGTGTTTGGCCCTGTTTTTGAAAGTTAAAATTGGATGGGTCACGGGATCTGCAAGGTCTGGCTTATGCCAGTTCCTGGGCTTTCAATTACTATTTTCTACCTAAGAACCTAGGTAGATAGTCACCCTTGTTTTGTCCTTATAGTTTCATACTCACATTATGATATATCATTATATTCCCTATTAAATAATTTGGAACCGCGAGGCTAGAGTCTAGGAGATCGCCCTATAAACGGGGGATCTATAAAGCAGTGCTAGGACATCCATATTCCTATTCTCATTTAACACCAGGCCACCCTGATATAGCAAGCCAAAGAACTTTCACCGAAACTGATTATCCTCCCCCATGCCATCGCTCCTCGGAAGTACAGAATGATAATACTGGTCTAAACCCCCACCAAAGACATCCCCACTGAACAAATCTGGCTGCAGCTGGAACATGGAGAAATCCTCCGCTTCCTTAGTCCCGAAGAGGTGACTTGCAAAATCTAGGTTGAAACTATTCCTCGCTAGCTCTTCGCTCTTCCCTACCGCGTATCCCTGCGCGGACAATAGCTGGCTCTGGTCGAAATCTAACGATATAGGATCGGCTCCTTCTTCCAAAGTGGTGGCTCGCGGAGTGCCGGTCGTAGATTGGTGTTGGGTTACGGGGTCTTCGTTATCCGCGGCGAGGAGAAGCTTCTTGGCAGTGGTCTGATCGAGGAATTGGAAGAAGAGCTGGAGGACCCAGTTTGTGACGTCCCATGTCTTTTGGAGCTCGCGCAAACCGAGGAGGCAGAGTTGGGCGCGGTATTCGGCGAGTTTGCGAGCAGTATCTTTGGATCGCCGGAGGCAGATTGTGTGGATGCAAAGCGAGTTGAAGAGACTCGTGGTTCTGACTGCTTTAGTACTTTGGGGTGTTATATATCGGCATATGTTTCAACTTACACGTGTACGTTGCTGTGCTGAACTAAGTCTTGTGACAGGACATCTTCAATGATGCGAGTATTTCTACATGCGGCCTGCAGCGCAATATCCCCAAGATCCTCCTGGGGAGTCCTCTCCGATCTAAGGTATGCAGATCGATACAGGAGTATATACAAGTTACTATGTCTGTTAGCTTGGCATCCTGGGAGAAATCCCCGATACGCACTTATATGATAGATGCAGCATGCTGGCCCAAAAGGAACTGGCAGTGGCGGAGGCTCTCATCTCAGGCGAGAGTTCGGATTCCCAGTTAATAAGATTATCCTTAAGCTTCGACCTCTCGGAGTCTGGTTCGGGCGCTTTTATAGGAGTAAATTCTCGTAGCACTACTTTTCCAACTGCAAACCTGTTAGAATTCATCAATAGAGAAACCGCACGGGGAAACCAACGATAAACGGCTAGTTTTGCCATTTGTATAGCGTAAAGAATATGCTCTCTCTTTTGAGTCCCTAAAAATCTAGGGTACGCCGAATGATCTTCCTCCTCGAAATCCGAAGGATCTAGCATCTCGATATCGCAATCTTCATCTCGGATACGCGTGGGAAGTCCTAGTGCTGCCGAGCACTGACGATCCCGTACCTTCTATTTGTTAACACTAGCGATGAAATATGACAAAAGACATACATATAACGACCACCAAATTCTCTTCCGCAATTTTCCATTAGCAAAGCTAGTACTTGAGGATCTATCACAGGGAATTAGCTTCTGATCATGGGAATTAACACAGGCGAGACTCACGAGCGATGCATCCCCTTCGTCTGTGCAAGACTAATAGCAGCACCGAGCCAGTGCCGGGTATCTTTTTCTAAAAGGGGACCTGCTCGCCAAAAGCTCATTAGAAACAGTGCCTGGGAGACGGTAATTTTATCCGTCTCATAATCTGCATCATAAATATCTTTGGCACGATTGTACAGAGTATTTCGAGCTTCTTGACGATCCGAGTAACCCATGTTCCTCATAACCGCCCCATTGCAGTGACTAGCGCCAACGAAAAGCACAGCTTGGAATAAGATGGGGGAAAGCGTGTTTGTGATGTAGGAGTTGAAAAACTGGTATCGATCTAGTACTGGGAAGCAGGGATGGAACCAGGAGAAGTAGGCTTCAAACAGAACTTCGCAGACATCATTCGAGGGGAATGAGAATGCGCCATCTTGCGTGAGATAGTCGATCCTGGCCGCTTTTCGGCGACTCTCAAAAGGCAGTGTAGATGTCTTCGAGCTCACCGCGGCTGGTATAGGATATCGAAGCTTATCGGTTGGAGAATGATGGCTGGCGGCTGCTGAACTCTGCGCGGTATGAACGAGGGATATGGAATTGGATTCTCCTAGGAAGACGGTGTCGGCACCATCTGCGCCGTTCAAAGCTCCCTGGGTTGATCCAGGTGAGGGAGGAGTGATATGGAAAATGGGGGATGCGGCGGTCTCTTCTTTGTGTTTGCCCGGTGCATTCATACTCATACTCGGGCTGGTATAAGTAGCATGGTCGTGTTTCGTTTCACTCGCGGCCGCTTCGAATGGCAAGGATCCGTTGGCTTTAGTTGTGCCAGCCCCAGAACTATTATTATTCGACTGACCCGAGCGGGTATGTTTAGGATGTCGTTCATATCTATAAACGCGGTTAGAGATTTACCACCGTTGAATTAACTTCTTGGATGTGGACGTACTTTCCGCGCCTCGACTTCATCAACTCGCACGGTATACTCGCAGTTCTGCAATTCTTGCACGGCTGCTCCTCCATAACATTGCATTTCACTCGGCGGGAATTGCATGTCTTACATGCCTTCTTCGCGCGAGATCGCATGCGCTGTTGCTGAGCTGTTGTTGCGCCTGGGGTTGTCGGCGGGTTCGTCTGGGAGTCCGCTGGAGCGGACGCTGGGGTGTTCGTCGCATCCAACATGATGTGGTCGCGAATTGGCCACAAGACATCTGAAGCGCCAATGGTCTAGGTGTAGCATTATAGGGCCTGCTCATGATATTTGCAGGGCATCGGGAGGATTAAATGCGGGGTTGAAAGACGCCGAGAATATCGTTGTTGATAGATACTCGTAGTGTACGTAGTATTTACGTCGGAGTATGGATTTGGATGTCGTCGGGAAGTCTGGGGGATTCCAGAGAGCGGGGCGGGGCGGGGCGGGGGCCGGGAGCGGAGTCCTCCACGCGCTAAGCACCTGTTACCAAGGTAATGGGAACCGGAATAAGCATATGTACTTCGGATGGAATACGTACATACAGTATACATATATATATACCGCAAAAAGAGAAAACAAGCTTCTAAATAAGTCGCCCTTACATCTTTAAAGCGACCAGCCTAGTCTAGCAGGGCCTGGTGAGGCTCTACTAGCGAGTTTCGTCACCACTCATATAGGGATCCCCGACTTATATGCGCAGCGTAAGGTATATAGTTGTATAGATAGATGTATTGAGATGATGTGATGCGAAGAGTGCGGTAGATATTGTACACTTGTCCCACTAAATATAGTATCCATATCGGCCAACACATGTCCTGATTCCCTGGCTTGTATTATACACATTACCTGGCTACGCCAACTATCAGTTCAGCCACATAGGATATCCCAAAACACCTATTATAGTCCGTCCAATGCTACAACCACATCATCAAGAATAATTCGGTCGTCGTAAGTATGCGTATGTTTTCGCATATCATTCATCAGGTCATCATCGTCATCTAAACTGGTCAACGCGGGGGGGATCTCAAAAAGATCAGGATCGGTGGTGCCGGGGAAATGTGCGCCGCCGCCGACGCCTACTAAATCCCCAGTGGAGGATGATAAGGAGGATGGTTCTGGGGGTGCCGCTGCTGTGGGTCGCGGTTCTTGTTGGGTTTCTGGTATTGGTGTGTATTCTGTCGGTATGGGTGTGGGTATAGATGTGGATATTGTTTCCATTTTCGTTGCTTCTTGTTCTATGGGTCGTTGTTCTTGACCGTCGTAATCATTGGGTAGAGTCGCTGGAATTGGTAGGGCCTCTTGGTGTGAGGTCGTAGCTGGGATATCATGTAGTGGATCCCGCTTTTCGGATTCGGGATTGGAGATCACTGGTTCAATATGTTGTGATTCGTAACACCGCTCTCTGCAACTAGCGGCAGCAGTCAAGATTTCTTCCAGTGGCTCAGAGTTGGATGGCGTATGCCGCCCTGAGTCTAAAGAATTGAACCTGGCATTGGAGGCGGCTAGTCCTGTGGGATGTTCCCCTCGAATATCCTGCTCGACCGAGCCAGAGGCCATCGTGGGCGTAATTTCGACTGGGTCACCAGCACCTGAGGTATGCCGACCTGGGGTTTCTGTGGTTTCCAAAATCTCGGATGTAGTACTCGACTCTGGTAGCGGAATACTGACTTCCGGAGGTGGAATATGGGCTTCTAGGAACGAGATACTGACTTCCGAAAACGGCATGACAGTCCCAGCCTTTTCGAACCTCTGAGGAGCCGGGGGAGACCGGCCTCGTCGTGGGTAAAACTCAGTGTCGTCCGAAACGTCAGTTACCGCATAATCATATACGTTGATTGATCGGTCTATTCCCAACGAGCTATATGGAGGGCTATGAACCCCAAAACTGCACGGATGATTACCATTTGTATAAGGCTTCTCATCCATATGCTGGGCATCGACCACGATAGGCACCGGCTGGGAAGGCCCTTCGTCAAACCTGTCTTCCATCTCAGGGAACAACGTGAGCAGCGCGGAAGCTTGTAGACGCCGTCGAGGATCATCATCAAGACAACGATGGCAAATATCCAGGAAGTAGTCTGGAATCTCCGGCGGAAAGCAGGCTAGATTCAATGGTCGTTGTGTTTCTGGTTCATCATGTTGAGTGGCCAAAGCAAACATAACCATGCCTAGTTGGTACAAATCTGATTTGACTCCAATGTACATGGATATCCGTTGGTTACTGTCAATGAGATCGCGAACTTCAGGGGGTTCCCAACCCACGGGGCATCCCCGTCTATTGATGTCTATGATCTTGGCGCGGTCATATTCATCAATGACGATATTTGAAAGAGTGAAATCTCCTTGCACAAAGCCTGCCTCGTGAATCTCTGCAAGGCCCTGAACAATCTCCCTAGCCCACCGCTCCCGCCTCTCCCAGGGGAGCTTGCCGTCTCCGTCGTAGATTACATCTATCAAGGCGCCCTGCTCAGCAAAACTAATGAGCAGTCCTTTGACAAACTCGCCCCTATTATCGAGGACCACGCCTCCAAACTGAATCACGCTGCGTGAGCCGGAAAGTTGATGGAGTGCATTGATCTCATACAAAAATTCATCGACTGTATCCGGGCCGGGGATCTCCTTTTTGATGAAGACTTGCCCGTTAACCCTGACCTTGTAGACGAAACCGGAGAGATGGGAGTCGAACACAAGCTCATCCTCCCTGATTCGCCTGCAGCCCAAGTGATTGATGGCTCTCACCGGAGGATAGGAGATAATCTCCGAAACATCTTCGACCACGTGAACGTGAAGCCGTTCATTCTCAGTCTGCAATTTCAGATTCGTGACCGTGTCATAGAATTGAATATCTGGGAGGGATTCTCGGATAGCCTCATATATCCGTGCGCTCTTGTCCCGCTGGAATTTGGTACGGAGGAGCTCCTCCTCCAACGAGCCCTCGGGAGCATTCCGGTAATCCAGCGAGACGGTCACCCGTCGCCAATGCGTAGGGGTTTCCGCAAACGTCACGAAGAATTTCTCCCTCTTGGACTTATCTCGAAAATGCATGCTCAGATTCAAGATCCATTTCTTCTCGAGCTCTTCGAGGATCATCTCATCGAATGCTTCGGTTGAGATGGACTGCGTCTCGACAGCTGACACATCCTTGGAGACGTCCACATATTCCTGGACCTCCTCTAGCTTCGTCTCTGGCGGGGGCTTGACGCCATTATCTAGTACTGCCTCGATGGTATCTGTAGTCTCTAGCAACTCCGGGGCACTTAGCCTGGGGGAACCGGCCAAAGCAATTGACGAGTCTCGCGCGGAGCCATTAAGCCTCCTGTCAACCGACACCGTCCGCCGCTCATCGGGGTTTGGAATGACGGGTACTAATCGATCCCGCAGCTCTGACTGCTGTCTCTTGAAGGTCCCCTGACGTGGTATGCCTGGCACCACCTTTCTCGAGATCCGGCGGGCGATGCCAATACCGGGCCGCGTGGTATCCTCCTGGAGGGGAGGAGGCAGAGGGGGGTGATGATGATTATGGTGATCCTCCTTGCCGAAAAGTCTCTTCCAGGACCACGGCATCTTATGCTCGGGGAATGCGGCTGTTCCCTCACGCGGCGGCTTCTCCGCCTGGGTCATGGTGGAGTCGAGTTCGAGACGGACCCGGCAGCTAAAGACCATGGTTAGCAAGGATGATCTCTTCACTCTTAAAGGCTCCAACGGTAACTGGAGGGGGGTCTCCCGCGTACATGCTGGAGATATCGCCACGGCCACGGCCAGAACTCTTGGAGAACCAGCGCCTCGACGCCTCAACCCAATGCTGATGATGCTGATACTGAGAGGGGGATGTTGTGGTCAGCAATTCGCAGCGCCGGGGTGCATGTCGGCACGCGGTCGCTGGTGTAGCATGCAGGTATCCGACGAGATCGACGTGGACGAGAGCAATGGCACTCTCCTGTTCTTGTACTGGTGGTGTATGGGAATCATTGCATTGGCATGATGTGTGCAATGGCGAGGAGGAGGTTCTTTTGGGGGGGAGGGGGAGGACGAGACAGATGTAACAATGGTTGTTTATAGGAACGAGAACGAGAACGGAACGAAACGAGGCGGTCGGGGGACGAGGAACCGCTGGCTGGCTGTTCAAGGGCGTGCTCCGGACAGTAGTGAAGTAAAGGCTAATAAGAGGGCCAGTGGCCAGTATTCTATGTGATGCGGTGAGGGAGTGAGGGAGAGAGTCTGCAGCAGCCCGAGACTGCAAATCCAAGAGTAGTGCAGAGTGCAGCGCAGAGTGCAGACAGAGCGCAGGGCAGTACAGTAGCAGTAACAAGGAGTGCGTCGTCCAGGCAGCTAGTTACAGGGCGTCCAGACTCTGGAATTGGCTCGATACAGGCACGAGATACAGGGCATCAAGACTGGTCCAGTAAGTACCCGTACAGCACGGTGAACAGTGAGGATACACCATCGTTCGAGTGCTTCACAAGTATGAGGTAGGTACCTATGAAGTACCTCCAAAGTACGAGTGCCGGGTACAGGTACCTCTCCGCTACCTCCACATGGTAGTGCTGCCACAACCCAACCTCCAGCCTCCAACCACCAACCGCCGGACCTCGTCTCCTTAGATCCTCGAAGCTTCATCCTCCTCCACCAACCCCCCGACTTCCAGCGAACGACACTGTAACACGAAGCAAAACGCCCGTTCGGCTCCGAGTTCCGGTGCATTGCTCCTTGGCTGCCTCGCTCTGCTTCACTCTGCTTCACGCTGCTTCACGCTGCCTCACTCTGCTCGACTGGCATCCATTGAGTCCAGCCGGTTTCTGGGCTGCGGACGGGCCCGACGAACGCCTGAAAGGTCGATGAAACTGCGCCCTGTCAGAGCCCTCGAGAAGCATTTCCTTCCAACCTGATTCCTGCCGGCCAATCCCACACCGTGCCGTCTATTTCTTTACGGCGCATTTCGCTGATTGGCCTCCCATTTTGAAGATATTCTTCCCCCCAAAGTGCGTGGGTTGAGTGTGGGAGGGTTTCTTTTCGCGCTTGCTTTATTAACGCTGTGCTTTTTCCTTGGTCTTTATTCTCGGGGATGCCGCTCTCGAGAGTCAATTCATGACTGTTGATCATTATGTAGATCGGCATCATTGGATCAGAACTAGAACAGAGCATCGCGGGATGTTTCTGTGGGTAGGTAAAACCTCTAAAGCTACGGAGTGGTGGACCTATGGGTGGTTTTTAGGGCTATCAGTCCCTGGGACCACATCAGAAAAACCCCCCTATTCTGCCCTATCTCTCCCTATTTAGGTCAGTAAGATGTTGACTAAATGCAGTACTCTATATCCATATCCAGATCCAGATCCATAGCTACAGTTACAGCTAGAGCACAAACAGATACAGATTCCCCACCCATTTCCACCCATTCCCACGCCTCAATCTTTTATTGATGCCCAACTCAGGCACCGCTCCCGTGCTCCGTCTTACTATCGGGTTCTCAATGAGGCTGGTTCTGCCCCCTCGCGCATGTCTGGACAAAAAACGTTACACGTACTCCATGCAATGCACCCTCACCCGCCTGCCTTCCATCGTCCTTCGATTGCCCCGTATTCCCATATTCCCACCATCAATTGGGTATGGGCGATGCGCTGCTACGCTGCGTCGGGGCTTCGGGACATCGCATCACAGCACAGCGCAACACACCAGCATCACCTAACGTGGCTGGGCGATGAACGAACCTATCTTCTTATTAACGCGTCGGTCGTGGTGTGATCTGGGGCTGTCTGCCCATGAGTGCGTAGATAGGTACGTACGTACGAACTGATACTTGAATGTCTTCTTGATGTCGAATAGCATTCCAATGTAGGGTTCGAGCCCAATCCCAATACTTCTCAACCCAGATACTCTTTAATTCAACCGTTTTAGTTCATCCAACCTCTGACCTAGCCGTTCTTGACCCTTTTACTCCCCCCTTTTCCCTTCTCCACCACTTACTTCCGTTTGACCACCGCCCACACCACCCCCACTCGCCCCCCCTTATCCACTCACGTAGGCTACCCACCTCCATCAATCCAATCTATACCTCCCTCCTCTAAAACAACCATCCAGATCCAGATCCAGAACTCGAACACTTAGCCAACTCAGAGCTATGATATATTCCCTTCGCCTCGAGATCATATTTCCATGCCACGCCTCGCTAGATCAACTGGCAACCAGCATTCCACCATAACCGGAACCCCACCCCCCTCATACACACGCATGCCATGTTGCGCATACGCATCCATTCGCAGGCATGTATGTATGTAATCATGCCATGCGATCATGATGTGATCCACATGTTCACTTACACTGAACTCTTCCATGGATAACCCGGGGAATGTATGTATGGTGGTCCGATCTTCTTCCAGTAGCCAGACATGATCCAGGACAACTAGAGGTGACATATCTGGTTGAACGGCCAGAAAATACTTATATCGCCACGCGTCGGGCACCAAAGCCAGATCATCACTCCACGGTCGCCAGCAACATCTCGTCGAAAATCAATAGATCAACTTGGCTCGACATGAGAGATAGAGATGCTAGCGTTCGGTTTCTTCATTTGAAATCTGGCTAATCTACATTTTACATTATATATCGTATCGTATTGTATTGTACACCAACCAACCCCCCCCAACGACGTGTAGGCGGGGCGCCAATCAATCAATCTGCCTTGATATCTAGATGCAGGAGAGAGGAGAGAGTATGTTTCTGTAGTTCCCGGTTCCCATTTGGCTCTGTGCTGCTGCGTGACGATGTATAATATGACCCCAACATGCCAGCCTGGAGGAGCGAGAGAATAAAACGCCCATGCCTATGCCCATGCAATCATAAACTCCCTTCTCTTTTTGTCTATATGCAGCTCATCCCAACCTCAACCGCATCGTATACATTCCTGCCCGATACTGACGTCGTGATGACCGGGAAATGCAGGGAAGGGTAGTATCGCACGTGTATACCTTACTGTACAAGATCAGCTCGAGTCGATGGCGGAATGATCGCTCGATCAATCATCATCTTCATCGCTCTTATCGCCCTTCTTTCTGGCGAGTTGCTCTTTCCATTGGTTGTTCACCTGTTCTGAGTCGAGGTCAGGAAACACGAGATCAAAGACGTCCGAGTACCATTTCGCTGGACGGCCCTCGATGCCTTCCTTGATGTTCTATTTGCTGGGGATTAGTTGCAAAGTACGAAATTAGAAAGGGTAATGCTTTCCACTCACCTCTGGAAGTTCCAACCAGTCCGACATGTTGTCATCTGGGAAGATGATCATCTTTGACCCCGCCCGCCTTGCCGCGACTGTCTTCTCCCGCAGACCCCCAATTCTGAGAACTTTCCCTGTGACTGTAAGTTCACCAGTCATGGCGATTGTGGGGTCAAGTGGTTTGTTCAGAGCTAGCGACAGCAACGAAGTGGCCATTGTGATACCTGCCGAAGGGCCATCCTTCTGAACTGCTCCTTCTGGGCAATGTAGGTGGATCTTAGCTTTATCAAAGAAATGGTTGTCTGAGAACTGCTTCGCGACCACTGACTTGGCAAACGAATAGGCAATTGCCGTTGATTCCTTCATGACAGCTCGTAGATTTCCAGTCGTGGTTAAGCCGGCGCGAGAATTCGGGGTCAGGGCACTTTCTAGGATCGACTCGACATAGAGAGCAGCACCTCCCATCTGCGTCCATGCAAGACCCATGGCTACTCCGGGCGGGGTGATATCGTACAGCCGGTCCGATGTAAAGATAGGAGGCCCAACATAGTCCTTGAGGTTATCTTTACCAATCGTAACATGGACCGTATCAGGAACATCAAGTCCAATTCGCGGAGTCTCGGTAGTCTCCTTCTCGATATTCTCTGGCGTGACTTCAACTTTAGTCTCGTCCTTCTTTGATTCTTCCATCGCAGCCTGACCTTCCTCTATTAGAGCCTCTTCCTCGGCAAGCACCGTCTCGCCAACATCCTGCACGATCTTCAGTGCAGCTTTGCGATAGACCTTCTCGATCTGCTTTTTCAAATTTCGGACGCCAGATTCCCGACAATAAGATTTGATCAACTCTTCAATCGCCTCTTTGTTGAGCTTGACATCGACATCCTTCAAGCCTGCTAGCTCCTTTGATTGTGGCCCGAGGTACCGTTCTGCGATCGCCATCTTCTCATCTGCCACATAACCAGACAGTTCGATCGTCTCCATGCGGTCGAGGAGAGGGCGAGGAATTGTATCCGTCATATTTGCCGTACAAACAAAGAGGACCTTGGAAAGGTCAACGGGAACATCAAGGTACTGGTCCAGGAAGGAGTTATTCTGCTCCGGATCAAGCAACTCCAGCAACGCAGAAGCGGGATCTCCTTGATGTCCTCTTCCTAGTTTATCAATCTCATCAATCAATATCAGTGGATTTTCTGTTTGACATTTCTTTAATGCTTGGATGATTCTTCCCGGCAGGGCACCAACGTAGGTTCTTCGATGGCCCTTGATTTCAGCAACATCGGCAAGACCACCTACGCTGAACCTGTAGTATTGCCTATTGAGTGCCCTTGCAATACTCTTGCCAATACTGGTCTTACCAACCCCAGGGGGGCCGACGAAGCACAAGATCTTGCCCTCCACAGTTCCGCGCAACTTGCCCACAGCAATGAACTCCAGAATTCGATCTTTGACATCCTTCAGCCCGTAGTGATCTTCATCTAGAACGGTCACTGCATGCTTGATGCCAAAATTCTCCGCGCTACGCTGGCCCCAAGGAATCTGTGTCAGCCAATCCAGGTAATTTCTTGTGACGTTGAATTCTGAGGCCGCAGGCTCAAGGTGCGCGAGTTTGTTGAGCTCCTCATCAAAGACCTTCTTGACCGCTTCTGGCATGGCGAGTTTCAAACCCTTCTCCCTGAATTTCTCGACCAATTTATCTTTGCCGTCTGATTCGATCCCCAGCTCTCGTCGGATACCTTTCATCTGCTCCATAAGCCAGTATTCGCGCTGTCGCTTTTGAATGGATTGTTCAACATCTTTAGAGATCTTGGACTGTAGTTGAGCATTCATAAGCTCTTTTTTCAGGACCAATAATGCCTTTTGCAATCTCTCCTCCACATTGAGTGTCTCAAGTACATCTTGAAGCTCATTCACCTCGCCAGCAGAGACAGCGGCTGCAAAGTCGGCCAGCTTGGCAGGTTCTTGCATTATATTGCCTGCCGACTGGCTCATTGAGAAGGTGGATATCTGATCGCGGAATAGGCCGTTGAGACTGGCGACTTCCTTGAAGACATTGACGATCTCATTGGTGACGGCCCGGATGATGGGACTTTTTGGGTCGTGAGGCTCCTCGGAAAGGTTCTCTACCTTGACAAGGCTAACGGGGTATTTGTGGAGGAAGGACGTTGGTTCGTATGCGGAGGGAGGTGTCTCAGTGCCCTTTTGTTGCTGTACAGCGCCTTCTTCGAAACTGGCCACCACGTCGCCCTTCTTGTCTTCTGTCACCTCAGCTTTTGTTGGTTTCGGCGGGATAGCATCAGGAACTGGTGGTTCTGACGGGGCTTCAGCCTTCTTTGCCTCGTCAACCGGTGCTTTCTCCGGATTAATCAAGGCAGACATCTTGATACGCCGATGGGGGTACAGAACAGTGGTAAGTCCGCTCCCTTTCTCCCCAGAAACTGGGAAAGCGCTAGTAATTTGTGCAAACACGCCAACATCATGGACCTGGTCCATATTCTCAATCGTGTCGCCATCCATATTCTCATCCTTGAACAAAAAAGCTCCTATGTACGGTTGGCCCCTCTTAATCATCTCCTGAATCGCCGCAATGACATTGGGATCCTGTACGGTAACCGCCTTGTAGAAACCCGGGAAGAGAGGCCGCTTGGTAATAGGAATCGCCATCACCTGGGGATATATGTCCGGAACCGTGGGTTTCTGCAGCGCCTTCTCAGGCGATGCTTTTCGTCCTTTCTTCCCTCCATCTCCATTCCCACCATCACCTGCACTTCCTCCAGACGCAGCGCTGCTCCCTCGGCCATCTGGAGCGCTCCCAGACGAAGCATCGCTCTTTACAGAAGTTGCAGAGTCAGAACTTTTGCTCTTTCCTTCCACCGCGGCCTCACCACTTGTCTCCTTAGCGGGCTCTACTTTCTCTTTCGTGTTCCCTTCCGTCGATTCCTCTATGGCAGGCTCTTTGGGATCCTTCGGTGCATCTTTCCGCCTTGCAGGTGAAATCGAGAATCGGGAGACGCATAAGGGCGTGGTCTGGGTAGGGGTAGGTCGTGAGGAGGTGGCTGAGAGCAGCTGGCGTTGTAGGGCACGAGATGGCGAGGACGTAACGTAGAGCCGGCTGGCGCAGATAATTGAATTGTGCCTAGCTGGTAAGGTCCGCGAGGAGTTTCGGAGCGCGAGCCGCCATGGTAGATTTTGGCCGTATAGCATAATAACTTCTCTTCACGGTTGGTTGATGCTGTACCTGTTTGCTGGGAACCTCACATGGGCCGGGGGCAAAATCCGAATATAATCTAAGATATAAGACGCAGAAAAGGTGCAGTAAATCTAGCCGAACAGATATACAGGAATGGAGGATGTGGTGGGAAGAAACTGGCTGTAAGTGATGGTGATTCGTATCCTGGAATCAACCTGGAGATTTATTGTCTTTTCGTCACCAACGGAGCTGCTTTCAAATCGATGCGGCGTTTGTCACGAGAATGCCGACAAGAACCATTTTGTGCCTAAGGCCACAACAGCTATTTTCCATGCGAGCTATGCCGAGGCTATTCACTCTACTTGCAGTATGGTCTGTATGTTATTATTAATAAAAGACGAAGTGCTAGATCATAGTACTCCCACTTCAAAATACTAGTGGACCCCCAATGGTTTAACCTAAGCTTCATTGTACTGTTCTACAATCAGCCAGGCTGCGAATTAATAGTAGGCTTTGTATATTCCTAATATAAAACCACCGATCTAAAATATTTAGAGCTGTTCTGAACTGTAGATGCGTAATGCATAAAAGGAAAGGTATCTATAGCTTTAAATTAAGATATTGAGCATCGCACTTTCTAGTTAGACTTTATCATGATATGTCCGAACACCTATGACATATACGGGTCAAACGGGCAGTACAGCTGGCTTCATCCATTGATATTTTTACTAATCCTAGCTATCACTACCTCCATGCATTAAGCCCCGCCCATGGATCGTTCGAGCCTTGCCCCGAGTTCTGACGTTGCTGCATCGTATTCTGTCCATGCCCATACTCTCCATGGCCCATGGCACCGGGTTGCGGGAACGTTTGCTGGGGCCCAAGCGGTGGTGGTCCTGGGGGAGGAGGTGGTGGAATATAGCCTGGAGGTACGTTGAATTGCTGGTGGGGCATAGGTGATTGGGGTTGTCTCCCATATTGGTTTTGCGAGAATTGGGTTTGGGTTGGAGGCGGCGACATTTGCGCAAATTGAGTCTTTGTCGGCGGTGGTGACATCTGTGCGAATTGGGTCTGGCCTGGAGGTGGTGATATGGGTTGGTTTGGATCACGAGGTGGATACATGCTTGGGTTGTACCCTCCTTGAGGTTGTGATCCATGCTGCTGGGCAATGTATATATCGGGTGGGTGCCGCTTCTGAGGTTGTTGGGCAAATTGAGATCCATTTGAAGGAGCGAACGATGGATGGGCTGACTGAGGGTGTGTCGTGGTTTGTGGAGGTGGCGAGGTGGGGACTTGGTACTGGCCTGCGAAGTTCGTGGTAGGATATCTGGTTGATGGCGATGGGTTTTGATATGATGTCGATTGAGATCTAGCGGGGTGGCCGGATGACGGTGATGTTGAAGTGGGATCCATTGACATACGCTCCATAAGCCCCCGAAGACGTTCGCGTTCCTTATCAGCTTTCCCGTTGGCATTGGCAGCTCGTTCTTGCTCAATCTGGTTGAGCAGCTGGGCGCCCTCCGATCGCCGATTGTTTACGAATGTCTCAACATTCTTATCTAGACTATCCACGGTATCTTTCATCTCGCTGTACCATTGCTTCGCACTTTGGAGTCCAGCCTCAAGATCTAAAAATTCCTGGTAAATCCGCTTATATTTTGACATAACGGCAGATCGCTGCCGTGTAATATTTTCATATTTGCTTTGCTCTGACCGGACTCGCTTGTCCTGCAACAAAGTATTGAAGGTCGCTGTGAGCTCCTTCATGAGCGATGATTGTTTATGGTTTGCGGAGAGGAGCCGATGTTGGTGGGGTCGAAACTTTTCGAGCTCCGCTTGGAAAAGCTGCGTCTCGTACGTGGATATGGCCTTCTTGTTAAGGATTAAGACTTGCGAGATGTCGTCGTTATGAACCTAAAACATGTCAGTGATTTGCATTACCTGTATTATTTGAAATGTATACCTTTTCCTTCAAGTCTTTTAGGACCTGGGATCTCTCACGCTTTAGCAGATTCAGCTTTTTGAGAATCTCTTCTACCTTAGAAACCTGGTCCATAACACTGAGACCAGTTTCCTCGAAGTCATCATCTAGTAGATTCCCTTGGCCACCAGTTGGGCTCCCAGCATTTCTTGACTTCCCGCCAACTTGAATATGGGCCTTTTGGAAGAGCACATCGGCCTCGCCAGTTTCACCAGCTGAACGCATCTCACCAAATTCTACTTCGTGCTGTCGAAATTTCGCATAAAGTTGACTGTCACTCCTTGCTGCCTCATCAAGGGCCTCTCTATAATTTCGAATATCGTTGCGAAGGGTGGATGTTAATCTAGAGCTTGGCTGTTGTGTCCAATCCGCTTCATATTTGGATCGCATCTTCTCGCATACGCTCTCTTCCATGTCCAGCTGCTTGCTACTCCGATCCAGCACGGTTACGACATCCTCTTTCTTCGATTTCAAGTAGTCGAAAGTAGCCAGAGGACGGTCTTGGCTTGCTATATCGTCGCACCACCCACGAAACTCATCATCGACAGTCAGTTCTTGGTCAAATCCGCCTTTTAGAACCTGCAAAGCATTGGGTAGCCTTAAATAGTCCAGACTTGCATCCATTTCGCTGTTCGCGGTTTCGACCCTCTCCGTTTCAGCTCGAATCAATTTCGCCTTCTCTTCGTCATACAAACTTGCCGATTCCGTGACCGACATCGGAACAATCTTTTGGAAGATATCCGGACCCGTAATACGTTGTATATCTTGTCCGGCATACAGTTCACTGACCGGAATCGCCTTGGCCGCTGGAAGTTTTGGAATAACTGCAAGAGCAGCCTCTGCCGGTACAGTTTGATGATAAATGTAGTCGTTGTCTTTAACGAGGGCAGTTAATTGTTCCTGAACGTTGGCGAGATGGCGTTTGGTAATTTCAACAAGAGCTGCCCCGGTTTCCGAGTTGAGATTGGAGTTTGCCGGGACATTCCCAGGAAATGAATTTGCCAACTTGGTTGCATCTCTAGCAGCGGTCTCGGCGACTTGTAGACGGGAGATCGCTACTCCATGGGAATTTGCATCATCATCTGCCAAAGCTTGATAGTACTGAGCTAAGGATGTCATGTAATTTGATTTGATCTATTGTGATGTCAGCCAGCTCCCTGATATATAACGGGCCATATCATGATGCGGGTACAAAGAGCCCGGCAAAGTAGGCGGATATCTCTATATATACCACGTATCCCACCTAGTTGAAAATGAAGAGAGCATACCTGAACCACGAGCAGCCACACCTTCTCAAAAATGGCTTTATTCACATTATCTTGCGTGCCCTCAACCGCCTGAGAATAGAGATATCCAGCTTGACTCGCAAGTTTCGCCAGAAGCCCAACCTTCTTGTCGTCGGCAATTTGCTTTTCCAGGAATACCTCCTGGCCCTGAGCCAACATGACCTGTATAAGAGTCTTTACCGTATCGCGGCTGAGATCTGTGGACGGGGCGTGTAGGAAGTTCTCGTTTATGTATGTGAACATGCCCGCAGATGCTTGAAATGAGTGGTATGCTGTTTTGAGACCGGAGTCCTCCGATCGGGTCTGTTGTGCTGCATGACATGATAGCACCGCAGAGATGTTAAATATGATCGAGGCCTTCTCGTAGGCTAAGGAGTATTGGGACGTGGGCTTGTGGGTGAAAGCGTCGAACCTGGTAAATGTGTATCCATTAGCTACATGTCACATGCATGTCCTTCAACCAAACGGGGGTCGCCATACCAGGTGAAAGAAATTTTGATGTGGTTCTCATCCACGGGAAATCGAAGATCCAGTAATTCGAGCTGCCCGTAATATCTGTAGAGGAGATCCCGTCCAGCGGCGCTGTCCTTGCCCGCGCCCCTCATATCCTGCCGTAACCGGTTCAGAGTGGCGCACTCTTCATTATACCGTTCCGGATCATCCCCATATGTGGCCCGGATGTAGTTCTTCAGCGGTTGTATCCAGTCTATCTCGTTGGTGGCCTTCAACGGCACCGAGATCATCGGCGCCTGCATTCTGATGCTGTGCTGAGCTGTGCTCTTGCGAGCCGTAGCCCGGACTCTCTCTCCTCGCTCTGGGGACACAGCACTCTGGTCGTCCGCCCAGTCTTTTCTTTCCCTTTGGCAGAGCAGCGGGGGATTCGGGATAAGCGGCGGTATCCAGAAGTCGTCGAAGAAGCCTGGCGGGGGATCAGGTCTGTGGTGCGGACAGGCGATAAGGATGGCGGTGGAGAAGAGGGGTGATGCCGGTGATGTCGTGTACTCGGTATGGAAGTATGTACGTAGTAGCGAAGTATTTAGAACCTCAGGTACGAAGCACCAGCAGGTATAATATAACACAAGTACTTTCTACAGAGCAACTCGCTTTCTTCCAGCTTGCAGCGCCAAGTAAAAGTATGGTATGGTATGATACAGTGGCACTACGTACCAGCGCACGTTGCAGCGGACATGCGACTATTCATGGTCCTTTGGGGTCGGAAAGCAGCGTGCTCATTGGGGAGGGGTGGATACAGTATTACAGTGCTGTACGGCACCAGATTCAAGCTCCTCGACTCCTGAGTCCTGGGAGCTTTGGGATTGGAATTAGCAGTCAGGCCTGGAAGCTTATTCGACGAGCAGAGCGGTTTTCCCTTGCATTGGTACGGCAAACACCTGCAGCTACAGACGGATATGTGGCCGCTCAAGAGGCCAGCAGGGCTTGGAGTGCCGATTGCACAGCAGTAGCGGACGCCTATGGTTGAGACGTGAGACTTGGGGGTGAGATATGATATGATAAGCGCTGAGCTTCGTCCGCCACCAACAAGAGCAGCGCGGCGGCGTGCTGCTACAGCGTACACCGTGCAGTAGTTCCGGGAGGCTACGAGTATGGGGTTGTATGGAGCATAGGGCATATATAAGTAAGGTATACATGTATCAGGCTAGACGCTGGCGATCCTGACTTCAGCAACTCTGGACTCTGTGCGAGAACAGCACAAAAGCACTTCAAGCCCACTCCAGAGCCCAATATTGCAATGTAGCCGCCGAGCTGGACTCTCTCAAGGGAGCTACTCTGGCTGCTCTACGCTTTCAGGGCCAAAATGCCCAACCGAGGTGTGCTGGACATGCCCGCCAGAGCCAGTGGCGTGTTGAAGGCCGGCCTCCGGAGTGTCATTGGCTCTGGTCCCAAGCTGCCGGGAATCAACTGCTTCGCGGTCCCAGGTTCCAGGAACTCAGGAGTCGAGACTCGAGACTGGAGAGCCAGGAGTCCTCAGCAGCCCAGGGGCAGCTAGCTACTGTATGTAACCGGTGCGATGCGACCCGCGACCGCGCAGATGCTGGCCGGAATCTGAGTCTCGCGCGCGCGTGGCGTTGGCTTTGTCTAGATCGAGCTGCCATTCCGTTATCACACTTGCTAGCGATCAATATCAATATAAAAAGGGCGATCACGGCCGGCGGTAGTAGGGTAGGTTCTTGACCCTACTTCGCCGTATCACAATCCAGGCACCAATAGCCAACTACTGGATGTAAGTGCAATTATACTAGGACTAGTGGTGGTGGTGTCAAGGTCTAGAGCAGAGAGTACGTCTATATGCGCCGTTCTATATTGTACATGTTGAGCATCGGGAGATGAGCTGATGGTACATCCTAATCCTTTCTCTCGATTATGCATACAAGACGCCTATTCTCCATGGCCATCACGAACTATAACCCCGCTGATACCGTAAGTCCCAGTACGATACAAGGCGACAAATGCTGTTGTACATTTCAAAAACTAAAAGTTTGGCGCTGAGCTTTTCTCAATATTACCCTCATCGCTTGATGGATCATTTCCCCTTGGACTTATCTGACGGCTTGTCATCGTCCTTGCCCGGATTTTTCTTGCTTGAATCCTCCTTCTTATCGTCCTGGGTCGAATCCTTTTTGGTTGCATCCTCCTTGGTCGCGTCCTGCTTGGTCGAATCCTGGTCTGTTAATTTATGCCAGATGGATTTGAGAAAGCCCTCCCGTTGAGAGTCCGGAGCACTGGAGAATGTCAGATCTCATTGTGGCCACAGTATATGTCATTCATTACTCACCTAGACTTTCCAACGTTCATTATACGCTTCGCCGTCTTGTCATTCAGCTCATCTGCTAGCATTTCGACGATGGTGCGTTGGTTGTAACTTAGGTACTTAGGCATGGCAACCTTGAACTCCACCTTGAGATCTCCCGAGGCGTTTCTTCTGCGCTCGAGTTTCTTCATACCCATCCCTGGTAGGGTGATCTTATCCCCAGTGGCAGTGCCCGTGGCGATCTTAACATTTACTTCGCCGTCTAAGGTTGGTATCTTGACTTCGCCTCCCAGTATAGCAGTGGTGAGTGGTATCGTAGCCGTGTATAATACGTCGGATCCGGACCGGCTAAATTTGGGGTCGGTTTGGACCCTTATGAGGACGTATAGATGTCCCGGAATACCTTTGGCATCCGGGTTGGCAGCAGTCCCAGTCACTGGCGCATCTCCCTCTTGGTTGATACGCAATCGCTGGCCATCCTCTATACCTCCAGGTATGTCCACATCTATCGTTTTCCGCTCTCTGACAACTCCATTTCCGGAGCACGGCCGGCACTCTCCTCCTTTTGGAGTCGTGACACCTTGGCCGCCGCAAGTACCACAGGTGGAAGCCATCTGGAAACCTCCTGACATGAAGTGTACACGAGTTCCCGTTCCTCCGCAGGTCTGGCATTCCGACCGTTTGGTCCCAGGCTTCAATCCGTTTCCAGAACAGGTTTTGCATGTAACTAGAGGCGTTATAGTAATGGCCTTCCTGGTACCCTTGGCGGACTCCATGAATGATATTGTAGTTTGCACACTAATATCGTCCCCAACCAAGATTTCCTCCTGGAATGGGCTTGGTCCACCTCGTCGGGGCCTTCCGCCACCCTGAGTAAATCCCCTGAATAGATCCTCGAAGTTGAAATCGGCTCCGAATCCAGCACTGCCAAATCCACCAGCTCCTCCAAATGGGTTTCCTCCACCGAACGGGTGTCCAGCACCTCCAAAGGGGTCCCCGCCACTTCCAGGACTGGGTCCGGCGCCTTGGTCGAAGCCGGCCGCGCCGAACTGATCCCAAGCGGCCTTCTTTTGCGGATCTGTGAGAAGCTCGTACGAAGATTGTGCTTCGGCAAACTTGTCCTTTGCAGTAGGGTCTTTATTCGTATCGGGGTGGAACTTCTTAGCCATGCCATAATACGCCTTCTTTATCTCGGATGCCGAGGCGTTCTTATCGACACCAAGGACTCGATATGGATCCTTCGTTGCCAGCTGCCGCGAACTTGCATGGAAGCCCTTTAAAACGTCAGTCGGTTTACAGTGGACTGGGTATTGACATGAACACTCACCCTATTTAGGCCTATCCGTACGGCGGAGGCAGTGGATCTCATCGGCTTAACCCTCGATGACGGAGCTGGGCATGCGTGGCATAGCTGACGTTTCTGTACGTTCGACACATCTTGGTGGAAGTGTTGCCGTCGAGATGTTCGTGCAGGGCATATGATCCGGGTGGTTGTGCCGGCCTTTGCGAGCAGGCTCGTTGTACCAGTCTTCATGATGTGCGATTAAAAATTCCTCATCTATGCCCAAAAACGACGCTCGAATTCTGTTCCAAATTATGGCCGCGATTATATTGACGCCCGGGTTGGAGGGCTGGAGGCGGTTTGCGATGCAATAGTTGCAAAGTTGGTAACTAGCAGAGTACGGGATGATGGCGCTGCTTGTCAAAACTTTTTTTGGCCGCTCGTGATTGGCTGCGGACTAAGCTTCTAGTGCAGTCCGAAAGGGGCCTGAATTTATTAGAGCTTTCTGGAATCCTCTCAGGATAATCCTCGGAGCACCGAAGATTTCTAGTTTCTAAGTTCTCGGTTGTAAACTTGTCGCCTCCGTACAACCAGATTAGACGCATTTATTAGGTTTGTCTAGAAATTCGTTTTCATACATGGTCGAGCCATGACAGAGTCCAACCCCACCTTTCATTATAACCTCGGAAATGCAACATGTATATGGTTTCTATCAACAAAGTACAACCCTTTTTAATGTTGGGTTTAATTCGATTGCCTATACGCCGAATAAATAGTACTGTGTGTCATTCTTGGACACAGGGTATCAAGCTCCAGTAGCTTTTAGTATTACGCCGATTCCAGCCCAAGTGTCAACCATGTGTCCAATCCAGGAACGCCCTCCAAATATAACAACCCCAAAATATACACCGTTATCGGGGCCGCTGAGGGGCAAATCGCATTCGGAAATTTTTATCTGTAGAGTTGAATTGTCAGTTTGGGCAAGGCGTAGAGTAAGCGGGAATCCAAATGAGGCGGGTAGACCAACCTTGCCATCGAACCTTGTACAGGAAATCCACAACCACTTCGTTTTCAGCTATGCCCATACTGTTAAAATGCTTGCGTACAGCATTTGCCAGCTGGTCTTTGCCTTGCCTCCGCTGCTCCTTCCGCCTAGCCATTGTTGGGGACATGCGACCAATTGAAGAGTGGGCGAGCACCATCTCATTGTACGGCTTGTTGAACGCAGCCGGTGTATTCAGGCGATAATCATATCTATATCCGTGGAGTATTTCGGGTTCAAAGCTTGACCATTGAAGCTGTTGTTCTGAGTTTCAGCAAGGGTTTAATTTTCGAAGGTGGGCAATACTAACACCCGGGGCAGCATCGGCACCAGCTGTTCCTGAGACTGCCGCAGGCGTATTACTTGGGCCTGCTGTTACCACATCTCGGAGTGAGCTTCCAGCAGCTGCTGTACCTGCTATCCGCCGGTTCTTGCCATTGGCCGCGGTTGAAGAGTTGGATCCAGGCTTCTCTTTCGTGCTCGAAGCCTCGGACCTCGAGTCGTCCTGGTGCTGTTTTGATTTCGAGGGCGGCATGGCGAGACAACAGGCCGCCTGTTTGAGAAGCGGTTGGTATAATCGTAAAGCTGTGATATATCGTTGTCAATAATGAGTAATGTGAATAGGCAGTCCCATCTCGTGTTGCTGTTGGGTGCTTGGGAGGAAGAAGGCCATCGTAAGGGTCGGCCATTCGGCGCCAAGCTGCTCCGCGTCCGGACTCCACACGTTCAACACGAAAAGACGCGCTAGAACAACGCTAGGCGAATACTTTATCCGTATCCGACCATATCAGCTATTCAGCATTGCATGTGTGCTGATCCGGGTTCCTGCTTCACAAATCTCGATTTTCTGCGCTCCAGGCGGCTGTTCGAGATAAAATGCTTCGTGTGACCAAACCCAAAAGCCGCCTCGTGTTGCGCGATTTACTTGGTCGCCAGGACGTCAACTCGTGCTCCTCGCCTTATTACGGACGAGTTCTTGCTCGCGTTCAATATTGGTGCTTGTCTTATATTCCTCATTTTCCTTTTCATGATGGCTTGCATATTGTTCTCCTGCTTAAGTCAGCCAAGGCGCCAAAAGGCGTGCGGTTTGTGTCCTGTGGCTGTGATGCGCAAATCAGATGGCCTTGAATAGCTTGAAGAGAATTCACTCCCACCTCAGCCTTCTCCCCCCACCCCCAAAGATCCCCGGATTAGCGCAATCGTGTGACGGGAGGCCGTCGGCGTCGCCGCAGGTGCTGGAGGCTAGAAGGCCAGAGGCCCTCATGCTTATGAGATCAAGAAGGATTCGAAGTGGGAATTTCTTTGCAAAAAAGCAAATTTGCTGCAGAACCGTCTCCTCGGAACGACAACTCAATCTTGGTGGCGGGCCCAGGTTCTAGGATATCGGCGACCGGTCGGTTGGCGCTCTGCCATTAATTTTTTCAATTTTTCCTTGCCCGTCGTTGTTGATTCGTTGCTAGTTATTCTTTTCAGCTTCCTTTTGAGTGGAAGAAGTCTTCCGTTTCATCGAAGAACTCTACTGAAGCGCGCTTTGGATTGTCCGACTTAGCTAAATCGGAAACGCATCACCCCAAACGTTGCTGTTTGCCACTAGGGAGATTGCACGGTGATCAGTGTTGATGATTTTGATGACAAGCAAGAGAGTAAGAAAGAGAAGCTAGCCTTGAGAAAAAAACAAAAACAAAAAACCTGATATGAAACCACGGCCACTGTATGAAGGCCCACCTGGTAAACACAGAGCAGCTCGAGAATGGTTCGGGCAACATGGAAAGGATCAAGCTGGAAATAACCCAGTACAATGCCAGAGATACTGAAGATCGCAAGGACACGAGACAACTAAGGCGAGACACTTGTCCCCAAGCCGCCGACTTGCTCGTTGTGGCCGTCTGACTTTGTGTGACGGTATCAATGGGGATGAGAGCATCACGACCAAGGCGTTTTCGGAGAGATACCTCGAAGATGAGGCGTGATACTCCTTATGTACATTCGTACTTCGTACTTGTAGTGTCGTGTAGTGCTGTAGTCTTGCAGCGTTGTGCTTGGGTTCCTCTGGTCGGGCTTGGATCTCCGGGCCTGGTTTGATCCCTGGTTATACGTCATGTGGTGTAGCGGCACACCAGTGGTGGAGGTGGAGGTGAACGCGGAGGCGGAGGTGGAAAATGGGATTGGGATTGGGATTGGGATTGGGAATGGGAATGCGTGATGCAGGAGCCGTCACAGCCACCAAAGTTGGGGAAACGACAGAAAAGTAAGTCGGTACCTAGGTATGTACGTAGTATACTACGCAGAGTACTCTCGTTAAGTTTACCGATGGCTTCATTCTATCCAGGTGCTCCTGAGGCTACCTAGGTACCTAGGTAGGTAAGGCAGTTATACGGAATAAGGCGAAGGGAAGACCTAGACTTGAGCATCAATATTAGCCGATCTACTTCGTAGTATGCCTCAAGACTTAAGACATTAGGGTCGTGGAGTCGTGGAGCAATGTACAGAGTACGTATGTCGGCACTCGGCAGACTCTCAACTCGAAGCACGAGAGAGACAGCTGACGGGGGGGGCGTGGGGTTTTTTATCCAGCCGAGCGAGCACGCAGCGACGCAACTGATACTTGGCAGCCTGGGCAGGTATAGGTACCTTACTCTGTACGGAATAGGTACTAGGCACTAGGTACTCACTCGTAGGCTGGCCACTGGTGGCTGAACAAGGACGACCATTCGATCGCTACCACGGTTTTCCCTGTGGTTGGCTTTTGGCCTCGTGCGTACGGAGTAGGTTGGTATTTGTCTGGAACTATTACCTACCTAGGTAGGTAGGTAGGTACCGTGGAGGCGACTTGTTAATATAATATTGTACTTCGTACATGTATGTATTACCTACCTTACCTTACCTTACGGAGTAGGTACCTTACTGTACTCTATATACCTTAAGACCAAGCCCAAGCTTTTCCTACAAGAGCCCGTGAGCCCGCGAGCCCGCTACCCGCCGCCAACAGGGACCACCAGATACATGGAGTAAGGTAAGGTAAGGTAAGGTAAGGTAACCAGAACTAGACCCTATTATTATGACTACGTCCGACTAGAGGGCTTACTCCGTAGAATGCCCCATGCTGATGATCCCATGTTGCGCCGGGCACGCCCGTGTCCTCCGTCGTAGTATAAAAAGAATGGGTACTTGGTGCTTCGTGCTTCGTACTACTAGGTAGACTATCACTCTCCACAACTACTTCGCATAACTCCTATTCTCCGGCGAGTACGTAGTCCAGGATTTCGTACAGTAGCCGCAGCTCATACAAAGTAGGGCTATATTGCTGTACCCACCTGATCTGCTTTAAAGCTTGTATGCGTATGCTCTCTTCACCTATAGCTACCACATAGCTACCTAGCTACGTACCTACCTAGTAGGTACGTCTCGATAGCTCAACTTCTAATGTGTACATGCACCTATAGGTACCTTGCCTTATGTCCGGAGTATATCCTTCCTGCTTCCCCTTCCTCTATGGCTCTAAGAAGCGCTTCGTTCCCCGTCCCCGCAAGAAGTCCCTCCCTATGTAATGTACGTAGTTAGAATACCTTTGCTTTGCAACCAGCTTCTCTCTCCTGCATCGCCGTTCAACTCGTGCAGGGAAGTTTGCAGTGCGCAGACGCAGGACCGCCTCGATGCGGCACCACGTACAGGCAGTCTTCGTAATATACGAGTACCTACAGGACCTACCGGGCCTCTAGACTCCAGACTCCAGTGCTATTGTGCTTGTAACTACACTGTACTGTACTGCACTCTGTACCTCCAGCATCGCCCAGACCTGTCAACGCCGTCAACGCCTCTTCTCCTCTCCTCCTCCTCTGCCTCTTCTGCCGCCGATCTCTTCCAGACCGCGCAACGCCTCACCACCGAGGTCGAGTGCTACTGTACGAGTACCTTGGGCACTACTACCTACCTTACCTACCCTACCTCCCCAAACACTAGCAGCAGAGGATGCTTGCTTAGGCGTACTGAGGCGCTGGCAACCCTGAGTTCGTAACTTTGCCCCGACTGCTGATCCCTGGAGAGAAGTTCCTCGGCGCCCATATACTGGCAACTTATTATAGGCATATCCGGCCCCCCCCAGATGCTAATAAATACTCTAAATAGTCGCTGGGCCCCCCCCGTGAAGCTGTGAACGAACCCCCACCGAGCTCAGTCCCTCGTCCGCATCCGCATCCACTTCCCTCCGCCGCCAGCCCCGATCTACCAAGTGCTGTACGCACTCCAGCCATCGACGGTATCTCGTACTCAACCTCAACCTCAACCTCATCGTCCTCCTCCACCCCGATCTCTCCACTGCTCCCACGACACGACACACCACATATATACTATATACGCCCGAACCACCAGCGATCTGCCCTGTGTCGCATCGTACTCCAACCCCGAGTTACACATCCACCTCCACCTCCACCTCCACCTCCACATCCCCACCTTCCCCTTCCCTGTGGCCCCCCCGCCGTCCCGCCCATCGCGCTACTTCGTCTGTAGTCGACTTCGTGGACGCGATCCTCGTATCATACCGAGCATTTTGTACGCTCAAACCACATGCGAGTGGCCCCTCCGCCAGCTTCCCCGTGCTCTTCCCGCAATCAAGTCCAGCGTCTGCATCGCGCAGAGGTACTCGGCCTTCCCGGCATGCCATAGTCGGCTCTCAGGTCAATTGACCCCGCGGTTGTGTGCGTGCGTGTGTGTTGAGTGAGAGAGAGAGGGAGAGGGAGAGGGAGTGAGAGACTTACCGCGTGTATATCTAGAGCTGTTTGGTCTGGTCTGGTCTGTTCTGCTCTGCTGTATGGTAAGTCGACCGGCCGCATTCCACATGATTACACGGCACGCCATTAGTTTGATGCCAAAAGCCTGATCAGCTCAATTCGAATCTGAACTGCGAAAACTCGTTGCTCATTAAGCCAAGTTCTAATAACTCTGGTTTGGTCAGATATGGTCAATGTGATTCGCTCATTTCGCCAGCCCTGACTGACGCCCTTGATTGTTACTCGCTGTCCGGCGACTTCCACCTCCTCTACGACCGAGCGATAGAGACATGGGACTATGACTTCCATTCTAGCGCCGCAACCTCGTCCTTTTCCTACAAGTAATATCATGTCACAGATGGACACGCCCGGCATGGCCCAGGTCCAGGATCCTCCCTTGCAGCGCCGGCCAAAGGGCGAGCAGCCTGATGAGAAGAGCCGCGGCAGGCGCCGCAGCCGCGCCAACATCAAGAAGGATGAGGATGGAGACGGGTCGCCCGTCGATGGCGCCGAAGGGCACTCGTCGGGGACGGATGGCCCCTCCAGGAAGCGCCGGAGGAGCCGCAAAGGCTTGGATAAGAAGTTCGAATGTCCCCACGAAGGCTGTGGGAAGAGTTACTCCAGAGCCGAGCATCTGTAAGCGGGCCCTACCTCTACTGCCCTTGGGGCGTTTTTACCCTTTGCACTCCTAACTAGCGTAAATTCAAAGCTACCGGCACCAGCTCAATCACACGCCGAAGCAAATATTTAGTTGTGATTTCCCCGAATGCACCAGGACGTTTGTCCGGCAGGACTTGTGTAACCGGCATCGGGATCGGCACACGGCGAAGGGGTCCCAATTGCATCGGAAGGATTCCATGTTGAGCCACAATCAGCCCTCGCCCATGGCGGATTCCGGAAAGCCATTGCCAATGCATGGCTCTGCTTCCCCAGAGGTGATGAGACCCAATCTGGCCGGTATCAAGTCCCGTCCAAATCAGCTTCAGTATCAATCTCCACAAGAGATGAACGCAAATGCTTATAATGGTAATGTATCGGCAAACGGAGCAGACCACTTCCAACAGGCTGGTGTCTTCAAACGCTCCAATAGTGATGGGATGCCCAGGGAGCAGCCATCCAGCACTGGTATCCCGAATAGTCGGCAGCAGCGTCATTCGAGCTTTGGGGTTTCCGATTCCAAACCCGTGGACTTTTCGCGGGCCCCGTTACAGACGACCGTGGGGCCTTATGGTCTGCTGTCCTCTGCTTCGGGGAACCAGAATTATCATTCTACTACAGCCAGCCCGCAAGGATATGTGAGCCAGCAAAATTTCCCTCCCTTCAGCCTGCCCCCTCCTGGGTTTGCTACTGCCACAACCACCGCGCCGGCTACACGAGAGACTGAGCCGACCTACACGGCCTCGATGTCTGCAGAGTATCCAAGCGATCCCATCCACCACCAGCAATCAGGACCTGATATGATGTTGCTGGATCAGATGACCGCGCCTAACACAGTGCCAGTATTTGGCGGGGAAGGATACAACCGATCACCTTTTGCGATTCCCGAGGACTTTGTGGCATATTTATTCAGTAACCAGCAGTTGGAACATTCCTCGCCGATGGGTCATATGGGGCCCCAAGGCTATGCAGCGTTAGTCTATTAATCTTTACCCAACTGTGTGTATGTGTGCAACCAAGTTTACTAACTAGCCGTCAAGTTACCCTGATGCTCAGAACCAGTATTTCGCCCCTTATTTCACCAACGATGCCAATCTTCCAGGGTTCTTCCCCCCAGGTCAGCAGCCTCACCATCCCATGGCTGTGACTAGCCTCCTCGATACTAGTCTTCCAGAAACTGTGCTCTCTGAAGAGAAGAGTCAGCAGATCGTCGACCTCATCAAGGACCGATTTAATGAAGGGGAGCATACACCAGTTGCCAAGCAGAAGGAAGCGCTCCTGGATGGCGACCGCAATGATGACAGTCACATGCTGAGCCGCAAGATGATGCAAACATATATTGGATCATATTGGTATAATTTCAGTGAACAGGTTCCAATCCGTTTGTCTCCCTTCCCCTTTCTTGCAAATGGTTACTAATTAAATAAACCAGTACACAAGCCAACGTTCTCGCCAGACAAGACGCCAAATCTTCTTCTGATAGCTATGATGGCAATTGGTGCTTCGGCTTTGGATAAAATGCATGGCTACGAAGTGACCGAAGCCAGCGCACATCTCTCAAACTTCCTGGCTTGGCATCTAAGGTGGGAGATATTCAGCGATTCCCACTTCCGACCTCCCGCAAAGTTGTGGGTCTTCCAAGCTCTGCTATTGCTGGAAATCTATGAAAAGATGTATTCAACAAGAGCTTTGCACGAGAGAGCTCACATTCACCATGCTACTACCATCACCCTGATGAGACGCGGCAGCTCCCTCATTGGAAGGTCGGCTCTCGACTCGCCTCCTAGTGTGCGGGACGACAAGCTCAATGAATCCCGACACTCGTCCACGTCTGGTGCTAACACTCCGGACGAATGGTGGAATCACTGGATAACCAACGAGGCCACTCGGCGTGCTGCGTTTGCGGCATTTGTTATCGACTCGACTCATGCGACGATGTTTGGCCATTCAACTGTCATGGTGGCTCATGAGATGCGGCTCCCGCTTCCATGTGATGAAGCCCTTTGGAACGCCACGAACAGCGCCGAAGTAGGCAGAATCGAAGCCCAACTACATGCCAGTGGCGTGAAACCTATTTCTTTCCTGGAAGGGCTCAAACGGACACTGAACGCACAGGAAGTGCGGACAAACTCCTTCGGGCGAACTATTCTTATGGCTGGCCTTTTGAGCGTTAGTTGGCATATGAATCAGCGAGACCTCCAAGTCAACTCCCTTGGGGTCACACAAGCGCTAGGCGGACGAGACAAATGGCGGGGAGCCCTTACTCGAGCCTTCGACCTATGGAAGCAAGATTTCGACAGATCTTTGGCGCGTAGCTCGGATAGTGTTCCTGGCCCTTACATGTATACTGAAAAGAAGGAGGAAAATGTTGTCTTCCAGAACAGGATGGTCCTACATCACTTGGCCCACATGGCCATGCACGTGGATATCGTGGATTGCCAGATATTTGCGCGGGCGAAACGCCTCTTAGGACGTACCATCGGCTCGCAGGATCTAAACAGTGCTCAACGCCGGATGAAGGATAGCTGGGCGCCAACGGCGAAGGCGCGGGATGCCACGTGGTACGCTCTCCGGTTTCTCTGCACCGTTCTGCTCCCGGGAGAATCTGGCTCCGGCATTCATGGCGGTTACGATGATCCGCCTTTCGACTACTCGGCCCGAGATGACACCCTCCTTAACCGACCGTGGGTGATGTATTTCGCAGCGCTGATCGTGTGGTCTTATGGATTCGCCTTGGAGGGGCCTACAACTGCGCCTGTTCCTGCGGCCCATGATTTCCCTGCCCAGGTCCGCGATATGCGTAGTTATCTACGACAACTGGGCCGGATCCGATCACCGGAGGAGCTCAAGTCTATGCGGGGATTCAATGGCTGTAGCGGCATGCTCATGGTTCTTCGAACTACCTTCGACAAGACCAGATGGGAACTACTACACGAAGCATCGCTATTGTTGAATAATTGCATTGGGCTGATTGGCGGCAGCCAATCCTAAGCGCTTGCTCTGTTAGAGATATGGGGATGTGGACGAGGGAGGGATGTGAATAAGCTGACAGTATCATGTCATATCATGATCGACCTATGTGTGTTGTGTAAATGGACGGCTCTCTTGACATATATCGTTGTATTTTATGGGACCCTGCACAATTGCAAGCACATCAAGGATAAGGGTGGGACTCATTTGTTTTCTCCAAACTATTGTTCGGGAGGAGGATTATTTTTCGGATTTCTTGTTGCTTTTTTTTTCTTCCCCCATTGCATGCATGTATACCCTGGAACGAATACGCCATACCTTTTTGCGACTTTTTTGGTGGTTGATGAAATGATATTTATGCATAGATGCTGTATGAATCGCTGGGGAAAGATGGGAAATACTTCTAGCATAGCATACCTAGGAAATAGGGAACGAGGGCCTGGAAAATAAAATTTTATTGGGTCGTTGGGAATGGAGAAAAACCTTGATACTGTCGTTTGCATTGAATTTGTGAGAAATGCACGCCTCCGAGCAAGAGGGTTTCCATCTATTTCTTTGACGATACGCCCATGAATAGGTATGTATGTAGGTAGGTAGGGAGGTACGTATTTACTTTCTAGTGCACCCTTATTTTGAATAATAGAGAGTTGCAAGAGAGTAACGAATAATTTTTTTGGTCGGTTTGGTGCTAGAGGGCGTTGAATGGAGTTATTAGATGATATGTGATTGATTGAATATATATATGTATATAGGTACTCAGTCTGGCCTAATGATATAATCGATATAGTAGGCGGAATCGGGTGACGTGCGTATTGGTGGTGGCGCTGCGGAAAACGCCCTGCGCTCGCAGTCGCAGCCTTACACTACCCGCGCTACATACAACGGACTTTACACCTTCAGTCAATAACTATTAGCACCTACTCGGTACACGACCTACCTACTCTACCTATTATCCATATCCTCACGACATACATCCCCGCGATCTCAACATCATCGAGCCAGAGTCGAAGCAGGAAATCTCACCCGGGGAGCTCTCTCTCCGCATCCGCCTCCAACAGATCATCACTCCTCCGCCTTGCTCCTACTGCATCCCAAGAGTCAAGATGCCCCGTGACCTGTTCCAACAACAACCACAGGACAAATCCCCTCCGTCGCCCTCGGCACCGACAATGTTTTTGAGCGAGTCTCCTAACAATATGTCTTCGGGCCCGTCAAGCCCAGACCCTGCCAATCCCGAGAAAGGCACTACTGAGCAGCAGCGACAGTTCGTCATCGTGCCGCCAGACCAGTGGTTCCAGGCCCATCCGCGCTCGTCCTCGCTGCTTCCCGCCAACCTGCATCCTTATGTGAGGCCGCTGACCGTCTCGGACGTAGAGTCTTGTGTTGCGCTAGAGAATGCCGCATTTGAGGATCCGAATGAGAGAGCGTCGAGAGAGAAGGTATGTAGACCTAGTGTGAGGTAGTTATCTGTTTGCTTTTCACGTGCTGGGTTTTGTTGGTTTCACATATCACATTATCTGGGCCGACCTATACCCAGGCAACAAAACATATATCTTCCAAGTGATATAATTAATCATATGATACAGTCACTAATATCAAGCGCAGTTCATCTACCGCCTTACCAAATGTGGCGAGCTCTGTCTGGGTCTCTTCACCACCGTCACCCCAAACAGCAACCCCCCCTTTTCATCCCCAACCCTCGCATCAGCGCGGGTTATCGAGACAGGTCGTCCCAGCGGTGACGTGAGCGTGCTCCTCGCCCACATTATCGCGGTTAAAACCACCAGTCATGTAGTTACAGATGAATCCATGGATTTGCCGCGGGATTGGGACGCCGTGAATCCAACGCCTTCGCCGCTTGGCCACCAGGAGAGGGGGAGGACGATTGTTTTGCATTCCGTGGCTGTGGCGCCGGGGTTCCAGGGGAAGGGTTTGGGTCAGGTGCTGATGAGAGCTTATTTTGGGTTGATGAATGGGGCGGGGATTGCGGAGAGGTTGGCTTTGATTGCCCATGATGTGAGTTTGATTGATTGTTTTATGGTTTTGGGTTATATTTTCCTATGTCTCTGGTCTCGTGGCACCACGGGGTGCTGCTTTCTATATTTGATCGCCATGGCTCAGATTGGCTATATTTCAATTCGACTCCCAAAAGCTAATCCCTTCTTCAGCATAAGGTATCATGGTATGAGAAGCTTGGCTTTACCAACAACGGCAAGAGCGCGGCTCAATTTGGTGGGGGCGGTTGGTACGACTTGGTAAGTTCTAACATGAATATGTAGCTATAACGTAGAAGGAGCTGGTTATTGACTTCTGCCCAGGTATACGACTTGCAACCGGCAGAGAAAAGGGCTAGATATGGTTGATGTCACCAGATTTAATGTATTCATTTTTATACCCCAGGTCTGGTTGGGTTTCGCCTCTTTGGCTGGCTATTAGGGGCTCAATGGATGTTACGGATATTTTGGTCTCATTTTACTGTGGATATGACGATGGCATGGTTAAATGGATGGGACATTTAGAATCGGAAGGGAGATGGGTATCATATTGTCTAATCGCAACACTTGTACTTGGCTCTATACTCCTACGTGCATCTAATATCCTCATAAGAAACCGAATCGTTCAAATCCCCAATAAAATTACCAACGAGCGAATAGCCCAAGACGGGAAGCCATATACCTTCGGAATCTTCCCAATAGCATTCGGTCCTGGCACCCTCTCGGCTTCACCGTGCCAGCTGTCGTCACACCATCTAAAATCAGCGCCCGCTTCCTCTTCAGCGGCGCCCCATCGATATTCACCGCTTCTCAGCAGCCCTTCACCTCCTTCCGGACAAAATCATAACATATCTAGCGGTATTTCCCATGATGTAGATGCGTCAACTTATCAGACGTCGCCGTTACTAGTGTCATGCCTCTACAAGACGGAGACCTATGCCGAATTCGAGATCAATGGGTGAGTTTGGAGGAGCGGCCTCAATAGTGGCCTTTGAATATGCGGTTGACATGGCGCAGAGTAGGTAGGCACGAAGAGTTAATATCGAAGAGAAATAAATGTAACTGTTGGACAGGAAGAAGAAAGTTGTGGAAATTGTTGGATAACAGCCTAGTTGCGATAGGCGATAGAGCGCAAGAAGCATCAAAACATTTCCAACGTGGGGCAGCATCTCGCTTAAGATAAGATTAGATTAGCGCCTTGGCATCACAGAATTTCTCGTGCAGCATCTTTTTGAAAATTGATTTTGAAGCCGAGGACAAGAACCTCGAGAACTTCCCTCGACATCCCCCCAACTCGAACTGCAATCTTGTTCGCGCCCCCGGACAGATACAGATTGCCCATCATGAAGACCACTTGGAAGGATATCCAGCCTGTTCCGACATCCCAGGAATTCCTCGATATTGTTCTCAGTCGGACTCAGCGGCGACTGCCCACGCAGATTCGAGCCGGTTTCCAGATAAGCAGAATCAGAAGTGCGTGCGATGCGGCACCTTATGTTGAAAAGTAAAGGAATAAATGGCTAATGCTTTGCAGATTTCTACACTAGAAAAGTGAAATTTACTCAAGAGACCTTCACAGAGAAGATTTCCCTCATCCTCGATGGCTTCCCACGGTTACAAGATATCCACCCGTTCCACAAAGATCTCCTGAATACCCTCTACGATGCCGACCACTTCCGGATAGCCCTCGGTCAGCTGTCGACGGCCAAACATCTCATCGAAATTGTCTCGAGAGATTATGTTCGTCTTCTCAAATATGCGCAGTCCCTCTTCCAATGCAAACAACTCAAGCGGGCTGCGTTAGGTCGGATGGCCACCATCTGCCGGAGGTTGAAAGATCCCCTACTTTATCTCGATCAAGTCAGGCAGCATCTTGGTCGTCTTCCCTCGATCGATCCTAACACGAGAACGCTACTCATCTGCGGGTATCCGAATGTGGGGAAATCGAGCTTTTTGAAGAGCGTTACCAGAGCCGATGTGGATGTACAGCCATATGCTTTCACCACTAAGAGTTTGTTCGTTGGGCATTTCGACTACAAGTACCTTCGATTCCAGGCGATCGATACCCCTGGTATCCTTGATCATCCCCTAGAGGAGATGAACACCATTGAGATGCAGTCTATCACCGCGATCGCACATCTCCGGTCCGCCATCTTATACTTCATGGATCTTTCCGAGCAGTGCGGATATACCGTTCAGGCCCAGATGCAGCTTTTCCAAAGCATCAAGCCGCTTTTCGCGAACAAACTCGTTTTCATCGTCATTAACAAGATTGATGTAACCCGACCAGAAGATCTAGACGAGGAAACCCAAGCACAACTGCAGGCTCTCCTGAAGCCAGGCGATGTTGAAATGTTGCAGCTCTCATGTACCACCGCGGAAGGCGTCCAGGAAGTCAAGAATGCAGCTTGTGAGCGGTTAATTGCCGACCGCGTGGCGCAAAAGCTCAAGTCGGGAACAAACAGCAGTGGTGCAGTCGGTGGGAGATTAGGAGATGTCCTCAACCGAATCCACGTTGCGAGACCAATGGATGGCGTGGTCCGAGAGCCATTTATCCCTGAAGCCGTGAAGAATATGAGAAAGTTCGACAAGGATGACCCAGATCGACCAAAGCTGGCCCGGGATATCGAAGAAGAGAATGGAGGTGCGGGTGTCTATAACGTAGACTTGAAAGACAAATACCTCCTCGCAAACGACGAGTGGAAGCATGACAAGATCCCCGAAATCCTTGATGGTAAGAACTTCGCCGACTTCATCGACCCAGACATCGCAGCCAAGCTCGCCGCGTTGGAAGAAGAAGAAGAGAAGCTCGAGACAGAGGGATATTATGACTCTGACGAATCCATCGAGGACGCCGAAGATGCAGACATCCGCATGAAAGCCGAGCTGATCCGCGAGAAGCAAACCTTGATCCGTAACGAGGCCAAGATGAAGAAATCGCTGAAGAATCGCGCCATGATCCCCCGTACTGCCACCCGTATGAAACTCTCGGATATGGAGGACCATCTCGACTCCCTCGGAATCGACACCACTGCCATCGCCGAGCGTGCCCGCTCGCGCTCTCGTGGCCGCAGTGTGGTCCGTAGCCGCACTGGTACGGAGGATGTCATGGATATCGATTCACCAGATTATGAAGCCAAGATGAGGGCTAAGAGCAGGGCGAGAAGCCAGAGCAATAGACGTGATGATGGTGTTACGAATGAGGTTGCCAGGAGCAAGGCGGATAGGGCACAGAAGCTCGGTCAAAGAAAGATGAATCGTATGGCTAGGCAGGGTGAGGCGGATAGGCATGTTGCTGCAGCCATGCCGAAGCATTTGGTATGTATTTCCGCTACTGTCTTTATATTGAGGATGAATATCGCTAACACGATCACAGTTTTCCGGCAAGCGCGGCATGGGCAAGACAAACAGTCGTTAATGTCTCATCTTTGCTTGCATTTTTTCCTGTTCTACCCCTCCCGCTCTATCTTGGAGTTATACGGCGCAAGATCAAGATGGTGGGATTCAGTACTTCACATTTGCGGCCCGCCGTCGCTGTCCTTCATGTGGCGGTGTCATTTTAGGAATGAAGGTTAAGATTAAGATTCACGATTATCAAAAGGAAACGAAGTAGTAAGGAAAAGGGGGGGAGTTATGCTTCTGTAACGGCTCGCATGCGTTATGTGTATGTAGCAAATCACTCTCTTGGCTCTGTGTGCATCAGTGCTCAGATTGGAGTAGAGTAGATAATCTGACGTATAAATAACCAAGAAGCGGCGACTTCCTAAGGAAATAGCTAGATTGAATTCGCCGTGACTCTGGGTGTGTCTTTCCCTTGTCCTGTACATCTCTACGTGTACTATTCGATATTCTCCCTATTCGTTGCCTCGCTATACTCATCGTTAAATAACTACATAATTTGCTAAATAATGAAGGCAAGGAAGGAAGGCGTTTGCTTCTCCTGACGCTACTACTTGCTATACTGCTGTAGATGCTGCATGAGACTTAAAAAATAATTAGTCAACTGCTGGCAGGATTTCTAAATAAACTAAAGGCCGACAGATTTGGTAGTAAATAGATGTGTGTTACTAACTAGTGGGTAGATTAGTAGTTGTTGCCTGTCAAACGAATGGTTTATGCTGAGAACATGTGGCCATCTTCAATAGTTACTAACTAGGTATGTAGTAGCTGCGCTCCATCTACGTAGTATGCTCCTTGCCATTAGCGGATGTCGGTCGGGCCACGAACTACGAGCACCTTGTTCTGAGTAGAAAAACAGAACCCGATCTTTTATTTTGCCCATGCTGCCTTCTTCTCGCTCACCACATCATTGATTCCAACATGTTGGCTACGTAGGTAGGTAACACTCTATTCGTTCAAGGACTATGCCATATTCCTCACGAACTTCCCTCAACGCGAGAGATCCGAGTGGCTTAACTAAAAACGCCAAGGTTTGAAATAGCGAAATTCTTGTATTAAATTCTAAGTGATAACCATAGGAAGTAGCTGATCGAAGATATGATTCGATTCTAAAACCTATCCATTAAGAGAAACCAGCAAGGTAACACAGCTATGTTCGTTGCAGGCAGAAGTCCAAAATATAAGAGCCCGTGTCCTCTGTTTGTCTTTTACCTAATAATTGGCGTATCCAAGTAGAGAAGTTAGACTCACTTCCATGCCAACAGGTTTGTAGAAGAGACGGGCGCAGACCTGGCTCCACCGTATAGATTCTCTTAGTAGGCAATAAACTACCGTATATACCATCCAACTGCTTAGACTCCCTAGGAGCATGTCGTCATTTGCGAGTTGACAGTCATGCCTATTTTGCAATCAGCAAGGGAGGGGCTTATGAACATCTTTGCAGAATCTCCTACCGTATTCAGCTGCAAATTCCATCGGACCGGAATCTTGATGCCATTCCTTGTAGTGCTAAATAATAAGGGTGTAGACTTCCAAGGCTGCCAAAGCTTGCTGGCATGTCTGCCAGCTCAGCAAAGTGGACCCCAAGTCGTTAAAAACTTACCTTTGATCCTTGTCTATACAAATTATCAACATCCCAAGAAACACTAGCCACGCACAAGAAAAGAAGCTAAACTGGCAAAGTTAGACCGAGGGATTGCTGCCCGACGAGAGGCATAGTCTTTACGTTCGTTGTAGAAATCATGTAATCTGCTCGTTTCCGCGTGTGACATCAAGAGGGTAGGGAGGGTTGCCACCCTTGCCTTCTCCCACCCCCCGCCGTGACGCCCCTATTGTGACACACAGACCGGATCGGGACCCGTTCGGGTCGTTACGAGGCGGAGCTGGAAAGGGGATCGGTTGTGGTATGAGCGTCCTTGGGCTATCTTCGACGCAAATCTCACCCGTGCTGGATTTAGTAACCCACGCCAACAAGAAAACCGATACGGGATATTTGGCCGACGAGAATGATAATCGTCGCTCATTGTGTGTTGAGCACACACCGTGGCTTTAGGTGAGCCGGGCAGAGCAAATACTTCAATTTCCCGAGGAAGACAGTAGCGTCCAGTACCAGATAGGCGCTCACAGCCTTGGCCGTATAACTGGCCGGACTGTCGTCCAGACTCTTGCCATGAACCAATCTCTTGCTTCCCACTGTGTCCCGAACCAGAGGAATTGATGTGGGGAAAGTAAGCAGAGCATAATTATGCGTAACATAGAACTCAGATCCCAGGAACCGTACGGCCGGCTTCATCCATATGCCTTTAGGGGTTACCGCTGCTCTTGCACCTTCAAGCTCTTAGGGGGGCCTGGCATCGCGGTCATTGAGGTGCAGGTCCCACTAAAGTAGTGCAACAACATCCCTCGTCTAGCATCGGTAATAGACTGACGTGGTTGGAGAGGGAACTGGAGAGAGTTGATTCTTGTGACAGCAAACATTTTCGACCGCTTTCGTTATTGGACAATCAAGAGGAGACCACCAATGCTGTCACGTATTTGGGTAGAATTGGGTCTCTGCGACGACCTTCGAGAAGCCCGTGGGGGAGAGTGGACTGGATGATGATTCGTCCTCCCACGTCGGCGAAAAGGCAGGTGGGCCAACCGTATACTAGGACGAACCATTAGATGCTGGATTTGATGGGTCAATGACAAGGCCTGGTTCTTCCTGTCTCTCCGGCTCTCGTTTCCCTTTAATCTAGTGTTTGCCTACCCCTGCACAGGACATAATTGATACATCCTTCTGACCACTTGTAACACTGACTGACTCTTGATAGATGGCGGCTGTGGAGTTATGCCTTTCCAGCAGGGCGGATGAACAGGCTGTGGCATCTCCCCATTCACGTATCCGGACAAATGCTCTCATATGGCAACGGGTAGGCCAGAAAGGGTAATAGAATGTGCCTCCGGCGATTGGCATATCTTCCAAATCCCACGCCTTCCTAGTCGCTTCCCCACAGCGTTGTGGCATTCAGCGCTGATCTACCGAATTACCCCAGTGGGTTAAGTGATATCCGGACAGAAAGCCAGTCTTGTCTCTTCCACCTCACCCTGAAGGTCTGTTCGACTTGGACGTACCTTAAATTATAGGGGTATTTAGTTCCGCAAATTCATTGTACGAGGAGAGCAACCACCAGCGCAGAATTTCTCGTTAAATAACTAAAAATGGCGAGGTATGTCGGCGTTCTTGCTCGTCCCCTGAATAAGAGCCTTTTGCTAAATCCCGCCTGGAGCAAAGCCATCCGGACGAAGGGACTAGTTCACTTGACGATAGCTTCCTAGAAACGGTCACAATACACAATAGAGAGTATCAACAGTATAGTATAACCAACTACGTGTACTTGGCACCGATCGATGAGGTAAGTCTGCCCAAGAAGTCTCTCACGAACTCCTCTAACTTCTGTCAATCCTCTAGGATGAGGTAGAACGACTTCAGATAATGCACGATGTCTTGAGCAGGGTATTTGATCAGCGGCTCATATTTCCTCCGATAACACGACCTCGTCGGATACTCGACGCTGGCTATGGAGCTGCCTCGTGGGCGCTAGAGGTTGCTGAACAGCACCCGCAATGCGAGGTATGCGATAACTATTTTTTTTTCACGCTGTTCAACTTTATCGTACCCGCTAGGGCCCAAATTGCGCGAATAATAGATGAATATGGACTGGCAAAGGGATGGACTAATAACAAGGCTGATAATGACGCTTAATAACGGATTAAATAACATTCAGAAATCACTAACATGTGGTTTCAGGTTATAGGAGTCGACATCAACCCATGGCAGCCGGAGGAGAGGCCAAACAACTTGTATCTACAGGTCGAGGACTTGAACGGAGGGTGAGAAAACCATTAGCTATTGCGGACAAAGCTAACTATGAAGATAGGATTAGTTTCCCTTCACGCAATTTCGATCTCGTGCATTCCCAAATGATGGCAACAGGAATCCATGCCAATAGGTGGGCAAGCTACTTGCAAGATATGTTCCGAGTAACAAGAGGAGGGGGTTGGTGTCAGATGGTTGAGCTATATTTCAACGTGCAGTCTGATAATGGAAGTCTAACAGACGGTTGGTCCAAAGCTGCTTGCTAAGGTTCGCTTGCTTACGAATAATCGCCCATCAGCTCATGCCTTGCGGCAATGGAGCAGCAGATATCTAGAGAGCCACGAGGGTCTGAAAGACCTTCGTGTTCCTCTGCGGCTTCCAACTCTGATGAGGGAAGCTGGATTCGTGAACGTGGAGCATCGGATGTTGCAACTGCACACTTGTGCTTGGTCAACGGGTGGGCATTTAGTTGGTGTATCAAGCCTTCTGTGCTAACATGCCCACAGACCAACGGGATAATGACATTGGTGCTATTAACAGGGAGAACGTACAGCGGTTCCTATCGTCGTTGGCAATATACCCTTTTACGGAGAGGCTAGGGTGAACCCAACAGTCCCAATCTCGAGTAGTAGCAATCTAACATTGCTTATTAGGATGGCTGTCCAAGACGCCCATCTGCTTATAGCACAAGCACGACTCGAGGCGGATAACCCAGCTTTCAAGGTGCTATATCCCTCAATAGCCCCCCAAGGAATTGTTTGCTAAAGGTTGTTCCAGGCCTACTTCCCGTTATATGTCTGTATCGGGAGGAAATCTCGTTCGCAGCGATAAAGCTGCCATGCTGTTGGGCTCTCTGAGGGACGGCGCTCTCGGTGCCTGACGCTTTAGGGTCGGATGGCCAAAGGAAAATGGTGTGGTAGAGTATCCAAAGTCATCAGCCATGCCTGTATTGTTTTGTTCTTCTTAATATCTTGTACCTCGGCGTAGCTTGACAGAAACCAACCTCCTCGCGCAACCGTCAAGTACTCCGTAGGAGGTGGTCCTGAATTCGTATCATGGAAAGCGCTTTCAAGAGTTTCTGCTCTCTTTGTCCGTGGTTAGCATCAATTTCATCAATTTATTCCCCGTTTTCTAAGATTGAATGGGGGATGCTTTTAAAGAAGCTGAGGCACGCGGAATGACATTTTGGTAGAATTCATAGCAACAGATATGCGAACGTTTCTCCAGGAATGCTTACGTCATCATCCGTTTTGCAAGTGTGAATAAGATATACGCTGGTTATACAGCGAAAGAGTCGTCTCGTCGGGCTGCGAGAAGGTGAGGGCGATTGTGATTTCCGAAAGCTGCAGGATCTAAGAGGGAGAGAGAGCAAGGCAGCGGTTGGAGGAATGTGGCCAAGTCTTTCAGAGCTCTCCCTTACGGGGACCCAATCCTAATATATCGGCAGAGACGCTGAGTACAGCATCTGAGAGGTTCAGGGGCTTGGATGGGAGTTCGAAGATGGTTCTGCTTCTGTTTGCCTGGCAACGCGAGGTAAGGACGTTGAAGGCCGGAACGGGGACGTAGTGACAGTCATGAAGACTTGGAAGTTGCTATAAAAACGGGCGTGGAAAGAGCGACAACGTGCTCCGCGACGGATTAGGCTTTCTGAAGGGAGGCATCGGTGGCATCTACTGAAGTCTGAGAAGATGGGAGCGGATGTAATTCGTACGCAGTATGTCTGTAATAATAGAGAGATGTGAAAGCGAAACGCGTTTGTCAATAGAGAGCTCAGGGATCCATATCCTAGCGGGAAAAGGGGCAGAGTTCGGTAATATCCACTCATTGCGGGGATTCCCTGGCCAAATATAAACCTTGACCTGGTTCTATTTCTACTCTGTACTCTGTATTCATACACTACTCTGCTTCTAGCCTTCTAGTCTCTATCCATGCAAGCGCCGGACGCTTGAGATCCCCCCTCGCACTCATTCGAGATGTGAGTGAGGAGCGAGAGCCTTACCAAGTACGAAGTACGAAGTAGGATCACCATCTCAACTGCGGAATACCACTATTATGACTGGGACTGGGACTATGATATCATGTTGTTAGACTTTATTAGTTGAATGGTTGTTTAACTGAAGTTGGACGGCTATGTACGAAATGGCCAGCACGAGAATCTGAGTGCTGGATACCAAGTTTTCCTAAACTCATGTTTGCCCCTAACGATCAAATGCTGATTCTGGGTTCTTGAGGACAAGACCCCGGAATAGCGGTCAGTTAGTGCAGTCTCCCCCGTTAGCAACAGAGGCTTAAGTGCAATATGTGGCTTGCAAAGCCTGATGCAACCGTTTCCCAATGGGTGTTGTGCAGCATTGGCGACCCGCGGAAGCGGCTTCACCGCAAGTAAACTGTATCATGTGATCATATTCTCTTGCGTTGTCATTGCTACCCGGGAAGCATGGAAGAGAATTTTGAGTGCAGCCAATGCCTGGACGGGCTGGAGGGAATTGTGGCGATTGGGGATGGGGATGGGGATGGACAGAAGTCAGGAGGGGCCAAACAAGCTGTTGCGGTGGTCTAGTAGTGGAATAGAAAACGGGAAAAAGGCGAATCCTAAAAGAGAAAGATATTGTTTTGCACTATGTGCTATCTTAAAAAAATTATAAAAGCCGGGGATATGGGCATATGCCATAGTATATACTACCAGAAACAGCTTTCTATAGCTCCCTGCAAATCCGCATAACAAACGCCATTGCCAACATTTAATGGCAGCCCTAACACGATGCTGGATAAACGCCTTCGCCATGCACAACCAGGCCCACAATCATACGAACAGCGGGTATCTATCATACGTTACGGATTCTCAAACGGTGGCTCTGAGGGTTCCCCAGTACCCCAGACATTCTCGAACGCTTCTCCTTCAAGGCCGTACTTGGGCTTGAGAAGAGCGTCAGGCTCCTTAGTCTGCCTCCAATGCCGGGATTCTTCCGAATCATCAGGACTCTCCGCTCCATCACCGACCGTAAAGGGATCGTTATCGTTATTGTCTTTAGGATCAACATCAGCACTACCTTCAGCAGGTTCATAGCCCTCGCGAATGTCTTCGCCCTTGTCCTTTCCATAGGTGCGTCTGGTTGTATTGTTAGCTAAATCTGCATGACCAAGGTGGGTGCTTACACAAAATGCTTGGGCTTGGTAGCATTCCACCCTGCACTGCCCTCCTTCCGTGCGCGAACTCTCTCTGCTTCTTCTGCAGGAACATCTTCAACAATCAAATCCACCAATTGGCTCCGATCGGATTTGGCGGAGCTAGATGAAGATGACTGATGTTGTAAGTTTTTGCCAAGTAGTGTCGGCGCTCGTCCTTCCTCTCCAGTTGAAATATACTTTGCCTTGCCTTTCACATCGTTCATTCTTTTCCTCTCTGTAGCGGAAGAACTGTGCTTGCGCTGCGTCTTCTTCGCAACTTCGTCGACTGTCTCTCGAATATTTTGCTCTCGTCGAATTCGATTATCGCGGGTTGGCTGTAATAGGTTCCGATTGGTCGACGTGGTTAATAAATCGGGCGATGCATTAAGCCATCGTTCTCGGGATGCTTGATGTGCGGTGATCACCGGATACTATACAAGTGAGAAAATAGCAACAGTGTGAAGGGTCTCCAACTTACGTTCCAGTCCCCATACTCTAGTTTTCTTGCCTTCTCGTACAGACGTTCTTCATCGGGATCTAGGCTGTCATCATCATCTGCGCTCCCATAGCCCTGGGCTTGACCATCGCCCTGGGCGGCGGTAATCACATTGCGAGGCTCACTTCGCCCGCCAGTATTGCTCAGTAACGGTGTCCGCGAGTTTACTGCTCCAGGGTTGGGAATCCAGTATTTCCCCTTTCCTCCACGCTCGTACCGCATGCCTTGCATCATTCTTGCCACGCGCGAAGCAGACTCTTCATGGGCGATTACATTATCACCCGAGTCGAAAAGTCGGTATTCATATTTATTCCCGCTGAAAGTCTCCTTGGTGTCCTCGATAAGATCTCGCACCCCAAACGCATCACGAAGGGCGTACCAAACAGGCATTCTAGCTGCAGAAATTGTGACATCTGCATAGTCGTGCCAAGAGAATGCATACCAGTGAGCAACTGCGAATATGGGCATTTCCACACAGATTAAAGCATCTTGTATAGCTGCTGCTAGTGTGTCCGACGTATAGCCTTCCACATTGTCTGGGATTGCACCTAGCCAAACCAGAATGGACAGAAAGAACCCCTGCCAATATGATGCGAAAATGATGAGTTTGACACATAGGAACTTCGGTACCGGGCGAAAAGGTTGCAGGTCTTTCGACATACAGGCCCAGAACATCCCGAGAGAGTAGAGGCTGAGAGTAACACTGACGTTATAGATAATACCAGTCCATAAGTACCCCGAGGTCAAACCGAGATTCCCCTCTTGGAAGACGTCGGTAGCTTTCATAATTATAGTTGCAAGCCCAAGTATGGGTTTGAGCCATGCATATTGAAGAATCCCACGTTTAATTGCCAAGAAGGTATGAGGGTCCGATATGTCGACCTTAGCAAGATAGTGATTCAGAGGCCATAAATGATGAACTGGTTCCCGACCGTGCATCATAATGATCAGAGATCGTTCCCCACCGAGAAAGTTGATTAGAAGCTGGAGGAATGTATATATGGTGAAAGCCTAGGGAGGTGAGCTATATATAGAGCATAGGCACGGCATTGGGATATACCTCATAAATATCACGGATGGGCTCGACGAACAGGGCAGCTTTTAGTGAGACGATACTCGACCAGGAAGATATGGAATATATTGGCACCCTACACTGTATCAATATCTCTGCACTTAGTCTTGGGACTTCAAGACCTACATGAACAATATTCGTACAACATATCGTTGGAGAAGAGGCTTGCGGTAATTTTTCCTGAGGCCATGTCAGTGGTTGAGTGATTCGTGGAGGGATCGATGTCTATACGTTTGGAGCCATACGGACCTGTGGGCAATGGTGGTTAGCAGCTGCCTGCCGCGGAGTTGGAGATAACTTACACAATGGACAATAAAGATGCCAGTAAAGACGCAACTCCGGCTACAATAATAGTAGCCCGAGTTAACCTCTCCCCCGTGCCACCTGAGAGCCCTCCCTCCGTCATGATGGCCGCGGAACGCCGATTGAAGCGTATACGCGTTGACGTGCGAGAACTTGGAAGCCGCGTTAAATCAGGTCGCTTTTAAGCAGAGAAAGAACGAAAGGCTGACATGGCCCGCAACTTCAGCTCTGGTGGCAGGAAAGTAGATTGAATAATTTGCAACCACGGAACCTCCTTTGGAAGCTGTGTCCAGGAGTCTTGATAGCTTGGGAGCACTTCCCACGGGTAATTGGGCGGTGACACCCGGCAGAATGTTTACCGTAATTCGCAAACAGCATAGTGCTGTTCATAGAGCTATCACAAGCACGACACTTTCGACTCAGAGCAGGACAATCGCTTACTGCGCATTGTGGACAAACATAAACCCCTGTGGAGCTATCGAGGAAGTTATAATCTTTCAAACCGGCTCATATCATACTCGTGCTGGTCACTCAGAACGCATGGCGAGTCCTTCTCGACTGGTCTGCTGGCTGAGGAAACGATGACCGGCGCGATCCGCTACTCGTTGGTTCATTGATGGGAAAGATGTCCACCAGCAGTGGAGGCCTAACAGCATCCCCGTTAAACGGTAACCTGGGATTCAACTGGTAAGCTATTTATGACAAGAGCTGCGATTATAGCGCTAAACTTCTTCAGGATTTTTCTGGTCGAGTTAATTGTCTGCGGCGTGCTGTAAGTGACACTGCTCCAGACTGCTCTGTCACCCTAGCTGATCACCACCCAGGAGCCTCTTCTTTCTCTTCTACTTCAATCGGCTTTTTGCAACGCTTGTATCCTACGGTCTGCGGGCATGGACATGGCATAAGTACCGGGTGTATATCGACATACAAGCTTTACAGATATCTCTATTGGGGGGCAGAGTATTCTTCAAGGGATTCAGGTATCATGGAAATAACGAAACCATTTTGATTCACAGCGGTTTTATTACATGGTGTTACTGGCATTGGAATGTCAGAGAACTGAACGTGAAACAGGGGAAAGATGCAGACACGAAGCGCGTGTCCTCTGGGTCGGAAGAGGAGGAGGGCCAGAACCAACACAGTCGGACATTCGATAGAGCGGAGAAGGGTGGCACGAAAGTTTCTACGAAACTTCCCTGCCGCCTCAGTGTCTCCTTGAATGGCGTGGAATGGTTTGTTTACAACCGCAGTGCAGCGTACGATGCCGTTATCGCCGGCATGACCCAGCCGGTCAATGAACGTTTAGGGACGGTTTTCAGTGAGATGACTGAGGATGAGGATTCAAATATTCGATTTAGAAAGAGAGGAAAGCCTACTGGATCAGGAGAGGTGGAAACTCCTTCCAACCGTTCAGCAGATATTGAGCGAGATATCCCACAGTTCACAGAGAAGCATGATTTCAATGTCCAACGGGATGATACAATACCCCCAACCTCGTCCTCAAACTCTCAATCTGGAACGATTGAAATGGATGAACAAGATCACACCTACACGGAGGGACCCTTCATCCTGCGGTTCCTCCCAATTCATGTCAGTTGTGTTAAAGCTGCAGTTGTTGTCGGAAACGAGAATACCAAAAGCGTACTTATTGTCAAGGCGGAGAAGGCGGAGGGAGAAATTGATGCGTCAGAGTCCAAAGCTTTGGATCAATACAGACAACTTTTTAATTTCAATTTCGAGCACCCCGTCGTCCAAATGAAACCTAACGATGACTACAAAGAAGACCAAACAACCGTTGCCTCACGAGTCAAGCGTGGAGACACGGATCAGCCAGATCCAAAAACGAATCATATCCACACCCATAGCTTCGTGCACCGTCATCGCCGGAAGGTGTGGCATGCCTTACAAGACCTTGTGCCTGCATTCCGAAGCTCAGTAGACTCTCTTTCAAGCTCAGACGAACCATATGGGTCTTCGGCACAAACCGTGCACGGTTCGAATGCCTGGAAGGGGCTTTCCCGATATATTGACGAGAGCGAACAGGACGATAAGGCTAGGTGGAATTCTATTGAGTACGCTACAGTTTCCACAATCGTCGATAGCCCCGAGGCCTATATGAGCTTCTATTGGGACGTTGTAGGAACTGTCCCGGAACAAAGCAGCCAGTCAGACAGAGATTGCGAAAAAGACTCGTTAAACATCAACGGAGATATTCCACCTGAGTGGGGATTGGACCTTTCACTAAAAGGGGGGCTTATTAATTACGGTCCCTGGGCGGATAGGCAACGTGTTGATATTCAGCGAGTTTTCTTTCCCAGTTTATGCAAGGACGCTTCCCCGAGCAAAAGTCTTGCACCTGGTCAATTTAGGATACCGACAGAATTCAAAGTTTACATAGAATTCAATGACGAGACTACGCTTCGCGTTCCGATTAGAGAGGGGTCGAAAAACTGGAAGTGGACGAAACAAGCAGATTCCGCAGACGCCAAACAAGGGGAGAAAAAGAGCCGTGGCAACAAGTATCGCAGGAGAAAGGCCGATAAGGGGGCTGCTGGACCAGAAATTCGTCCGTTCGGCTGGCTTGATATTAAGGTTGGGGCAAATGCAACTGTGGCATACAGAATGGATATGGTAGCAGGGTCATCCGGTTTTGCAAACAAATTGGAGCTCGACCTGCCAGATACCGAAATTACAACAAGCGTCAACCATGGCTTGCTCTGGCGGTCTGTTGAAAATCGAATTTCCTGCGACCTGTCCAACCCTCTCCAGTGGAACGGCCTGCGCACGTGGAAATTTGATATTACAAGCAATGGCCTAGAGCTCTTTATCCTTCGAGAGCATGTGTTTTTGCTTATAGATCTTATCGATGACTGGGGTAGCGGACCGCCACCGGAGTATCTTACATTTTCGCCATTTATATATCTGGTCAACCTGCATTTGGGCGATTTCAGGCTGTACCTGAACGTCAACGACTCTAATATTATAAACAATCCATCAGACTTTGACGATAACACTTTCATCATCATTTTCGGTTCCGTCCTGAATTCAACCATTCGCATTCCGCTGGACATATATCGGCCACACCGGAACGACATATCTTTTGACGTTGATGGAAAACATGGTGGACTCAACCTCCATGTTCCCCCGTGGAATACTCAAGCTACCTTTTTGAGCTCAACTGAGCTGGCTACATTAAAGGATCTTAGCATTCGAGGCAAGTACCAATACTGCGCCACAACATCCACCAGCAATACAGATACGTTACTTCTTAATGTACACGGCGACGCACCATCTGCTCATTTCTACGGCTTTGTCATTCGGTACTTCCTCAAAATCAAGGATAACTATTTCGGTGATGACATTCGATTTAAAACTCTAGAAGAATACCAGGATGTACTTCGTGCGAGGCGCGACGGGCGCGATGAAGGGCTTGACCGCCAACCTCACAAAAAGTCAAATGACCTAGATGTGATTCTTGCAATAACGGCTGATGACTCAAGTGTCATTCTTCCTGCAAATCTTTATAGCGCCAAAGAGCACACTCGGATTGAAATCGCTACTTTGGCTGCCGACCTGAGATTTACCAACTACTACATGGATTTAGACGTTGTATTGAGTACGTTGGCGTTTTCTCTGGGTAGCGAACAATCTGGAACATGCACACCTATAAGTGCAACTTCCAGCACACAACTTTTCGTGGATGGTGTTACTGCTTATGGAAACAGGCTCTTTGGACTTCCTCCAACAGAGCCAACCTATGTCTGTAACTGGGATTTTGCCATTGGCACTGTAACCGGCGAATGCACAATGGACTTCTTTGGTCGATTGACGAGGGGCGCTAAAGCCTTTGCATTTTCTTTTGATGATGATGAAAATGCCCTGCCATCAATTTCCGAGGTTATACTGCACGACATCACGTTTCTTCGTGCATCAATCGAATCTGTCCGTGTGTGGCTGCATGTCGAAGAAGCAGCGTTTCTGCTGTCTACAGCGAAGATATCAATAAATTTCAACGACTGGGCTGGGTCACATTATTCGAGCAAGTTAAACCTCACTGTCCCAGAGTTACAATTGAGTTGTGTCGATGCAGAGTCCGCATCGAGACATAGGTCACGAGTTCAGCATCCAGTTGAAACACACGCCTTTGTTCGAACTGCTCTATCAGTGGCTATGATCCAGCGGAAACTTGGGTTCGAGAAAGACCGACAACTACAACAGGAGCATGTCAAACGCCATGATCAGCGGACCCATAGGGCCGATTTTTTGTTGCATCCCTATCTACTTGATGATTCGATGCTGATCGATACGGACCCGCCAGCTATGTGTGTTCCTTCTCTGCCTACGCCTGTTACACAGGAGACAGAAACACATTCAGAAGCCCGGTCAGTAAAGTCGGACAAGTCGTCGTTGCAACATCGGAAGCGTTTTACAGAACGTAAAGCCTCGTTTCTATCCGTTTCGAGCTCAAGTCACAAAAGTGATAGCAGCGTCCTCCGTCCACTGAGCTCACGCAGATTGGGTGATCCATCTACCGTTGACTCTAGATCGAGAAGCTTGCAGACTAGTGCTGGCCCCGGTCGCCGGACACCGCTAAGAGACGTCTCTACTTCAACGGGCCGGCGCTCCTCATTCTACAGCGCTGTTGGAGATTCCAGGGGCTTGCCCCCATCTAGCGCTGCATTATCGAGTTCCTACATGGCGCCATATTTTCCACTGGAGGCTGTGGATCCGGATAGTAAAGATCTTCCTGTTATCCCGCAAGATTCAGAAAGCGACCTCGAGTGGAGTGAACCCGATTTCAGCTTGGAGGATATTCATCCCGACCACATTGATGGAAATGCTACACATTCTAGCTTTATTGTGGAATTACCGTCTGGTTTGGCTGGAGTCTTCAATCCCAAAGCCGTTGATGCGGTAGCAGGATTGCTTACCGCTTTGCAAGTTGATGATCCAGTCGACATACTAGATGAACTTCAAATTGATTGCGGAAATGAGATACCGGAACTGAAGAAGCAGAAGAAAATCGCGGGAAATATTGTTGACTTGAACGTACGAGCACAATGGCTAAACTTTCGATTTTTGAATGCTTTTCCTGCTAGCATCTCAGGGAACATTCAGGATATGCACGATCAATACGACCTCTCCATGCATAGGCTCACTATTACCGCTAGATCTCAGACGATGACAAGGAAAGAGGACTTATCCCAAGATGCTAGCAAAGCGTCGACGCTTCACTTGGCTCTGGAATCAGCAAATGTTTCTGCAAAGGAACGATACAGTGATATAACCGACCCGCAAGCAGCCATTAACGGATTACTCGAGGACGTCACATGCTGGGTAGTTTCGGGAGAGACTACTTCCGCAGCGGTAGCATTCAAAGGCATCGAGGTTGCTACTGCTAGCAGCAAAATTGAATACCTCGCCTCTTTACTCCATCGCACTGGTGTTATAGCTGCGGATACAGCAGAATCCTTCTCATCTCTCATTAGCCAGCAACGCAACCGCCTCCAACTCTTCACCTACCTGGTCGCCACCGCTGGCCAGCAAGCCGCAGACCCGCTCTTTTTAACCAGACCATCATATGTGTTGCGCTCGGCTCCAGATCATCTACGAACCAGTGATTCCTGGAAAATTGTGACTCGTCTCCATCATATGTACGATAGCCTGGATGCATCAACAAAGGAAGGGATCGCAACACGATGCTTGAATAATTCAGAATCGGTTCCAGAGTATGCGCGGGATCATGTTCTCGCTGCTTTTGACAATTGGAGAAGCTGGGATCTGAATGATGTTAAGGGGTGCCGTATGATGAGAACTATTTATGGACAGAAGGCCGAAGATGATTCGCACACTCGGGAGCCATCTCGACCGGCTAAACTAACCTTCAGAACCGAGCTGATTCGACTCGTGCTTGATCCTGGTCCTAAAGAGAACGAAATATCTTTAGTGGGTATATCTTCGACTTTCGAAGACAAGACTCTTGCGGTTGGCTCTGAGTCGGAACCACCACTAAACGCTGATATTACGTATATCACCACGATACAGCTATTCTGCGCCGATGCTTCGATCAATCTAAATTGGGAATTGTGTGAACTAGTTGATGATATCATGAAACTGAATCAGAATGAACAGCCTTCAAACCCTGGGAGGAATCCGTCTCCAGTTAGATCTAGTCGGAGTACGCTAAGGAAGCTAAGACACGAACTCCATGTGATTGTCGCAACGGATAAGGGCTCGATCACCATTGATACTGTAAATATACGGCTTGTCTCAATAAGTCAAGGTTTAACAGGATCTTTTGTCATGATTGACAACGCAGTTGGCCAGACAAAATCAACTGCAAACCTGATGCTTGCTGCTGAAGCTGCCACCTCAAAGATCAAAAGTCATTCCCAGGACCTATCTCTTTATCAGATTCGGTTCCCAAGCATTTATACCTCCTATGAAAGGCAACTCGACGATGGGAAACTGATCAACGCAATCAAGTTTGCTGGGAATTGTCAGGAACTGTCCTTCGTCATTCAACAGGATATTCTAGCTGTAATTGAGGTGTTGGATCTCATTATTGGAGATGAGATTGAACAACTTTACCGCTTGAGACAACGTCTGCCTGCAGCCGAGCCCCCGCAAACGCAGGCTATAGACCTTGCCCACAAAACTTCTTCCTTAACGAAGATCAACGTGGCACTGTTCTTAGATATGTACCAAATCAGTATACCTCTCCTTCAATCCCTGACATACGGCATATCTGGCACCGTGGCTAGAGCTTCGGTAGCAGCCCAACTGGGTTCTGAAGTCGTTTTTGATTTTGATATCAAAGAGCATTCTCATGATATCCAAACTTCGGTTGCAAATAAATCCAAAGGCATATCGCTGTTGCAGATGCCTCCCACAAACGGCTGTATCACTTCAAATATTTCAGAGGCAGAAACTACAGTGTCTGTATTTGCCTCAGTCGAACCCATCAAACTCGATGCTGCGGCTGTTCATAGACTTCTGACTGCGCTGAACAGGCCAGAAATCTCTAGTGTCATAGCTGATGCCCAAGCAGACATCAAAGGAATGCAAGCCCACATTGAAGAAATATTTGGCCAAAGCCAAACGATCGTTGACAGAAATAAAGAGCAAACCAAGCCATTCATATACGATGCTCATTTGACAGTGGCGGGTTTTGATATTTTTGCAAACGCGCATGGGGCACAAGGAAACCCCAGTAGAGCAAGACTGGACTTCAACCTCGGGTGTGTGCAGTTGGTGTTTGCCAACCGCCTTGAGCAGAATGGGCCGATTCTTGAGTTCCCAGAACTACGCGTCAGCCTCCGGCATATCATGTTTGAACTTTCTCGGTGGAATAAAGATTCCATGCAGCGTTGTGGCAATCTTTCTTTTGCAGCTTTCTTAACCGCCACATCCAAGATAAATGACTCCGGTGAAGCGGTCAGATCGTTCCATCTCAAGAGCGATGCCCTCAAAATAAACCTGTTTGCCGAAACAGCATCATCGGTGGTGGATGTTATGGGTTACTTGCAAACCAAGATTAAAGACATCGATTTGTCGCGCGAAAAGAATTACCTCCGCAAGCTCCGCAAGTCAAAGCCCAGGATCACAATTAATGAGGAAAATGACATAAGTGGCAGCAATTCTGGATCCGTAATGTTCTCATCGATGTACTCATTGGAGTTATTGAACATACAAGTATGCTGGGTAGTAGGCACCTACAATATAGATCCTTCTTCGAAACGGGAAAGAGAGGACTTGGTTCTATCATTGAAACGGATTGATCTCTCAACGAGGAAGGAGAATACAGCCAGGTTGACGATCGAAGATCTTCAATTGCAAATGGTGCCTGCATCCCAGGATAAAACGCAAAGGTCCCTTAACTCTGCTTTACTTCCAGAGATTGTATTCAATGCTGGGTATGTGTCTACTACAGACGCCCGTCGGCTAGCGTTCCAGGCTGCAGGAAAGTCACTTGACCTCCGCTTGACCTCGCAGTTCATGATACCGGGAGAGGCGTTGAGAAAGTCGATAAAATCTGCAGCTGATAAAGTTCGGGCAGCGTCAGCGACATGGTCTACTCCAGTCCCCGGGCCTTCTACTAAGACGCCCCGCCAGACATTCCTCGGCACCAAACGCATGGAGTCTCTTCTCGTCGATGCGTATTTCGCGGGCGCGGTAGTATATCTAGCAGGGAAAAAGATCTCTGATACATCCAATGCGATTCCAGGAATCAAAGGCGGCAGAGCTCCTCAGACTGGGAGATATGGACAGTTTACACAGTCAGATACCGGCAGCAATACTGTACTTCGAGCCCCAGGGTTGGCGTGGAAGGTGGAGTATAAAGACGATGGACTAAATGAGCCTTCCTTGAACGCGGAGATAAGGGTCGACGCGTCCTCTAACATCCTTTACCCTGCTGTAGTTCCTCTTATCATGGAGGTTTCATCTACTGTAAAAGACATCGTGAGCGACGAGGACGGCAACGGAGAGGAATCACAACCCAAGGGATCACCTCAAAACTTTATGGGTACAGACGAAGACAACATCTTAACTGCAGATCCTAGTGCCGTTCTTGGCCGAACAAGGCTCAATCTCGGGTTCCGCATCTGTCGGCAAGAGTTTAGCCTTAGCTGTCAACCTATAGCCCGAGTTGCAGCTACAGCCAGGTTTGACGACATATACATCACCGTTAACACTGTCCGATCAAGCGAGCATGGTCACTTCTTTGCCGCTTCTGCCACCTTCTCGAACCTGCAAGCCTCGGTGCAACATGTGTACTCTAGAGAATCAACCGGCAGCTTCGAGGTCGAATCCGTTTTCCTATCCTTGATGAATAGTAGGCATGTCAGCAATACCAGCGGCCTCTCTGCAATCCTTAAGATTAGCCCGATGAAAGTGCTGGTGAATGCAAAACAACTACAGGACTTCCTTTTATTTAGGGAGATCTGGGTACCACCAGAAATCCGGCAGCGCTCACCAACGCCGGTATCTGCAAACTCAGCCCTACAGTCGCAAGCCTACCTCGTCCAGAGGTATCAACAAGTTGCAGCGACAGGAGCGTTCCCTTGGAATGCAACAGTCTCGATTGCTGAGTTGGATGTGCAGTTGGACCTGGGGCAGGCCATTGGTAAATCAGCCTTTATAATTTCCAACTTCTGGATCTCATCGAAGAAGAACTCTGATTGGGAGCAAAACCTCTGCCTTGGCTTTGACAAGGTCGGGGTGGATAGCACAGGAAGAATGAGCGGACTGGTTGCCCTTCAGGACTTCAAAGTACGGACCTCAATCCAGTGGCCGGCTCGTGAGAAGGCCCTCAATCAGACGCCGCTCATCCAAGGATCCCTTGCATTCAGTCAGTTTCGATTCAAGGCTGCTTTTGACTACCAAGCTTTCCTTATTGCGGATATTACTTCGTTCGAATTTTTTATGTACAATGTTCGAAATCGTTCTCCTGGCATGGGTGATCATTTGGTTGCAGTCCTTGATGGTGAAGCTGTACAGGTCTTCTGCACCACAACAACTGCATCGCAGTCGTTGGCTTTGTACCAGGCATTCTTGCGGCTCGTTAAAGAGAAAAGAGCCAATTACGAGACATCACTGGCGGAAATCGAGAAGTTCATGCAGCGAAAGACTGTCTCGTCCGTCTCCCAACCAACCACGCCTCAGCCCAAACCCGACCAGCAGCCAGATGAGGACCAATTGGCAAAGACCCCAATCTCTCTTCATACAGACGTGATCGTCACCCTGAAGGCCGTCAATATTGGCGCTTTTCCAAATACCTTCTCGGATCACCAGGTGTTTAAATTAGAGGTACTCAACGCGCAAGCCCGGTTTGCTGTGACGATGGACAAGGGCAAGATCCACAGCAACCTGGGGCTCACGCTTGGGCAGCTACGTATAGGCCTTGCCGGCGTCAAGATGATTGACATGCCCAAGTCAGTTGGGGAGATATCGGTGGAAGATGTGGTAAGCAGCGCCACGGGTTCTCGTGGCGGGACGATCTTAAAGGTTCCGAAGGTCGAAGCGAGCATGCAAACCTGGCAGGTCCCCAGCTCCAACCACATTGATTACATCTTCAAGAGCTCCTTCGAGGGCAAGGTAGAAGTTGGGTGGAATTATTCTCGTATCAGCTACATCCGGAGTATGTGGGCGTCTCACTCCAAGGCTCTTGCGCAGCGGTTAGGGAAGCCTCTTCCGATTACTGCGGTCAAGATTACCGGGGTGCCAGATGAGGAATCGGGAGAGAGGAAGGAGGGCGAGCAGCAGAAGATTACAGCCGAAGTCAATGTGCCGCAGTCGAAATACGATTACACAGCTCTCGAGCCGCCCGTCATCGAGACGCCGCAACTTCGGGACATGGGCGAAGCCACACCACCGTAAGTGTCCTATTAATGAGCCTGGACCCCCCCCTCCGGGCCAGGCCCATACTCGTTCGTACTCTACTAACTCGGTTGATTCAGGCTCGAATGGATTGGACTCCACCGCGATCGGCTACCCAATCTGACGCATCAAATCGTGATTGTGACGTTGCTGGAGTTGGCCAGCGAGGTGGACGATGCGTACGCGAAGATTCTGGGGTCGTCATGATCTGCAGAGTCTTGTATTATTTGTATTTTAACATAGTTAAGTAGTGATTAGCATAGCGGGGAGTTGCGGTGTCAACCACAGAGCATTTCTAGCGCCAGCGCGAGGGTACTTACCCGAGGCCAGCCTATCAGGTCGCTCCTAGGGTGGAGGATAGGTACCTTGTACCTTTACAACAGACGATATAAGAAATAGAATAGTAATAATCCTAGTCCTAGTCCTCATCCTACGGAACCGTGGGAAATATAGTATAGGAGTCGTACAGTTGACTGGCGTGTGCCGGTATGCGTATGCGTATGTGTACGTTACCTTGCCTTATGACTCTTATCGGCGAGGACTCCTTCGCCTCGATGGGCCGGGTAGCCGTTGGAATGATTGGTTGGCAGAGGGAGAGCTGGTGACGCAGCCACTGGCAACGAAAGCATGCATGGCGAACAGGAACAAGAGCAGCGGCCGCAGAGAGTCAAGAGGGTCGAGCGAAGGGAGAGAATCATCGTCATAATATCAATAGCTGTACCTAACAAGGTAGGCAGGCAGGCTATGGGTGATAAGTTGAGAGCTGCTTGTACTGTAATAGCGTGGTACTGTGATAGCTCATGGCCTCATGGCTCATAGCTCCCAGCTCATAGCTCATAGCTCCCAGCTCTCTCTCTTCTCTCTCCAAGCATTCCTCGGCCAGCGACTCAGAGTCTCTCTCCAAGCCTCAGGGCTAGCCCTGGTTTGGCCCCGTGGCGGCGCCTGAGGCAGCAACGGGCGCTTCCCGAACGGAGGGGTGATTTCATGATTTAACCCTCGCTTGGCGCCTGCTCGATTTGCCCCGCACCGCCTTGCAAGATCTTTCTTCGCAAACCTCATCCGCCATCTCTCCGTCTCTCCATCTCTCCTCTACCTCCACCTCCACCTTCAGACAGAGCACCAAACCCCCCTCTCTCTTATCTCCCTCTTCTGTCGTGGTTCTTCCAGGGCAGCTTACGGTAGATAGAGCAGGAAGCCTCCCTCGAGAGTAGCTCCCACCAATCAACGCCCCGGCGTCCACAAAAAACCGCATTTCCCATTAATCAGCTTTTCGAAGCAACACCGCCAACATGGTCAAGTGAGTGCAATTCCCTTGTGCGCGTATCTAGAAGGTCGTCTGCACCAGGAACAGACGAAGAAAGACAGCAAGAGAAAAGGATGGCCTCGATTTGCGGATTTCATCCTCGGCATGGACTTCCATCATGGATGAAGCTGCCAGGACACCCCACTTCGGAGATAACAACAACAAGAGAGAGAGAGATAAATATATATATATATATATACAATATATATTTATACATACAAACACACAGAACATGACATAACATGGAATGCTAACTCGTGTCTGCTCTCTAGCTTCACCATCGAAGAGGTCCGCGCCTTGATGGACAAGCCCACCAATGTCCGGAACATGTCCGTCATTGCCCACGTCGACCACGGAAAGTCCACCCTCACCGACTCTCTCCTCTCCAAGGCCGGTATTATCTCCTCCGCAAAGGCTGGTGAAGCGCGAGCTACAGATACACGTGCGGATGAGCAGGAGCGTGGTATCACCATCAAGTCCACCGCCATCTCGCTGTACGGTAACCTGCCCTCCGAGGATGATATCAAGGATATCGTTGGCCAGAAGACCGACGGCCGTGACTTCTTGATCAACTTGATCGATTCCCCCGGTCACGTTGATTTCTCTTCCGAGGTCACTGCCGCCCTCCGTGTCACTGACGGCGCTCTTGTTGTCGTCGATACCATCGAGGGTGTCTGCGTCCAGACCGAGACCGTCCTCCGACAGGCTCTTGGTGAGCGTATCAAGCCCGTGGTGATTATCAACAAGGTTGATCGTGCTCTTCTCGAGCTGCAAGTCTCCAAGGAGGATCTGTACCAGTCCTTCTCGAGAACCATCGAGTCCGTCAACGTTGTTATCTCAACATACTTTGACAAGTCTCTCGGTGATGTCCAGGTTTACCCATACAAGGGCACCGTTGCTTTCGGTTCCGGTCTCCACGGCTGGGCGTTCACCATCAGACAATTTGCAGAGAGATATGCCAAGAAGTTCGGTGTTGACAGGAATAAGATGATGGAGCGTCTCTGGGTAAGCATATACATGACCTTGCGAATGTACCCCACCTAACAATCCTGCAGGGCGACAACTACTTCAACCCACACACCAAGAAGTGGACCAACAAGGGAACGCACGAGGGCAAGGAATTAGAGCGTGCCTTCAACCAGTTTATCTTGGACCCTATTTTCAGAATCTTCAACGCCGTCATGAACTTCAAGAAGGACGAGATCCCAACCCTCCTTGAGAAGCTTTCCATCAAGCTTGCTGCTGATGACAAAGATAAGGAGGGCAAGCAACTTCTTAAGGTCATCATGAAGTCTTTCCTTCCTGCTGCTGACGCCCTTTTGGAGATGATGATTCTTCACTTGCCATCACCTGTGACCGCCCAGAGGTACCGTGCAGAGACCCTTTACGAGGGACCCCCTGATGACGAGGCCTGCATTGGTATCCGAGACTGCGATCCCAAGGCCCCTCTCATGTTGTACGTCTCCAAGATGGTGCCGACCAGTGATAAGGGTCGTTTCTATGCTTTCGGTCGTGTCTTTGCCGGTACCGTCCGATCCGGTCTCAAGGTCCGCATTCAGGGCCCCAACTACACCCCTGGCAAGAAGGATGATCTTTTCATCAAGGCTATTCAGCGTACCGTCCTCATGATGGGTGGCAAGGTCGACCCTATCGATGATGTTCCAGCCGGTAACATTCTGGGTCTGGTTGGTATTGATCAGTTCTTGCTGAAGTCCGGAACTCTCACAACCAGCGACACCGCCCACAACTTGAAGGTCATGAAGTTCTCCGTCTCGCCCGTCGTCCAACGGTCTGTCGAAGTCAAGAATGCCCAGGATCTTCCCAAGCTCGTCGAAGGTCTTAAGCGTCTCTCAAAATCCGATCCTTGTGTGCTGACTTTCATCTCGGAATCCGGTGAGCACGTCGTTGCTGGCGCCGGTGAGTTGCACTTGGAAATTTGCTTGAAGGATCTTGAGGAAGATCATGCTGGTGTTCCGCTCCGCATCTCCGACCCTGTCGTTGCCTACCGTGAGACTGTCACTGCCAAGTCCAGCATAACTGCTCTCTCCAAATCACCCAACAAGCACAATCGTATCTACATGATTGCTGAGCCTATGGATGAGGAGCTGGCCAAGGAAATCGAGGCTGGCAAGATCGGCCCCCGTGACGATATCAAGGCTCGTGCCCGTATCATGGCCGATGACTTCGGCTGGGACGTTACCGATGCCAGGAAGATCTGGTGCTTCGGTCCTGACACTAACGGCGCCAACTTGCTGATTGATCAAACCAAGGCTGTTCAATACTTGAACGAAATCAAGGATTCCGTCGTATCTGGTTTCCAGTGGGCTTCAAGAGAAGGCCCGGTTGCCGAGGAGCCAATGAGATCTTGCAGATTTAACATCATGGACGTTACTCTTCATGCCGATGCTATTCATCGTGGCGGTGGACAAATCATCCCAACAACCCGTCGTGTCCTTCTTGCCGCTACCCTTCTTGCCGAACCTGGTCTCCTCGAACCCGTCTTCTTGGTCGAAATCCAAGTTCCCGAAAGTGCCATGGGTGGTGTCTACGGTGTCCTTACCCGAAGACGTGGTCATGTCTTCAACGAGGAGCAACGCCCAGGAACCCCTCTCTTCACCATCAAGGCTTATCTCCCTGTCATGGAGTCTTTCGGGTTCAACGCAGATCTCCGCTCGCATACTTCCGGCCAAGCCTTCCCACAGTCCGTCTTCGATCATTGGCAGCTTCTTCCCGGTGGATCACCTCTCGACGCAACCTCCAAGGTTGGCCAAATTGTACAGGAAATGCGTAAGCGCAAGGGTATCAAGGTCGAGGTACCTGGTGTTGAGAACGTAAGTTTTATGTCAATTAAAAGCACCCTTCGAGCACTTGCTAACACTGCATTTCAGTACTATGACAAGCTATAGATGCGTGCTATCTTGGTTGATAGATTTCCTCCGCAAATATTGCTTCGCTTGTTTACCATCCAGGTAGATTGTCAGCAGCTCCGGCACACACCCGCATCACGATTTCATGAAGAATATCGTCGTTCGCCTCCACCTTTGGCGGGTTCGGGGATTAAAAGCAAGCTGGACGTCCCCTTAAAACGTGATACATCTCCTACCCTGTTTCCTTCCTTTATTGTTAGCAGTCGAGATTTCGGTCTTCATGTATGTAACTGCATGGAATTGAAACACATCTAGAACATTATAAGTTTTTTGGTTCTTGTGAAAATTGTGAAGGTATATATACTTTGGTCTCATGTAAGGGCTATCCACTCTTTTGACTTGTAGCCAGACGAAAATGCGACTTATCGTCATCCATCCACCCGCTAGCATAGTATAGAACACAGCAGTGCTAATGCTGTAACAATATGTTCAACCTTCCAAGTAGACAGTTACTTTGTCTATTCAGATGCACTCAGGGAGAGTATAAAGTAATTCATTTCTTATAGCTAGGGGCTTAGCGGGGACATATTATCTACCGCTACCTGCTACACCTTTTAATCCTCCATGCTACCATAAATGGTTAACTCTCCCTGGCTGCCGTTCTATTTTAGGCAGGCGGTGATTGGTAATTTGGCTTTCACTAAAAGAGCAAAACAAAACGCATAAAACGAGATATTGAATTCGACTCCCAGTTACGTATGAAAATATATGTAGATAAATTACTTTAACCCCCTCAAAATAGCAAAAGAGTTCGGCCCGTTGTGGTGCCTACAGCCCTTGTCGTTTTTGTCGCTAGACATGCTACAAAGTATTTTTAAACTATGAGTGTTATTGTGCCTATTTTACCTAGGTACCTAGGAATATACGTTTAAAATGAAATCAACTTGGTGTTGAGGAAATCAAAAGAGGGCTACCTAGCTAGGTGGTTTGGATCAAGTTGTCTAGCCTGAATTGATCGGAAGGCCCAGAATCTACAGAATCGACAAGAGATGTATGCATTCGATCCCGGGTTGGACTCCTTTTTGCTTCATTGTCCTACTACTTTAGCAGATTAGACACTTTCCTTTGCCTACTGTGGGCTGTTTTGTCGTTCGGCGCATTTCTCGCGTGTAATTGCAATATAATAGAGGTGTATTATCGTAATTAATATCTAAGCTCCCATATATTCTCTAAGAACTTTGCAGTAACTCCTCAAGGTCATCATTTTAACAGGAACAGTTTTGTATTCTTGCAAATAGTGAGCTGGCATGCATATCAACCCTGCCAAGGTATCTATCTGCAATCATGGATTTCCCACGGCCTGTAAAGGTCACATCCGCAAATTCTAGCTACCAAGAGAACCCCTTGAACGAAGCTGGACTTACTCGGCCCCTTTCCCCGCAAACTGTGCACCCACCCCCTTTCTAATCCGATTCCTCCGAGCGAATTGAAATTCAAACTTAAGCCCCCATCTTCTCCTTCACACCCTCATGAACCCGGCTCCGGCTCCTAGTCCTCTGGCGTCTTCTTCGTGTAGTTGTGGAGCCTGGTGGCGCACCAACACTGCCGCTTCGACTTGGAGCCTGACTTCTGATGTTCTTCGCTGGCCATCCGAGGCCCGGACTGTTCTTGCTTGTGTCGATCTTGCCGCTATCCTTAGTTGCTGAAGGTTTCTGGTTCTCTTGAGACTTTGCGAGAGTTCGAGATGGCGGAGAGCTTCCACTTCGAGATTTGCTTGCGGGCGAGTGGCCTTGAGAATTCGAGGAGGAAATGGAGATAAAGGGGGAGGTTGAGCGGCGGCGGCCTCGCCCGCGCAGAGTTCTGGATTCCTCTGAGGCCGACTTCTTTTGTCTTGGAGAGCAACCTGCAGGCTCGCGGATAAGTTGGCGACCCCGCTGGGCTTCTTCAACTTCCTGGGCCATGGTTGCTGTTTGCTGAGACATTGCTGTGAATGGTTGAAAGGATGGGAGAAGATGTCTGTGTTTTGCGAGCTGGGTGCGCGATCGATCGTTCTTGGGTTGTTTGAGGTCTGCTTGAATGTTTATTGTCTTGGACTAGTCGGCTAATGAAAGCAGGGAGGTGTTAACTGCTCATCTCTTGATGTGCTGTTGAGGCCAAGTAGCTAACTGACCAGAATCGCCGGACAAGTCGATGTGTGATTGTTTGTGGGAAAGATTGCGTTTTGCGGAAGGAATTCTCGTCAGAGAGTTGAGGAGCTTCCAACTTTAAAGAGGAGGATAGATCTGACGATGCAATTTCAGGCAAGGCTACATGGTCGCCGAATAAACGTTGTGGATAGAGCGACTAAGCAGGCGGAGGTATGGTAGGTATGATGTCGTGGTCAGGCGTGTCGCCGGATGATAGGGGGTAGATGTTATAGGTTGTGAATTCCGAGCAGAGGGGTGGAACGGTATAGTTCTGAACTTTTTGCCTTCGGGGCGCTTCTTCTATTATACAGATAACTTTATCCTATAAATATAGATGGAATGGGATATAAAGTAAGACGATATTACCTTCCACTATCAAAAGAATGTACACTCTGTCCGGTAATTTGAATATCTCGACTCAAATAGTAGAAGGTTTCCTAAAACTGTTCAGTAGAGGGTAATACATCTGATATTAACAGAGGACTGCTGCTGTTATTATTCATACTAATAGGCCCTCACACCATTCATAAGCTTGGTCAAATAAATCCTACTTTTTCTCTGTCCTATTCCTCAAGGGTTGCGGTTAGCAATCCAAATAAAACAGCCACACTCGTCTAGATGGAAATATCGTCACCAGCAGTAAATACACTAAGGTATCATCAACTTTTGCCGAGTTTATAGTTAGAAACAAGCTACTAGAGGAAGCTGGAACACGGAAATAGGAATGGAATCGCGGCAGGAGGTAGTTCGCCGAGAGAAAGAGGAGCAGAAGACTTTTTTTTTTGGAAGAAGATTAGATACGGCATCGAAATTACGAAAAGAAACAAAGGTGGAGATAGGAGGCGCAATTATAAAAGAGAAGAATACAGTATCCTAGAGTCACGGAGCGATGAGGACAGCAACGGACAGTTGACAGGATAATATCCTACTTCAAACTTGGCAAATAGTGCGACTCAAAGGAAACTGTCTTCCCCCTTACAACTTCTATCAAACAAGGTGTATCTTGAACTTGACATAAAAACTGCATTTTAAAACGAGCCACTAATTCAATTCCGAAAGATGACCAAATCTAGCAAGCTCCTAGAGCTGCCTTAGGTGACATGTCAGTGCCTCTTTGTCCTATAAACAAACCAAAGATGACCACTTGAATTCGGCTCAGAGGGATTGTAACCTAATAGCTTCTAATTTATTTACTGCTTGGTAGAGAGGCAAGACTCTCGGACTCCCGGAGCTGTACTTCATAGTCTGCTATAGAAAGGGGGGACGTTTATGGTGCAAGGGAACGATTACCGAGACCGGGGAACTAAATTATTTTGGAGATCATCGCGACGCGACCTCGGCGCATCAATATCCGTCGAGCTTCAATCTCTACTACCAATTGGTTTACGCCGCTAATTTTGCCCCATCTCCATTCTCATAGACAGAATGGCACCGTCACAATTAACCATGATCCCAAGATCTATGCTCAGAGCCTCGAGGCTTTGCCAATGCCGCAGCTATGCCACTGGCACCACGCCTACTATACCTCCCATGCTCCTCAAGATCAGGCAAGCTCAACTCCCGACCCGTCCTCCCCCAGAACCTTACCTTATTTGAATTATAATGTTCTCGGTGGCCTTCTCAGCTAACCCTGCCTCTTCCAACTCTTTAGAAAGGACATGAAAACCGCCATGCAACAGAAAGATACCAACCGCCTGGCCGTCCTCCGTTCGATTCTCTCCCAAACCCTCAACGCCTCCAAGACCTCTTCCCCCATTTGCACAGATATGCAAATGCTCGCCCTCCTCCGCAAAACAACCAATGCAAGCAAAACCGCTAGGGAGGACTTCAAGAAGGCTGGACGCGAGGACTTGGTGGAGAAGGAGGAGAGTCAGATTAGGATCATGGAGGAGTATGTGGGCACTGTGGAGGTTATTGGGGAGGAGGATGTCAGAAATGCTGTGAGGAGTGTGGTGGAGGGGTTAAAGAAGGAAGGAGAGGCGAAGAAGGTGGGGATGGGGGAGGTGCTGAAGAAGGTTTTGGATAAGGATTTACTTGGGGAGAAGAATGTAGAGAAGTCGGAGTTGGTGAGGATTGTGAAGGACATATTGGCTAAGCCGTAAGAGATACCGTAGAGGGATGTTCAGAGTGCTTGGGAGAAATGGGAGTGTATCAGCATGTACAATACATTGCATAGCGTTTGGCGTCGGTAAGGACGAATCTCCATTCTTTATAGATGAATCTAGAGAAGTGATTAAGAAAACTGTAAGGCAGTAAGGAAGTTTCTGAGCCCCAGGTGAGATCTAAATACATATCCAAACAAAGAGCCCGCATTTCATGCAGCATGCAGATCTCGAAGGAAAGTCCATAGATTGTAGAGTCTCCCAGAATCTCGTAGAGCCAATATTTATCCTGGCATGTTGTGGCTCGACTTAGTGAGTTATATCCTAATGGATTCGCTTTTGGGTAGAGCTTTGGGATTTGATTCGGTTCGCATTAGGTTTAGAACGCTAATAAACTGGAATAATTATCGTATAGCAATAAGAATTTGCATAGCTACTGACATGATATATAAGTGTTCTCTTTGCCTATTAATATAATATTGCTGTGTAATATACTACTCAATTATAAAATAGTCGGTTCCCTTAAGTGGGCTAACCGTAGCAAGTCAGCGGCTTGTCCTATATCCTTCCAGGCTACCCGCTTGAATTAAGATACCTATAGGGGTATTAAGGTCTATTAATAACGAAGTATAATAGTTGTCTGTCGAGTGGATAAATGGCTTTAAGTTCGCTACAGCATTGGTTTCATAGAGACTGTATACCACAGTAGCTGCCGATCACCTCGTATCGAATATCCAAACCCTCTCTTACACAAAAACCCTCACTATGGTCTTTATTTGTTTCCTTTTTGCAGGGTAATACTTAATGAACTCCCCCCCCCCGCATCCTAAAACTTTGACCAGCAAGGAAATCATATTTAGCTCACAAATCAAACTCGGCTTGACATATTGGAAGTTCGAACATTGCTAGCAAGCCTATATTGCGTGCGAGGGATGGAGAAGGCAAACAAATGTACGTTAGGTGGGGGTGGTCCAGATTATCTCACCAACCACGCATTAAGGCTTGTGCCAAGCGCAGTACGGAAAGAAGTTGGGAGGAAAGGCCGGAGCAGAGCTTATTAGATGGTATATGCATACAGAAAGTGGGATTTGACGGGCGAGAGTAAGTGGCTCAACTCAAAGTCGACACTCAAACTTGGAAAATTTATCCCACCAACACCTTTCTATGTGGTATGGGCTGTGACGGCTGTACAGTTCCACTGGGCTGTGTTTGCAGCTTTGTCAAATAGCCTTGCAAGCTGAGAGAATTGTAATGGCATGGCATGATATGCAAACGCCGCAAAACGAGTTGAAGGATTTGGACAAGAGACAGCAAATATTGGAATATAATAATGCATCCAGGATATCGGCACAGCTTATTTTTAAAGCTGTGCCCATCGCGGTGGAGGTATACACATGCCGTAGGACAAGGATTTCTTTAAACTGCTCCAATGTTCTAAGGGCCGGGAGGCGTCAGCGGCAGATCAATGCATATATAGTGATATGGATGAAAATGTCCCGATATGGAAATAGTGTAGACTAGGCAGGAGGTTGGCAAGGTGGAGTATTGGTCTTTGTGGATATATGAAGTGCGAAGTACTTCTCCGCGGGAGGCAGAGTAGGCACAAATTTATTCGTATAGCTGCGAATGAGACATCTGACTCGGTCGAATAAGTATTGGCAAAGCAGACAGGGCCGAAAACATCAACGTCACTGCGGGGCCCAAAAAATAGGAATAACAATAGCGGTGTCTAGTTGTGCTGCTACGGAGTACAAGAGTACAACTAGTAGATTTACTCTCCGAAACAACAACAAAATAGCACATTCAAGACCAATCAGGGTAAGTAAGCCGGCACTAGCTAGTGGCGATTAGTTATCAACATATCGAATAGCCAAAAGACAATAGGTTTGGCGCAGCAGCCTCAATACGATGCAGCCAGTAATGTTGCAGTAAAACGACCGAAGGAGAACTCCACAGTATACCCACGATACGCCCGTTTGAGTTGCGTTCCTCGGCGCATGAGCCAAAGGGGCCTGGGACTGTGGGAGAGAGCATATGCTTCAAGTGACCAGAAGCTTGAATTGAAAAGCTAGAAGGAAAGGAAGCACCGAGGAGAGTTCGGGGCCTCGGCTGTCGGGGGTTGTGGCTTGGGGACTTGAGAAGCAAGTTCGGATTCAGGTTCAGGGAAACATCGGTGTGGAAACGTCAGCACTGCACGAGGCTCAAACCGGGTTGCATATGGAGGGAGTATACTTGTACTTCGTACTCCATGAGTCTGTACAGAGTAGCAGTGTAGCCTTAGCAGTGCCAGGTAGTTGTCCAAGATGCCGGGTCCAGGTTCAGCCAAGGTGGACAATAGCTCGTGGTCAATCCTACCACACCACCAAAACGCAGATCTCTAGACGGCGCCCTGACAACCTTTGTGCATGGCTTGGGCAATGGGCAACAGGAACCTGGGGGACGGGCCCGGCAGACTTATATCGTGGCTTCACAAATCGGGGTCCTGTGCACCGTTGCGATTCGCAAGATATTCCTGTTTGAGCCATCCAGAAACTCTCCATCCACCCAGAACTCTGGTAGTGCAATGACCCAAGGGAACACAGGGTGGTGCTGGTGGCATTTCTAGTCTTTGTCTGACTCTCTCTGGCTCTTCTGCTGCTCTTGAGCCGGGTCTGTTGGCCAGGTACACCTTAGAGGTGGGAAGACTTGCGCGTGGCAAACATTCGCCGGCGAGCTATCGACTGCAGTCTGCAGCGTCAGAAGATGCAGTGCAACATTGAGGCTGTGGCGCTGATTGAATGGAGCTGGGGTAGGGCCAAAAATAACACCTTCATATCATATCATCTCATGGCAAACTCCACGAGTCCACCTCCCTGGGTTGCGTGCATATTGGGTACGTTATAAACCATGCCATGGCGCCGAATGCCGGCTCGGTATATCCAACATCAGCCATTTTGATATCCACGACAAGGACGTGGGTAGGAGGAGTTGTCCAATTGATGAACTCGGCCGGTACGTAGTACTGCGTGCAGTACACTGGACTATTGACCCTCTCTCTCCTCCGTCCAGCACTCCATCCGGTGAAGCCTGAACGCTCCTAGGTTGGTTTGATACTTTGTGCCATTGTAATTGTACGAAGGAGTAGCATGAACCGTGCTATTCCTGGCAGGTCTTGTGGTTCGGCCCGCTCATGGATGCTTCGTAGATAGCAAAGAGGCATTAATATTGCGGAGGTATTATTGCGCACGTACTTGGTTCCTTTCATACACTACAGTATACACGTTCAAGCATTTTCTGGGGTACACAGTGCAACCTTCCCCGGGGCTCGAACAGGGCCGTGAATCCTTGGGAGACGGCGCCATGCACAGACTTCTGGCGGACTCTGTCGAGGAGAGGCGCGGATTGAGTTCAAGTTCGACGTTAAATTACTAATGGGCATCCTCCAGTACCTACTCCAGGACGCGGTAGCAGCAACTTTTGTAGCATCCATCCCCCAAGCCTGGAGCCTGAAGCTTGAAGGAAAAAGGGCTTTGTGGCCAGGGATGTGCTGTTGAGCCGACGCCGATGCTAATGCTAATGCTAATGCGTTGCCAATGCGTTGCCATCGATATCTCGACAAGTTGAGCTGACGGCCGTCCAACAGAAATAGAATCGCCGTCCGTCCGTCCCCTCCAAACTTGAGCCTCCTATGCGGGGATACAGCGACTTTTCGTACTCACTCTACGAGGACTCGAAGCCCCTTTGTACCACGCCCACGCCTCAGCCATCCCGTCCAGCAGCCCGGTATCGTGCAATCAAGTCCCCGAGAACATCGCCCATCATCATCCTTATGCACGGAGTGGCCATCCAGTCAGGCACGTTTGCTCCCTCCTCCCAAAAACTGATCCCCAGCGCCATTTGACTGCCGACTGCCCGCGTTGTCCGGTCCCACAGCCAATATTTTCCGCGAGGAGACATTGTCTTGAATCTGCACGAGGTATGTGTGACGGCTTCCTTCTGTCAAACGCTTCTTTAGAGATGTACGTTTAATAGCCCCCAGATGGCTAGAGCTAGTGAAGAGCAATTCAGTTGGGACTTGGTGGTCAGCGGATCGGGGGTGGAGGAGTGTTATCCGCTCATGAATTTCCGGGTTCTACCCTTTGAACGAGTATAGTATCGTCCTCGTGGCCTGCCCCTAATATGATGCTCACATAGCTCCACGCGCTCTGCGGCAGCCTGTTTTGATATGCCTCCGGGGCCGTGGAAAGGGCATAATTCATTGTTATGTTTACGTTGAGGCTGCGCGGCGCCTTTACTTTCCCTATATCTTAAGCAAGTCACAAGTGTTCGAGCTGTCAAGTGCAGCTCCTCGAGTCGTCGTTCGACCCAAGTCCAGGGAGCTGAGTTGGGCGTTGCATTAGTCTGAACCTGGGCCCAGCGCCACCAAGATGTAGATATCCTCCGGTCTTTGGAGGCTGCAGTTTATAGGCTTGCCCATTCCTGTGGCTACAGCGATGTCACTTATGCCTTATTCCTTGTTGCCATGTGTGGGGCTCCTGCAGTCACTATTTCCTGCTCATCAAATGCTGTACCGGTGGAAGCATGATTGCTGGGTTCTAAATGCTGGGTGCTGAATGCTGGCTACTGATTGCTAATAACCATCCATAGGCGCTCTGGATCTGCCATTGTGCTTCTCATTGCCCTATGAGAGTAGAAAGAACCAGGGCTGGGCTGTATATGTAACAACCATAACACAACCACAACCACGATAAACACAGAAACTACTGGTACAGCTACAGTACAGCCACAAGGCCTTGGCTTCCCCATGTCTGTCCTTGCCCACGTCTCCCCGCCCTATTTACATGCCCCCCAACATCATCCTACTGACCTACCCTACGCTTCACCCTGCTCTGTCCGCAGGTGGTAAGACTGGCGCTGGAGTCCTAGTTTCCAGGACAAGCAGCAATATTTGACTGTCAAGGGCACACCCTCTCAAGAACGCAGGACGACCGCACTCCTTCACAACTATCCCAAGCACCGGGCCTGATTCCTGTGTAACCCGGCATAGACGGCGGTGGCGGCCACGGGTATCAGTGTGCCATATGTCGTGCATCTGAACTTCCCGCACTTCGTAATTACTGCGTCTTGGGTGATCTTCTACCCTACCTGTCAACTAACCCCACAGTTGGGCTCCTTGGAACTTGGGAAACACATAAGAACCATCAATAGAAACCACACGCCCTCTGTTGGCCTACTATTACCGCAGTCATTTGCGGGACATCTCAGCCTGTTGTCACAACAACTTTGGCTGATATTCTCTGACTAGCCAAGCTTGAGGCAGAGTGTTGCGTTGTCTTCTTTCTTCGTTTAACCCCTCGCCCAACAGTTATCTCTGTCGCAGGCTCAACATATTCAACCCCTCTGGCGCTGGAAAATTTGCTGTTTGGCTACTCTCTCCCGATATCTCGATCAAGTTCCACCTGCTAGGCGCATCCTATGAAATTTCGGCCTTCGTGTGGAGCAGCATCCCTTGAGAGCAACCAGAATGCAGAACTCTGAGATGCCTCTAGAACATGGCGTTGAGGATGGTGACATTCAATCCGAAGAAGCTCCCGCCTCGAAGAAGTCTGGATCCAAGGCACAAGGACGGAAGAGGACGAAAACAGGATGCCTTAGTAAGTGCTGAGCTTATATCTTCAACTTCTTTTAACCCCAGGAAGGATTGCGACTAACAATATTGCTTTTAATCATAGCATGTCGAAAGCGCCGTATTAAATGTGGCGAAGAGCGGCCCACTTGTCATAATTGTACCAAGTCCCGGCGACAGTGTGAAGGATATAACCAAAGGGTCATCTTCAAAGATCCTCTTAGTTCATATCGACCATCACTATCTACGTCGGCGTCCACGTCTCGCTCTGGAGCTACTTCAAGCCAGCCTGCTGCGGGCCATGGCAGGCAGTATCAGGATTTTGTGTCCTCGCAGAGTGCACTCCGCATCGCTCCAAAGGCCGAAGAATCAACAAGACCATTATCCACGGTGGAAAATACAACCTCTATGCCTAGCTTGCCGTCAGTCCCACTCCCAGAGACGAAACACAGATCATATAGTTTTCAGAGTGGCTTTTCCATAGATTCCCTCGCTGATCATCCCCGTCTTGCTCAATCCCACGATACCAGGTCCGATACGGTGGACCAGTCATACGTTCCTGAGCCAAAACACCCTCAGCCCTCCCGAGAGCAGGCGGCATATTATGGGTTAAATGCTCCTAAAATAAAGCAGGAGAACAGAAATGAGGCGCACTTGGTGCCCGCGCAAAGAAGCCCTCAAGAATGGCCGGCTGGTCCAAGCAGTGCGTCTTCGTATGCACCACAAGAGCTATTTGAGGATTCTAACAGACAGTTCCCAGCGTCAGCAGCGTCCGCGGCATTATACCGTTCATATGCTACAACAGCGGATTCGGATCCGTCTAATGCGGTCCTATCAGCCTCAGATAATCTCCACGACCCATCTCCGAATCGGGTCTTGGCGGGTCTGTTGAGAAACCCGAAAGGCAAAACTCAACAATCCCCCGAAGTACAGCGAAGACTCAATTCCCAATCTCAAGTTCAGCCCCAGGGTTACTCCTGTGTTGGCCCTTTCCCTGCCGCTGAACCGACTTCTAGACTCTTGGTGTCTACACAAGATGTCCAAGATGCCGAGGATGACTCGATGGACGACGAAGATCCATTTGATGTCATTGATGACATGGATACGCAGATGGAGGAGTACGAGGACTCCGGGCGTCGGCAAGTCGTTTCCTCTGGCCATCTGCGCAATAACGATCTTGGCATTCTTGTCGCACTTCAAGCAGGGCAAGACTCCCACAACCTACATCCGCGTTCATTCACATCGTTCATCGACCGGCCTGATATGCTGGCTACCTACCTCCCATCCCCACAATCTTCTCCGTTAAATGATAGCATGACGGCAAAACTCTTTTGTCATTTTGTCAATGTGACTGGTCCGAGTATATCTATGTATGAGCGACATCCTGCCAATCCCTCTTTACTCTTCCAAGCACAACCTGTCCCACCGTCTCAGCAACATATATGGACCTGTAAGTTTTGCTTCCTTTTTCAAACACACGTTAATCCGGCTGCACTCTACAAATCCAACTAGCAATATGCGGATTTGGACAGCTGCTATATTAATACTAAACCTATACGCATTATTGACTTTAGAGCAGACACATTTCCGACATTGGCTCTCCAAAACCCTGCCCTCTTGCATGCCATGCTTGCACTTGCAGGCCTACATATTGCCAAACTTCAAAACCGACCCGCTACCGCGTCGTTGAAGCATTACCACATCAGTCTTCGAAGAACAGCAAAAAGTGTTGGCCTACCTACCAGGCGAGGGCAGCCTGCCACACTAGCGGCTGTACTGTTGCTTGGCTTTTACGAGTGCTGGTGTGCAGATCATCAAAAGTGGAGTAACCACCTTCTTGGGGCTAGGCAGTTAGTGCGAGAGATCGACTTCGCCGGTATAACGAGATACAGAAAGGCTTTGAAAATCCAGGAGCGCCAAGAAGAACGCATGAGGTATTACGAGGCCCAACAAGATGAAACTGGCCAGAGCTTCTATGATGACAGAGCTCGATTCCAAGCGTATACGGATGATGTGGATGAGAACATTGTTGCCCTGTTAATGGGCAAAATGGTCCTATTTGACGAATATGGGCAGGTTGTGGACGAGAATGCCTATGAGCCTAATACCAGGACATATACCAAAAGGGATGTGGAGTTATATGAGACACAGCGCGACCTTTTCTGGTGGTATTGCAAGCAAGATGCGTATCAAAGCATCCTGGGAGGAGGCCGACTCTTGTAAGTCTTCTGAGTTGGAGCATAGATCTGGAGCTAACTTAACGTCGTAGCATGGAGTACGGTCTCTGGAGTCTCTGTCCACCAAGAGCACCTCTTGGCCGTCTAAATGCAATGTAAGAATCTCGTCCTACTTACAAACGATGCTAACTTATCCTAGTTATGGGACTTTCGACCACTTAGTACTCTTACTGGGCCGCATTGGCGACTTTACATCCAAAGACCTGAAGAGGAAGAGATTTGCGATGAAAATTCGCGAACAAGAACGCGCAAATATAGCTTCCCAAGGAGACCCAAATCTATCAAACCAGAAGTATCACCAACAACGGATGCCGCCTATGCCTGACTTCAGTGGCATGGTCCCCGGCGTTGGCGAAGCTAAGCTTCCGATGGGATTTGAACCATCTCCAGAGTCGTCTCCACAGAGCTCAGAGAGCGAAGATATGGATTTCGAAGCCAAAACAATTGAAGCTGAAGAGGAGTGGCAAGATATTAGAAATGCTTTAAGCATTCTACAAGATCATTTCGGGGAAGAATTTCAAGCATTAGGGCCTGAGTTCTGCGGCAGGCCTGTCCAGACACCTTTCGGAACAGCATTGCAATATCGAACATACGGCATTGCCGGAATCTGGATGAACTTTTATATGGCCCTGATTGCTTGCTATCGAGCTCATCCTTCCATGCCCCCTGCCGCGATGATGGCTGCCGGAATAGCTGCACGGCAGACGGCTTTCTTTGCAAATGAGATAGGTCGGATAACTGCTGGGATTTGCCCCGATTTTAGTACGGCGAGCCACGTCAATCCAGGTGTTGGAGCCGCACTTATTGAAGCTACGATGTGTCTTTTCGTCGCGGGAGTGCAGGTAACGGCCCTCTTCCCTGTTAGGTCGAATACTACTGACTATCATGATTTAGTATCAACACCCCGACCAGCGTGTGTGGACAATCAACAGACTTCGCGACATCGCCCGCCTAACGGGATGGCAGACGGCACTTGCGGTTGCGGGCGGTTGCGAGGGCTCATGGGTCAAGGCGGGGGAGATGGGACATGGCCCGCCGTATGCGAGGACCAGTGAAGTAGAATTCGCCCCTGACATTTGGAATAGGCCGAGGAGGGTGGACAAAGAGCTTGAGAATAGGAGTAACCAAGAAACAAGGATGGTGGTTAGCAGGTCTGAAAGAGTTCATTTTGCCCTCGGGTTACTGGGCGTGGAAGGTGACTTTGAACATCTGAACATGGATAACGAGGGGGACCAGGGGATTTAAGGAATATAAGAGACTTCCGTGACTCGATTCGTCAATTTGGGTTACCTCCTTGTTACAGTCAAATGATTGTTGTCCCATTTTGTGGTCAGAGTTTGTGCATATCTGGTACCAAGCTCGTTTGCCCGTCTAACTCCGAATATGCTTCATGCTCTATCTTTGTAATTTCTGGTAAAGCCTTGCTCAGTTCGCTGGTAACCTCTCCACAACCGCTGCCATTTCCGCGTCTGTGTAAATCCTGAAACCCCTCTCCTTGGTAACGCTTGCAAGTTGCACATTCTTTGAATCTAGCTTCTCCTCCATCACCTGCTTCAGCGTCTTCAGTACGAGCGTCTCTGCTTCCTCAATAGTAAGGGACTGTGTAGAAGTATTAGTACCCGGCAAAATCGAGGGCTAGCTGATTCGTACCTTGTGAAACTCATTCTGCAACTCTGCTTGTGCACCTTCCGATCCAGAACCAATCGCCTTCGCATCATATCTGTAAAATGTTCCACTTGGCTCCGCATGGTACAGTTGTGGTCCATCCTCATCGTATCCAGCAATCAAGAGGGCAACACCAAATGGCCTACTCATGATGCTCTCCTCGCCCTCAGCCCCCTCACCGAACCTAAGCGCCAAATCACAGATGGCTTGCGTACAGCTCTCGACCCTCAGTGGCTCGTTGAAATGGAATGAGTGATTTTGAGACTCTACTCGAGCGTGCTCAACCATCGATCGTGCATCGGCTTGCAGGCCGGACATCGCGCAGCCTATGTGTCGGTCGATTTCGACGATTTTCTCGACGGAGGATGTCTCGAGGAGGGTGGATGTTACGCGCTTCTCTACGCCTAGGACCACGCCTCCACCTGTGGCTACCCCAATGGCGGTTGAGCCGAGTTTGATTGCTTCGAGGGAGTATTCGACTTGGAAGAGACGGCCTTCTGGGGAGAAGGTGCTAGCTGTATGTTAGACATATTTTTATACCGTATGTAGCTTGGTTTAACATACTTGATGCCTCGATCTGCTAGGTATTAGCTATGGTTCTTGATGGCGCCTCCATTCCAAAGATTTCCGCTACTCACCATATTCTGACCGAGCAATAAACATCTTGATGGGACCGGGGTGGGGAAAGTGTCAACGATTTGGTTTCTAATATCAAACAATGGAAGGTCGAGTACGAAGCTATAAATCCGTAGATTCTTCTGGCTTGTCGCGGAATGAAAGCAGAGGGTTTGCCGGGAGGTAGCAGAATGGTATCTGGGTCTGAATGTCGTCGGAGCACTGCGCAGGCAATCACAGGAACACGAAGCTCAAGAAGCTCCAACGCCGCTAGCCTCAATTAGGCGATGGAGTTCGACCGCGGGTCGCGACCTTCAACCAACAAGTCGCGTCTCCTCAGGCACTTTTGCGCCGAGTACGAGGAACAACTTCAACAACAAGTGGTGCTCACGAACATCAAACACCTTAAACGCCTCCGCCCCGCCTCCCACCCTTTCCCATATTTTCCGATTCTTCTAGCAGGGCCCAATGTGATCGATATGTCTTCTTCCTCCCATGCCAGAGTAACGTCACGTTCTGAGCGGAGGACGACCAACGACAATGGAAGTGCTCAACCCCGCCCCCCGTCTGGGCTCCAGGGTGGAAGTAGAAACGAAAGACCAGATCCCCGGCGACAGCAATCGGCTGAACCTCAGTCGCAACCTCCTGTCCCTGGAGCAGCACATAAAAGAGCGGCGTCAGGCACGCAGCGAACCCATCGCGGGGTTGAAGAAAGGCGTATAGAAAGAGTGCAAGTTACAACGCGGGAGACACTGGCGACGAGGACGAGGAGCCCGGAACGCAGGCCTGGCCCTTCAGCGCAACCTTCAGAAAGGCAGAGGCCAAGTGAGCCCCCTCGACCATATTCTGGAGATCCCCGGCCACGACCCGCCAAGGTAGAAGCACCTCAAGGTATATACTCTTTCGGGAATTGTGAGAATCCTACCGACGAACTCTAACAATCCCTCAGTGGAACCATGGCTTCCAGAAGCATCTCTAGTACCCCATACTTCTGCACCGCTGGCGTCACGAATATCTATACCGGCCCTCGCGTCTCAGGCACCTCAATCCTTGCAGCCCACACCACTCCCTGAGTTATCTTTAGAGGTTCAAGAAGCGGTAATGCTGGAAGATATATTGATGGTTTTTATGGGATATGAAGGGCAATACATACGGTTTGCAAGGAACTATAATCCTTCCGAGGAAAAGGACCGGCTTGCGGGACCTACTTTCAAGATACTCCCGGGACTGGATCCTAGTTTACAGGATCTGACAACGACGATGTTGAAAATGGCGACCCACTACGGAGCTGTTGAAGCGTTTGTGGAAGTTCAGAGTCGTGATGAATTTGGGGCTGTAAATCACGCTCTCTGCGCCGCGATCCGGAAACTACTGCTGGAATACTTGGTTTTGATTGCTCAATTAGAGACTCAATTTCTCACAAATCCTGGGTTCACGCTACATGTTTTGAATATTCATACCCTTCAAACCAGCCACATGATGTTCCAACTCTACTCCTTGGCTCACGAGATATTGAAACGAAATTCGTTACTAGAGGAGGACCTCGAGGACTCTGACGATGGCCTTGATGATATCGAGAATATTTTAGAGAGTTTGCGGGAAGGTGGGGATCTTGGCCCAGGCAATATCCCTGGGAAAAAGATCTGTAAAGGGGGTAGCGTCCTGGGTTTAATCACAAAGCGATTGGAGACAATGTCAGGAGATCCTGCAGCTCGGTCGCTTCTCACGTCCCTATTACGGGATGCCAGCCGACCGTATATGACGATGCTCAATGAATGGCTTCATTATGGAAGCATCAAGGACCCTCATGCTGAATTTTTGATCAGGGAGCAGAAGAGCATCAAGCGTGAAAGGCTCGAGGAAGATTACACCGATGAATACTGGGAAAGACGGTATACAATACGAGAACATGATGTTCCCCCACAACTCGAAGGTGTCAAAGATAAGGTGTTGCTGGCTGGGAAGTACCTCAATGTAGTGCGAGAGTGCGGCGGCGTTGATGTGAGCAAAGCTGTGACCGATGTTCCACGCTCATTTGACGACAACAGATTCTTGGATAACGTCAACAGCGCGTATGCGCATGCTAACCAATCGCTGCTAGAGCTTCTGCTTACCACGCATGCTTTACCTGCACGATTGAGGTCATTAAAGCATTACTTTTTTTTGGACCGGTCGGACTTCTTTACCTACTTCCTCGAGCTTGGTACTTCCGAGCTTTCGAAGCCAGTGAAAAAGGTCAATACGGGCAAGCTACAGTCATTACTTGACTTGGTGTTGCGACAGCCCGGCAGTGTCGCGGCCCAAGACCCGTTCAAGGAAGATATCAAGGTTGAGATGAATGAGATAAGTTTGACACACTCGTTGACACGCGTGGTCAATATTTCTGGGATTGAGCAGGGTGAATCCCTTCAAACTCCAGTTTCCCAGCCAATTAATGAACCCGACGCTTCAGCTATTGGCTTCACTTCTTTACAACTAGATTATTCGGTCCCGTTTCCGGTGTCACTAGTCGTTAGTCGAAAGACTGTCTGGAGGTACCAGGCCTTATTTCGATACCTTTTATCTTTACGATACCTTGAGCAACAACTGGTGTCATGTTGGCAAACCCACAATCGAGTAGCTAGTTGGTCTCACAAAAGCTCAAATCGAGATGTGGAGATGTGGAAACGACGCGTTTTCACCTTACGTGCAAGGATGCTGGTTTTCGTGCAGCAACTCCTGTATTTTTGCACCGCAGAAGTCATCGAGCCCAATTGGCAGGCGTTGATGGCCAAGGTCAAAACTAAGGAGGATAGTAAGGGCGGTATATCTTCCGTTCGAACAGTTGATGAGCTGATGCAAGACCACGTTGATTTCCTTGATACGTGCCTGAAGGAGTGCATGCTTACAAATAAAACACTTCTGAGGGTATGTAAATGCCTAAGGTCCCCCTCAACACCCAGATGATATTGACCACGAAAATTTAGATTCATTCAAAATTAATGCATACCTGCACCTTTTTCGCTACATACACTAACTGGCTGTCACGGGAACTTGAAAAGATTGATCCGGACTTGACAGGCACCGAAAAACCAAGCAATATGAATAAACAACAATGGCAACGATATCAGGCGGATCGAGGTCGACGTGGTGTCGATTCAACGGCTTCCAATTCAAATCCGTCCGGTGGTGACCCGGTGCGGTTTGAGAAGATGAGCGAGAATATGAAGAAGTATGAAGAGAATTTTAGCAAGAACCTTCGGATATTGCTTGATGCACTGAACCATTATGCTGCGACCGAGACAGTGGTGCTGCTAGGGCTTTGTGCAAGGTTAAGCACAGCCAACCAAGGCACGCAGTACAGCGGAATGAGAACAGAGGAGGACGCGGGAGCTCAGGCACGAGAGTAATGAGTCTATGACATGATATTTCGAAGCGTGGTTTTTGTTTTATTGAGGGCTGTGATACGAGTAATGATACCCAGCGCGTCGTTGACAAGAAGGTACCTTACGGGCGGATCAGGGGTTTGCCGACACCTACGATTATGGCAGGGACCGATTAGATCGTTGGAGCTGCTGCTAGCATTTTATAGACCAAATACGACCTTTCCTCCCGCTTTCGAAAACCGTCCACGCTCGCGATCTACTTTGTCTTTAAGCATTAATGCAGGGCTAAGGGAGATTAGAAGGTATATTTCGTGGTGCAATATGAGCTCGGCTATGTAGCAGGAATTGTAAAGCACAGTGCGATCTCTCGATTGACGCTGACGTTGATGCTAACGGACAAATAAATAGGAGATATTGGCCAATCGTGGATCTGCCAAAACCGCTTGGTCCTCGGATACTGCAAGACCTGGATCTTGGGACTTCTACGAGAATATCCTGACCGTGTTTGAACATGGATGCCGATCTTTAAATAGCATGTGGTGCTGATGAGTTTCTTCGGAGCAAGCGCCAGCACAAGGTTAGAAGAGCGCACAAGGAAATGGTCTCATGATCGAAAGCGACGTCTAAATTAAGTTTTACAGAAGCGGAAGCATTGTAGGTTTAAATCCCTTTACAGCGACGAGCGCGCTGCCTGAACGAGCTCGTGCAATCGTAGCACATAGCGGGGCTAGTGTCACTGAGTACAAAGTTAGAGAACAAAGATAGGGAAACGGGGACGGAGGTTTCCATACAGTGGGCTGTTCTCGTATTGTCTTGCTAGGTATACCGCCCTAGACAGTGATGGCATGCTGATTGTGAGCGGCAGATAAGCATGTAAGGGGAGGAAGAGGGGCAGATATATAACTATGCTAACGAGGCAATTCAGTTCCGGAAATCAGCATTTTCTAGCTTTCCTACTGCGTACAACACTTTTCATTTATTCTTATTACACGTTCTCGGAGGCATTTCTTGTGGGCACTATCGATTTAGCCCATATCCAATTTTGCCAGGCCCTTATTCCATAATCAGCTCATACGGTACTAGTCGGGTGCAGTATGGGGCCCCATGGGGTGCGTAGGTACCTAGGTACTTTTACACGCACCGGGGGTGGCTGATAATACGGTTTAGTGTTGCTAAGTCAACCTCAGCTAGTGTAAGCACGTTCTATTACTTGAAGTTAGCTAACCCAGGCTGATAACCTATTACTCGTAACAGGTACGAAAAATAAATGGGAACACAGTTTACTTGACTAGAACAAAATAGTAGTCACCAAAAATGTTAGTAGATCATCCTCACATGTTTCCACTCCGTTGTGTATATCTCTATGACTAATTCTCTACAGACTATCTAGTAAACATATCTAAAACTCAAATTTTCGCGATCCGTCAAATCATCAAAAGCGTGCACCATCCTCTCGTCTGTAAGGGTACCAGCCTGCGCAGCAAATTCCGCCTGCAGCCGATCCTTCTTCCCATTCTGCCTCTTCAGATACCATCTCAGGAAAATTATGACAAACACCAAAAGGCCGTAGCACGCCATATGAGTAGCAAAGGCCGTTAGGTAGCGGGGCTTGTCCTTCTCGAGGAAGACCTGGGGCCCGATGGCATTGCCGGCGGACCAGGAGACGAAATTGGCTGCGACCACGACAGTTTTCTTGGTCTGACCTCCGATGTTACGTGAGATCATGGACATGCCGAGCGTTTGCGCCGCCCAGAAGGAGAGCACAATATAATAGGAGATGAGGAGGCCGGCTTGTTGGGCTTTTCCAGTATTTTCGACGGTCATTAAGACGATAGTGCCGGCGAAGGAACTGGATGATGTGTTTAGTGGTCCCTCTTTCTGAGTAGCATTTAGGGAATGAAACTTACGGAATAACATAGATAAGCATGATTATCAAGTTCTGACCCGTTTTCTTAACGAGCCACATGCTGCTCAGTAGAACGATGATGATGTAGGCGCCGAGGACCATGGCGAGCAATTGAGTTTGCAATAAGCTAAAGTTGAAGCCCTTGATGATGAGATTGGCAAAAGCGCCTAGACCACTAGTAGGTAAGGTTGTGCAGAAAGCAATGAGACAATAGCAATACATCTGCGGATCCTTGAACGCCTCCCACATCTGCTCCTTTCGGAACTGCTTGTTTTGCACGCCAGTCTGGTTGCTACGCACACGCTCAACGAGGAGTTTCTTGTCTTCCTCGCTGAAGCACTTTGCACGCATGGGAGAATCGGGCATCCATACGAGCACAACCACTCCCCAAAGAACGGAAAATGCACCGTAGGCAATGAAGATTGCTTGCCAGGACTTCAAAGGTGATGGTGGCGACTTGATGAGCGAGAAGCAGTAGGCCAACAGCCCTCCGACAATTTGCTGGGCTCCATTCATCATGTACCAGTACGAGACGGTCGCCGCTTGTTCTTCGCGCTTATACCACATCGATGACAGGTACACAAACGCAGGCTGACATACTGCCTCCAAGATTCCGAGAATTGTTCGAAGAATGACCAATGCCGTGAAGTTCTTGGCTATGGAATGAAGGGCCAGGACCATACCCCACAGTATGATGGAAATACCGAGATACTTGGCGATCGGAAGACGCTGGATGAGGAGATTTGTTGGATATTCCACGACGAGAATGGCAATATAGATACATGTTGTCAACCAAGGAAACTGCAATGTGTTAGGTTATTTCTATAATCAGTTGTAAGAATCACAAACCTGCGTTTCAGATATGTGGGCATCTTGCTTGACTCCCATAATAATAGTGAAACTCATGGTTCCCTTATCGATGGCCTGGAGAAAGTACGTGAAGATCATAATGCTAAGCACCCGCTTATCCACCATCATCTTCAAGCGTTTGTTCTCTTCGGGCGAGATCACCACGGCGGTAGTGCTAGCATATTTGGCGACTTCAGCGTCAACTCGATCATAGTTCATGTGTTCTTTGATCAAGTCATCGTTGCCGTGCTCAATGTGCTGGGGGTCGAGCGATTTTGATGGAGAAATCTTCTCGTCGGCCATTGTGATGATAATTGAAGCGAAGTCTATCCCGGGATTGAAAAATAGCTGTCAACACTTGTAAGAGAGAATAGTTGGAGAGATGTTGGTGTTTAGTACTATTAGTAGTCGTTCCCCAGATTGCGGATTGGGGTAGAATCCACCCCCGCGCCCCCTCACATGCGGTGTACTGTACCTGGTCCGCTACGGGGAGTTTGTTCATGGACAGGGTACGAAGCTATAGTGCGTCAAAAGTATATGGAATATCTTGCTCTTCCAGGGTTGTTAGACCACGGATTAATGTTGCCAGGTCAAGCCTAGCGTAAGCACGTTCTATAAACCGCTTACAGGGAACATACCACTCTTATAATTAGACCAGTCGTCAGTATCTATTACTTAGGTTATCTTTACTTTGACTTTATCTACTCATAACTACTACTTTCGAGTTGGTTTATTCGTAAACTTATGGTCCTAATAGAATATATTTAAGCTTGGACTGCGACACGGTTAATATAGCAATATAACAATTTTACTACAACTTGAACTATATGATTACCTTACCTAGGTTGGTACTCTTAACAACTTTGATGTTCATATAAATCCTACAAATACTACTTTTAATGATAAAATATATTAAAATATACTATTATAATAATTGTACTAGTACGCTGGTATAGGGCGCCGATACTAGTAAAAATACACCAATACACTAATTAACATTAATTGCTATTAATATTATATAAGAGCTAATAAATGTTAATACATCAGAGCTATGGTTTTCTGACTATTCCCCATGGTATGTTTTAGCAATGGCCACACCACTACAATGGTCGGACAGGGGGTTTACAACACATGCCGGGGCGGAATTGAGGGGCCCCGGACCTAAGCTCCTCAACCTCGCAAGCGTTACTCGAGTAGAGATCTACCGAGGCGACGACGGTGGCCAAAGTGGACTATTCGGAGCAACGATGACCGAGCATGTAAAACTATAACCCACCAATAAACACGACACAATGCCATGTTGGTTGAAGAACTTCAATCCTTGTACGCGACGTACTCGGAAATATAATAAATTTCTAGGCTTTGAAAATTGTCTGAGTGCGTTCAATTATTGAGAAATTGTCATCATGCCTCTCGTTGCCCACGCCATTGCAGCTCAGGATGTTCATAAATCCGTGGAGAGCCTGATACACCATCTCGTCAACGATAAAGACGAGACTGGCGAATTCCTATTGAAATTGGACGATGGGAGGGTGATTGATACAAAAGGGTGGGCTGGTTGGGAATGGACTCATGGAGTTGGGCTTTATGGCCTCTGGAAATACCACACGCTTACGGGTAATGATGAGACGCTGGCGATCATTGAAGATTGGTTCGCCGCTCGATTTGCCGAGGGAGGAACAACGAAGAATATCAATACTGTTGCTGCTATGCTCACGCTCGCTTATGTGTATGAGAAAACGGGCAACAAGACATATTTGCCATGGTTGGAGAGCTGGGCAGATTGGGCAATGTACGATCTTCCTCGGACAAAGTACGGAGGAATGTCCCATCAAACCTATAACGCTATCAACGCTCAAGAGCTCTGGGATGATACCCTGATGATGACCGTTCTCCCTCTGGCCAAGATCGGAATCCTGCTAAATCGACCAGCATATGTCGACGAGGCTAAGCGGCAGTTTCTGCTCCATATTCAATATCTGTTTGATCGAAAAACGGGGCTGTGGTTCCACGGATGGACATTTTCAGATGGCGGGCACAACTTTGCCCAAGGATTATGGGCGCGTGGTAACTCGTGGATCACGATCGCCATACCGGAGATGTTGGAGCTTCTGGATCTGCCGTCTAACGACGCATTCCGTGTGCACCTTCTCGACACACTAGAAGCTCAATGCCAGGCACTTCTCAAATATCAAGAGCCTAGTGGTTTGTGGAGAACTCTTTTGGATCAGCCCGTGAGTGAAGGCTCATACGTTGAAAGCTCTGCTACTGCAGGTTTTGCATACGGAATGTTGAAAGGCTTGAGGATGCGATATATCAAGGGTGACGAGTACAGAGATTCAGCAGTAAAGGCGGTGACCGCTGTTTTGGAAAAGATTGATGAGAGAGGCGAGCTGCTTGATGTAAGCTTTGGAACAGGCATGGGTCATACGTTACAGCATTATAAGGATATCCCCCTGACGAGCATGCCATATGGGCAGGCCATGGCAATCATGGTACTTGGCGAGTTCTTAAGGGTATTTATATAAAATAGAAAGAAAGAAACCCAACATCTCCAAAGTTTTACGTGGTTAAAGTTACTTTACTCTTTCGTCTTTCATCTACTGCATACAAATTTCTGCGTAGCGGAGGCCGCCTCGCCCACACTCAACTCATCCCTCCACCGTCGATGTCTCCTGAACCGATCGAGATGGCATCTTAATCGTCCACCACAGCGGACCAAGAGTCGCTGCTTCAACGCCCCCATTCCCCAGCCGATATCGAAGCAAGTTACAACAGCATATCAAAAGCCCGAAATGATGACGAGGGGGCGTCACTTAGCAACAACAACCCGCCCGACCGGTTGGTGGAGAATGATATCCTTCCAGAGATACCGTGCCAGGCCGCAATACGGGATGGAGCAGTGTATACATCTTGATTCTGTCTCATGTTTATAGGTAGCGGTATCTTTGCGACTCCAGGTGCAATTATGCGGTTAGTAGGGAGTGTGGGAACAGCATTGTTGCTCTAGATAGCGATCGCTCTGATATTCTGGTTGGGTGTGTAAATTGGGTTAGAGTATGGATGCATGCTGCTAAGATCTAGGGTGAGCATTTCTCTATGATGTGCGATATGAAATAGTACTGAGAATACAAAAGGGATAAGTTTATCTCGAGTCCGTCTACCGACATCCGCTGTTTTTGGCTTCTGTTCCTGTTCTTATCCCAGTCAAGTCCGTACTTCTTGGATTTACAGCCTTCAACTGTATTGTGTTCGGTGAGTACGTTTTGTATGCTTTAAACAGATAACCGTCCCAGTTCGAAGGGAAAGTTCTTGCTCTTGGATTATCACCGTCACCATTGTTATCCACAGCTGCTTTCTTAAGCCAGAAATCTTTATACAATACCCATCTTCATAACCTTACAAGTCTATTCATGATTATATTCTGTTCAATGAGCGAATAGAGAGCGTTATTCCGTTTAAAACCAACGGTAGTTAATCGGGGATGGTTCTGTGTTGAACTGGGGAATTATCCCAACTGCCATGTTCAAGGTTTCCTACTCTTATGCCGGCCCTTCCAACGGCAACAATGTCCTCAATAAAGTGAAAGAACCCGGTCATGTAATTGTTTTATCGAACTTACTTTTTGGGGACATCCTGACATGGAACAGGCTCGAGTTGTGCAAGAGATAGCGCGAGAAGGATTTATTCCCTCCTTACATTTCGTCTCTTTCTCAAAACCATTCGGAGCACCAATATGAGCTCTAACTACTCATTACACTCCTTCTTTCTTGGTTATTAGTATTCCTGATACAGTTGTCTATTCCTTTATTCCACACGTTGGAGGTTATCCAGGACGGTTCCTTCTCTGTAGCAGGCTCCCTTAGCTTACTATAGCCTCGATACAAGAGACTAGATTTGCATACCCCATATAAGGCGTCTCTTCCGACAGTTGCGTTCAGATTCTGCACTCGATTGAGATTATATTTGCACCATTTGCACCACGCGAAGGCTTGAATTGGAAACAACATCTCTCTGACGTCAGTTACGTCTTTGTAGGGACTGGTACGTAAGCTAGCCATTAAAATGTCCAAACTCACAGCTAAATTAGTGTATACTATTTTGTTTAGCATCGATATTGGTATGTTTTGGCCAATATCGACGAATAATCTAGCCCTGCTACTAGGAAGAGTTCCAATGCTTGCTCAAACCTAACATATAAACTAGGGCTTGCTTTCTCTAGTACCTCGTATGGCCTAGGGGTATTTAACTGATCGGTAAATACTAATCTCAACTGAATTTCTAGGTAGGTACATCACCGGCTACGTCGAGTGCTGGAATGACAAGAACACCCAATGCGACAAAGTCGGCTCCGTTGGTCACCTACCTGGCAACAGGGATGGTGTACGCTTGAATTGGTACGTACGTACGAAGGTACTTCGTATGTAGGTACTTAGTAGGTAGGTACTTTGTACGAAAGTGAGCACCTTGGTTTAACGACAATAATACTTCACCTGCTAACGAATACTTACTATGTATAGGTAGGCAGCAATGTGGATTGCTGCTCTGACAAAGCTCGGGAAAGAGACTCCTAAGTTGCAAATGCTACCCATCACCTGGATACAGAGCTATGTCCAATGCCGTCCCTAGCAAAGCTCTCTAGTGCGGAGTAGTATGAGTTGGTTATTTGTTACCTTAAATCTACCTTTACACATACTACCTAGGTACACGCCCCGTACCTAGTGTATCATGAAGTACTGCGTATAATGGCCGCTGTTGTCGCGACGCCCTGGCGCAGCTCGTCATTCTCAGCCCGCCTTTCGGGCGTAGGAGTAGCAACGAGAGCGAATGGTCTTGACTCTTGATCTGCGGACGTAGTGAGGAGTGGGGGGGGAAGGGCTTTTGATAGGGGCCAAACAGTAATATGTAGCAGCACCCTTTGGGTGTCTGAATGTGGGCGGCGGCGGCGGCGGCGGTGCATGGGATTGAACATTGATCATTGAACATTGATCATTGAACATTGATCATTGAACATTGATCATTCATTGTTGATTGAGGTAGTTCTGGTGGCGATCAATCGGTTGCCAATAAGCACATGTCCGTGTCCCAAGTAAAGTGCTTACATACATACTGTTATATTGGCGCCAAACACCAGTAAAAATTTGACCGCCTTCTTGCCCCTCCAAAACACGCTATAGCACTTATTTATTAAGGCCCCAGCCCAACGCCCACTCGGAGGCGTTCCCTGTTCACCCTTTATCCACTATCTACCAGCTATTATCCATTATCTATTTATCTATTATCCTTCATCCCACCTCTTCCTGCACCACTTCGTCCCCTCATCCAATCTCACCTACATTCTCACACTCACACTCACACTCACACATCACCATCCACCACTCCCAGACCCCCCATACGCATACACAGCCACTGCTCATAGCGTCCCCTCAACCACCCCCCCACCGTGTGTGTATATGCAGCGACAAGCAGCAGATCGTTGGGCTCGCAAAAGATACTTCGGATAGCTCTGCTGCCGTTTGCATTCTTTTCCCTTTACAATATAATATTATACACCTGGTGAGTGTGAACGGTCCCATTCCTGATTGCATTGCACGTTTCTACATACGTGGGATGGATATACATGCACAGTGCTGGCTGCAATCATGTCTCCGAGAGAAGCGGTGAATTTCGAATTGGATGCCATTCTAGCAGCTGCAAAGGTTATGCAGCCTGCTGCTTGTCATGCATCTCCGCCAAAACAAACAATCTTTGAGGTCTCACGAACTTTAACACCAGAGCATGCTAACAATTCTCTTCTACTCCAGATCAAGCCCACTTTCCGTCTTCCTCACCAGCAGTCTCCAGATCTATCTAGATCGCCAAAATGCACATCTCTGCTATGTTCCCCGAGGCTGGGCAGCCTCGACAGCCCCAATTCTCCTTCGAATTCTTCCCACCGAAGACTGCGCAGGGCGTTCAGAACTTGTACGACCGGATGGACCGCATGCACGGGCTCGGTCCCAGCTTCGTCGATATTACATGGGGAGCAGGAGGACGTCTTGCCTCGCTGACCTGCGAGATGGTGAACGTGGCTCAATCGCAGTATGGATTGGAGACTTGTATGCACCTTACCTGCACTGATATGGGCGAGGACAAAGTTGATGAGGCCCTTAAAAACGCCTACAAGGCCGGCTGCACGAATATCCTCGCCCTCCGCGGTGATCCCCCGCGAGAGGAGGAGAAATGGGTGGCGACGGAAGGTGGATTCCAATATGCGAAGGATCTGGTCAAGCACATTCGAGACGTGTATGGTGACCATTTTGATATCGGCGTTGCCGGGTACCCAGAGGGCTGCGATGACCAGGACGATCCAGAGCTCTTGCTAGAGCACTTAAAGGAGAAGGTTGATGCCGGCGCAACTTTCATCATAACACAGATGTTCTACGATGTGGATAACTTCCTTGCGTGGGTCTTAAAAGTCCGGGCCAAAGGCATCACCGTTCCCATTCTTCCAGGCATTATGCCCATCAATACCTATGCGAGCTTTGTCCGCAGATGCAACCACATGAATGCTACCATTCCCCCAAAATGGAGCCAAGCTTTGGAGGAAGTGAAGAACGATGATGCAGCTGTTCGAAACATCGGAACAGGGTTGGTAGCTGAAATGTGTCGGAAAATCCTTGATTCAGGCCTGATTCATCACCTCCACTTCTATACCATGAACCTCGCTCAGGCCACCCGTATGGTCCTCGACGAGCTGGATCTGGCGCCATCTGAGGAGCGTCCTCTTAAACCAGCCTTGCCTTGGAGAAAGTCCCTTGCCCTGGGCCGCAGGGACGAGGACGTCCGACCTATCTTCTGGAAGCATCGAAATAAATCCTACGTGGCACGGACGCAAGACTGGGATGAATTTCCCAACGGTAGATGGGGTGATTCCAGATCGCCTGCTTTCGGTGAGCTTGACGCATACGGTATCGGCCTGAAGGGCACCAACGAGCAGAATCGCAAGCGCTGGGGCGAACCAGCTTCAATCGAAGATATTGCCGACATATTTGTGAAATATCTTGAGAATGGCGTCGACAGTCTTCCCTGGAGTGAGGCATCTATTACAAGTGAAGCAGATGTCATCAAAGATGACTTGATTGCACTAAACAGGCGAGGACTTCTCACCATCAATTCCCAGCCAGCTATTGATGGTGTTAAATCTTCTCATCCGGTGTATGGATGGGGGCCCAAAAATGGTTACGTGTATCAGAAGGCCTATTTGGAACTTTTGATATCCCCGAAGCTTATCGATGAATTGCTTAGAAGAATTGAGCAAGACCCTGACCTGACATACTACGCCGTCAACAAGGCTGGTGTTCTGAAGACCAACACTCCTGGCGAAGGCCCTAACGCTGTGACTTGGGGGGTCTTCCCGGGCAAGGAGATTGTCCAACCAACCATTGTGGAGACCGTTAGTTTCCTGGCGTGGAAGGATGAGGCTTTCCGTCTGGGATTAGACTGGGCCCACTGCTACTCTGCACTGAGCCCTAGTCGCCAGCTCATCGGAAATATGATGGAGACATGGTACTTGGTCAATATTGGTATGATTCTCTCCCTCATTTTATAAAATGAATCAACTGACCATATTAATAGTTCACAACGACTTCCATCATACTCATGGCATATTCCCACTATTCGACGGACTCTCGGTAGAAGACCTTGAGAAGCCATTCGAGGTTGCGGGTACCAACGGCGTAGAGCCTAGTGGCGTTAACAATGCAGTGCCCAACGGCGTAGGGGACACGCCTTTGACCAACGGCAATACTGGAAATGCTTAGTCCTTAACAAGACTTGATAATTCAACATTCAAATACATGACGACGATGACGATTTCTTTCAACATTTTTTATGCATTTTAGATTGCGTAGAGCGTCGGCGTTTTGGCACGCTTTCAACATGTTCGGCGTTCAAGTGAGCGAATGATCTCAACGATCTCGCTGAATGAGATGGGGGATTGGGCGATTTCAAGGGTGCATACCTTGGGGTGCGGTAGGGTGTCTTTTTCCGAAAGCGAGGCATGAATAGTATGCCCTCAACGGCTTTCCTGCGCGAGATTCAACAGTTTGGCGCTCTTTAGAGTGCTGGTGTTCGGGCAGGCTTCAACAAGTTTGGCGTTTTTAGGCAGATCTCAACGATCTCGCCGGGGTAAAAAGCGTGGGTTTGACATGTCTTCAGACAGTGGATTGGGACCGGTTGGGGGTTATCTTCTGGCAAGAAAGGCCGTCATTATATGCCTTCAACGGCTTGCATCGGGTTAGACAATCTCGAGACGGAAGCGAATTCTTACAATTAGTATGGTATGAATTTGAGAGCAAAATTAGGAATGTCTGTTATTGTGAAGCTACTATTTACAGGTTTCTATTTTACCCAAGGCCCTGATCTTATCTTGGCTTACTCCGCCACTTTCCACACCAATCTTTCACCACTCACTTCCTTCCGTCTCAAGGCATCCAGCGCTGCCTGTGCTCTCTCGAGCAGAGTAGTCCCTTCAACGACACGGTACTTATTTGGCTTGATAATTCCCTCCGCTAGCAAAGTTGGCATAATCTCTGGTTGGAGACGTTCTTTGAATACCTCATTCTACACAGATTTCCAAATTTCGGATTAGCTTTCACGTTTTTTTGTTTCTCATCGATGCTCGTCGGGTGATGCTCTTTGAAACCCAAATCTGGGAAGTGACCCAGAGAAAAGACTTACCTCTAGATAAAAATGTGTTCGCACCCCTCTAACATCGACCCCGTCCGCCCACTCCACCGCCTCCTTGGCATCTAAGGCGTAAATTGGCTCGACCGTCTCACTACCATCCCTCACAATAACCGGCAACAAAACCGCCACCCTGGCCCCTTTCCCCACAAGTTTAGAAATCGGGGTCAAACTACCGTCCTGGCTTCCGATGCAATCTAGCACGAATTTTAAGCCCCCAGAACTAGAAACGGAGTCCAGGATGGAAGGAATGCAATCTGGAGAGCGGTAATCAAAGACTTGCGTAGCACCGAGGGATTTCAGGAGCGTGTTGTGGCTGGGGGATGACGTGGTTATTAGATTGCTGTACCCCCAGTGTCTTAGGATTTGTAGGGCATATTGACCGACGGAGGAAGAACCTCCCCAGATTAGGATGGGTGAGTTGGAGTGTTCTGGTTTGGGCGTGGAGGGGAGGATGGGCCAAGGTAGTGGGATAGAGAGGTCTTTGGTCAGGGCATGAAAGCTGCTGACGACGTTGTTAGGGAGGGTTACAGCTTCTTGAGGAGTGAAACCTTGAGGAATCTGAGGCTAATGTTAGGATATAACCAGGAGCGGTGGGGAAGAGTAAGACCTTTCCAAGGAGGTATTCTGGTACAGTGACGTATTCTTGGTGTGATTTCTCCTTTTGCTCACGCCAGGTGAATCCAAAAACCTATTTATCATCTTCATATCAGCGACTTCTCCTTTCACTCTACTTTCATTCGACGTTCTCCTTCGGAATGGACCATACATATCCATAACCTCACACTCATGGCCCTTTTAACCAAACAAATAACTCACCTTATCACCAACCTGCAACTTCTTCACTCCATCCCCTACCTCCACGACAGTCCCGGAAGTTCCATCTCCCAGCACCTGGGGATGCGTAACCAACAACCCTCCATCATTCTGATGTAAATCCAGCGGCGTGCTCGCTGTCCACTCAACCCTGACAAGGACCTCCCCTGCTCCAGGCGCGACGGTAGGAACTTCAAGGATTTCGAGGGCCCCGCGGATGGAGGCTGTTACCACAGCTTTGTGAGTTTTAGTGGCCATGGTGTGTATATCACTTGAATCAGAAGGAGGAGAAACTCGGATTGGTTGTTTGGAGGTTATAGGAATTGATCGGATAAAGATGTGAGAGTGAGAAATAAACAAAACCTGCCTAAAGAAGGTGCATCTAGGAGCTTATATATACTTGATTTCCTTACAATACCTACCTACCTAATAAGGCACCTTGGGTACCTACAGTGGGGTTTCATAATGTAATTTACAGTAGTATGGCAGTGTTTGATTTACAAGCACTTAATCACGTGATGAATATATTTCGGAGATAGGTAAATGGCTTATTAAGATCCCGAGCAGACCTATTATTAAGGACCGATACTACTTTGTATTACCAAATTAAGTAAAGATATTCTAGTCTCTTAAATTATACCTTGGATCTGCGCGGTGAAGGACGTGGAATGAATTCAAATGATGCTTTGAGGGAAAGACTTCGGTTAATTTGTTGGATTGGTGGAATCCGTCCTCCCAAGCAGGAAGTACTAAACTCTTTAACAATTGAGGCATTTATAAATCAGAACCTAGTGGGCTATTAAAGAATTGGTTTATTCCTTCTAGTAGGGGTTCGTACTACTTCGTTTCAGTCATATGCTCTTAGACAAAAACCTAAGCTATGCGTCTCAGCCACCAATTATGGTCTGACTTAGGGAACCATAAACATGCTGTTTTCTTTTGATCATCAAGTGCCTCGGAAATGCCTTTACAAAATCCCAATATAATAACATCAAATAATATATTTCGATGCGAGCACCACACGCACCGCCAGCTTACAGCTCTGTCTGGCTGGGGGTTGGATTTTCTGTAGTTGTCGCTCCTGGTTTTCGACCATATACAATTACGCTGTACACAAGTGGTGTATTAGCAGATATATTGAGAGCATCCCCCACAATCTTCACATCGTAAGGCAGTAGAATTATAAGGGATGAATGACCCTAGACAAGCCAAGCAGACGGGGACACCTACAACTCATAATAACTATGATCTGGAATATTATTAGCATGGTAATAGCTCAGAGAAAGACGCGCGAGCCAAGACACTTACATCTCATATTTGCTATATCTTTTCTAACTTGCACCAAAAACAACTCTATCTGGTCCCGGGACCATCCATACGCCTTGTTAAACATTCTCAAACTCATGCCGCTTATGCCCCTTAGCAGATTATGCATCTCAAATGCTCCAATAAGCTTTAGCCGTTTTTCTTTCGCCCAGGGTGAGTTTGGCATTTTAAAGCGCCTCTCAGTCACGTCTTCGAACCCAGCGGCAGTTAGATAAGAAGCATACTCGATGCAGGCATCTAGAGGGACTCCCAATCTTTTCTTGGGTGTCAGTTAAGCTGATAGACGAAAGCATTTTGAGCATTGTTGAAATGTGTGGAGAAGTGCTTACATTGACGCGGCTTCCAGAGCATGTCTGCTGTAGGTCATTAAACCACTCTCAGGGGGGCATGAGCCATCATCACAACAAAGTTTGGGATATACACATTGCAATTCGATATAACCGCCTGGCTTGATATGACTGAAATGCAGAAAAGCTTGCATTAGCAGGTTTCCTCATGAAAATAGAAGGATATCTGTACTCAAAAGATTGCTGCACGAGTTTAGGCCAGTCCCGCACGGAGAGAAGTAAATCACGGGCGTGTATGAAATCAAAGCTGTTTGGCTGCAGGGTCCAGGGCAATTCAATGTCATCGATCTCGAAGCGGCAATTTGCAGGTACCCTGATACGTCAGAATGGAGTTTTAAGGAGAGATCCTGGCTCCAGTGTCTCTTCAGGTCTTACCAGTGAGGTTGAACGGGAGCAATATCCAGACCCAAGACCTGTTAATTAGCTTAAGTTAAAGGGGAAGATATAAGAATAGAGTAGAGGGTCAATTTACCTCGGCAGAAGGATAATTATCTGCCATCTGCAGAATTAAAAATTATTTAGCAAGCGATCTAGTCAAAGGGGGACTCGCCCACATTTATTGCCCAGATTCCCGTCCCTGTTCCCAGGTCCAGTATTTTCTGTGGCTGCGGTCCAATGGGGGCGAGGAATAGCCTCTTTTCTAGAAGCATCACATATTTCGCATGCGACATATCTATCCTATCCAGCTCCTCTTCATCAATCGGCAAACCATACTCTGCAGCAAAAACGCACCATAATCAGCCAACGAGCTAGGGGCGTGTCGATATACAGATCAGACTTGCCTTCGTTTCCGTAGGCTGCATACGTTCTACCATGCTCTTCTACCCCCCGGGCAATCGAAGATGCGAGGGTTTCGGTCAAGCTCCCAGCGCTGTATTTAGTCAATATGAAAAACATAGGAGATGACGAGGCTTTTGGAGACCCGAGGGGTCCTTACGAGGAGCCTGCATAAGCTGAATCGGTATCAAAGCCCTGGGTGAGGCATCAGCATGCTGTACATTTGTTCCGCCCTACTACCAATGGAAACGAAGATCTCTGAAATACACGCAAAGTGGGGCAGGACGGACATCAGAACTCTCCGCCTCAATAACGTCGTACTCATACATGGCCGGCGTCGGAAGCATTTTATGATTTTAATAATGCACCAGGAATTGGGCTCGCAATGGAATGTCGCCGGAGTGGTCCTCGACTCCTCGGCACCTCGTGACGATTGACCGGAATCGACCGGCGAACAACGACACGAAGCGCACACAAATCAAGAGCAGGCTATCTATGGCGTTAGAATAAAAAGATCAGGATCGATCATCGATGCAAGAGGGGATATATATAGGTACTAGGTAGGTAGGTAGATATGGAGTTGGTGATATCCTGTGCGCAAGAGGCCGTTGTAAGAGGTGTTGCAGTTGAATGGGGTTCTGTCGGGTGGGTTATTAGGTTGGGCTGGGCCGGGCTGATGTATTGTAGCTATACGAGGACACGGTGCCTGGGTACATAGGTACGCACACAGAATACATCCTCTCGACTCTAGGATGGAGTACGGAGGACTTGCTCCTACAGACTGGTAACCGTCAAGGAATGCCATCCCATCCCACACCTCACCTCACCCGTCGACCGCGCCTGAGTGTCTAGTTCCATGCCTCGTACCTACCTTTGGAGCATGCTTCCTATGCTCGAGACACTGCATGGAACATACGAGTACCTTCGACGTACATGTATAGTAGCGGTTGGTAGCAACACCCCTGCGGCAGCTGCTAACTCGTGGGATCCGAATATGTCGTACTATGTACTTACTATGTATGTTAGCAAGTACTAGGTACGTACATGTGCATCTACGTGCTGGACGTACTGGACGTACTTTGTAGGGGTTCTTTCAACAGAAGGAACCCATCCCCACGCATACGATAAGGTACTTCGTACTTCGCGCAGTACGTCGCACATGCGAAATATGTGTTCACGACAGCAACTACACTGTAATCGTGCCTGCTGTGCCTCCAACCCTGCACTCGCAGATCCGCTCCCGGGCGCTGCGGCAAGTTGTTTTGCTGCAGAAGCGTGGCACGGGGGGAATTCTCCAGCAGAAGCGAGCGGCGACCGAAGCGCATCGGAAGACTTCGTGCTTTGTCCTTGCCAGAGGCGCTTGGGCTGAAGTGCAAAAGACTAGTGGTATAGTACGAAGTACTGCTTACTGGAGCACTTCGTACTTCGGACTGATTGCGCCTACAGTCCCCTTTTACAGGTCACGGTTCGCACCGCACGGCATCGCGCCGTATCGCACTGACCGCTGCGTGGCTGCTGAAGATTCAGTCTCCAGGGGGGGACTTACTACTGTTTCCCGCTGACGGAGACGAGAATACACTAGTAACTCCACAGCGAGAACATACTTCGTTGGTACGGGCGTGAGAACGAAGTACTACTGCTGCGTATGTTGGTACCGATGTGGCCACTACTGTACTCCCGCATGCACACGGTGAAGAAACCCGCAATCCCGGGGAAGTCGGCTGGGAATAGTGGGTGCTTGATGCTCCCTAGTTCGTCGTGGACTTGTGATGGCTATTCGTGGATGCACCAGTCAAACCACATCATTATTGACCCTCCTCCCTCCCCCACGGCCAGTCTCGCGGACTACACGGGTCCCCCTCCCACCATTCCTAAATCGGGATAGATAGCCTCCTCAGCAATGACCTGATTGAAATATTCACAATGCCACATCTGTCCACCACTCACGGCTACGAACCTCCCCGAGAGCCTGGGACGTCTCCGTTTATGTCTCCAGCTTAGAAACCTGTCTCCTTACACTCCCGGCGAAGTAACGAAGAATATGGGTTCCACGGAATCAGAGCTTGTCCGCAAAGCCGAGGCTCTTCTGGCTGCTGCCAGGAACCTTCAAGAACATCCCAATGAGCGGCATGCCCTGCTGAGACAGGTCGAGCTCTTCCGCCAGGAGTTGGAAGACCCAATGGATGCCATGATAAGGCAATGGACTTCCGTAGGCCGAATCTTCCCAGGTCCTTGATCCACCAAAAGGGGTACTTGCTGACCCGGTCTCATCAATGAGTAGATGAATACAAGTGCTGCAATAAATGTCATGGTCAAAATGGGAGCCTTCGAAAAGATGCCAAAGGATAGGAGCATTACTGCAAACGAGCTTGGTAGCCTAATCAATCTCGATCCATCCATTATAGGTTGGTCACCAGCGCACCTGATCTGAGATTCCCCGTCTTAACATTGTGCAACCCCAATCTAGTGCGCCTCATGCGCATACTTACGGGGACCGGCGTGGTGGCACTCGCGGGAGAGGATACTTATGCTCACACCCCAAAATCCATGACCTATCTCCAGGGTGCAGCCTTTGACTTCTGGAACTTGTGGTAAGTCTTCGAGGCAGCATGGGCTCAAAAGATGACGCACAACCTGATTGGATATCCACAGCATAAACATGAGTTATAGCTATTACCACTGGCCCGAATATTTCAAGACCAAGACATCTGAGGATTTGATCGACCTTCGAAAAACACCATATTCATCCGCATATGGCATGGAAGGCTTGACATTCTACGAGGTCCTTGCCGCCTCGCCGGAGCGTTTGGAGATGTTTAACAAGGCGATGATGCAGCAAGAGGCATCTCTACCAGTCCTTGGCATGTTTCCATTTTCGTCCTTTAAGGCAGAAGTAGAAGCAGAGCCACAGCGAGCCTTCGTAGTCGATATTGGAGGTGGAAGGGGCCAGTCTCTCCTGGGGATCCGGAAGGAAACCTCCAACGCATTTGGAACCGGCTCGAAGATGATATTGCAGGATAAACCCCACGTCTTGGACACTATCTCGCAAGATCTAATCCCTGGTATTGAGAAGATGGCATACGACTTCTATACCGAACAGCCTGTAAAAAGTAAGCCAAGCTTTGCCTCAAGAATATGAAGGCATGGGTAATGCTGACAAAAACACAGATGCACACATATACTATCTCCGCCGCATATTGCACAACTACCAAGACGGTGTTTGCCAGACCATCCTCAAAAATATCGCTGAAGCTATGGGCGCCACCTCTCGTCTTCTCATCGCAGAGCTGGTTGTCCCGGCGACCGCCAAAGTTGGTGAAGACGTAAGTGCTTATTGGATGGATATGGTGATGATCTCTATTGGTGGTAAGGAGAGGAGCGGAAAGGAGTTCAGGGAACTGCTCGACTCGGCCGGGTTGGAGTTCGTCAAGCTTTGGCCTGCTGCGGTGGGTGACCATGCGGTGGTCGAGGCAAAGAGGCGGATGTCATGATGCCGATGCAAGGTTATTAAATGTGATGGGTTCAATTCGCGAAGGCGCTGATTCGTCCAATGTATCCATGTTTTATAACTACCTAGGTATTTATCTGAGAGCGTTGTTCGAGCAAGGTATCTCCAGTGCACCAGCCCCGGAGGTAGTTGATTATGTCATGCTCGGTTACTATCGTAGGTGCTCAAGACTCAAAGTACTAGGTAAGGTAGGATTTTAAAGTTACGCACAACAAAACCTGAACGGAGAACAGAGTGGAATTTAGCCCATAACATACCTAGGTAGCCTTAAATAAATATATGTGAATAAAAAAAATTAACATCTAGACTAGCGCTCACGTTGTCTAGTACCGATGTATGATCACCTGCTTTATGAGGTGCCTTTTGTGCCTGTTCAAGAGTCAGCTCGCTTAAATAAGCTGCCAAGGCCAAACCTTTTGAGCGCAAAATTAAAACAAAAAGGCAAAAACTATATCACAATAAATTGTAATGACCAGAGGGAGGCTCGATCTCCCGACCTTGTCCGTATTCGCAATTGCTCGCTGTTAAGGACACGTGATAACCAACTACACCATCCGGCCTGTTTATTGGAGAGAAGTCGGCTATTTTAAAATATTAACAAGTGTTGTTAGTGGCACAATCTTAGTACGTTCTAGGATGTGACAGTTTTACAGGGACCCGACTTTCGACATCGTGTGTAGGCAACGTCTAGGATCAAGGTATAAAGTAAAGACTGCTTAATACGTGGCGTCTTTGGGTCCTCCTATTTAAATAACCAGAGCTATGGAAAACCAGTTTGGCTTAGATACAAAGTAGATGTACGATTTGGAGGTCCTGCTCCTAAATCCCAAAAGTGAAATATCCCTGCACAGCAGCAACGCTCAATGCAGCAGCACCTTACACCCCTCTGCACTCGTTACCACAATTGTGAGACTCTGTCTCTCCTGGCCCGTCTTCTCCATCTCAATCTGAGGCGGTAATCTTAAGTTTGGAAAGGTCTGAACAATTTTCAAGATGGCATATGACGCTTCTGAGAGCGCAAAGTCCTCTGCAAACATCAGTATGTAAAACTATTTTCATTATATTTATGGAGAAACTTACTACCGAGACAGACCCTCGGCCCACCGTGAAAAGGCATAAAGCCAAATCCGACTTTTCTCTCCAAGTCGGTGTTCTCCCAACGTTCAGGAACAAAATCATTCACATCGGGCCCATACAGGGAAGCCAGGCGATGCATGTGATATGTTGACCAGCCACAGCCAGTCCCTTTACGGATGAGGACCGGGGACTGTCCATCGGGGCCGCCGCCAGAAGGAAGGATGGTTGTTTTGACTGCAACGCGCACATTCACGGGTAGTTGGGGATAGAGGCGATGCGCTAAGGGACAGGTAAGTGACGTGGTGAAAATAAGGGGGCGTACAAATAGAGGGAATATAAACTAGAGACTTACTCTCATTTATGACGCATTTTAGGAACGGTATTTTAGCAATAAAGGCTCGAGTGATCTCTTGCCCGTCAGGGATCACGGAATCAATCTGACTGCGCAGTTTGGCTAGGACTTCTGGGTGTCGGATGAGGAGAAAGCTGTGGATCAATAAGCCTCGGCCCGTCAGGAGGGAGATGTATTTACATTGCCCATGACATTAGACAAGCAGTTGTATCTCTTCCAGCAATGAGAACGTGAACTAGTTGGTCCCGCACCAAAGCCGGATCTTTGAGATCTTCGTAAAGGTCAAGAATGAATGGGTATCTTTCGGATGCTGATTCTTGCCCGTTATTTTCTCTATCCTTTAGGGCTTGTGCAACAAAATGGGCTGCATATTGTTTCACTACTTCGCAAGAAGCCTTGAACTTCTTGGTTTTGTATAGCCAATGGAAGTCCGCCAGTCGTAGTCTAAGGGCAGAAACCATCGACGCATAATCGAAGTTATTTGCAAACGTGTCCTGCGCATCATCTCCAAGAGTCCCGACAGCTTCTCCAAAGATGAGATCAGTGGTTGTAGCGAGGGTGAATTTGAAGAAAAATGGCTGTAGATCTACAATCCCGTCGTCGGCTGCAGAAAGGCCAGAAATCAGGTCGTTGATATGCTCATCGAACACCTTTAGATTCTGATACTGGATTCGTCCAAATTGACGTCGGAGGATCTCTCGGGAATGTCTCCAAGGTCGGCCATCCTGCGTGAAGATTCCCTCTCCAAGCAGCGGGTACAAACCAGGACGTCGTGACCCGAGGCCCCAATCTAAAGGTAAGTCAATTAGCAGCCAAGAATCACTGACGAGCGTGGGTACTAAATACCTTCAAAATGTGTTGATAGGATTGCTTCTATATTCTTCGGATCAATCGTCAGGTATCCATCTTGGCCAAACAGGGCAAGTCTCATGTTCGGTCCGATCTCGTCGAAGTACTGGGACTGGAAAGCCAACAAGCGCTGTGATGGGAGAGCATCATATTGTTTCTTGAGCACGTCCAGCGCAAAAGGCCAGCTGGAGGGTAGCACTGTTTCCATACGCATACAGCCGTGTTTTTGGCCGAACGCCTTATCTTCCTATGGACAGTTAAAGATAAAGCCTGTATGTTACGATAGGGTCCCGGAAACTCACTTCATATTCCCGCCTGGTTTGGATGAAATTGTAGATGAAGAAGGCTATCACCAGAGTCGCAATACCGAGAGAAAGGCTTCCAACCTCGCCTGCAATGGCTGCGGCACCCAAACTAGGCACTACAGGAACGCCCATCAGCACCGAAATTTAGTAGAAGCTGCCCAACGCAATGAAAAGTATAGAAACCAAAAAAATCACAGCTCCAGGACGTTCTTGGGGGCTCCAGTCTACAGATCTCACGACGAGACAATCCGGCCTCAGTTGCTAAGCGCTTGACTATACGCAAATGGCCGTTGGATTGGTACAGTAGCGCCGGCCGCAATGGCGCCTGCATAAGGTGTGGCATCATCCGGCAGACCAACCAACATTTGGGAAACGGATGCTACCAATGGTTAAATCACCATGAAACATCCCGCCCAGCTGATCCAGCCTGATCCGATGGCGACGAGAAGCGTCATCCCTAACCAACGTGATACAGAGCCTGTCAGTTCTGCCTTTGCATACCTTGATCAAAATCCCATCGTGGATATATGTTCGTTTTGCAAGTCGCCATCTTCCATTTGCACGCTCAAAGACCCTGCGACAAGGCTAGAAAATACTCTGGAGTGAAGACCCCGCCAAGGCGTTTGCCTATTGAGTCAGTCGATGCGATCGATACCATGCCTGCGGTGTCGAGATTACGATCCATGTTGAGGCTTAACATATCCTAGTTGGCAGCCATATCAAAATGGCGGACCCGTTCTCAATCACCGCTGCGAGCGCTGGGCTGATCGAGATACTGTGGAACTGTAGCGGCTACGTCAAAAAGATTCTCGAGTCGGCTGGGAAGATCGATGAAACCATCTTCGGTCTGGACCATGAAATAGGTGCACTTATCTCGGTCAACAAATCTCTAGAGGAAGCATACAACGCAGAGAATATTAAGTTTCCTGGCACATCTTTGGTAGAAAAAGCTCGCGTCGAAAGTCTGTGGCACAATGTTGGGACACTATTGCAAGACTGCCAAAAGACGGTAGAGGAATTGGCGGAACTGTTATCGGAAGTTAGTGGCACAGCATCATCTGCCACCTCAAAGCTTGGTGGGAAGATAGACAATTTGAAGAAATCCATTCGAATGGACATCAAGGATGACGAATTTAAGAAGATACGGTTGAGGCTGGTGAACTACCAAAATAGTCTCCAGGTCTTACTAACTGCGCTCACTCTGTATGGTGATATCTATCGGATTCATGCTTGTGCTAATTCGCTACAGTGCTTATACACGGAGTTCCCAAGACTCAACCGATTTATCGCTTGGTTATCTTTCTCAAGAGATGCAAACGATAGGGTTCAAGCTTCAATCCCAGATAGCTTCTCTGCGACCAAGGCTAGTCTCTATAGGTAGCACGCACGTAAGTCTCCCAGTGAGGTTGGTGAAGATATTATGCTGACTATATTCAGTTCCTCGACGCTATTAATTCTGCAGCTGCGGTAGCCAACCTTGTATCAATCAACAAGCACTTCTACATCCCACAAACTGTTAGCAGTATATTCACCGGTAGACAACAATTGTTGGCGGACCTGCAGGGGTATTTCGACGTCTTTGGAGAATCTACAAAGCCCACGAGTATTCAGAAGCGGTTCATTGTTTATGGTCTTGGTGGATCTGGCAAGACGCAATTCTGCTGCAAATTCGCACAGCACAATCGGCAAAAGTGAGTGAAGATCCTATATTCTTTGCTCAGACCTAATCTAGATTAGTTTTTGGGGTATATTTTGCATTGATGCGACGTCTCCTGAGACCGCCGAGCATTCATTCTCGAAGATACTCAAAATCGGAAAAGTCGAGCCCAGTGAAGGATCTAGTCAGCGTGCTGCGAAAGATTGGCTGTCGAGTCTTGACCACCCATGGCTTCTTACTATTGACAACGCTGATGACCCATCTCATCCCCTCGAGGACTATTTCCCCGACGGCGAACGCGGATATATTCTTGTTACCACCCGGGACCCAACGAAGAAAGTACACGGGACAGTAGGCCCGAAGTTCTACCACTTTGAGCAGCTGGAGACAGACGAGGCAAATAATCTACTCTTAAAGGCAGCTTGCCAGCCTACACCATGGGATCTTTCAATCATAAAATCTGCCGACTCCATCGCCGCCGCCCTTGGCTTTCTACCTCTTGCATTAGTCCAGGCCGGCAGAGCCATCATGAATGGTATATGTTCGTTAGCAAATTACACCGACCATTACCACATGAGCTGGCAGCGGATTCGGCATGCTCGAAGGAACTCTCGTTACAAGGGGAACGAGACTACGAACTGGAATGTCTACTCAAGCTACGAAATCAATTTAAAAAATCTGGAGGAGTCAAACGACGAAGAAGCTCTGGATGCAGTAGAACTCCTGAAAATGTTCTCCTGCTTCCATTGTGAAAATATCCGCATTGATTTCCTCATCACTGCTGCAGTCAATCCAGCAGTCGAGCGAGAGCAACGACAAAAGGATCAAGAGGAGGAAGCTCGAATGAAGTTACTTGCCAGAGAGCAGACATGGAAGGAATACTTTAGAGATACGATCTTCGGAATTTTCGAATTTGTTACAAGGGATCGAGGCCCTGCTATCCTCCCTGGAGTACTACGAGATGAAAGACATGCATCCCTGTTTGACGAGCTACGTTTACGGTATGCCTTAGGGAGACTCTGTCGCATGTCCTTGATCACTCACCACGAGTCATCAGACATATACTCGATGCATCCGTTGGTGCACACGTGGGTACGGGAGCGGCCTGAGATGAGCATCACAGAGGGAGCACTCTGGTGCCAAGCTGCTACAACCGCTCTAGCACAATCTATTCTTCTACCTCCACACGGTTCTTCTGAGAAAGAAGAAGACATGCGTAGGAGTCTCTTACCGCATATCAACCACGTTCGAAAATGTCAGATGGACATCAGTCTGAAGATAGCCAACCATCGGAAAGGACGAAAATTTACTTGGATGCCAGCCCTCACGAGTGGGTTTGGAAGACGACAGGCCCTGGAATTCGCAAAATTCAGTCGGGTTTATCAGGAATGCGGTTTATGGAATGAGGCAGAAGAACTTCAGGTCGCGGTGAAAGTCTTCATTTGCGACAAGTTGGGCAACGAGCATCCTGCCGCCATCGCCATAATGTTATTCCTCTCGGCTACCTATTGGAACCAGGCTCGTACGAACGAAGCAGCAGAACTTCAAGAACAGGTTTACCGAGCTTGTCTAAAATCTCTAGGTCCCGATCACCCAAGGACGCTCAAAGTCATGGACACGTTGGGTTCCAGTAAATGTTTTCAAGGGAGGTATAAGGACTCGCTACAGCTTCACGAGAAGGCAATTGAGGGAATGAAAAAAACGCCATTAGCCAAGGAGGAAGATCTGTACATTGCAATGGGAAACCTAGGCCGAATTTTATGGAGGTATTTCCGTTACGGGGAGGCGAAGGATGCACATACACAAGCTCTACAGGGCCTCAGAAGAATATTAGGACCTACTCATCTCCAAACTCTGACCGCCATGGAAGATCTCGCCATGTCATATCTCGATTGTGGAGAAGAGTGGCTGGAGCGTGCACATGACCTCATGATCGAGGTCCTTTCGCAACGAGAGTTTAGGCTAGGTAAAGAACAACCGTTCACCCTTCTAGCGATCTGCAATCTTGCTCGAGTAAAGAGTGCCATGGACCAGACTGCCGAAGCAGAAGAATTGTTTCGAGATGCTATACCCATCGCGGAACGGAGTCTAGGCATGAACCATTTTGGAACACTCTCTGGGAAGGCCCACTTTGCACGGGTGCTCGTCCGGCAGAAGCGGTATGATGAGGCGGAAGAGATATTTATCAAGGTTGTTGAGAAGCAGAGGTATGCGAGTGCGGCTCGAGAGGATGGTGATCACCCTGATCGGATATTCGCACTGTGGTATTTAGTCGAATGCTATGCGTTGCATGGGAAGGTGGATGATGCACTTGAGCGAGTTGACGAACTCGACGAGATCGTTGCTACAATTGGTGGGGAGGGACTTGGGAAGTTACATCCAATTCAGAAGAGACTGGCTGTGAAGCGAGGCGAGTTGGAACGTGCCCAAGGAGGAATTGTTGGTGAGCAAGCAATCTGAGAGAACGAGAGAAGTGATATGCACTGTTCCGCAAAACCCACCTACTAGTATGAAGTGTGTACTAGTCCCTGTTTTGCTCTACTAGAGTAAGTACATACTAAATAATAAATATAAAAATTGTACAATGGATGGACCAGCAGTCTCTTGTAGTTCGCCAGTGGGTAAATAGACCACTGCAAGCGCGGGTGCTATGTAGCAATACTAAACGCCAAATTCCTATTCCTAACGAAGCCACAAGCCTAGAAACCTACTTTGGGCGATCTACTTTTGCAAATTTTGCTCATATTTCGAGGTATAACACTATAGCGTACTGGTCCGGGGTAGGTATCATCCAAATAAATCAAATCAGATATTTAATTGCTAACTTAACTACTTGCAAGTATTCAGTTATCCGAAGCGGTATTACGGCAAGTCAGCAGCACCCCCCTCCGAATCAAAGGCCGCTCTCTATAAGTGAAGATAATTCTCTTTAATATAATACATTAAAACCGTCTGTTTCCCACGGCACCGGCCATTCGGCTTAGCTAGACGTTTTCGACGTTCTAGTTTGTGAGATGGAGAACCTCGGACTCAACTTCCGAATATCAGAGTAACTATCCAACGTAAAAGTGCGTGTTTCTACGCATGCAAAGGTAATTCCAAGTCACAAACGCTTTAAAGTTGCTTTGGACCTGGGTGATTTGACTATGAAAAGGGCTTCGCAGTTATGCCGTGTTACTTTCTTACCAATAGCTTTACAGAAATATTATTGAGCAACTAGAAATGCAACATCGTTAATTCGGTACATCTCCTATTGCGATGCGCCGAACCCCTATTTCTACAAGCGAGGAATCGGCAGCAGCTTTGGGGGCCGGAGGCGTACGAGTGGAAGGAGCCCAAGCTCGGGCACAACAATACCCTCCTAGCTTTCCGTATCTCGATAGGTATTCTACGTGATCGCTATAATTTTATAATGAATAAACAACAAAATCAACCGATCTAGCAGATACTTACTCAGGGGCATCCTCCTCGTGGGCTGGCTCCGACGCCCCTGAGAGCCCCTCTCATAGCACCCTCACGCCAGGCCAGAATTTTCGCTAACCCCCTTACCAACTTGCAGCTTGCAACTTGCCACTTGCAACTTGCAAGTCCTCTCGAGCAATGTGTACGGAGCACTCCGTACGAAGTATGGGCATTCGACTAAGCAATTTGTTCCTGAACAAGCATTCGAGCCCTCGGTCGTCTACCCATTGGCCTTAGTATTACTTTGTAGTGAAGTTGGTGGGGTATGGGCAGTGTGGGAGAGGGGGGCAGCCTAGCGCCAACAGGTGTTGGTTTATCGGGTCCGGCTGTGATATGATATGTTTAGTTTCTAGCAGCGATGCGAGCAGTCTTAATCGTCTTTTTTTTGTTGAGAGCGATTTGTTGATTTTTACAATTAACTGCTCTTTCGTGGAAAAACGGCTGGCGATACTTCGTCATCGTACCTACTTACTCATCAACGTCAGCGGCGGTGGCGCATTGGATGCAGCTGTGGTGCCTGGTGAACGATTAATAATTGGCTGATTGATCATTTGGATAAACAAAATAAAATAAAAATACGAAGTGCTAGTACGAAGTAATCATCATTGCAAAAGCAAAAGATTACATTAGCTCACTCACCAGAAATAGGTGGAATACTGCAGCTCGAGTAGAGTGTAGAGCACCCAGGTACTGTAGTATGTAACTGTACCCAGCGCTTCGCACTTTCGTGCTGTACTCGGTATTAATAACATTGGAGAGGTACACGGTACTTTGTACTTCGTACTCCCCTACTGGAGATTGGAGTACTACCTAGGTACTAGGTACCTTGCGTCTGGCCCCTAGAACGAACCCCTATCTCCCCCATCCAGTGCTACGTATGGGCACCGCGTACTAGGCATACGTACTACGCGCCTACCGGACGATTACTTGCTATACTCCGGTAGCCTCGTCATTTGAGGAGCTTCCCGCTGCCTTGCGCAAAGCAACTCAACTGTCCCAAAATACAACGTACCTCCCCATCCCTCGCCGCCAAAAGAACTGAACACCCTGCAGACAGCCATCTTCTGCTTGCACTCCCCAATCTACTTATACGGACCATCTCTCCGTTCGCCACTTTTCGACTCCCGAAGTGTCCTGTTCTGCCCCTCCCGTTCCAATATCAAAATCACTTCGAGCCTAATTGTTCCCCTCGCCTCCTCTTCCCGCCGTCATTCGTGTCTCAGTACATACCTGAGTAAGCTTGCAAAATGTCTGTCGATTCCTGTTGTCCTCATCGTGCTGGTAACTGACATGTCCTCCGTTGTAGGCGCATCACCCTCACCATAACTGCACCCACCCACGATGATGCTGATCTGCTTACCCTGGAAATTCCCAGAGATATCACGGTCAGCGTGCTGAAGGAATCTGTGCAGGCCGAGTCAACGATCCCGGCGGCCTCTCAGCACCTCTACCATAACGGCCAGCTGCTCAACGATGACTCGAAAACAATGGAGGAGCTCCAGATCGGAGACGGGGAGATGCTGGCCTTGCACGTTCGGGACATGGCGCGAGCAACTCAACCACAACCCCAGCCAGCACGCCAACAACCAAATCAGCAGTCAAGAGGCGGACAGGGCTATCCAGACCCAGAAACACTCCGGTTACAACTGCTGGGCGATCCGTTGATGAGACAGCAGGCGGCAAACCAACGGCCAGAGCTTGCGGCAGCGTTGGAGAGCCCCGAGAGGTTCGCCCAGCTATTTCGCCAGATGCAAGACAACGAGCGAGAAGAACAGGCCAGGCGGAGACAGCAAATTGAGGATTTAAATGCGGATCCATTTGACATCGACGCCCAAACGAGGATTGCAGAGATGATTCGAGAGGAGCGTGTCCAGGAAAATCTCCAAAATGCTATCGAGCACAATCCAGAAGGTAAACGGTCGGTTAAATTCAGCTCAAAGCATGGGGGCTAATGGAAACAGTATTCGGCCGAGTCCATATGCTATATATCGATGTTCAGGTTAATGGCCACGACGTGAAGGCGTTTGTCGACTCCGGAGCCCAGACGACAATTATGTCTCCCTCCTGCGCCGAATCTTGCGGGATAATGAGGCTGGTAGACAAGCGGTTCGCAGGTGTTGCCCATGGCGTGGGAACGGCCGCAATCCTTGGACGAGTGCACTCGGCTCAGATCAAAATTGGCAGCTTGTTCTTGCCCTGTAGTTTCACGGTTATGGAAGGAAAAGATGTGGATTTGCTATTAGGCCTGGACATGCTGAAGCGCCACCAAGCTTGTATAGATCTTTCCAGAGACAAGCTTGTCATTCAGGGCGTGGAGGTTCCCTTTCTCGGTGAGGCTAACATCCCAAAGCGTATGGAGGAGGAGAGGGCCCAGGAGCCCAAAGTGGCTGGGCCAGGTGGGACTACAATCGGAGGACAAACAGGAACAGTCTCTGGGCCATCCAGCCAACAAGTACCGGCCACGCCTTCTCCTGCGCCTGCTCCTGCATCTGTGCCTGCCCCTGCGCCTGCTACCCAGCCTCAGCAACCGTCATACCCCGCGGAATCAATCGATCAGCTTGTGGCATTGGGATTTTCACGGGAAGAAGCCGTCAACGCTCTTGCTGCATGTGGCGGCAACGTAGAATTTGCCGCGGGCTTGTTATTCCAGGGTTGATGTAGCAGGGGAAATATTGGCGTAACTGTGATATCGGTCTATAGATAGCGCAAGGAAGCAGGCGAGAAGGAGTATTACATGAATGGATGGGATAAATAGGAGCTACATTGCTTCTTTACTGATACACCTGTCGTAGCCTTTGATAGCATAGCTATTAAATTTACCTTATGGCATATGATAAATGGCGGACCTTATCCTGAAGCCGACGACCAATATCATGAAATTGCCACTCGAGATGAAGCATTTGAACTGTGATTATTTGAGGCCACCTTCGTCTACCTCAACTTATAAACACATGGCTTTAGCACTGCTGCTTCACTCGACACCGGGGTTTCCTCCTCTGTATCAATGAACTTGGCCTTTGGCTTCCTCTTCCAAGTCTCCACGCCGGCGTCAGCCATCCCCTTGGGTTCTGGAACGCATTTACCCTTGATAGGGGTCAGGCCCTTCACAAACTGCATCCTCACAAACATCTTGTTGCTCAAGTCTATCGCGCCCTCGCCATTCGAGTCGACTCCCTTCAACATGAAGCCACGCTTCCTCAGCACTTCGACGAATGCACTAACATCTGTTTCTTGCTTCGCATCTTCATTCCCATCAACCTCTACCACCAGCGCGGCATCATCCTGGATCGCCTCCTCATCCTCTCGCTTCCTCCTATCTTTCTTGCTTGGTACCACTGCTTTCTTCTGCCTATTCCCAACACTATGTTCCACTCTGCCTTTATTCCCCACCCGCCCAAAACGGCTCTTGATCTCCGCAACCCACAGTTCGCCTTTCCATCTCAGGACCCGGAATGCTTCTTCAATGAAATCAATCCAGTTCGTGCCCATCAGCGCGAGGCAGAACACGGCAATATCTATGCTGCCATCTGATAATGGCAAGTCCGAGATATCGGCGCGGGTGACGAGTCGGCTGGGGGAGTAGAGATCAAAAGAGTGAAGTTTCAAATGTAGCTTCTTGGAATCTTTTTGCAAAGAAGCTGATAGGGCTGCATCACCACAGCCTAGGTCTGCAATGTGGCATGTCCCCTCCGTTCTCGGTAATGGAATAGTAGCTACTTCAGTGCTTGCTTCGGAGCCAGCTTTTTGTCGAGGTGGTCCCCGGATCTTGCCTCTAGCTTTTATTATGCGGATGTATCCATCTACCGGATTTTCGGGCCATACTTCAACTTGTCGCCGAAATCCCTCGTGGTATTCTGTGAACATTTCCGGGTTTTGTTCGAATAGAGAGAGGGAATGAGCCGAGGGCGTAGTGTAAAGGGTCTGGTTAAGATGTCGGAAGCGGGCTGAGATGAGTTTTTGTCGCATGGATGCTTGAAGAGGCGTGAGTTGTGGAGTGGGTTTGGTGACCGATGGTGCTTTTCCCTGACCAGCTGTTTTCTCGACTTTTGAGGCTTCAGGCTCGCCTTGACCGGGTTCCGTTGCCTGGCTCAAGGCCAATTTCTTCTCGCGTCTCTTTTCTTTCAAAGTCTTCTTCTTGATCCTAGGCTTGGGTGCAGCGCCCACGCCTTCATCGCCCTCTCCTTTCCCCTCAGCTCCACCATCTGAAATCCTCTGGCGTTTCTCAGCAGGTTCCTTGTCTTTCGGCTTCTCCTTGCCCTCAATCACCGTCTCCCACAGATCTGCCACATTAGAAGCATTCACGGTGTTAATCTTTGATTTGCCGCCACTGCGTTTGCGTTTCTTCCCGGCATTGGGGGTGGCTTCGCTGCTCTGGTCCGGTGTCGAGGCATTGTTGTCTTTCTTCGGCGCAGAATCTGTTTCTAGAGTTTGGGTCCGTAACTGGCTTGAGGACACCGACCAGCCTGGAACAGCAAACATGGCGATTGTGGTGGAGCTCAAGAGCGTGATGAGGGCAGAGTCGCGAGGCTGTACTCTGTTCTGGTGTCTTAAATTTTATTATTTATATTTTTGCGGAGGGCGGGAGGGGCCGTTCTGCCCAGTCACAAGCCAGAGAGGCCCGACATCCAAACTCCGTACAATAATCCAGTAAGTCACCTCTCGCGTCACGGTAACACCGTGTACCTTACGTAGCGCTCTTCAACTACAACAACTACGACCATCATGCCCCTTGAGAGGTAACTGGATCAATTCACCTCGCGATGCCGAAGAACAATCGGCCTCCAACCACAGGCTATGCTCGCATTGCCCAGGCAGAGGAGTCGGACGATTCAGACAACGATGACCATGATCTCTCAAACAGTTACCCAACCTTGCATCAAGCCTCTGCTCCACGCTATGCCCCCATCACGCAACCTCGCCCTCACGGTGGCATGTACACAGATGGCATCACATCGCCAACAGTTCCACGAAGACAGCCAAATCGAAGACGAATGGGAAGCACTTCATCGGGGGTGGATATCAAGGCCATAAATGCCCGGCTAGAAAGATGGGCAGATGAAATCGCTTCCAAGTTCAAGATCCACAAAGTCAAGGGCAAGACAGCTGAAGAGGAGAAATTGGAAATACACCATTCAGTCTTTCAGGCCCCCGAGGGCGTACGGCCCGCAACCGCTGAAACCCTCGCCTCGGATGTCGACAATGGCCGGATGATGGATTCGGAATTCGACTCCATAGTTGAGAGTGTTAGAGTTGCCATCGAGCAGGGTATACATCCGTTAATGATCTCTCAAGGGAGCTCTGGCAGTTACTTTGCCAGGAACAGTGATGGAAAAGTAGTCGGGGTCTTCAAGCCCAAGGACGAGGAACCATACGCAGCGGGGAATCCGAAATGGAATAAATGGATACACCGCAATCTCTTTCCGTGCTTTTTTGGGCGGGCGTGCCTGATCCCTAATCTGAGCTATGTCTCTGAAGCCGCGGCATACACATTGGATTGCAGGCTACGTACGGACCTCGTTCCATACACAGGTATAGTGCACCTCTCCTCGAAATCTTTCCATTACGATTTCTGGGCTCGGAGAAGTTTCTACAGGAAGAAAAGGGCTCTGCCACCAAAAGTTGGGAGCTTCCAGGTATTTCTAAAAGGATACAAAGACGCGAATATTTTCTTGCGGGAGAACCCTTGGCCGGATCACTCCACGGGGCCATATAGACCTAGCGACCCGCGGAAAAAAGGCAAAAGTTGGAGGAAGACCTGTAGGCCTATCGGCTCTCACTCGGACGATGAGGATGACGAGGAAGAGGTTCCAATGGCACCCGCATCTGTGGGGGGCCATAGTAGACAGTTTATGTGGACGGATGCGTTACAACAATCTTTCCGGGAAGAGCTTGAGAAACTTGTCGTTTTGGACTATATAATGCGCAATACAGACAGAGGTTTAGATAACTGGATGATCAAGGTGGACTACGATACTCAAAATGTGTCCATTGTGTCGAAGCCTCCCCAGCTTGATGGCGACCATGACGAACCGTCGCCTCGTTTGGTGCCAACGTCGAATGTTAGCCCGCCAGAATCGCGCCCCTATAGAGTACAGCAGCCGATGGAGGCCACCAGCAGATCAGTTACGCCGTCCCAGCTGGCCGAGCCGATGATCTCAATCGGCGCCATCGACAACAGTCTCTCATGGCCGTGGAAACATCCCGATGCCTGGCGAAGCTTCCCGTTTGGCTGGCTCTTCCTGCCAGTGTCCCTCATCGGCCAACCGTTTTCTCAAAAGACGAGGGATCACTTTTTACCCCTCCTTACGTCCAAACAGTGGTGGAGTGAAACGCAATTGGAATTACGAAAAGTTTTCAGCCAGGATGCAGATTTCCAAGAACGAATGTTTGCGAGGCAAATTGCGGTTATGAAAGGGCAGGCGTGGAACGTGGTCGAAACTCTAAAGACGACTGATCATGGGCCACTGGAGTTGACCAGAAGGGCACGTGTGTGTGTATGGGATGACTTGGTCGACATTCCCGTGGCAGTTCCCATGCGAGTACCGTCTGCTGAAATGCGGAGAAGGCATGAGCGCGGCCTTAATGGGGGTCTTGAGGAGGAGATGGATATTAGTGCTGCCAACTCCTCAGCTCCACAGCCGGACCTTCTTGGTTTATCGTCTCCCCCGGCGGAGCTACCGAATCCAAATCGATTCGAACTAGCCAGCCCTCGCCCTAGTGAAGAGGTATCTGGTTTTGAAACCGATGATTCACATGCGACGGGAATGAATGATCACGCCCAGCGGAATATTTTCAAAAATGGCGAGACAAAATTTTCTGGGCGGCCTCAGCCAGGCCACTCACGATCCCGCATGAGCTATGATGGATTCCCGAGGCCATCGCTATATGCCCCACGCCGCGAGAGTAGAAGGTTTTCTGTCTCGAGCAGAAGCCGTATGCCAATGTTATATGATGGGGATGATGCCGAGGGTGACCTAGGGTATGCAGCAGCCGAAGGGATGGAGGGCCACCATCGAAAGGTTATTGTAGAACGTCTAGAAACAGTGAAAAGCAAGAATCCGGTATTTACATGGTGTTAGACTAGGTGGAGAGCCAAGAATCTCCTGGTGTATTATAATATAAGGGATTGGGGCGGGAGAGAGTACAGGCGTTATAGCATACGGCCATCTATAAACAGGCTTTCGTGGGGAGCATAATGGGATATGCCTAACTTGTTCACAATATTTGCCTGACCTACGAAGCATAGTCTTCCGAGATGCTATGGAGTTCCGTTGCCTAGGCAAGAAGAGCGGGCTGAGCACAGCAATGTAAACGGTGCAGGTGCAGATGCAGCTGCAGGTGTAGGTGTCTTAGCAAGGCCCGTCTCTTGTTGTACCTTACCTGCTTATGACATCTAACTATCCCAGCTTCAGGGGACAACCTGTGTAAACGTTACAATACAAAGTCGAGCACCCAGGTGCCTGGTACGTAATAATGGTACACAACTATGAAGACATCCAGCAAACGCTGTGATGCTGTGTACTTCCTACGAAAGTACATTATAAATGGCCCGATTGTGTGATATTTTGCCACTATCTTCAGTGCACGTGGCTTATAGTCGCTCTTATAAATAGCCCAACTTGGACAAGCGCAGTGACCAATTAGTATACGTTACTCAGCGTCTCGGCGCGGCCGCCGATCTGCGATTCAGCCACAACACCACGCCCTTGATTTCTCAGTCGCCAACCGCGCCCCGAGATATTATATTGCGATATCGATAACGAATATTCACTGATGCTTACACTGGCACTCAAACAGGCACTGGCACTTCCACTTCCACTTGCGCTTTTCACCTCCTTGGGCCCTGCATGTACGAAGTAAATACTACGCAACCCTTCGCCTTCTGCGCGCTTGCCCGGTACCCCAGATACCATCACGAGTGACTGTAGCACCGCCGCATCAACAGAATCACCGCGGTCGTCACCCTCCGATTATTCCCCTTTGGCTATATGCCATCCGAGGCCAAATATTTGCTTGACACTTCTCTTATTCTCTTCCTTTTGACGCAACACCTTCCACATGCCTTTTTGCATCCGAACCCGACCCTCTATAGCCTTGTAGTCTAGCGCAGGCTACTGGTACTCGAGGGCAAAAGGTGCATCTCGACACAACAGCTGCATGCGACGTGCAACCCTATGAAGGAGAAATGGCCTCGTGGAATCAGTCAAACGGTGCGCGCTCACACTCGTACCCTCTCGCCCAACCCGACCCCACGTCGATCAACGCCGGCAGCCTCGGGGGTCCCCAGCCTCGGTTTGGCTCCTCCACTTCGTCGCCGCAGAGAGCGCTGTCTCAACGAGATCATACCTATGGCAATATGTCTTCTTGGGGCCATCGTCCACCCTCAAACGTCCCTTTAAATGCGAACGGTGCACCGGCTTTTGCGTCTCAGCCTTGGAACCCTAGTCTGCTGCTGAACCCCCGCGGTTTCCATCAACCCCAACAGAACAGCGAGAGCCCTTCTTCGACCGTTTCTGCTGCTCCTCAGCTCTCGTTTCAGTTTGACACTCCAGATAGCACCCAGCAGACGCCCCATTATTCGCACTCCGACCCCACATACCACAACGAGAATAAGACGAGCAGACAAAGCGGCTTCGCACAATATGCGAATGGGAACGAACAAGTTGGGGGTATGGGTCATATGCTTGAGCGTATGCATAATGTCACGGACCGGAGTATGTTGCCACCGCAAAAGCGCAGGAAGCTCGACGATGAACAGGATGAACAGCGGAGGAAGCCTGGGTTTGGTGGTGGTGGCAAGGGCGGAGTGCTGGGGGGGTATGTGAGGGATAAGAGGGATGAAGGTCAACGGGAAGCGAACGCAAAAGCAACTGTGGTGGATATCTCGGCGATTGATGATGAGGTGGAGATCGCTAACGATCCAGGAGACCAAGAGGTCTGCTTTGGCCGAATAGAAGGTGCTGAGATCAGTGCATTCAAAGTGCCAACGCCACGGCCCGGTGCTGTCGCTGTCTCGAGTGGGTTTTGGCCCCAAGTTAAAATACATCTACGCCGGCGGGTGGGAGAAAGATCAAATATCATACATGCGGTCGATAGCACTAGAGAAATCATTGGTTGTGTCGACGTCAATACCGCTATTGGATTGGTACCGCTACTTGACTCGAAGTTCGGCATCCGAACGGTGTCTCGAATCCTCACCCGAGCACGGAAAGAAGGTGACCCATCTCCTGGTGCTCAGGTCTCCTGCCGGTACGGCCTTGACTTGAACTTATATGGCCCAAAGAAGTATGCTATGCAGATTGGTCGTCACCTATCTCATAAACAACTGTGGCTACGTACCCCACTCTTTGTGGAGGCGGGGATTAGCCTCTACAATCCACATACGGTTGAGAGGCCTCAGCAGCTAATTTCAAGGCCTACTACAGCTTATGGCGGCCGGCCGCAAGGCCCTGTACGAACGACTGAGGAGATTCGGAGCGATGTTCTAGGCATGTTTGATTCCCTGGAGAGATCTGAGAACCTTCCAGACCTAGAACCTGATTCTCGGATAACCACCGACCTTTTGCGGCACCAGAAGCAAGGCCTCTACTTCATGACGAACAAGGAGAAAGAGCGCATCTTTTCTGCTGATGAGAAAGGCAATAGCTCGCTATGGAGGCTCCACACCAGCAGTGTTGGCCAGAGATCTTACTACAATGTAATTACTGGCCAGACAGTTCAGAACAGCCCTCCTCAAGTCCTTGGGGGTATTCTGGCCGACATGATGGGACTTGGGAAAACACTGAGTATCCTGTCATTAATCGTTCATACATTGGATGCCGAGGCACAGCAGTGGGCCGAAATGAAGCCTTGTGAGCAACGAGATGACAGGGACCTTTGTCCGATGAGAAAGGGAAAGACCGCTCTACCTCAAATCGAACAGACTCCTCTGGTGCGTAATTGCAAAGCCACATTGTTAGTCTCACCCCTCAGCACCATCGCAAATTGGGAGGAACAGATCAAGCAGCATGTTAAACCTGGCACTTTGAAATACTACATTTATCATGGCGCAGGCCGCACCAAAGATATCAACAAACTCGCTGATTATGACCTGGTCATCACAACATATGGGTCCGTTGCAAGCGAATTCAACCATCGAAGCAAGAAGAAGGGCGGTAACTATCCTCTTGAGGAGATGAACTGGTTTCGAATTGTGCTCGATGAGGCGCATATGATTCGAGAACAGTCGACACAACAATCAAAGGCTATCTGCCGGCTGCAGGCATCGCGCAGATGGGCAGTAACTGGGACTCCTGTTCAGAATCGTCTCGAGGACTTAGGTGCCCTTATGACATTCCTTCGTGTGAAACCGTTCGATGAGAAGGGAGGGTTTGCGCAGTATATTATGGCTCCATTTAAGCTGTGTGATCCAGAGATCCTACCAAAACTACGGCTATTGGTTGACAGTATCACACTTCGACGTCTCAAGGACAGGATTGATCTCCCCCCTCGCCGTGATCACCAGGTAAAACTCGACTTCAGCGCCGAGGAACGTGCAATATATGATATTTTCGCCAAGAATGCTCATGACAGGGTTAAGGTTATCGTTGGCCAGCGAGAGAATCGCTTAGGCGGAAAAGCATATGTACACATCCTGCAATCGATTCTTCGCCTTCGCCTCATCTGTGCCCATGGCAAGGACCTTCTGTCTGAGGGTGATCTCCAAGTGATGCATGGTCTAAGCAAGGATTCTGCTATTGAATTGGATAGCGATGACGAGGATGACCGACCCGCACTATCCCCAAAAGAAGCATACGATATGTACAGCTTGATGATGGAGACAAATGCAGATGCCTGTCTTAGTTGTGATCGGAAAATCGGTACTATGGAAGTCGTCGACTCCGAAGGAGAGCCCAAGGATGAAATCATCGGACATATGACGCCTTGCTTCCACATTATCTGTCCTGGATGTATTGACAGATACAATGCACAGCTAAAAGAGTTAGCACAAGGCCAGGCAACGGCGGAATGTCCAATATGCAAGCAGCATATCAGGCTTTCCTACTTCCCCTTACGACAAGGTGGAGTTGAAGATGCAGGCCCCAAAACGAAAGGCGATAGCAGCGGGAAACATGGTAAAGAAATTAAAGGGTACAGCGGACAGCATACCAAAACCAAAGCCCTTATCCAGGATCTCCTTTTTTCCAAGCAGGAGTCGGAATTAGCACCGTCCGAAGCCCCAATCAAAAGTGTTGTTTTCTCCGGTTGGACAGCCCATCTAGACCTTATTCAACTTGCTTTTCAAGAGAACGGTATCAATTATACCCGCCTAGATGGGAAAATGACGCGCGTTGCCCGTGGTGCCGCCATGGACGCCTTCCGCGACGACCCAAGTATTCACGTCATTCTTGTCTCCATCACAGCCGGTGGTCTCGGGCTCAATCTTACTGCCGCAAACAAAGTATATGTCATGGAACCACAGTATAATCCCGCAGCCGAGGCGCAGGCGGTTGATCGTGTACACAGATTGGGACAGAAGCGAGAGGTAGAGACAGTCAGGTATATCATGAACGATAGCTTTGAAGAAAAGATGCTAGAGTTGCAAGAGAAAAAGAAAAAATTGGCGAGCTTGAGTATGGATGCTGAGCATAGGGGGCGCATGGATAAGAGTGAGGCCGCGAGGAAGCGGTTGGAGGATTTGAGGAGCCTTTTCAGATAGACTGTATATTGCCTTTGCCTTTTTTATTTATTTTAGCGTGGGAAGGTATGGGGGAATGGATGGGAGGCAAGGCGTATGGAGAGCATCGAATACCTAGAGGGTTCTACAAAGGAGTTTTCGGCAGGTATACCTTATCTGACATATGCGCGCAAGGGGAGGGGATTTGACAGCTTTTATTTACTCCGCTACCCACTACCCGCTCCTATGTTTCCTAGGTTATATCGCACATTAGAGGAAGCATGGATGCGTCGGTTACCAATTAACCCTCGGAGGGTTAAAGCCATTGAGATATACATAGACCTTATTTCAGCATATACTTGGCTTCAATAGATCCAGCATCCGTATGTCGTTCTTGGTATCTGGTTTTCATTGTGACTTTTCCAAACTTAAGCGCGAAGTGAATTAGAAGTATTAAGGACTCGACTTGATGTAGGTAAAACAAAGGCGGTATAATAGAGTTGTACTGTCTAACAACCACATCATATATTTAGAGCGTTCAGTGATATTATACGGTTTAAAGTCTCATGAGTTCATACATTCCTCAGAGCCGTTTTATTAGGTATTGCACAATACGGCTGATTCCTAATTGTTTATAGTACCCTGTGTAGGGGAGGAAGAACGAGGCAGATCATCAGAGCCTCTACCAGTCACTTTATTATCCTTGAGCCATCGCCTATGCCAATTATATAGCATAACTCTCTTATTCTCGAGAGACGTATATCTCGTCTTACAATGATCTGCTTACTGTACATACAAATACACGCAGCCCTCCATTTCGATTTGAGTTTAATTTTAGGAATGTTCAGCCACATCTGCTCACAAACACAATTCCATTCGGCAAATAGCTTAGAACCCCCTCCATGACAAATGCGCGTCACTTATTGAGGACCCCATTCGTTATCATCAGCGATATCGTAATCCAAATTCTCCATCGGTTCTCTCTCGTGCGACGCCATTCCGCGTGGGGGGCTAGATTCCATAGCCATGGCATCCCCTTCGTCCATAGCTGTGTCGTCACCGTGGGGTTTAGACGTATTGTTGAGATTGACGGGGGGTAGAGGGGTCTGCACCCATGCCAGCTCGACTTTGCCGACCGAGGGTATCTCGCCGTCCGAGAGGCTGCGCATGAATTTCTCGGCCATGAAGCGCTCTTTGAATGTGATGGTTGTCCGTACCGGCGTCGTGTCTATGTCGGTGTAGTCCCCGATGCCCTTGGATGTGTTAGCATGTCTGATTTGACTGGGAAAATAAGGGCTACGGAACTTACAAGCAGGTATTGTCTAAGACCCTCGTCCTTTTCGGCATCGGAGAAATCAAGACCAGTCAAAGCCACTGTTTTAGGTCGGTTGTCGAGCCTATACGTCCCTCCTGCAAAAGGTGCTCCGCCACGACCCCTGAAACCTCCACGATAGCCACGAGGAGCATATGTCCCTCTCCCTCTATAGCCCCCACGTCCACGGCCACGCCCTCGAAACGCAAATGAGGTATCATCCGTCAGCGAGGTATCGAGTCCCAACGACTGGGCTTCGGCCTCTAATGCGGCAAGTTGTGCTTTGAGTGCTTCGGTCTGCGAGGTAGTCTTCCCATCACCTGCTGGGGCAGGAGCGCCACCGTCCAATTCAGTGCCCGGCGTAGCTGAAGATCTTCCCGTCTTGGCAGCTAACTTTTCCATGAGCTTCCTCTTTTCCTCTGCTCTGTTCTTTGCGAGTTCTTCCTGGCGTTTTTCTAATTCTTTCCGTGCTGTTTCCATTTCCTGCTTCCGTTTCATCTTCTCCTCATAAACTTTCTGAGCCTCTTCCTGTTTACGGGCAAATTCTTCAACGTCGATCTGTGGATCCGAAGCCGCTCTCGTTTCATTTGAAGGTGTATTTGCAACACCGTTCTTTGCTGCATCTTTGTCTGTACTGAACCCAGCCGGTCGTGGTAAGGATTCTGTATTAGAAAACCAGTAGACTTTGACAAATCTATTATCAAAGATGACCTTTGGTGAGGTATATGCAGCATTTGCAGCATTCCAATCCTCATATTTGACGATTGCCAGCCGCTTGTATGGTCTCATTGAGATATCAAGTATGGTCCCGAACTGGGAGAAGAACTCTCGAACCTCATCCTCCGAGAACTTGTCCTCTGGAATATTTTCGACTACGATAGCAGTCTTGCTCCTATCGTGATTAGGCCTGTCAGACGAGAATTCTGCTCTCCCTCCTCGTCTATTAGGATTGCTGAACTGGCCACCACGATCACCTCGTGATCCTCCGCCACGGCCTCTACCCCCTCTGCCCCGATCCGCATCCCTTGTATTACCGAAGCCGAAGGAACCACCATCACTCTCGTTCTTCTCAACTCCTGCCATGAGACTTGCATTTGAAGGATCGTACTCGTCAGTCGTCTTTCCGGGCGGGACAAAAATAGAGTTGTCGCCATGCTCATACATGCAAGTATTCCCTCTTGCGCAGAAACCCTTCTGATCGTAATCTCGACATCTCTGTTTCCTTGGATGCGTACTAGGTCCGGTAGGTAATCCTCCAAGCTCGGGAGTTGGGAAACCCATCCCTTGCAGGGCGTACATAAACGAGGTCGGATCCGTAGGATCAAAGGGAGGCATGCCAGGAGGAGGGCTGGGCATGGGAGGCATAAAGCCTTGCGCAGGAAGCGGTCCTTGATGCATAGGTGGCCGACCTCTGGGATAACCCCCTCTTCCACTGAAATTATCAAACCCTCCACGGCCTGGAATAGGGCCTCCCCGTCGCGGCTGCTTGAATAACCTTCCATTCGGATCGCTAGGATACTGCTGGGCATCACCATCACCTCGGTCATTATATGAGCGCTTCCTCGAGCCGTTCGGTGCTCCATACGGCGCCCCTAGTGCAGCGTTTCCATAAGTCGGTATCGAGGGTCCCGTTGGTGGCGCAAACGGTGCAGAAGGCCGTGGAGGGGCCGCAGCACCCGGGATGTACGACTTGTAGTGAATGGCATTGAATACGTCTTGAACGAAGAGGGGCGAATCGTCTCCTAGAAAGGGTGGAATTTCAGCCATGCACAGCGCTCGAACGGTTTCTGTGTCGCCATCGTGTCGAAGGAGGGCCAGGACGTAGTCAGCGAGAATGTCTGCGTCTGCATCTGAGCTTTTGATATGGATATGGTGTTAGCTGTGTTGCGACTGGGGGAAAGGTTGGCATTTCGGAGGTGAGGTGGTTCATACGTATCCTCGAGTCTTTTTACAATCCACTTCTTTAGGAGCGGCGCATCTTCTTCTGAGAATAGCATCGTCGCGGCGGATCGGTACGTGTGATGTGTTCAGAGGCTGAGTATAATCATGTTATTGCTATTGCCGGCAAGCTCATGTTTAGTTTTGTTTCGCGACGAGAATAATGTTAACTTTTCGTAACCGCGACTGTGACGGCAAGTCGCAATGCGATGTGGTCCGTGCGCTTTATATCAATCCTACTTCTCGACGAGCCTTGTTTGCCCGTTAGACACACATCGAAGGTGAGTTAACACTCTTAACATTACCATTGTGTATAAATAAAATAAAGTTTTCCCACACCTATATGCACACCCCAGTTGGGTATCATAATCATAACTTTCATATTATTAATGTTCTGGGAATCGCTGCGCTTGCACTCCGTAGATATCATGAAGTTGGCTATCAATGGGATACGATGTAGAATCCGCCAACGTCTATGTCACACAGTACACGTTGCCACATACACCAAGTCAAGTCTTCATATATCTGTCCTATGGCTAACCTAGCTTTACTGTTTGTCGCAAATTTTCTATAATTATTCTCATTTACATAGTAGCGTTAAGCGTCCATCTTACCTCGAGCACACTTCCTTCGGCTTCGTTGGCCCTGGAGGTACCTTGACAACAGTAATTTCGAGCTCTTCCCCTTTCTTCTCATATTCTGCCTTTCTATTTGCAACCGTGGTTTCCTCCGCTGGTGGTATCTTGGCAAACCTGAAGGGCCAGTTCTTGAAAATCCTTCTTGGCCATGATAGCAGCCCGGTAGACCTCATCTTCCTACCAATCTCTTCCAGATTCACACTTTGTGCTCCTTCCTCCATCTCTGAAATTCTTTCCACTTGAACAGGACTCTTCGACCAGGTGAATATCTTGAGTTTCCCGAAGTTGAACCACCAAAGGAACGCTGCCCCAGCCACCACTCCTAAAATTCCGCCCATTAGTGCCAAAGCCACATCCCTCCGCAATTTCCTTCCTCGCGAGTGATTGGCTTGTGTTTCTAGACTTGGAGCTGGATGCACTCTTCCTGGTGGCACAATCATGCTTGGTGCTGTAGTGTCCGCAAACTCACTCGCAGGACTAGGTGGTGGTTTCCCCGTCGTCCAGTTTCGCGGCTCGGGGCCAAGGACAAAGTCCATCGTACCACCGTTATCAAATATATCGGCCCATGTCAGCCAAGATTGGTTCCATTGCTGTCCATTCACATTCAGTGACTGGACATAGTAGGAATTTCTTGAGCCGCCAATGGCCGTAATCGTCAATTTTTGGCCGGCAGACAGAGAGATGCTTGTGTTTACGAACCAAGGGGAGCCTATTAAAAAGGTCGTTTGCCCTACAAGTGGGTATAGGCCTAGCATATTCCAAAGAAGCCATGACTCCATAGCGCCTGCATCGCTGTTTCCCGGTAGTCCACCTGGTGTTGGGAGGTAGTATGAGTTTGCGATACTGCGGCTTTGCTTGACACTTAGGTCTTGTCTCCCAACGAAGTTGTACAAGTACGGCGTCGTAAATGAAGGTTCATTTCCTGGGTTAAAAATGGTATTGTTAAACCCCGATGAGCGGCTGGTGGGATTAACGCCTGGTTTGAACGTCATTTTGAGACGAGAAGTAAATGTATCGGGGCCTCCAGACAAAGCGATGAGGGTGTTGATGTCATGGTGTGAGTTGAAAGAGTATTCCCATGGTAGCGCCTCATAATACGCGTCTGCCCAATAGCACCCTCCGCAAGAGAGAGGGTCTTGCGCGATGAAGCCGTCTGAGCTCCGAGGCACCAAGAACCCAGTAAAGTTGACCGAAGTAGCATTTGGATCCCAGTGGTTCCTCCAGTTGCGAGATCGCTTGATATACTTCTCTGCGTCTACCTTTTTTCCAAGCCCCATGGCTACTTGATATAGCGAGAAATCATTGACCGAATACTCCACCGCTCGAGTAACGGCTCGACCGTATTTCGGTGTGATGAAGCCATACTTGAGCCAGTCTGGAAGTGCCCCTCTACCTTCCTTTGTTGATGACGATGGGTCTCGAGGATCGTTGTTGTTGACTGGAGCTACCTCTGCATCTTTAACCATAGCTTCGTATCCGGTGGTCCAGTTCACTGCACCTCGCACACCCTTCACATATGCATCGGCAAGAACATTGTCTGAATTGGACCCTCCTTGAGTCACACCGTTAAAATTAGACGACCTACCATCAGGCATATATCCTTCAAAGCGGAAAATATCAATGAGGGACCGGATGTACTCTTCGTACATGCTGGGTTGAAATACTTGTAGCAAGGAGAATGTGCAGCGGAAGAGGTCCCATGTAGTGAAGGTGTCGTCATAATATGGTTCTGTTGACTTCCACAGTGGGTTCTCGCCAGTACGGTTCGATGGTATTAGATGCATGAAGTACATTGAGCTATACAGCATTTGCAGGTTACCCAAATTGGTTTCAGTGGTAGTAACTTTCGACAATACGTCCTCGTTCCATACCTTCTTTGCATTAGTCGTCAGCGATGAAAGCGTCGTCCCGGCCGGCATCTGAGTGTTGACATTGTGACATGCCTGGATCCCCGAGATAAACGAAATTCCAACTCTGGAGGTAACACTGACTGTGTTGAAACTAAAAACTGCCCCAATACGAGCGGTCGATGCAGCAGTGGGCACATCACTGTACCGAGATAGAATGCCTGTATCCGGACTCTGCTCGACAAAGGTCTTGACCATGGCTGGAGTATCGAAATATCCGCAGAAATAGACCCTCCAGTCAGGCGCTCGGTTCCAGCCATTATTGTAATCTCCAAAGCCTTCGTAATGACTCCCGGAGGTCGTGATGTTCCCACGGACATAGTGTTGGGAAAGGCCTTTGTTCCTGCGTGAAGGGAGGATATGAGACACATCCACAACCACATTGGTTTGTTTTCCAGGTGGGAAAGTATACTGATAGAAGCCAGCTCGGCTGGTTGCACTAAGTTCCACCGTGATATTAGGTGCCAGGGTAGCTTTGTAGTAGCCTACAGAAGTGATATCTGGTTGACTGCGAGGTTGGTTCTGATCGACTAGAGGGTTGCTGATATGCCCTAGCACTGGCATCTGGGAAACCACCCCATATTTTGGGGCACCTCCCGTTCCACTCTCGTGCATCATGGAGAAACCTGTGAAGTTGCCTGTGGGTTGGGATCCGGAATAGCTGTCTCCTCCAGCCAGGACGTCCGGCCCAAGCTTTACCATGGCAAACGGGAGTGAGACGCCAGGGAAAGTGTTGCCCCCATTGGCCCCACCCATCTAATCAACCGAACAGGTCAGTTTCTATTGCCAAAGGAAGCTAAGTCAAGAGGGTCTTACAGCTGTAAGAACATATTGTGAAAGATCGGCCGTCTGAGCACACACAACAGCCACGAGTATTGCCAGGAGAGGGGCGTAGCTTGACATCGAAACCAGGAACCAAAGATATCTTCCTGTTCTCACCACCTTTCAATTATGCAATCATGCTGCTCTCATTTAACTATTTCGAAACTATCAAACTAGAAACTCCCACCTCAAGTACTCGATCGAGACTTCTAGATGAGGGTGCACGTGGTCAAGTCACGTGGTCACACTGAGGACCGTGATCCTGTTGTATGGTCCCCTCGGGCTGTTCAGCAGACCGACCGGAATAAGTTCCCCTCATAAACGGGGCATAGCACAGATATGATTCAAGTTGCAAAGGGAGTAAAGGGTCCAGCAAGACAAAGGAACGAGCGGCGCAAAGATATGTTGTAAAAGAAGTGAAACTGGCTCTTCTTAACCTTTGTCAGGAGCATGTGCGCGCCCTTCCGCGAGAGCGCAATGGATCATTATGGTCGGATCAGGCGTGGGAGGCAGTGAACACCATAAGCATGTTGCAGTTGCTAGGTCTTCATAGGGTCAGATGTGTCGTGAGCAGGTGTCTCTGAAAGTCTTTCAGGATCTAGATGCCGTCGACATCTGACAAGCTTTTCGCTTCGGTCCTGATCATCACCAGGGGGGATGTCTAATATGGCATATCTACATGATTACATCTACCTATTTCTTGGGGTTTGAACCTATTGACGCCTAACTTCAGCCCGGCCAACGGTCAGCGGTCACCGATCCCTGGTTTCTTCATTCCTAACCATGCCCAGCGGTATATGTGATATGGTACTATACTTCGTAGCTCCGGCAGAAGCTTCTAACTCAGTACCTTACCTATGTTTTACGTAGTATGTTGTACGGTCAGATTTGGCCCGGTCCAGATCGTCGCGCAGTTTACCCAGATCAATAGCCCAGCAATAGCCACTTCACCCGGGACTCGGAGGAACATACCAATATTTTCCCTCCTACCTTAAAATCTACCTAGGTAGCCAATAAGTTGGAGAGTGGATCTTGTACTTGATCTCGGCCCGCTACTTACCAACTCACAGCCACCACGGAGCACTTGTCAACAATAGGAAGCAAGAAAAAGTCTTAAGAAATGCGACGGCAATTGACAACTACTTACTAGGTACCGAGGTACCTAGAGGTACTCGAGCAGTACTCGCTTGATAAAAGGGGAGCTGCTCACGTGATGCTTTGGGTTTGTTGCCGTCACAGTTACACTACTGTGGTATTCTTATACGGAGTAACGTGCCTACTTCATACCTAGGTAGATACGTATAGGCATATGATAAAAGTGTCTGATTCTATCAACCTCCGTTAGTCTCCAACGATACAGCACTTTGGTAGCGCGCCATCAACTGTCACTCCCCTGGGTAGGTTGACCTTAGACGAGGCCTGCACGTCGTCTAGTAGTAGTAGAGGATGGATATATCCCTTTATAACTCTCCGCCACATCGTTTATTCTATCTAATTCAAAGGAAGCGGGGAATGTAAGTTTCCAAGATCCTGCCAAAACACGAATCACGTGACTGACTCCTCCATTGTCACTCCCTACCAAGGTTAGGTGATCGAGAGATATAATAAAATTAAAACCCTCATAATTTATAGAAGTTGTAGGATCCAACAGCCCGTTTCTGTCTCAAAATAGTGTTGCAGGGCTGTAAGGGCTGTTGTCTCATATAAATATGTTATACGATAACGGCAAAAGTTATGGATTTCTCCTATCCTTCCAAAGCCTTCGGTCAGTAATAATGCGCGCCCGCGCCCCCAGACTTATTCTTGGGGATCTGACGTTTCGTTGTGACGTGGACCTCTTCCAAATCCCACGCATCCCCTTACTTGATTAGTGGTCGCTCCTTTCAGCTTCTCACTTCGGCGCTGCAAATAGCGGAAGAGGTACCACAGTAGGAGATCAGCCACCGATATCACAGTGAGCATGATATGAAAGCGAGGGCATACGAGCTGACACAGAGAGGTACGCTCTGCGAACTGGTAATAAGTGGAGGTGGAAGATATATTACAACATGTGTCGCTAGAATCAAATATGAAATATGAAATACTCCCGGATGGCTTCATCTGGGAGATGTCTCAAGACCATGTTCAACGGGAAATTGCCACCACAGCTCCATGTCGAGCCAGTTGTTTATGAAATAGCTATCTTCGCGAATCGCCAGTTGGTTGTTTGGAAACCCATACGTGAATGGCCCGCGATACGTGCTTCCTCGAACAAACTCAAGCAACAAACACACAGCAACCTTGGCCTGAAACATTGTCTGACGCGCATCGCACGTGGAACGGTCCCATTCCTGGATCTCGGAGTCTCCAGAATCCAGAATCCAGCTTCACCAGACCGTGCCCCTCGCGCGACCACTGGCGGCCACGAACGCGAAGGTTCCAAAGATGGAAGATCGAAAACGGACGTCTTGTCTCGGTGTTCAAGTTCCCAAAATTCCCAAAACACCAGGTCAGGTACTTAACCGCCATTGCCTGCCAAGGGCCCGATACGCCCCTATCAGCGTCCACAAGCTGGCCGCTGGTAGGCCCTGTGGCGCCCACACTTTCGCACGCCAGCAGGGAAGCAGAGGATCGAAGGATGAAGTGGAGGATCATGAGCCTCTCGATGCGCTGCTTATCCGCTGCCCACCAGACACCAGAACACCCACTTCCGCCGGTAGAACCACTTCCCAGCAACCCATGGCAGCCTGTCAATATATCGATCAGCGTCGGGCGCGTCGGCGAGGTGCACCCCTCTCATTACTCGTCGCGACGAATCAAAGGCCGTACTTTGGCTCTGCGAGCTCTCACGCTCTGCAGCACGACTTTTCCCCAATGGAAATAGACTTTTCTAGGCTGTGGGTGTAAAGCTCTCTGAGCCTCTCTTTCTCTTTGTCAACCTTCCCCTCGGTCCTTATCCTTATCCTTCTCTCATTCCCTCTTTTTTTCCGGTTCTGCGTGCGTGCAGAATGAAGTCGTGGTCATGAAGACATTGAGCGGGTATCTCGATGATGCGTATTCAGCATGGCTAGGTGCGGCGCTGGGTTGCTGCTCGCCGCAGAGAAAACAGACGCTGAGGCGTGGTCATGGTCATGGTCAGTATATCGGCGCTGCTCGTTACAGTTTATCTAACATATGAGGCGCAGAAGTTGAGAAGCCTATGAGGATTGAGCATTATCAACCACGTTTGATACCGTCACCGGTTTCCGAGCCTCAAGAGCGGCCCACGACTAGAGGGAGAGAATGGCGCGAACGGAGCAGAAGCTTTGCCTCTCGCGCATCTAGCCGTGGAAGCTTCTCTGTGAGAAGAAAACTGAATGCGTATAATGGACCGCGCCGGCCGCGGATAAGTGCGCCGTCTGACTTCCGGGTCGTCGAGCATGCTCTTCCAAAGATACAGAGGAGGTCCAGAGAGTTCAGACCGCTGGAGTTGAGCATATACATGCCCCAACGCCAGCTGTCACCAATCCTACCTCATTTTGGCACAATGGACGATGTGACCCACCCCGATAACATGAATGATTTGACATATCCGCCATCTACCTTCTGCCATTCGAGAAGCGAGTCTGCTTTATCCTTCAGCATTCCTCGAAAAGCAGTGCGTTCAGGTTCCCGGACGTCCTCAGACTGGACTGCACAGTTCCAACCCCGGCCAGAATCCATCAACACCCAGGAGTTATTAGCAAAACTCGAGAACGATATGCCCAAGCGCCCAGCACAAGCACGTCTACGAGCAATGACGGAACCGCCGACTTATGAGCGGATCAAATCGGCTCTCCACGAGAAGTTTGAGCTAGAGCAGCGTTTGAGAGACATAGATGAGGTGATCGAAGAGCGAAAAAGCATCTACTTCAATAGTCGCCCCACCAGTCGAGCGACATCTCGACCCCGGAGCATCTATTCAGAATCACAAGGTACTTTACCCCTATGCCGTTCCAGGCTGTCCCTTATGGAATCTACTTTCTAACACGAATCAGAGCCAATGCCCAGTCCTCCAGCTATGAAGCCCTCCTTTGCAACCCGTGTTGCTTCTCCAGCCTACAACCAACGCCCACAAACCGCCCCTTCAAAAGCAATCCACATCCCGTCCCGTCTGAAATCCTTCACCGAAGCTTCCTCCACGTTTACCCCGGAAGTCCCTCCACCACCGCCACCCAAAAGCCCCCTCCGCTCCCTACCACAGTCGCCGCAGGATACTATCCTACCACCACCACTTCCCCTCGTGCTGCAAGCACCGCACCCGCCCCTTCGGAAGAAGAAGTCCTTCTCCCGCGTATCGAACTGGTTATCCCGCTCAACCGCTGCCGAGGCGCCTCATTCCCGGAACCTATCCCTTGACTCTGTGACCAACACACCAAAACCCGTCACATCGAGAGAGGGCTTCTACCAGTGCGTTGATGTGGCGAACCAGGGTTCTTATGGCTACGGCTATGATGCGAGGAGGAATAGCGTGGGGTCTGTGAGCACAGTCAGTACCCTTGAGAGTGATGTCGATGACGATGACGATGAGGATGAGTCTGCGAAACAGAGCGCCACGATTACCCCCGAGTCGAGCCCTGGGAGAGTGAAGGGCAGGGGTTTCGAGCCGCAGAGAGAAATAGAGAAGAGTATAGAACTAGAGAGGACGAGGACGTTCGGGGAGAAGCAGATGAGGGCCGATGAGAAGTGGAGGATGGAAACGCCGATCGAAACGGGACTTCATATCCCCGGACGGAATAGTGTGGGCGTTGCGTTTTGAATGTGGGTTAGCAATACCACTAAGTGTTTAGATTTGCGCTGGGCGTTTGTTTATACATACCTTCCAAGCAGGGCTTAGAGGCCTTGCGATAATAATAATAATATGAACGTTCTAGGGATATGTTCTAGCTAGTGGATATTGTTGAGTTGGCTCGCTCGGTATATCTGCGGTGGTACCCATAACAAAGAACTTGCACTTCGTGGTTTATGTATATCCTTTGGAGCACCTTAGGCTGCACCTGTATTCTTTGATATCAATGCTATCTATCTACTCAGCTGCTAATACCCAGCCCTAGGTCCATGCGACCACCCATTTTCATCACATCCATCCATCCTTCCATGATGCGAAAATGGTTATCTCCACTGGCCACGTCCAGGTCCTAACTCCAGCCCATACCCATCATGTTCTTGCATGCCTATTCAGCTGCATTACTTCGGCTTCTAAAAACGCTTCTGAGAAATTTACCAACCTCCATCGCTATGCCATGCAATGAAGCAACCGAACAACCCAAAGCAGAACTTCAAGACTAAGAATGAAAGATTGGAAGATTGGAAGGTAGATGAACCTTGAAATGCGAATCTCAGGCATTAAAATGGAACCTCTCAGCTTCCAGTCTTCCCAGACCATCCCTAGGGGCTACATATCGTCGTCGATAAACATTTGTAAAGTCCTGGAGTAGGCTGCGGACCTTCCGGAGGCCCTCTTGTCCAAGAGTTAATCGCTCTTTGATACCTATCATGAGCTTATCGATTTCAGCCTCGCTAATTGTGCCAGATGGAAGCATTCGAACAGTTTTATCAACCCATGCGGCAGTTTGTTCAGGCATTATCTCAAAGAGTCCCAGGAGTGCGCCGCTACCATCGGTGAAACAGTCATCTGGGAAGGTAATCATCATGCCAGCCATGATCTGCTTTACTAAATGCTCGCCATTTGCAAGGATAACCTGTTGTACAGCGCGTTTGATCTCAGGTGGATTTGGGCTGTTGCTTGAACTTGGAGGGTTATCACCACCATATCCAATAACATCTCGCAGATAATGAAGAGCTGCAGAAAGCGGCTCTCGCTGCTCAAGTGCCAATGCTGAAACTCCTGCCTGGAAAATCGGGGCAAATAGGTCCGAGCGAATCAGTTTGTGGGGATAGTAGAGTAGAGCATCCACCAACAGACGATAGAAATCCTCAATGACATCCGGCAGATCTCTTGGTGGTACGTCGCTCATCATACGGAGCATGTTTGTTGATTGGGCCTCGAAGAATGCGTAGATAGCCTCTGTTGTATTCTCGTCAACGTGTTCTCGATCCTCGGAGAATTCCCGCAAAATTGCGCTTGTCACCCAGAGAAAGCAGCCTTGCTTGGAGGTAGCGAAGCCGTTGGCAAGTTTGTTGGCCATCTGAGGAAGCAAAGGGGCCATGGCTGTACGGTAAGAGATCACCATATATCGCCAGCAACGACAGATCCGTTCACAGATGGGTGTGAAATCTGTGAAAGTGTCTAGTATTGTGGATAAAATTGGAAAGATTTCCTGGCAGTATTTTACTGCAGGATTTTCCTGGCCAGGAGCGACGTAGGGTGTGACCATCTGGATGAAGAGTGTGATCAACTGTAAATGATCTGATTATTGTTAGTAACCTAGAATGATCGGTAAAACCAAGAATACGAACCTGCAACTGCTAGCTTTCCGTCCTCATCCGTTGCCGCATTGGCCTTCGCCATTAGCCTGGCCATCAACGGATCACAATAATGCTTCATGAGGTCGAAGATTTGGGCAACCGGTTGCACTGCAACAACTGACGCCACACCCTCGGTGAGCTCCTCCTGACTGATACCGGGCAATTTGTCCAGAGTCTGGTCATAGAATTGTTGAAGCTGCACTACTTGTCCACTCAGGAGGTGTTTGCAGTCGGTGCAGAAAAATTTCATGGCCATGGCAGCAGCTCTTATGATCTCCTTGGAGTCGGTCCCGAAAGAAGACACAATGTAGGTGAATTGGGATTCCAGGAGCTCGGGGTGGTTCGATGTCCACTCCGTGTAGCGGCCTAGGACCATAATGGTCGCAAATCGCAACTTTTCGTGATGTGGTATCTGTACGATAAGGGGCATTATCTGCGGGAGTATGATATCCTCATCTTTGTCAACCATCCTTCCCATGGCACGCATACTGAAGAGTGGGGCTTCGAGTTGCTGCCAGTGAGGTACTGAATTTGGAGTTGCTTGACTGGCATAGGAAGTCATCCATGCTTTGATACGTTCAAGCACTTTGGAAAGACATTCCGTAACGCCCATTATCTCGCAGCAGTCTTTAAGAACATCACCCATGTGATGCCTAAACTCGCGGAATTTCTCTTCGGCTTCGCGGTCCCCGTCGAACAAATCTTCTTGATTGTTGCCCTCGCTCGGATATTCGAGTTGCTTCAGCATGACATCAACAAGCTTCGCATAGACGTCCACATATTGCATCCGAGCCTCAATATATATCTCTAGGATGAGATAGAGTTTCAACTCGTACCAAAAGATAAACGTCAAAGCGATAGCTTCACGGTCCATATCCAAGGCTGCGCACTCCAACACAGCCTCCACGAGTGGCCGGAAGCCAATCGGTTCACGGGCGATCAAAACTACCCATGCTTCGCCTGCTTCCGCGAAAACCCGAGTTATCCCCTTATAAGCTTCCGTATCTTCGGCGTCGGCTGCTTGACGAATTCGAGGGCGCAATGCAATAACACGAGGTAAGAGGATCTGGATTGTCGGGAGATACTCATCCACTTCACGGGTCTCCTTAAAGATAGCGCACAGACATTCTGTTGCCGCCTCGAAAGACCTCTCAGTATCCAAGGCACCGAAGACAATATCCAGTAACGGAGAGTTCACAACGTCAGCTACTGGTATCTCACGTAGCCAAGATGCAATAACCTCCAGAAGCTGAGGGTTTGTAGCCGCGGATGCTGAGAGACTTTAGTCCACGTTCACGAACTGAGCAGACAAAGAATACATACCTGATGATTGGGCGTATCTGATTAGGAGTTGCACAACCTGGCCGGCGTTGTCCCCCAATAACTCCTGCGTTCTCTGCTGTAGCTCTTCTTCCTAGTATTACGCATTAGATTCGTATACAGCTATTCTCTCCTCAACCCAACGTCGTTGTAGATGCTCGCAGGATGGTGTCTGTCGGTCCACATACAGTCAAATTGATCTTTCGTCCCTCGGTGACTTCCTCTGGGAGAACCTTCAGGAAATCCAGTATACAGGTAGAACTCTCGGCGTCATTGCCCAGGGTTGACACGACCAGCGGAACCACATCCTTCCACGCAGTCATTTGGACAGCGAGTATCGCTAGGCAAACGCATAGTTGTATTCGGATCGGTCGCGGGCCAGTTGCGAATAGCTTCAAAAGCCCCAAGACCTGGTCTCGAAGTGCTGGTAGGGAATCATCGGGTATCTGATTGACATCATAGGTGATCTAGCAACTTAGCATTAGCATTCTAATACGACTCTAATGCGCTTACCTTTCCTCTTAACGTTGTGGCAGCAAATAACTTGGCCTCTGCATCTGCCTGCGATTGCAGAATACCGATGGTGATTTGCCATGCTTCGGTCTGTATTGAATGTGAGTCTTGCCTTCGGGTCAAAAGAGGGGGGACAAGGGTATAGTTCGGCGCACCGATTTTTGAAATCTCTCTAAGAACTGATGTGCTGCCTTCTTTTGCTCCCGTTGGCCGTCGCGCATAGTTGACATAGCCGTCAAGACAGGCGCGTACGCCTGCTGGGGATCGCTACCGTCCGCAGCCATGATTACCATTGGTGATGGAGGGGTAAACGCAGGTGGGATATAGGGGTTTAAATGCGCCGGAAGTGCATGCAACACTTGATAGCAGTCGTTGCCCAGGTTCCGTCGATCCGTCGATCCGTTCGCAATAATATGACGGTAAGAGGGGGCAAAGGTGGAAGTAGAGTGTATCTTGTCTGGTTGTTGTGAACGGGAGGAATCATTGTCACGGCTGGATGTCGGTTGCCCTCCAAAATAAAAGCACGCACTAGCGCGGTTTGCAGCCTTGTCACAAAAGCTTGAGCTGCCGTCCACCACAACGACAATCTACATCAGCACCAGAGAGAGCGCGACTGCGACTATTACTCGGACTTCGATTGCTCTACATTCTAGCACCTCCAATACCCTCGAATTATTTCCAATACCACCACTTCAAGATGAATCGCGGAGGTGGCGGTGGTGGGCGCAAAGTCCTTTTACCCCCAATCAACTTCATCTTCAAGCTCCTCCAGCAACATTCAACCGTCCAGATCTGGCTTTACGAGCAGTTGGCTATCCGAATTGAGGGCAGGATCAGAGTAAGCTGAGAGAAGACATGACATAGGCACTTTGCTAACGTATATGTCTCAAGGGTTTTGATGAGTTTATGAACCTCGTTATTGACGACGCGGTGGAGGTCAAGCAAGCCACCAAGACAACCGAGGAGAGCCGGAGATCGTTGGGTAGGCCACCTAGGATGATGCATTATGATAGTACGGGTTCTAACGGGCTACAGGTCAAATACTGCTGAAAGGAGACAATGTGTCGTTGATCCAGAGTGTGACTGGGTAATAAGGGAAAAAAGGCGTTATGCGTTCGATTTGGGTTCTGCGACTGGTAAAAAGCACACATGAAATATAAGTGGATTTCATGGAGGAGTCCGTTTGGGAATTGGTTCAGCTATGAGAAATCCGACGCTTCAGGTGGTGTTGATAGTACTGCCTACTACTTTCCCATCTCCCATAAACAAGCCGTGCAGAAGATGGTCATGCTCTCCAACGGGCACTGCATGTTCGTTATTTTCTTGCAGGAATTGCTCGTCAAGAGCGAGACCGTATAGCAACGCTCCCGTCCTTGGACCATGTGACAGCTCTTTCACCGCTGGTCCTCGACCTTGTATGTATTTATGCAGAAAGTAGTCATAGAATCCCTTTCCATGGCCAAGACGTCTCACAAACCCATTGCGAGGGTCGATGTCAAATGCCACACCTGGCATGAGTACCATGTCGAGCTGCCCCACTTCCGTTGGGGTTGTTGAGTTTCCAAGTATGTGTTCTCGTTCATGAACTGTTTTTGGCTCGATGGATGGAATGCCCCAACTATCTTGTTTTAAAGACTCATAATCTGCCATTGAACCAAGCTTTACCATATCCATGACCGAACGGGGAGTATTAGGCGACTGGTTTTGAGACTTGTGAAGGTAAGGGACAAAGACCTGTTTCCCTGATGCAAGTGCGTCACGGACTATAGCATCGGTCTGGATCTCCCCGGTAGGCATTGACAAGTAAATCCCAATGCGCTTTGCGTCCTGGTATGGCTTGAAATTTGTAACTCTCTGCAACACCGCAGCACCTAAAACGCTTTATTAAGGAAAAAGAAGCCCGTTTAGGGAACTCACTTTGAGCACCAATGGACTCTGGCGAGACTGTCAGGAGCCTCTGCTTCATGACAGAACGTAATTCCTTCTTTGCCGCCTTCAAGGCAGACGCAGAAGCCATTTTACAGATGTTGATTCTCGATTCTCACCTCGCCCATATTAAATGTAGCTTTTCTTCATAGTTTGTTAGCCTCTTCTTATTCCCAAGCTATTTAGGCAGGCTTACAGGAGGTATTGTTGTGAATACAGGAGCCCCTGATCCGTTTCTAAGGGAATTACTAGCTTAAAGGGACAAACCAAATCACTAACGGCTGTCACAAATAATATGGAAAGTAGAGAATTTAGCTTGTGAACGGCCCCCTACTTTGTACCGGATGTCAAGAAAACGCTTAGACGTCACAACAATCCCGGATGTGGCGCATGTGGCTGCGGTGGCTGGAACCTGGGATTACCTCATCCACGACAACTGTCTCCGAACTGGTAATTCTTGGTTCGTACTTCAAGCACCTCCCTGCGGCAAACCATCACCAGACGCGCCACCAACAATGCTTTCATTTTCTCTTCAATCGCTGCTAATAGCAAGTGCAGCCCTGATAGGTTCGACAGCTGCGATAGATGCTCAACTGGTCGGGACGTGGTCGACGAAATCTGCGAAGGTTATTACGGGTCCGGTATGTTATATCCTCAAGATCGAAAGCCCGCAACGACGGCATGTGAAGATCGGGAGCGCTGATTCGAATATCAAATAGGGCTTCTATAATCCTGTGAACGATAGCTTCATCGAACCTAGCCATACAGGCATCTCATACTCGTTCACGGCCGACGGGTTCTATGAGGAGGCATATTTCAGAGCCGTTTCCAACCGTATGGGAACCAACACACGACCTAGATTACCACGTAGGGGATTCTGCTGACGGAACATAGCTACCAATCCAAAATGCCCCCTGGGAGTAATGCAATTTCAACATGGAACTGTTATCCAGAATCCAGATAACTCCTTATCACTTACCCCTTTCGCGGTAGATGGGCGACAACTTCAGTCAGACCCATGTGCATCGACTAGTCACGCAACATACACCCGTTACAACCAGTCAGAATCTATGCAAGTCCGTTAACTCCTTCTCTATGTAATATTTAAGATATTAACATATATTAGAAATGGCAAGTCTACGTCGATCCATACACGAAATTGACACGCCTCGACCTCTACCAATTTGATGGCACTCCAATGAACCCCATGTTTCTTGCATACACCCCACCAGTCATGCTCCCAACAGTAACCATGAATCCTACGCAGGCGGCTGCCACGAGCGGTGGAAAGGCGAAGAGAAGCGCGAGCCCGGAGGAGATGGCTATTCCGCTGAACGTAAATGCTGAGCACATCAAGAGAAGAATCGAGAAACCGTCATTCGTTGACCGTGTCGATCTCAATGTACTCTGGTGGGCTAGTGTAGGAATGGTTATTTTCGGAGGCACAGCATACCTGTTATAAAATGCTGCTTCAGTTTGTTGGGTTTTGCATTGCATATGTGCTCGCAGAAAGGGTTAATTCGCTGGATGGTTATGAGGCACGGTATACCAAGACGGGGGAAGGGGAGTTCGGTTGTGGGATTGGTTACCATTGCCGCCTTATTCAATTCATCAGTCGAGCAATGGGAATACGTGGCGTTAGTGTTAATACGGTTGTGTACTCTAGATAGGCTGTCTATGTAAAACATTTGTCCCAGTCTCCTCCTTGCCTTGCAAAACTTAAACTGTCTACAAACGCCGCCAATGTACACCTCCCAAGTTCATCCCCGCCACACGTCTCAAGCGGCAAGACTCGATCATTGACGATCACTCGCACAAACTCCTCCTCGGCGCTTCCGCAGGTCATCTTCTCAAAGTACGCCCGTGCGGCAAATGGCCCTGTCCATGATGCGGAATATCCATTTGTTTTCTCCACATCTTCTATGGTCGTATTTGATAACGATTTGGTCGCGTTATACAGACCTAAAGCACTAAAGATGGTTATCATGTCGTTATCGTGACTGAAATCTGCATACAGGCTGGTATTCCCGCCAAGAGGAAACGTCTTTTCAGAAGAATCCAATGTGGAATTGGTGCTAGTATGATCATTGACAGGATTATTGGTGAGACGAGCAATAAGTTCATTAGTGAAGCCAACACCTTGAGTTGGCCCAAGAGGGTTTCCCCAGGAGTACCCGTAGTACTTCCCTAGCGATTGATAGTAGTCGTAAGCATGCCATTCCGCCTCGGTGAACAGACCACAGAACGGGGATATTTTCCCGCTATCTGAGGCAATGGTGTTGAACGGGCATAGATCCATCATGTAGATTGTGTCCTCATTAGTAAAGTTGACTCCTGGAAGATTCTCCATTAGGCGGGTGGTGATGGGTGGCGCAAAGATCTCCATCCAACCATTTTGGGCATTATCACCAGTTGAATCTGAGCCATCTTCAAAAGAATCGCAGAGACCATGGCTCAGCGTGTTATTCGATCCAGTGGTTTCCGGGATAACAAGGATGTCATATGGATATTCATCAGGCTTGGAAGGGTCGTTTTGGATACGGGAATCGTGAAAGCCTTGAGTCCAATTTTGAGCAGACTCGACAACCCGGTTTTGACCTGATGCACGGATAAAGGGGGTGGCATGTAAAGCGAGTGATTGGTAACGTTCATAAAATTTAGTGCCCGAGTTGATCATTTGTTGCTGGCCAAAAATGGTAAGCTCATCAGCACCGAGGGTGTATTTGTAGTCTTTGATGAAACGGTAGTCTTTAGAGTACGACTTTGCATTGGTGTGAACAAACTCTATGATCTGCATGTACTTGAGGGTCTTGGTGAGCGTTGGATCTCTCGCGCCATGACGAGACAGAATCTGTGCAAATGTGATTCGACATTGATCTGGCACATCCGTCGCAATTTGTGATGGTGACTGGACAGAGAAGTATGGCGAATATTGGCCCCAGAAATGTGATATCTCTGGCTGGCATTGGAACCCCTGGTCAACAGAGTCACACCCTTGAAAGTGGGAAGAGCTATAAGCTCTAGAATGTATTTAGCAATTGAAATCCCAAACAGTATCGAGAAAGAAGAGATAGAAGTGGTCTGAATGCCTAAGAGCAAGACCTATAGGGAACCACGCAAGAATTGGAATACATATAAATCAGACATACCCCATAACCCAGTACAAACACAATAGAGCACCGATAACCCCCATACTCATAATGGCCAGATGATGTCTCTTGCTACTTCGAAAACTGCTCAAATGGTGGTCGAAAATAGGTTGGATCTTCTCATGGACATCAGTTGGCAGAGAGGTCTCCCCGGGACACGGTGCTGATGGAAGACGCTCATATTTATGTCCTTGACCAACCCCTTTCCAGTCTGCTCTTGTTAAGCCGGACATGACCCTTAAAGGCTACCGCCTCGTCGTAACGGCGAAGAGAATGAGAACTCCTTGACGGACGTTGGTTATTGGCTCACGAAGGCTTGAAAAGGGAAGGTCCGTAAATGGGATATACACCAGGGCATAGTAAAGGCACGCCAGCTGTAGGGATGCCTGCAAATATTAAGAACACGAGGACCAGGAAAATAGTGACCGCGTCCTAATGCTTTTACGATTTCGCGATGCCGAGCTGTTTCATCGAATGTATTGTCCACGTGGCTGTGATTCGTACGAGCTCAGGTTGTACTCCGTACCCGCCAAGGTTCTCGTCGTTTAGAGGCACATGTACGTCGCAGGACTCTGTATAGATTCACGTGTGAAAACATTTCAACCGCTGGGTCTAGCAAGTACCCCTAGTTCGAACACTGAAAAGGGAGAGGAGAATAGATTACTAGCATTTCATGCTGCTAATGTGAATACTCAAATTAGTAACCAAAGGAAGGTGGATATTTGTACTTTTAGGCCTCTTGAGGGATGAAATTGTGCTACTGCTCCCAATACGGAACAGAGTCGAAGTGCAGGTTGTACAACTTTTGGAAAAGTCTCCTTTTTAATCAAAAAATGAAGATCTAGGCTTGTTTTATGATCTAAGGATATGTAATTTGTTCAATGGTACAGTCTACAGCCCCTATCCAGGGGTATATCTACAAACGGCTGATGATCGCTCCAGCATACTCGTGCGTCTTCGCCTTCCCTCCCAAATCCCCGGTCAGTGTCTTGCCTTCTGCAAGAGTATCAAAAATGGCTGTCTCTATTCTTGTCGCATGCTCGTTCAATCCCATATGTCTCAACATCATGATAGAGCTGAGCAAGAGCGCAGTAGGGTTGGCGAGGGCCTTCCCCGCAATATCAGGCGCGGAACCGTGAACAGCCTCGAAAATAGAGCATTCGTCTCCGATATTTCCAGAGGGAGTAAGACCAAGACCGCCAATGAGGCCAGCGCACATATCGGAGAGAATGTCGCCATAAAGGTTAGGCATAACCAGGACCTTGTCGTTGTAGGGTGTGGGATCCGTCACAATCTTCAGGCAGGTGTTGTCAAGAAGCTCGGCGTCGAACTCGACGTGGGGGTAATTCTTTGCAACTTGTTTTGCGGTACCCAGGAAAAGACCATCACTCATTTTCATGATAGTAGCCTTGTGAACCGCGCGAACCTTCAGCCGCCCGATATCCTCGGCGTATTGGAAGGCGAATCGAAGTACCCGCTCGCTCGCGTCTTTGGTGATAAGCTTGATGCTCTGCACAACACCGTCTACCACCACGTGCTCAATTCCCGAGTACTCTCCCTCGGTATTCTCTCTGATCAAAACTGTGTCCACGTTGTCATAGGGCGTCTTGTAGCCGGCGATTGAACGGCAGGGTCGAACGTTCGCAAATAGGTTGAATGTTCGTCGAAGGGTTAGGTTCAACGAGACGTGGCCTTTGCCAATTGGTGTCTAAAAGCGTTAGCCATGATAATCGCGGTTGGCCGAGAGCGACTCCTTACAGCTAACGGGCCTTTCAAAGCTACTTTGGTCCGCTTGATACTCTCGATTGTTTCTTCTGGGATTGAGGTCTTCCCATTTCTTAATTGGGGGGTGACATCGACCGGCTCCCACTTAATGGGGGCCTTGAAACGTCGTTAGCAGGTTCTGCGGTCAATTAATCCGTGAGTTGCGTACCTTGGCAGCCGCAAAGATGTCCTTCACGGACTGAGAAATCTCAGGTCCGATGCCGTCACCCTCGATCAAACTGACCGTGTAGAGTCCCTTAGAAAATGTCAGCCTCCGGAATCTCAGTAATAACCTTCCCAGGGCCAATTGAGTCTGTGACAACAGCCTAGACTGCTATCTTGGACGAGAATGTTGCCATCGGAGCCTTACGTCTGAACCCTTTTGTCCATGGAATGTTGCCACCTTCCCCTTCTTCGAAATATCGGTCGCATAACCGCGCTGGCACTACGTTGAGATGTTAGCTAGTGCATGTACCGCAAAGCCCATGAGCTGGGCCTAGACGGAGGAGGTCGACATACTTGGATTTGGATGGATGACGTCCAGGCGCGAGGGAGTCCCTGGAGGCATTGTCGCCGCGCTGGCGCCGCAAAAGAACGTACTGCCAGCATTCTGACCAGACTATAACGACCAGAGTATGTTGCAATGTGTGCAAGAGCGGATTGGGGGAGTTTGTGGTGGGAGTCGGATTGGGCGGAACGGAGGGGAAGTGGGAAGACTGAAGATTTGCGATAATGTCGGAGGCGTAAATAAGTACGTGCAATACTTGGTACTTGTACGACTTTTAGGCCTGCTGGTCCTTGGCGGGTGGTTGCTGGTGGCGCCGTGAGCGGCTCAGCGGAGCTCGACATGGACCGGACTCGTGCACGTATCATAGTACGTACCAGAGCGCGGTACAGTAATACAGATAGCTACCACCACAACCACCATCTATTGACAGCTGGTCCCCAACCATTGTCTAACACTACTGCTGGGCTCTTAAGATTGATGGGCTTCAGCAACCTAAACTTAAAAATACTCCAATGCCGCTGGTCGCCATCCTCATCCATACATCCCCCATAAAACAGAACAACAAGGATGGCCGATTCCGAGCGCACAGTGCTGGAGCATTACCAGCTCTCAACCCCCTACCCCGTGGAATGGCCAGCAGAGAAGGATACCAGTGATGCATCGGATGAGGAGGATTCTCCCCAAGCCAGACAGAATGGACTCCGGCGATCCAAGTCGAGATATTCTGCTTTGGAACGAGCTGCGAGCGATGGGAAAAGCCTACCTGGCGCACAAAAGACTGGAGACGGCGTGGAGAATCTGGTTCAGAGAGACGAGCCTGATCCTCTGGGGACCACCGATAGCGTGGTGAGGGTATTGCGGCAGCTGGGTCTGCCAGTGCAGGAGGATACTCGATTACGTCGGTATCCCTTCTCTAAACCAACCGACGAATATAGCTGACGGCCCCAGGTAATAGATTCCTCCTGTCATCTACAACCTTCTCCCCGGCGCTTTTCCTCTCCCAGGCCCATTCAACAGCCTCTACGCAGTCTCTTCTGGAGGGCCTCGACAACCTCTCGAGATCAATTGATCAGAAATCTGCATCCCTGAAAGTGCTGGTCGAGTCGAATTTCGAGCGTTTCGTTCGCGCAAAAGCCACCATTGATAATGTATACATGGAAATGAAGTATAGGGGCGACCCCCCTACAACTGCGCGTCCTAGGCCTCATTCACGCCATGCCAGCAGGAACAGCTTCCGGATGAGTAGCGGCAATCAGGCGCCAATGACAGTAGCTCCTCCTGACAACAAGAAGAAAAATGCTCTCACTAAGGAGAGTGAGTACAGCGTTTTGGGAATCAAAAAACCGCTTTTAGATGTGTCTGCAAAAGCAGAAGAGATCTGGGGTCCGGCTCTGGGAGGCCGCGAAAAGGAAGACAACTTGAAGACTTTGTCCATGACTTTTGAACGGCATAAAGAACTCTATGAAGTCAACGGAGCCATTACAGATTGCATCAAACGGAAGGATTATGAAACTCTTGTAGAGGAGTATGGAAAGGCAAAGCGATTTGCAGATGATGCAAGGCGATTGGCAGAGGGTTTAGGGACAACGGCCCCAACAGATCCCCAGTTACATGAGATTCTGCTAGCTGCTCGTGTATGGCATGATGTCGAGGAACAAATCGAAGGTTTTAAGCGGGATATCTGGCGGAAGTTGATTGCTACGCAAGATGTTCCAACGAAGGGCGATGGTGCTTTAAGTGGTCCACAAGACCAGCATTTGGAATTCATAGGTATCTTGCTCGAGTTGGGCGTCACTGATAATCCAATCTGGGTTTGGCTCCTTAGTCGCTATGATCATTTGAAGAACAAGATTACCACAACTTCTGAACGCTCGAAAGTCGAGATTGAAGTGTTTCGAAGGCGGTTGGCGAATGGAGAAAGACCCACGAATCAAGTGGTAGCGTCACATTTACGGTCTCTGTCGCGCCAAACTGCAGAAGACAAACCAGCGACTATAGACTCCGCAGAGGTCATCGAACTTTGGGAGAAGATGGATAGCTACCTGAACAACATGCTTTCCACCCAAGGAATTCTTGGGGAGGTTATGGTATTCTGGCAGACCGTACAGAGTTTCATGGAGGGAAATGCACAGAGGACCTTACCAGTGGGGATAAATGGCGAGTCCCGAAAACACCACAGGCTGTCTGCTCAGGGCACGGTGGAGCTGCAGAAAGGTACGGTTGAATTATTCGACATGATAAGGGAGAGCGTATCTGGATTCTTCGCAGATCCGCCCATTGAAGATATTTCCTCTCTATTTTCGCCTTTGCCACCAACGCCTAATACACCAAAATCCGCTGGCTCGGGAAGTTTTACGCCGACAGGACTTCGAGATCCACGGTTTAATTTTGATCCGAATAACCTACCGCCACCATCACCCAAGAGAGGGGAAGCCTGGGAAAAGTTCGCGTTCTGGCCGCCATGGTCCAATTCCCTGAGCGGCGTCCACTACCTTGCCAAACTCCTTGTCTTGGTTGGGACTGGGGCCAGTGAGATGGCTTCGGTACCACTTATAGCAAATGGAGATGGCGCTGCGATGGAGTGGCTAAGAAGCTTTGTTGGAAGTGCACGTGAGAGATGTGTGACAGCAATCTGTGCGGCATGGAATAAAGATGCCGAGAACATCAAGGTACTTGAAGATTGGAGGCGATCTTCTGAAAGGCGTAACTTGACCAGAATGCCAGCAAATTTCGGGGCATTTGAAAGTGCTGTCCTGCTAGGAATGCAGAAGATTCTGTATATCTCTGAGGCGAAAGTAGGTTCTGCTGCGGTTGTTCTCCCACCGCCGGCGAAGCTGCTGCAGATGGTTCGAAGCCAATTCGTAACAACTCTCTATAAGGCGCTGAGTGGGATGGTTGAGAATGCAGAAAGAGCAGTGCAGAAGCCAGATGACGACTGGATAGCCGAAGCTGATGGCCTAGCAAGCCCTGTTGCAACAATAATTGCAACCAGCATTGGCGCTGGAACCGTGGATGCTAGTGATAGGGTATGGTTTCTCTCATCTTCCAGAGCTATTTTCAGCTAACTCCGATAGAATGTTCGGATGCTCTTGACACTGAGTAATCTTCAAGCTCTACGGATTGACATCGTCCCGAACCTCACGACTCAGTTCGAGAATGCATTCTCGGTGAAATTGACAGATGAATCGAAAACTATCCGCGATGTCCTAGGCCAGATTGATGCTCGCCTCTTCCAGTCTTATACGCGCCCAGCAGTAGAAACTTTGGGCAAGATAATTCGAAGCGGTATATTGGCTTCAGACTGGGCGCCTGCATCCAATGAGAAACCGAGGGAGGTCCGACCGTACGTTTATGAGGCACTTCTCAGCGTTGTCCTTGTCCATACCCAGGTCTCCACCACATCGTCGTCCTTGACTGCTCCGGTCCTTTCCCATCTCTTGGAGCAGGCTTCTCGGGAGCTGCTCGAGGCCTTCAAACAACGGCAACGGTATACCCTACCAGCTCTCATGCAAGCAACACTCGACGTGGAATTTGTAGCTCAGACTCTCAGCCAATATACGACAGACCGAGCAAGCGAGATGCAGAGCCAGATTTACCAGGAGCTAGATAAAGGGACGGACAATGAAGCAAGAACAAAGCTACAGAGCGAACTGCCAGAGATGAGGGCAATTTTGAAGAGGCTACGGGAGGGGAGTAGGAGCGAATTTGCCTGTTTTAAGAAAACCCGCCGCCCGGAGAGAAGGCCTTCTCAGCCTCCACAGAATTTGATATAGAGAGAGGAATAGAAATGCCCTTTAATAGAACTAAAGTCTTAAATCGCGTTATGCATCTAGAAGACTGTATTTTATTTTATTCACGCACTTTAGCACAGCGGATGTCTTCGTTTTCTCAAATGAACCTCAATTCACATAACATACTCAGTTGAAGTGAATGTCTCAAATCGCGTGGAACATTTGAAAGCCATCTTATTAAATATATTTATTTTATTCGTGTTGCAAAGCTATCGTGTGTGGCAAAGTTATCGTGTAGCAAAGTGGCAAAGCGCAATGCGGCTTACCCAGCATACATGGTGGCTGGGGTTAGACCGATGCGTGCAGTCGTGACTGCATCTATCTACTATCGTACAACATTATACATAAAATCATAATTCGTGAAAGCTTCCACCTGTAAAAACCCCCCCTTAACTAGCCATATAACGCCTTTGAACCTATTCTGGATCCGGGATAAGGAGACGTGAGCAGTAGCGAAGTTCATAGCTGCGGGAGTCTGTCTCGTCGAATACGTCGGTATCGCGGCTATCGCGGCGGCTAATGATATCTGCTTCTGTAGATTGCGTTAGTTAATAGCCTGTGTAAGGAGTTATATTCAAAAGACTTACCCTTAAGCTGCAACTTCTCCAAGAACTCCTGCACAGCTGGATCCCGATCACTTGCAATCACGCCATCCTGACCGACAGTAGGGTCCGCGGGGACATGCTTAATGCGCTCCAGCATATTTGTCATGTTGGCGACTTCCCTGGCTTGTCTAGCATACACGTAAGGCTTCTCGGTGAGTGGCCATGTATCCTCGAGATTCTTCTGCCAGCTATCAAAGAACCACGTAGTCCTTTCAAGAGCGTTCATGATGAGGAGTCCGACGATAAGGAGTTCAAATGATCGCTTTGCAGATGCGTTAAGCAGTCTACGCTCCAACATTCCGAGCACAGACGATGCCAACTGTGTAGCCCGCTTCTCAACTGCCTGGTCGAGCTGGGATCGGATAGTGATGTACGTTTGATCGGGCCGGGAGATAACGGTGTCAGTTCCTGAGTTTAGCCCAGGCTTCTCCACGAGCGACCAAACCATCTCATGGTCCATCAACATATGGATGGTGACCCAGAATTCGATGGCGGCGTTAAGCAGGGTATCCGAGACGTGAGGAAGCAGTTCAGTAGCCGTGGCCAGGGTAACTTGCATAAAATGAGATTGCTCGCGCTTAATAAACTCCGGCTGCATACGCTGTGTGTATCCCTTAATCTTGGAGGCGATGTCATCGCTGTCGGTGTCCAATATCAGACGGACGCCGGTGACCAGGTCGCCACCCAGTCCAGGGTCAACGTTGCGCTCTTCCCGAACATGAGTCTCTACAGCATGAAACACTGCAGAGATACCTGTGTCAAGGTGGTGTGATGCTTCAATCTGAATGGCGGATGGTTGCACCTTCATCTGGGTTCTGACCTTTCGTACTTTCTCAGCCCCAATAATAGCGTGCAGGCCCGCCTCGTACATCATACACAGAGTAGCCAGCCGTTTACGTGAACAAGGAGTCTTCCAGATACGGGCAGAGTCGACCTTCTCACACTTGGTGCAAGGCGTACCTTGTGAGCACGGCTTTTTGAGCACTCTGCAACGAAGACATGCTCCGAGCTTCCTAACCTTCTGAACTTCAAGGCGACGGTCGGGTGGAAACTTGGTGCGTGTCTTTTTCTTAATAAGGTGGTTCGTACCAGGCTCGACGCTGAACTCAGAAGTCATCGGCGTGCCGACGGCAGACACTGGGGAACCAGCATTCAGAGGTGAGCCGGCGGAATTCATAGCAAGGGCTGGGTATTTGCTAGCCTGCATATGTTCATTGCTCTGCAGCATAGGGGCATCCGGTGCATGATAAATATTATCACGAGGGGCCTCCATGATCCATGGTCCCTGCGGGTGGTTGCCAACGAAGAGCTCGTTAGACATCAACGACGAACCTCCCTCATTATATTGCCTGAGTGTCTCTTCGAGAGCATGGTCGCCGTATCCACCAGCGGAATGGACACTGATGTTGGTATCGCGATCCAACAGCTGAGGGTCAAGCATTTCGGGGCCGAAATGCGCCGTAGCTGCTTGAGCTATGCTCGTAGCAACGCTGAGATTAGGGGTAGCTGAGCGGGAGTGCGACATATGGGTGTAGTTTCCAGCCTGGAGAGACGTGTTGGTGTTTTGGTATGTAGGAAGGTGGAAGTTGAGATCATCGCTGCTATGAAAGTTTGAATTGGCAGGTTGCAGTGAATCGTAGCTCTGAAGAGAAGGGTCTATCATGTTGACACGAGTTGCCTTTTGATCACCGGCTAATAACAGTTAGTACAGGATGAGCAAATCAACCTGAGTCTGGTGAAACTTACACTTCTTGTTGTTCTGAACGCGCTGTTCGTAGCTAAGCGGTGGATTCTCCAATGTATACTGCTCCTGAAGCATAAGGTGGTTCGCAGGATGGGGATGAGGCTTGGACGAACTGGGGCTGGCTTCCTGTGTGTTCTGAACTGTGACGTCTGCGAGAGTTCGGAGAGGGCCCCAAGCGTTCGAGTCAGGCGGCAGCACAGCAGAAGGACCAGCACCACTCATCTGCATGCCTCCGTTGTTCATGTTCAATTGATTATTTCCATTATCGGGGATGCCACTGATTTCAAGAACAGCGGAACGACGTTCGTCAACCGAAAGAGCATGGCACTTTTTGGTAATGTGCGCGTTGAGAACCTCGTTACGACCCTTGGGAAACTTCTCACCACAGGCCTTGCAAGTGTGAACGTATCGGTTCGAAGAATCGTTCAATTTGGGGCCGCGGTCAAAGTACTTGACGATGAGGGCTGGAGAAAGGTTAAGGTCAGTATAGATCGATCATATCATCGGGTAATGCAAAAGTGTGGAAGAGAGGAAGAGTGGAGGAAGTATGGAAGTGTGAAGGTGAGGAAGTGTGAAAGTGAGGAAGTGTGGAGGCGTAGAGGGGCGGAGGGGTAGAAGGTGAGAGTAGAGGTGTAGAACGCGTCTCGATAGTGATAAATGTAGGAATTGAAATAGAATCAGCAGGAGGACTTACGGTTGGGCTTGCGACCCATCGTGATTGACCTTCCAGATCGCGATCTTGGGGCTTGGAAAGGCGCTTTGCGTTGGTTGTTGTTTGTTTGTGGAGGTAAGAGGGGACGAGGTGGGATGAGGTGGGGGGGATTGAGTTGAGTTGAGTTGAGTTGTGTCGTGCTGAAATCTTCGATGGGGATTGAGGTTGTTGTTTGGGTAAGGAAGTGGGATGAGAGAAGAGGAGAGGAGAGGAAAGCAAATAGATCCGGTTGTAATGTTGTTGTGGTGTTGTTGTGTTTTGGCGGGCAGCGAGATCGAGGTCGCTGTCGCTGTCGCTCGTCGCGGCAGAATCGAGGAGCAGGTGGTGAATTCAAGGTCGGTGAAGCTTTTATGCCAGATCTATTCCTCCATACCGCCTGCAAATGACCGATGTTGGACAAAACTAGGCGGTGAGCTGTTTTTCCCCCAGAGTCGCGGCGCCCGGATCAGCTTAGCGTCATGCGCGCGGGTTGCGGCCCTGCTAGCGCCCGCGTATGGCGTAAGGCTCGCAGTTACAATTACTTTCGTTCTTCGTATGGGGTTGTGCTGTACACTCGAGTCTCGAATATAAGGTAGGTAAGTTAAGGTAGGTAAGGTACGTAGGTAGGATATGTCTGGTTGCTTCAATTCCTTGAGTTTTACTTAACTAAAGGCCACACAGAACGCCAAGATATAGCTTCCCTCCAGGCCTACAGAGTAGCTGAAAGATGCTGAGGAAATTAAATAGGAATGAAGGTTCATTTTATTGTCGAGAGCATGGACCAAACCCGCGTCTCGACGCGTGCTACAATATAAATAGTACAGTACATTTTCCACAAAGCGAGTATCTCGCACTCGATACTATCCTCTCCACTCCACCTGGCATTATAATGATCCTCACTTACATCTTCGCCTTGCCCTCTCCAACTAACTCTGCCGCGGCTCCAGAGATACACAGCTTGCCGGTCTCCTTGACGAATGTCTGGAAAATAACTTTCTTTCCTTCCTTCCACATCTCGGTTACCAGCGTCTGGCCGGGCAACACTGTGCCGACAAATCTCACCTTAATGTTCTTGATCGGTCCGAACTGAGTATAGACAGCCTTGCCCGCGATGCCGAAGAAGCAGAGGCCGTGTAGGATAGGAACCTTGAACCCGCCCATCTTTGCAAATGCAGGGTCGACGTGTAGGGGGTTATAATCTCCGCTTAGGCGATACAGCACAGCTTGTTCTTCCGTGGTTTTCTCCTCAACGATGCAGTCTGGTGCACGCTTTGGTGCTGGGTTGGCAGCTGTGCTGGCACCTCTATCTTGTGGCTTCTTGTTTCCTCCGAACCCGCCAGATCCTCTGATGAAGACGGTGGATTCGTTGTAGAAGACTGGCTTGCCGGTCGCTTGGTTGACTGTCGTGATGCCTGATTTGACAATGGCAGCATTGCCTTTGTCGACAACATCAACAAGTTTGGCGTGGGAGACCAAGGTGGCGTTGGTGGGAATGGGGTAGGAGAGGATTTCGAGGTATTGTTCTCCGTGTAGAAGCATCATGGGGGAGAAGTTGGGGACGATGTCGTCAATGTTATAAGGAGTTTCGGCGGAGAAGAATGGGATCACGCCGAATGTTGGCAGGGCTTGGAAATTTTCGTGTCCCTCGCTGTGTGTCATTGATATTAGCTGCGCCTCCTGGAACAAATTCAGAAGTCTGGGGGGCAACGTACAAAACCAGTGCCAGATCGGTCTTCTTTGCTCCAACACCTAAGTTGTATAGTGCGACATCCCTTTCGTCGTATTTGAACTCGGTGCCCTTACTCTCGGCCTTCATGGCCTTCTCGATATTTGCGAGGATCTCGGGGTTTGAATTGCTAGCAGCATCACCCTTCTATTTGCAAAATTATATGTTAATAAAGTTTTATTTCCAAGTGAGTGTAGCTACATATGTACAGAGGACCACACCAGATGTGATGATAGAGAAGGATCATACCTTGCTCGCACCACCCTTCTTATTTTGCATATTTGCCATAATGCTCTTCAATCCGTCTTGACCATCTTCGGGATGGTCTGCACGTCCATCATCGAAGTTGTTAATTTTCTCCCACTTCTTCAGCACCTCCTCGGGTGTCAATTTGACATCGATAGGGAATCCATGGCCGCCAGTCCGTTGCCATCTTGTTTTTCCAACCCAACCGCTACCAACTTCGTAGAGACCGCCAGTGGGTTGGCTTGGGACCTTATCTGAGCAGAGAGCGACAACCAATGGCGCTATGTACTCTGGCTTGAATGCTTGGACCAGCTCTTCGGGCAAGATGGTTCTGGTCATTGCTGTTCCAGCATTTGGCGCAATTGTATTGACGTAAATGTTGTATTTTGCGCCTTCACGAGCGAGAGCACGGGAGAAACCAAGAATACCGCATTTCTATGTCTGTTAGATTTTGTGCCAAAATGGATGTCAGGGACTTACAGCTGCAGCGTAGTTGGCTTGTCCAAAGTTTCCATAAATACCACTGGTCGAGGTGGTGTTGAGAACACGACCATACTTCTGCTTAAGGAAGTACGGCCACGCAGCCTTGGTGACTTTGTATGTGCCTCTCAAGTGGACCGACATGACCTGGTCCCACATCTTGTCGTCCATGTTGGCAAATGCCTTGTCTCGGAGAATGCCGGCATTGTTAACAATAATATCAATACGGCCAAAAGCGTCAATGGCAGCTTTAACGCATGCGTCTCCGTCTTCGGCTGAAGCCTTGACACCCACTGCCTTGCCGCCGGCTTGGCGGATCTCGTTAACAACATCGTCTGGGTTCATTAGGTCGTTGACAACAACTGCAGCTCCGTACTTGGCGAATGCTAAGCAGTAGCTACGGCCAATGCTAGAAGGAGAGCATGCATTAGTAACCATTCATGATCTACAAGCTGAATGATGACTTACCCAGCGCCACCGCCAGTAACTAAAGCAACTTTGCCCTTGAAATCAAGAGTCTCGCCCTTATCACTGGGGCCCATCTTCATCGACTGTTCAAGCAGTCCCAGGAAATCATTTGTTCCACTTGGGTACTGTGCATTCTTGGGATCGCTAACTTGATCCCACTTCTTCAAAATGGCACCTGGGGTATATGAATCATCCGCCTTCAAGAGCAGACCACTGGAACGCTCCCATCGTAGTTTTGCGATGTGGCCTCCGCCAACTTCATAGATGCATCCGTTTTCTTCCGTATCTTTGTGAGTGAGCACTGCAACTAGGGGAACAACCCATTCCGGCTTGAGGTTTTCCAGAATGTCAGGTGGCATGACGGTTTGTGTCATTCTGCTGGCAGCTGGGGTTTGAATTAGCACACCGTCTACTCTACAGGGAATAGAACATACCAATTGGTGCAATGACGTTGGCGTGGATGTTGTACTTTGCTCCCTCCTTGGCGAGAGTCTCTGTGAATCCGACCATCGCCAACTTGGCGGCCGAATAGTTGGTTTGCCCGAAGCTGCCAAAGAGGCCTGCCGCAGAGGCAGTGTTGATGACTCGGCCATACTTTTGTTTCCGGAAATGCGGCCAAGCAGCTCTGGCACACTTATACGAGCCCTTGACGTGGACGTCGATAATCAAATCCCAGTCCTGGTCAGTCATGTTCTTGAAGCTGATGTCCCGAAGGATACCAGCGTTGTTGATGAGGACATCGATGCGACCGTAGTTTTGGATGGCCGTCTCGATGATCTTGTCGCCATCGGTGACGCTGTTGTAGTTGGCTACCGCCTTGCCGCCAGCGGCTTTGATCTCGTCGACCACGATATCTGCGGCCTTTTGGGGGTCATGGTTAGCAGGGTTTTTTTTTGAGGATAGGGTCGGATTGAGTTCGGGTTGGGGTTGGGATTATAATCAGGACTTGAACAACGCACCCTTGAAGAGTTTCCCTCGCCTTTGAACGAGCCTCCCAAGTCATTGACAACGACACTGGCGCCTCTAGAACCGTAGAAGAGTGCGTATGACTTTCCTAAACCACCTCCTGCTCCTGTGACGACGACCACCTGGCCATCAAAGCGTAAGTCCGACATTGTGAGGGGGTGTTGATATGGTTATGATACGATCGGGAGTATGGAGGGTGCGGTATAGAGGGAGAGGGAGTGAGAGGAAGCTGGTAACAGAGAGCTGTGGCAGATGCTCGGGCTAATAAGTACTGATAAATGGAGGGCAGGAGAGGGCAATAGAGAGAAAGGGAGAGGAGGCCGGTAGCAGAAAGCCGTGGAAGATGTTCGGGCTAATAAGTAGAGGGCAATATACGCTGGACGGTTGACGAGGTTGCCCACATACCTCGGCAACATTTGGACCTATCTTATGACGAGAGGCCCCCAAGTGGCGCCTGCTACCGCAAGATGCCGCCAGCACAGCCGAACACTGTTGTTACTATGAAAATAACCCCACATCAGCACCGACTTGGAAAGCTTATTAGGATTTATTGTGACTTCACATGCAAAATGTTACAGGTAGAGGTAATAACTCGTGTTCACGTGCCTCGCTCCGTTAACATTTTCTGGGGTAAGGTCTGCTATAACGGTGCTACATATATTCCACGTGTGCACAGATATGCCAGTACCATCTGGCTAAGGCACGAGTTAGTTGTTCAGTGATGATGGCTCTTCAAGGTATCTAGGTACCCTTTGTAAATATCGAGTACTCTTACGATTAGACTACGTCTAGTACTTCATCTTCACCACTTATTACTACCGATCTATGCCGAACAGGTGCCGTCCTACGCCTGAGATGCTTTGCAGCCCTATGATTCCAACCCAACATGCCTTTATCAACCCCAATTAGCCTCCTCGTTGCCTCACGCAGGCCGAACCGAAGCCCGAAGCTCCTTATCCCTTCTTTGTGCCCATTGTTGACGTGTCCATGACCATGTCCCCAGATCCGTCGCTGAACCAGCAACCGGGAGTCCCCCCACCTACGACAACTACACCCGCTGGACAACAACACACCCAGCAGAAGCAGAACACAATCATCGACGACAAATCCCCCCATTGTATCCCCTTCATCATCTCCCACCTACATCACCATCTTGCCGACCCCATAAAGGCCAACCGACCTTTCGTTGTCGGCCTCAATGGCATCCAAGGCGCCGGCAAAACGACCCTCGTGTCGGCTCTCGCAGAGAACCTACGAGTGAAGGAGGGGTTGGAGACGCTGGTGCTGAGTATTGATGATTTGTATTTGACAAGGGAAGACCAGGTGAAGCTGGCGAGTGAACATGCAGCGAATAAGCTTGTCCAGTATCGTGGGGAACCAGGTCCGTAGAGTCCCCCCCCCTTTTCCTTCAGCAGTCCCTATGTTTGCCAGGGACTTGCCAACGACGAGGCCGAAATGGAGGAGAACCGCCCCGAGACACAGCGAGAACCACCAAAGGCTAACTGTTCAATCTGCAGGAACCCACGACATGCAACTAGCCCACGCCACCATAACCTCCCTCCTCTCCAACCGCGAAACCAAGATTCCGTCCTACGACAAATCCCTCCACAGCGGCCTAGGCGACCGTCTCCCTCTCTCGCAATGGAAAACCGTAAATGGCCCCTCTCAACCGCCCATCCGCGTAATAGTCCTCGAGGGGTGGTGCGTAGGCTTCCGTTCGTTGCCCCCTTCAACCATTGCCGCGAAACAAGCCTCCCCAACATCTCTCACGCTACAGAACCACAAGTTAGAAGACTTGCTCTTTGTGAATGAGAAATTAAGGGAGTATGATGTTTTGACAGATGCGTTTGATGCGTTTATCCACATTGATGCGGAGGATACGAGGTGGGTTTATGACTGGAGGGAGGAGCAAGAGAGCGCGTTGAGGAGGGAGCGAGGGGTGGGTATGAGTGTTGAGGAGGTGAAGAACTTTGTGGATGCATATTTTCCAGCTTATGAGCTGTTTGTAGAGGGGGTGAGAGATGGCGTTTTGAAGGGTATGGGGCAGGATGGGAAGGCGAGGCAACTAAGGTTGGTGGTCGGGAAGGATAGGAGGGTGAAGCAGGTTCTAGAGATATGACCGCTTCAATGTAAATAACAATGGAGACTGCGGTATTTGGCTTGAAGTTGGCACTAACCCCGAAATTACATGTAAGAATCAGCCATATTTATATATATTGTAACCATCAACGGGCAAGCTGGCGACATGGAAAGAGTTTATGCAAATGGGTATCTTCTTAATGTAGCAAACGCCTTGCAGAGTGCTGATGCCATATGTTGGAGTATCCGTTTTCCGTACCATAATGCTAAGTGCAGCCAGACGCCCACAGCTCCCTTCCCTACAAGCTATAGCCTATACATAGCAACACCATATCCTATTACTATATCACCGCGGCTCACCTGACTACTCTTATACAACATACAGTCATAACTTGCGTAAAAGAGACAATCATATATCTGCGAGCCTTTTCCCTAGCATTTGCCAGACCATACCCGATATTCGATATTCTAACGGCCGGTTCTGAAGAGCGTGATCAAGACAATTCTCGAACAAAGCACCTAGGTCCTCTTACCCCGAAGTACCACCTCGCCGGTATTTTTCATATCCTCCAGCTTATCCTCGTACTTTTGAGTCTTGCTTCTCACTAGATTTTCCCTTGCCTCGTAAACAGCCTCAAATCCTTCCACAACCTTACGCTTCTTCGCTCGCGCCGCCTGGATTTTCTGCATCAACTCGTTCATCCTCTCAAGAATAAGGTCTCCGGCCAGCTCCCATTCGGCCGTCGGCATCTGTTCGAAGACATCACCGTAGGTTGACTCATTCTCATTTAACAAGAAATCCAATTTATCGTCAACAGTAGCTCCCCGGTCTTGTAGTTTTTCGGGCAGATGATGAAGACTATCCCCAGAATTTATGTCCCAACTCTGACGTTTCAGCTCCGCGAAGCTCATGGCTTTTAGGCTCTCATCATCATAATCTGGGCTGGGAATATATGTCCACTGCTGTTGACGGGTTGGGCTTTCAATCCGACCCCCTGGCGACATTTCATCACTGTCTTCAACATACTGGCCCCTTCCAGCTCCTTGCAGTCGAGCAGACTCATCCACATCAGACTCTTCTGAACCCAAACTCTGGTCCCAAATCTCTCTATGCGTGTGATGCAGCTGATGAGGAATAGCCTGAGTCTGAGCTTCAAAACGACCGTTTGAAGAGTGACCCCGCTTCTTGGAAACCCCAGGGTCTGAATGTAATATATGCTCATCGGAGCCTAGGTGAGCATAGAGCTTCGGTAGTGAACTAGGGTGCTGGAAACGGCCGCTGATGCCTGGTGGGTATTGCGGTTTTGGAGCCTCAAGCTGCTCAGCTTTTAGTTGTGACTGGCTCTGCTTGTGATGGAGTCTCGGATGAGCAACTTCTTCAGATGGATACATGGCGTCATTATTCCTTGGGTACATAGGAATGGTCCGGTGGTAGCCATCGAAGCCATCGTCAGCAGCGTCATTCTGTGCGTCAGAATAGCCGTCCTGCTCATAGCCTTGAAACCCTCCTTGCGCTTCGCTCCTGGTGTCTTCAAAACTCGATCCAGCCGTGGTATTAAAAATGTTTCTCTCGTGGGATGGCTCTGGTGTTTTGGACGACGGATACTGAGGATTGGGAAATGTGTTCCGACCATTTGAGGGATTTGAGGTGTAACCAGGATTCGGCGCAGTACTTGGTAAGCTTTGAATAGTAGGAGCCGGGCTGATGCCTCGCCTCGGGTTACTGGGGACTTTGAGGTTCATTGCAGCAGCACGGTTATGTGGTATACCTCCAGGAGGTGTAGAAGTACGTGAATCCACAAAAGTAGTTACACCCGACATATTTGAAATCTTTGTGACAGGAAGTATGGTTGGAGAGTTTCTCGTTACTATTGGGCACTCGACCTAGAGCAGAGAGGTGTCAGTCTATCTTTCGCCAAAGAAAGTAGCTTAGATAGTTAATTATTCGGCCACTAACTGAGTTGCGTCGAATCGATTGTGGAATCCGACTTGCGACTCGAATGTACCAGTGAGCCTCTAGTTTGATGACCAATCAAAGTCCCAAGGGAACACCGGTGGAAGAGCTTAACGTTCTTGGATCACTTTCATAAAATTAGCTGAAATTAGCCGTGAACAGGACTCCATATGGTACGCGTTGCTGACGGGATATTCGTGAATAGTAACACGAAGTTGCCAGTTGAGTGCGGGGAGGGAAATTCGCGGAGGTTGGTGATACGCGCAAACGCGAAGGCACGTGATACACGCATTTGAGCTGGGGCCCCTTGGGGTGGTCGAGGGATCTACTTATTATTACTCCGGTCGGTAGGTAAAGGTACATGGTGATCTATATACATACTATATGCTCTAAGTACAAGTATCTAAATTACTACGCAAAATACCAACATGTATCACAAAGCCCGAATCCGACTTTAGCCCATCAATAAGTTCCTCATCTGGTATCCGCCACACTCTGAACGCCTTGTGGAATTCCTTTAGCCATCCTTCAAACACCTCTGCGGACCGAAGCTGTTGGGCCACAATACATACAGTGGGATTTCCCACATCATCAGCCGTATGTGCTATTCCGTGTCTGAGTTTGCAAGCATCGACGCATGTCTGAACCAACGGCTTAATGAGGTTGTCATTATAGATGCAGTCGCAGGCAATCACAGCTTCAAAGCCGGACTTGCCTTCAAGCGCAGGTGGAATTGTAACTTCATCCGTTTCCCAATCTAGAGTCTGGGTGACAATGTTATTATTGGTCACCTGAGACTTATTGATTGAGGCGGAGCCCTTCTTGGGGTTTGCCATGCGTTTCTGGCCTTTGCTTGCCAAGCGTGGCTTGGCTTGGTGATTCTCCTCGAGATTCTGATTCAAAAGCTTCATCACATATTGCTGATCCGTCAACACGTATGATGCTACATGTGGGCTAAGTGCCAGCCCGATGATCCCTGATATTCCACATCCTAGTTCCAGGAGAGACGAGTTAGGGGCCAAAATGGCGGTTTTGAAGAGCAGATTGGAAGGGGAGGCAATCCAAGAAGCGAACCGCGGGGTGATTTTCCAGACGACTAGAGATACGCATACGCTTTAGCCATAGGATCCTGTCAAGTTCCGATGAGTTGGACGCAAGTACCTGCACCCGTCGTTCCACCTCCTCGGTTGGAGGAAAGTATCGTTGGCGACTGATGGATCACCAGGTCACGGTCGCCGACTGTCAACTCCAGCGTCGTGGCCTTGGAGTCGACAAACCCGAGGTTCTGGGACGGGATGGACTGAGAGAAGAGGAGAAACGACTCTAACGGACGTACTTAGCACGTCTTGGAGAGCTGTTGCTGGAGAGTCTTACCTTCTTCTGGATCGTCGATTTCCTGGCCCAGCCTTGCCAGGAAGGCTTGGAGAGCCATCCAAGGGGCTAATAATAAGACCACTTACCTCTCAAAAGCGCTATGCGGTGCTTCGAACAAACGTTACTTCGTACAACCAACGATAGAACAGCTGAGGCGTGGGTTGTCACTTGACGCTATTGCCCAGTCCCGAGTCCAGACTCCATTCCAGCCTCGCGACTAGTGGCGGCGAGAAGACCCTGCACAGGATCTGCAGACACCGCACGGAGTACGAGGTACCGGGAGTGTACAGACAGAGTCACAGACGAGCACCTAGTACTTCGTACCACCGCACGTACTTGTGCTCGAGTATGTAGTGCTAACTGAACGAATCGCTGGCGAAAGGTTTTTTCAAGGCGTAAATTGCGGTACGCAAATATGCTCTCGAAATATGATATTATGAAGTGTGCGAGGAGACCACTCGAGGAGGAGGACGAGGCGTGCGGACTCTACGGAGTGTTTGTACCGAAACACCAATATCCTCGGACGCCGGACTGAGGATGGTGGAGAGTCTAAGATTCCGTACGACTCCCAGGAGCCGCCCAGAAGCCTCGGCGCTGCGAACCGAAGGCGGAGTCCAAGGCAAAAGGCCAAAGACGGCAAATGCCATGCATCGGCGGTCGCTGAATGAAGAACAGAGTGCTTAGCATCCAGCAGTAGTCCTTGGTAGTTGGTATGTAGTTGGTAGTTGGTACGGGACGGGGTCCAGTAGTGCTCGGTTGGGAGGATCGCTGGTGCTCTATATAACCTTGCACAGAGTATCACGAAACCAGGATTGCCCTGCACGGCCAGCTTATGACGCTTCTCTACAGGACGATAATCAGAAACTCCAGACTCCAGCTCCCCCAAGCTTGTCCCCCAAGCTCCCCAGCCTCCCCCGGCAGCCAACCACCCACCGCGCTATCAATTATATCCCAAACATCCCCCAATCCTTGATCCCAATCCCTGAGCGCAGCCCCCTTCGCGATCCCCATCTTTTCTCCCCCTAGCCCTGCTCAACAAGTTAGCAACTCCTCTCCCAACAGCGCCGCCGATCAGTTTGTGTCGCCGAACTTCCTTCATCATCGAATATTCGTGCGTGGTAATAATACTTCGTGCTGATAGTTCCACATAGCTCCTAGTTGACAGAATCTGAGCTTCCTGGCGAGCTCTCTCTCCCAAGATGTCGCTCAAGAATATCACCGTGCAGCCACGCATCGTCAAGAAGCCCCCCTTTAGTGTCGAAGCTCCAGGCTATGCACCTGTCGATGGCGAGACAATCCCGCGACGACATCCTGCCGCCGCCCACAAGCTCATCGATCGCCCATCTGAGGACTGCGCGACGGTGTTCGACTTTGTCAAGCGCAGCGCCGCAAAATATGGGAACGCGAAGGCCCTGGGCTCCCGGAAGCTCATCAAAACCCACCAGGAGACCAAGAAGATCAAGAAAATGGTGGATGGCGAGGAGCAGGAAATCGACAAGAAATGGACATACTTCGAGCTCAGCGGATACAACTATATGAGCTTCCACGACTACGAAAAATTCGTGTTGCAACTCGGAGCCGGATACAGGAAGCTGGGCCTAGAAAAGGACGATAGGATACATATCTACGCCGCGACCAGCGCGAACTGGTTGGCCGTATCACACGGTGCAACTTCCCAGTCGATGCCCATCGTCACCGCATACGACACGCTGGGCGAGGAGGGTCTCAGACACTCCATGGTGGCAACAAAGGCTAAACTTATCTTCCTGGATCCTCATCTCCTACCTACACTGATCAATCCGCTAAGTGAGGCAAAAGATATCAAGTATGTTATCTGGAATAGCGAGCATGATGTCAATCCAGACAACATCGAGAAGCTCAAGAAAGCACATGAACACCTCACAATCATGAGCTTGGAGGAGCTCAGGAAGCTCGGCGAAACCAATCCAGTCGACCCAGTGCCACCCACCCCGGAGGACCTTTGCTGCATCATGTATACTTCTGGTTCTACTGGCCCTCCCAAGGGTGTGCCACTCAGGCATAAAGCCGTCGTGGCAGCAGGTAACCATCCCCTTGATGCTTATTTCCCATCATAGCATGCTAACAATTTGCAGTTGCGGGTGTTAGTGTCATTGTCGAACCGTATCTTGGCCCGGGCGATAGCCTGTTGACATATCTGCCACTTGCACATATTTTCGAATTCGTCTTCGAGAATGCCGTCTTGTATTGGGGAGGTACCATGGGTTACGGCAACCCAAAGACTCTATCAGACTCATCCGTCAGAAATTGCAAGGGCGATATCAGGGAGTTCAGGCCAACAGTCCTCATCGGTGTTCCCGCGGTGTGGGAGACCGTCAAAAAGGGCATTGTTGCTAAGGTCAATGCTGGTAGCCCCATCGTCAAGAGCCTATTCTGGTCAGCCCTTTGGGCAAAGACCAATATGATGCATTACGGCATACCGGGGGCTGGCATCCTGGATGCGATTGTGTTCAAAAAGGTCAAGGATGCAACTGGCGGACGATTAAGAATCTGTTTGAATGGTGGTGGACCCATCTCGAAGGATACCCAGCGGTTCATTTCCATGGCTATCACTCCTATGATCAATGGATATGGATTGACCGAGACCACCGCAATGGGTGCTCTCATGGACCCGATGGCATGGACTGATTCGGCCCTGGGAACTGTTCCAGGCTCCGTCGAGATCAAGCTGGTCGACTTCCCCGATGCGGGGTATTACGCCACAAACAAGCCCTACGCTCAAGGAGAAGTTTGGATCCGTGGCTCAACAGTCCTGGAGAAGTACTACGATAATGAAGAAGAGACCAAAGCATCAATCTCCCCAGATGGGTGGTTTATGACTGGTGACATTGGAGAGTTTGATCACAATGGACATCTACAGGTCATCGATCGTAAGAAGAATTTGGTCAAGACGCTGAACGGCGAGTACATCGCTATTGAGAAGCTTGAGTCAATCTATCGATCTGCGACAGTCGTTGCCAATATCTGCGTCTATGCAGATGCACAAAAGACAAAACCGGTGGCAATCATTGTTCCTGCCGAGCCAGCTTTGAAGAAACTGGCAGAGCGGCTCGGCGTCAAGGGCGAAGGAATCGAGGACTTAGCGCACGACCGGAAGATTCAGGCTGCGGTTTTAAAGGAGCTGCAGGCAGCGGGTAAGCAAGGTGGATTGTCGGGTATCGAAATTGTGGAGGGCGCAGTTTTGGCGGATGAAGAATGGACACCTCAGAATGTAAGTGCCCTCTCATTGCATGAAGGATATGTACTAATTGATGTGACGTAGGGCTTTGTAACATCAGCGCAGAAGCTAAACCGAAAGGCTATTCTGAAGAAGTACCAGAAGGAGATTGATGCTGCGTATGCCAGAAATTCTTAGATGATCGATATCCTAATGGCGATGAAGCGAATGTACATGAGAACCGAGGGCCAAAATTTCGATTTAAGCGGTAGCGTTGTATTTATATTACTTTAATCCAGCTTCCAGCTTCCAGCGCAGTCCAGAAATGTATTGGCTATGTCACCCGTTATCTGTTTATTGATGCCGCGTATTGCTACTCTAACATCTGTAGGTCTTTTCCTTGTCTACGAAGTACAGTGTGAGTAGCATGGCAGCATGGAGGCCATGTGCAGACTTATGCATCAGCGGATGGTCCAAATACCATATAAACAGCAGGATATTGAAGCCTACTCTAGTAATAGTAGTATATTTGGCCGCCCAGCCCTGCATAGGGCATCCGTTGGATATCACTCCTAGCTATTTAATAAGCTTTGCTGTGTATCACAAGTGTTTGGAATGTCCTAATCCACACCGGCTGTTGGGCGCCTTCCTCAAAGGGAATGTATCTATTTTCTATTTGCCGGCTACTCTGCACTCGAGTTTTGTTGCACATCGCAATTCTTCCCCGTGAAATTCTCAACATGTGGTCTGCGAGTCGGGCTTTCCGCAATTGGCGGCCGCCCAAATAATGCCCTCATAAATAAAAAGCAAAACCATAGCACACAGCTGCTCCTTCCCCGCAGCCCGCACCACCCCCTGCGAGCCAGGTTCAAGGTAAGGGTTCAATACAGCTCACAACAGGGATTTTATAACCGAGCTTCAACCGCGTACCGAGGCCCCTTACCAATCGCCTGGACTCGTAACGAGACTAGTAGCCCCTCCTCATCATTTGTAATACTCTTATAATGCCGAATAAGCCGTTTTCCGGGAACCTCCGAATGGTAATGGCTCAGTGGTCTAGTGGTATGATCGTCGCTTCGGGATATCTTGTGAGATCCCCCTCGGAAGAGAAACAAGTGTGTCAGACCCGGGTTCAATTCCCGGCTGAGCCCGTCGCATTCGTTTTGCCAGGTGATGTTAGTGATTATTTTATGTGCAAACTGTGTATGTAACATTTTCTTTTTTTTATATTTTGTTCCAAATGCCGTGTGCTTTTTTGGTGGGGATGGATGGACCATGCGAGATTTATTTAGCCAACGCGCTGTTGAGGAGGGCTAGCTAATACGAAAGAAAGGGGCATCGATCAGGAGAGGTACTACACCTCTCTATGTCTCTTTAAGCTTGTAAAGCTCATCGGGCTCTTAGAAGCCAGCAAGAGGTGAAATTTAGTCACTTATGAGGGGGAAGGAAGTAAGGCAGAGACTAATTAATTAGTCTTAGGAAACAAATAGAGCAACAAAAGCTTCAATTAACAAAATATTCAAATACTCAAAATCTAATAATGATATTAAGCAAGCCTAAAGTGCCTACCTAGAGCTACCCGTCATAGATTACCTATGGTTCGTTCGCCTTGGATGCTCATTTGCAGGAGGCAAACCCAACAGTGGGTGCCATGGTGTGATAAGTAGGGCTTGAGTACCTAACTAATATAGACCAATTTTATATGCCTCGAAAAAGTCTTAATAAATATGTACTTCGTAGAATTACAGGTGATATAAAGGCGTGTCCTCCTTGAGTGAATCAAGACATTTAGGGAGAAATCGCCCCTAGTGGACCGGGAAGCTTGGGCCAACCATGCTTCCCAAATCAATCTACGCGACAACGTCGCGTCAAACCACAACTTCAGAGAGCACAAAAGCTTCTACAACCCACGCAATGCCGTGATTAAATTATTCTTTCGACCTTTTCAGCCCACAAAAATATACCAGTTCATGTCTGCCAATTTCCGTCTCCTCTGTGTTCATAATGGCACCGGCATCGCCAGCAGTCACACGGAAGCGCAGTAGAGCGCTCCTTGTTGATGAGGCACTGGATGAGTTGTCGCCGCAAAAGGAAAAGTCCGGCACTCCAGGCTTAGGGAGCCTGAAGAGGAGAAAACTGAACACAAAGGCATCTTCGTCTGGAAGTGAAGGCCGCTGGGGATCGATTGGGCAGAAATTCTCCGGACTCTCGGGATTGTTTGGCTTGGGCGATGGGAACGGGAAGGAAACCCTCGACAACGCTGACGATGTGGACGAATTGGTGGGAGATAGGGATATTTGGCAGGTTGATTCAACGGAAAACGAAGCGAGCCCAAGAGTTAAGAAGTCTAACGGTGAGACAAAAAGCACCAGGGACACAACGAATGTCATGTCCCAGACTACGAAGCCACGAAGGCAACAGAACCTCAAAGCGAACGAACCGGATAACGATATTTGGGAAGTTGAGGCCTCCGAAGAAGATATGGCAAGCAACAGTGGGGCTCATAGGCACAGGGGGCGGGGTAAAATCGATCCCAAGAAAAGCATGTTAGCACCAGCACCTATGGCTAAAGGTCCGGACCCGAGCCTGAAGCGCCCGCGTGGCCGCCCGAGAAAGTCGGATATTTTAAGGAAAGCAAAGGCGGATTCGAGGCAGGAAACACGACAACGGATGGTTTCTCAAAATTTAGAGGTAGCCGATGCGCCGAATGGGCGGGAAAGCGGCCGAACGAGTGATGAAACCTCGCCACAGTCCGGTTCCGAGCTTGCGCCCTCATCCATTACTGCCAGGAGAATAAGAGGGGATAAGGAGGCTGGTACCCCTGGTCCAATCCAACGAGCTCCAAAAGGCATACTTACTCCCACCAAAAACATGGGTAAGAGGTTGGGAAAGAGTGTGACCTTTGAGCAAAAAGGAGGAGAGTTGGATCTAGGCTTCAAAGATCTACCTAGCTCCGCAAACCGCAGAGAACAGAAAGCCAGTCTGGTAGTGAGTTCAAGCTTGGATTCGCGGCGAACTCCAGATAATCAAGTTCAATTCGCAGCAACTGGGTCAAACCAGTCTGCTCAAAGCACGGAAGACATGTCTCGTACAGCAGCGGAGGATGACTCTTCTGATAGATCCGATGAGATAGTCTGCCAAGCCTGTTCTGGGCTTCGTTCTAGGAAAGGAAATCAAATACTACTCTGCGACGGATGCGATTTTAGTGTCCATCAAAAATGCTACGGTGTACCTGTGATTCCTGAAGGGGACTGGTACTGTAAGGAATGCAGACCTAGTTCTGAAGCGGAGATGGAGGTAGACATGATAAACGGGACAGGCATTGCAACAGCTGAGAGCAATATCCCAGATATAGTAGGATTAGAAGTTCATTTAAAGAAGATACAGCGAACCTTACTGGACCGGTTGACCGGCCAGAAACGCATCAGGCTGCGTGGCCATGATGAGCAGATGCAAAAGGTGCACCAAGTAGTAGAACAAACAGTTCTTGCTGGGGAAGGTAATTCCATGCTGGTCATTGGAGGCAGAGGGTGTGGAAAGACTACAGTAGGTGTCCCTCTTCGATACGTTGGCAATGCTAATGTTTTGGAAGCTTGTGGAGTCGGTTATATCCGATATTTCAACCGACCACCGAGAGAAATTTCACGTTGTGAGACTGAATGGATTTATTCATACTGATGATAAAGTAGCGTTAAGGGAGATCTGGAGGCAACTGGGCCGTGAGATGGATGTGGAGGGTGATCTAGCCACCAAGGTAAATTGCTTTGTCCACAATATACTAATCATACTAACACATTGCTAGACAAGCAATCATGCTGATACTTTAGCAACCCTCTTGGCTCTCCTGTCCCACCCTTCAGAAATATCAGGATCGAGTTCTGAGCAAATTGCCAAGTCTGTAATTTTTGTCCTTGATGAATTCGACCTGTTCACAACACATGCGCGGCAGACTCTGCTGTATAATCTGTTTGACATAGCACAAGCAAGAAAAGCTCCTATTGCAGTCCTAGGCCTGACAACTCGTGTTGATGTAGTCGAAAGTCTTGAGAAGAGAGTCAAGAGTCGCTTTAGCCATCGATACGTGTATTTATCGTTGGCCCGGAGTCTTCCCATGTTTTGGGAAATCTGCAAACAAGGTTTGACCGTTGACGCTGGCGAGGTTGATGTGGAGCTTGGCCCAGAACAGCCTGGGCAGAAGGAGTTTCTCCTGTTCTGGAATGCGATGGTTGATGTAAGCACTTGAACACGTACCAATTGATAATACTAACTGTCCTAGGATCTCTACACAAACGATGATCATTTTAAACATTATCTTCAGTCATACTTCTATCGGAACAAGTCGGTCCCTGCATTCTTTGGCTCATGCATTCTTCCAATTGCAAGTCTCTCACCAAGTAGCCTTCCTCTGGCGAGCAGGGCCTTTCTTTCCAGTGCATTGTCAGTGTCACCGCCAGACTCCAAGCTTCATATCCTTCCGGGGCTTTCGGAATTGGAGCTTGCTCTCCTTATTGCTGCTGCGCGTCTTGACATCATCCTTGATACTGATACATGCAACTTTGCAATGGCATACGACGAGTATTGCTCCTTGACCTCTCGGCATAAAATACAAACATCAAGCACCGGGGTCGCCGCTCTTGGCTCAAGTACAAAGGTTTGGGGGAAAGACGTCGCGTTAGGCGCATGGGAGAAACTAGCGGCGTACGAGCTGCTGGTTCCTGCGGGCATCGGTGGAGGTGGCGGACGAGACTTTGGGATAGCAGGCCGCATGATGAAAGTGGACGTGGGGCTCGAGGAGATAACGGGGAGCCTCGACGGGTTGGCTGGAGTCATGGCCAAGTGGTGCAGAGAGATATAATAAACCTTGCAGCCCTCTCATATGTATGCCCGGACTTGCATTCATTAACCCACACACATGATGTGAAAGTATTGATACTTGAGCATTGCCGGAGTTGTTACCATCCAGCCCGGTTAGAAGGCAGTTGCAAAGCGCAGCCTAGAATTTCCTAGGCCATCTCCGTTTCCATCATGTCAATAATAACATCTCCCACTAGAACTCGATATATTATCATTCCATAGTGGCCCCGCATACCGCAGTTGATATGTCGTATCTCATGAGAAAATCGAGGTATGGCGCTATCATGGTCTGCACGAAGGCCGAGTTCTAACTGGCTGCGCAATCCCAGCGGCTGCACAGCTCACTCAGCTCCTATGTGCTGGCGAATGTTATACAATATTAATATCCCATGTCCAACACCAACTGCCGCCTGGCTGCCTTGCTGCCTATCATCTATAGGCATGGCATCTCTCTCGCAGATCGTAAGCCTTGTCGAAGTGCAGTGCGCTTTCAAACATGGTGATCAATTGGTGCAATGCTCGCCTCACTTCTGAGAACATCAGCGCGGGGGAAAAGCAGCCGCTGCAGTCCTTTTGAGTCACGGCTGCCTTACTGTTGCCTTTCAGGGTGACTCCCCGCCTTGTCTTCGATTTCTTTAACCCGTCTTATATCACTTCTCTCGTCTTGCAACTTGCAAGCCTCTGGAGTAAACGAGGAGGAAAGTCCCTCGTCGAAGCGTTGGTAAACATGGCGACTAGCAACGCCCACCTCCTAGATAAGGAGGTGGCGTGTGTATCATCCTACGCTGGAAAGATCGCCGCCGTATTTCATCAATTTGCCCTCCTTGCCCAGAAGCACCCTCGCAACTTTGGGGGAACCATCAATATCCTAGATGCGACTGTCGCTACTCTCAATCAAGTCTCGAGCCTTCTGAAAGACGAGGCAGGCGTCTTTGAGAATGAAAGCAAAAAAGTGCTTTTTAGCTCGGAGGGCATACTATACGTTGAGCGCCTTGTAAAGGAATGCGCTAAAGAATTGGTCAAAGTCGAGTCTACTATCTCGAATGCTAGCTTACCGTCAAAAGAGTTCAGGGCCAAAGCCAAGAAAGACAGGAAGAAGGCAGTGGGGACGGAACCTGCCGAAATTACCTGCTCTGATTTAAGTCTCGACGAGAAGTCATTCTTGGATAAGACCGAGAACGTTAAATGGAGCTTGGCCAATTATGACCTCGACGAAAGCACGGATCGGCTTTGCGAGCTCCAACTCCACCTCCTCTTGGTTTTCCAGGTTGTCACAGTCGGTGCACTTTCTCAAGATCTGTAGGCCATCCCTTCTACTCCTACGTCCCTCAAAAGAAGTCTTCAAACTCATGCAAATGTAGATCGACTGGCAAAGTTGACGTCAAAGCCATCGTCACTTTTCATGAGCGTATCCATCGCACAGCAAAGTTGGCTGGCATCAAAGTACCAAAACCTCGTGCCAAGCCAAAGAAAAGATATGTCTCAAGTGACAGTGATAGCCTCGACAGCGACAGCGGTAGCGTCAGTGATAGCGATAGTGGCAATGACGTTGATATCCCAATAAAGTTGGTATCGACCGTCGCACCACCATCTCCCAAATCAAAGCCGCTTAACCTTCCGCTAGTAAGAGATCCGGTGAAACTACCTCAGCCTCCATTAGTAACTGTAGGTTCTTGGGTTATGAGAAGGTACTCGTATGAAGCTAACCATGTGAAGACCCACCCTCCGTCTTATTTTGAGAGTTTTAAACCTACCATCAATGCACCTCCAATCGCCATAACCGAATCAATTCTTCCAAGTACATTCAAAACGGTTCCAGCCCTCGATAGGAAATCAGAGAAATCAGATACCTCTCTCGCATCAAACAGCACAGTAGAAAAGAAGCCGATAGAGGAAGAACCGGCCAAAGAAAAAGAAACCAAGTAAATCACAACTCTCTTCGTTCGTTAATTTTGCTAACCTCATAGATCCGCCACCCCTAAGTCTTCCCTCTTCAGGTCGGAAACACATGGCTTCAAATTCAAGCTCAAGAGTTTTTTCCGTAGCAAAGAGTCGCTCGCTATTGAGATGAGAACAACTCTCTGCAATGCCAATTCGCATCTTCTAGCATTTGTGGTCCAGAGGACCAACCAGAGGCAGGTCCCGCACTCGGCATTTCACTCTCTTGAAGCAACACATATACGTACCATTCTATCACAGTTGAATGACAACACTTGGTACAATACTTTTGCCTCTCTCAGTGCTGCTGAACACGGGACTCTTCACCATATCATATACCCGCACGTCGATGGCCAAATCTACGAAAGGGAAGTCGTCGTTCTCAAAACCATCAAGGAAGAAAGCAACAAGCCTACTGCCTGGGTGGCATTGGTGAAGGGACTCCGGCAAAGACCTTCATTTCCTCCTGCCTCCGGAGGCCGCACCCTTCTTGTGATCGTCAGGGAAATCCTCGTCGATGGGAAGCCGCTGGTGCCAAAAGGTCTCCTCCCTGGCCCGGGTTTTGGCCCTCGAGGAATGCCGCCGCCATCCAAGGCGCCTCCCATTGTTCCAGTTTTCCGACCTCCTCCACCACCAGGTCCACCTCCTCCTCGTCATACTTTAACTTGGAATACCAAAATCTCGGATTTACGCTTTCCACCCCCGCCTCCACCACCGCCTCCGCCTCCACCTCCACCTCCACCCCATATCTTGCCACGATATCCTCCCGTCCAGCATGGAGGGCCGCCGCCGCCGCCGCCCCCTGCGCTTATTCCCTATCCGCCTCCTACCAGCAGCCAACCTCTTGGATCGCGACCCGGCGGTATTCGTTTCTCAAATACCACAGTAATGACAGAACATGATGCTACTATAGCTCTGACGACCTATAACGAGTACAACGTCCGAGTCGCTGAGACAGCACCGCCCCACCCTGCCCGTTCGTGGACCAGAGTGTCTATTATTCTAGAGAGCGCCGAACGCCACCTTATTGAGCAACGTTTGGACCAATTCCAGCGTTCAGGTGGCAACATCATTGAGGCTAAGATGCGTCTCACGGCAGACCAAAGCGACCAGGTAACGCGCTTAATGGACGAGCTCCGTTTTGGGGAACGAGATCTCCGATTTGAATGGTACTGGGTGGAAATTAGCCTCTTCGACCAAGACGGACACATAGTAAATCTCGCTCATCAAGGCCAGAGCCATGTAGCTGAAAGGGCAACGACGATGCACCTTATTGCGAAACGCACGCTAAAGCCGCACTGTCTACCTTTGGCGGTGTATAATTTGTTGATGAGAAGTCCGCCACCTCCATTGATGCGGCCGAGTCAGCCAGCTGCACCCGCACCACGACCTATTCCGATACCAGCACCGAAAAAGAGAAACAAATATTCGAGTGATAGTGATACCGGGTGTTATAGTAGCAGTGTTGGCTACAGCAGTGATAGTAGCGGCAGTGATTATGGAGCAGTGAATGTGAAACCGCCCTCGAGGAGGCCTAAGTTGCTAAAGAGGCGCCCCCACAGGTCCAGAAGATACAGTTTCTGCTCCGACTCGGAAAGCGAGGAGGAGGATGCTATGAAGTTGGATTTGCAGCTTAAACGGGGAGATGATGTGGTCCAAAAGCTTCTACAATTATGGACACCGCAATGTCACGAACAGGACAAGGAGAAAGCAATTGAATGAAGAGCAATTGAGTGGTTTATGAGGGCTCGATCGATTGAGGTACGGTGTCCGATTTTATCTGCGCTAATATGGTTTGCTCCAGCTAAGGTCGTTTTTCGATTTCTTTTCTAATATTAACATCCATATATGATTAACGACATATCGATTGTTTCACACTTTATTAGGTTTAGTTCGCCTGCGTATCTTTTTTGGATCTCGACTAGGTACTATATACTATCATAAAACTATGTTTAAGCTTGCGCCATATATCAACCCTAAGGAATTTCCTAATACCAGCTTCTCAGCGCTATAGAGCGAACTACCACTATAATTAACGAACCTTCTCTACTCTTTTTACTACAGAATCCTCAGAATCCTTCTCAACCTGGCTGTAGTAGTTGTGTTGTGTTAACCCCATCATCTGCCTCGGCATTACGGATTCAACTGATACAAATTATATTATAATATCTTCACCGCATCCGGAATGGCATAGATCCCACCACATTGAAGCCAGCAAGTCCAAGGCACTCCGACCCCAGTATATAATTGTTTGAAACAAAACTAATTCCTTCCAATTCCCGGGTTTTACGACGTAATGCCGTGTAAATAGTATCCAGACCCCCTTCATTAACATATCCCATTTAACCGACTCTAAAGGTCCGCCCTCTGAATTAATATTTCACTGTATCAAAGCAATTACTTATATTTATTGACTCTTAGCTTTGGTAAAATTAATTGCATAATAGACCTAGCTAGATAGAAATATATAGGCCAAACGATACTTCAAAAGTACAAAAATGGTTACTAAGGTTTATGGGATGAAATCGACTAGTCGGGCTTGCAACTATTATAAGTTTTCTATCCCATGAGAAAGTTCTAGAGACGCCGCTTTCAAGCTTCACCTCGAAGATGCTGTAGCAACCATGTCCTCTAGCTCCTTTTCGGTCTTCCCCTTGTTTGTGGGCATGTACATGAAATCATGCAATCTCCACCCAAAGAACCCTTTGGGACTGTTACCCATTCCCCCGCCCCTTTCCTCGGTGCTTTTCCATTCGATTAACTTGGGGCCATTCGATGCATTATCTTCTCCATCGTCGAATTCAAAGATCCGAAAGTCAGCATTTCCGAGCTCTGTATTAGAAAGCCCAATGCGTAAAAACCCAGCGTGGCTCACAACAGCAATGACTTCCTCCGGTCGGTTCCTTAACCATGTCCTTGCCGCTGCTCCCCTCTTTAGCAATGCCTCCTGGGAAAACTCATAGAGGCCTTCCTTGGCGGGGAATACTGGGTCCATCATAGACCAGTCAAATTGAGGCCATTCCAATTCAAGTTCGGGCACAGGATGGCCAACATCACATGGGTTCACCGTTGTCTCTTGAATCTCTGCTAAGGCGATCGCTTTGACGCCCCTTGACATGAGCCAGCCAAGGGCCTGCTCCGTGGTCTGCAATGTGCGTTTCATCGGCGAGGTGACAATGAGGTCTATTTTCTGGGCGAGAGGTACGTGGTCCTGTAGATATTTGGATAGCTGAGTACATTGCACTGTTAATCCATTTTCGCTAAGAGGGGGGTCATGAATCGAGTAGTCCTGTATTTACTGGTGTTAGTCGTAAGTTGCAGAAATGGCACACGTTTGCTTTGGCAAGACTTATTTGTGATATCTATGCAATGTTAGGGCCATTATTGGTTTCTTAGAGGGATGCCAACTAACTATGCAATGCTTCTGCATGGCGGATCAAGATAAGAGTTGGCGCCATCCTCACGATATTGAAGCTAAAAGAAGTATGATATGGAACTTTAAAAGCGAAATCTGAGGGTGCTGGCTCATATAATTAGGCCCAGATCCGAAGGATACGCACTAGAATTTAATAAATCATATGAAGAAGACACAAGGCCTGTATTCATTGTTCAGGATTGCGTTAGGTATCAATTGTCGTCAGTTCCACCAATACTCGTACTGTCGCAGACAAATGTGACGTGGCAGCCACTCAGCCACAATCAACCCTACATTTCAACAACTACTTGATCCTCCTTCCCGCATCATAACATAAAACACAATATCAAAAGTTGAAAAGATTGATGTGCTATATTTCACAAGCCCTTATCCACTTAGAGAACTCTTTATGTCTCATTTTATGCGCAAATGTGCCGTTAATTGCTCCATTGCAATGATTTTCTGAGTTTTGGACTTTACTTCAATTCACCCAGGTGAAGGAAAATTCAGCATCTGACCCGAAGAGTCTAGTATTATGTGAGTAGTGGTTATACAATAGCAATCACACCTAAAATCCATCTAATAGCTCAAAATAGCAAAGAATGAAGGAATGAAGAGCCTCGTGTCCCTCATCACTCGCTCAGAGTCAATTGTTATGCACCTACGAGACGGAGCCCAGAGAAAGCCGCCTTATGCGCACCCTCTAGCAATTTCTTCAAATACTCTCAGTTAGATAACACGAAAAATGAAATCAGGGTAGTGCATATCTCACCTTCAAGCTGCGAGATAGCTCCCATAGTATGCCATTTGGTCACTGTGTCACTTGACCACAGTCCCTCATAAAAGGCCCTATCATGTACTTCGGGCACGGATACAGAATTATTCTCAGTTGCAATCCACTTCAAAGTGGCATTTCTGGTAAAGATTCTAGATGCAGCCATCCACAGACTACGATTACGGGGTAAGATCCTCATCATATAGATCGATTCAATCTAAATTAACTAGAATAGCTTGATTGAGAGTAGTACTCAAACGGCCAAGATGAGGGCTATTTATCAACAAAGCGCTACTGTTTGTGTCTGACTGTAAGAGATATCAGATTCCTTTGATCCATTTTCAGATATTGATGGGGCATGTTTCTATTCCTAATATCTCTTCAAATGGCCTCCCACAGTAGGCCCTTTTATCCTTCAGTTACATTGGCCAGTTAATCCCGCCGAAATCAATGCTAAGACCTCAACTGTGGAGAAACTAATGCCGAAAGTTGTCTACCATAAGGACCTGTTGAAGATTTTGCTAGAGCTTCTTAATTTTCTAGGTCTTCAACCTTCGATGGTCATCCACGCTTTACTAAATTTGAAGCGTTGAGAAGGCCGCATGCAATTCGTCTGCTATCGTCTCATTTTCAAACAACAACCGCCATTTGAAGGCTCGCGGCTTTGTTATTGGCAGCCTTAACGCGGTTTCAACGCCATTCTACATGACACTCTCAGGCATAGATGAAGCTAAAATTCTCCAAGCTTTGCATCCATTCAGATAATGGTGGACGCTCTTTTTAGCGTCCAAAGGCAGCAGCCTAGCTGATCAAAAGAAGTTCAATCGTACGTTTTGCGGTGGGCCCTAGGTAGCAGTATATGGCATCTACCATGCCCAGATATTACGCCTATGCTACGAGGTTTTGAGATTTATTAATTGATAATTTATTAATCTGAATAAGTAAAATTAAAGTTCCTATTTATTAAATTGCGAAAACTAATTATTAATATTATCATAATCAACTACTAAATCTATATGCTTAACATCCTAAGATTGGAGGCGGCGGAAGTTGTATATACTTCTACGAACCTGAGCATATCTAGGTTTATTCTAGAATAACTCCTCACTTTGACAAGCTCTACGTACGTAGTTAGGCTTCTGGTAGTATAATTCCCAACGCATGTTATAAATTATTACGAGAGCGAAATCTAAAATGGAATAACCAAAAAGTTAGTCTAGGAGATTATTAGAATCAGATTAATGTCACTCGGACGGTAAACGTGGTGTATCACGTTCCAAACCATACAGTCAAGTATGATTTATAATTGAAGTTGGGTTAGGGGGAAAGTAGATGTGGAGCTCTAGAATAGCTGGGAGAGTTTTAAAGGACTTTATTAGTATATTTTTTTATGATATAATGAAATTGTGATGACATTGATGGAAGAATGGATGGAATTGATGTGGGGAAACATAATACTCTCAAAATGACTCGCGAACATTATCCCAATTCATTGTCTCCCTAACTATTGATTGTACCTATCTGGATTTGACATGAAATTTTATTTACAGATCGGATTATTGTATATCCTTACCTCGATCATCTTTGGATAAATAACTTTAATTTATGATTTAGACACCCAATCCATTATCATATGCTTTTGTGTATATTATTTCCGGTTCTAATGAAGGCAAGCTGCATAGTAAACCTAGCTCCCTAATGACAAAAGTGGCAAATAACCAAATGAAGCCCTAGAAATGTCAAAACAATCAATTATTCGCGAGCAATACTTTTAACACTAACCCATACAAGGCACAGCAGAAGTTCGAAATATACGGCTAGAAAATGAGTAGCTAGGATCTAGACGCCTATAACATTCGGCCTTGGAAGAATATTCCCAACTAGGAACACTTATTAAACTGCACTCACAGCCTGTCAGTAGGTGAACTCGATGTGGCTCAAATGCAGTTGATGCCCGGTATCCATAACTTCCAGGGCGCAAGCTTGTTTGGGACTCGCACCGATTCTCGTGATGTTGGCCAATTGTATGCCTCCTAACATATGGAGGAAGTTCCTTCTTTGGAAGGAGCTCTTTTATCTCATGACCACTCTTCCCAATGCCGGAGACGGCCTCTCGGTGTTTTTCAAATCAGGGGATGAGGGCGCACTGCTCTCACAAAGACAGCTCGAGAATTAGGCTGCCATAGAAAAGAAATCAATTTGTTTTCTAAGAAAGGACGCATTCTCGGAGCCAGTGTTTCCAGAAACCACAGAAACCCAAGAATCCTAGCACAATGGAACGCAATACAGTGCAATACAACACGAGGCAACCTCCTATTCACAACCGGGCACGCGACAACAACATCACCCGCGATCGGGTTAAGATCCTAGGAACTTCCTAAGGCTCTCAAGCTATTTTACTAATTCCTTAATATCATGCCGCGAGGTTGCCGTCGCTCGAGACGACACCAGCGTAGCGGTCTTTGCTCTTATCTATCGGCCTGTAAATAGCCTGAACCTTGTGAACATTTCTCCTGCAACTCACTCTGGTCT